AAGGTTTCCCTGCTTATCTCGGTGCCAAGCTTGCTTCTTTCTATGAGCGTGCTGGTCGTGTCCAGGCTCTGGGTAGCCCTGAGCGTTTTGGCAGTGTGTCCATTGTCGGTGCTGTCAGTCCTCCCGGTGGTGACTTTTCGGATCCTGTCACTACTAGTACACTCAACATTGTACAAGTCTTCTGGGGTCTCGACAAGAAGCTGGCTCAGCGAAAGCATTTCCCGTCCGTCAACACATCGATCAGTTACAGCAAGTACACAACCCCACTCGACAAGTACTACGCCAAGAACAACCCCGAGTTCCCTCGTCTGCGCGACCGCATCAAGGAGCTTCTCACCACTTCGGACGATCTCGACCAGGTTGTGCAACTTGTCGGTAAATCAGCTCTGGGTGACGGTGACAAGATTACGCTTGATGTGGCTACACTACTCAAGGAGGACTTCTTGCAGCAAAACGGTTACTCAGACTACGACCAGTTCTGTCCGCTGTGGAAGACTGAATGGATGATGAAGAACATGATGGCATTCCACGACGAGGCCCAGAAGGCTGTCTCCCAAGGGCATGCATGGCCCAAGGTCCGCGACGCAACTTCAGAAATCCAGAGCCAGCTGCGCTCGATGAAGTTTGAGCTTCCCAGCGACGGTGAGGAGAAGGTCACCAAAAAGGTAAGCTCAGTCAACTTTGACTTTTTTTCGTACATGCGCTAACTTCCAACTAGTACGAGGAACTCCTACAGAAGATGACTGACAAGTTTGCGTCGGTTGTCGACGAGTAAATGTGTGTGTGCTTCAAGGCAATTTTCCCATAGCGCGTCAGTCTAGTATATCTCCATGATCATAGAATGTGAATTGTACCAAGATACCAACACTGCTGCCTGAAGCTGACGACGCTGTTTCGCGTCCTGTGACCGCAATGCGCATCATGTGCGTATGCTCCAACATTGTTGTAGCGCGAATGTCAAGATAGCTCTACGCAAACAACGGTGGCGTACTAGAGTAATTGAGCACATGTCTCCTGTGATGCATCTGACAATTTGGTGACGTACGCATACCGAGGAATTCCCTAAGTCGCATTTCGTGGGGCTGAGTCGTGTGGCGTATCAAAGCTTGGGCTCTCTCCGACGTTGGCACTTGCAGCAGCTACGCAACCCGCAAGCAACAACCCCAGATTGCAGACACTTTCGCCTTCAACAACTTTGATACCACCTACACCCATACACACTATTAGCCGCGAACACTGAACGTATTCAAACAACCTCAACACACGTTTCGCCGACCATGGCGACAAATCCAAATGCGTACGCACATGTTTGGGATAGCCCCTCGCATTGCGGAAAGCTAACAGGTGTACAGCATCAACGTGAACGACCCAGGGCTGATTACCCTCGTAAACAAGCTCCAGGATGTCTTCACTACAGTCGGAGTACGTCGCTGTCCTCCGCCCGCTCGCGCGCAACTGCCTGCAACGAAAGCCCAAACACCCATACTGATGCCTAAGTCAGGTCCAAAACCCCATAGACTTGCCTCAGATCGCTGTGGTAGGATCACAGTCTAGCGGAAAGAGTTCAGTGCTTGAGAACATCGTTGGAAGAGACTTGTGAGTGTTTGCAATTGCACCAGGGCCCGAGGGGAGTATACTGACGGCAGCTCTATAGTTTGCCTCGAGGAACTGGTATCGTTACTCGAAGACCACTTATTCTTCAGCTCATCAACCGCGCATCCTCGCAACCGAACGGCACTACCGAAGGTGCAAAGACAACAGACCAGGAGAACAACTCCGACGAGTGGGGCGAGTTCCTGCACATTCCTGGCCAGAAGTTCCACGACTTTAGCAAGATAAGGGACGAGATTGTAAGGGAAACAGAGTCCAAGACTGGTCGCAATGCAGGTATCTCACCGGCGCCTATCAACTTGAGAATATACTCGCCAAATGTCCTTACGCTCACGCTGGTCGACTTGCCTGGTTTGACGAAGGTACCTGTCGGAGACCAGCCTAGAGATATCGAGCGTCAAATCCGAGAGATGGTCCTTAAACAGATCAGTAAGCCCAATGCCATCATTCTGGCTGTCACCGCTGCGAACACCGATTTGGCCAACTCCGACGGTCTGAAGCTAGCGCGTGAAGTAGACCCAGAAGGACAACGGACTATTGGCGTCTTGACCAAGGTAGATTTGATGGACGAGGGAACCGATGTTGTGGACATTCTCGCTGGTCGCATTATCCCACTGCGGTTGGGCTACGTACCAGTCGTCAACCGAGGACAGAGAGATATCGAGAACAAGAAGGCCATTTCGTACGCGCTTGAGCACGAGAGGCAATATTTCGAGAACCACAAAGCATACCGAAACAAGGCAGCATACTGCGGTACACCTTACTTGGCGCGGAAGCTGAACTTGGTAGGTTCAGGTCCTTGTATACCTCGAGAAACAGCAGCTAACAGCTATAGATCCTCATGATGCATATTAAACAAACCCTGCCCGATATCAAAGCTCGCATCGCCTCCTCGCTACAAAAGTATCAGGCAGAACTTTCTTCGTTGGGCAACTCCATGCTCGGCAACAGCTCCAACATCGTCCTGAACATGATTACAGAGTTCACCAACGAATACAGGGGAGTTCTGGAGGGCAATAACCAAGAGCTGTCTGCAGTCGAGCTATCTGGTGGTGCCCGTATTTCTTTCGTTTACCATGAGTTGTATGCCAACGGTGTTAAGGCTGTTGATCCCTTCGACCAGGTCAAAGACATGGACATCCGGACCGTTCTCTACAACTCTTCCGGTTCATCTCCCGCGCTGTTCGTCGGAACTACTGCTTTCGAACTCATTGTCAAGCAGCAGATCAAGCGACTAGAAGAACCAAGTCTGAAGTGTGTCAGTCTTGTCTATGATGAGCTGATTCGAATTCTCAGCCAACTCCTCAACAAGAATGCTTTCCGAAGATACCCAGGATTGAAGGAGAAGCTACACCAGGTCGTTGTCAGCTTTTTTAAGAAGGCTATGGAGCCCACCAACAAGCTCGTCAGGGACCTTGTTGCTATGGAGTCCGTCTACATCAACACTGGTCACCCTGACTTCATTAATGGTTCGCGTGCCATGGCGATTGTACACGAGCGACACAACAGCAGTAGGCCTCAGCAAGTAGACCCCAAGACCGGAAAGCCGCTCCCACCTAGCGTGCCGCCGCGGTCGATATCGCCATCACTTGATCCTAATGAGGGTGGTGGCTTCTTCGGTTCATTCTTCGCTAGCAAGAACAAGAAGAAGATGGCAGCTATGGAGCCTCCACCACCCACGCTGAAGGCCTCCGGTACCCTGTCCGAGAAGGAGTCTCAAGAAGTTGAAGTCATTAGTAAGTTTCCTGTTGCGGTAGTTTTACTCTTTTACTAATAATGTGCAGAACTACTGATTACCTCCTACTTCAACATTGTCCGCCGAACGATGATCGATATGGTACCCAAGGCCATCATGTTGAACCTCGTTCAATGGACCAAGGAGAACATGCAGGGCGAGCTTCTCACCAACATGTACAAGACGGATGAGCTCGATGAGCTACTGAAGGAGTCAGAGTACACTGTCAAGAGGCGGAAGGACTGCCAGCAGATGGTGGAGAGCTTGACCAAGGCACAGGAGATTGTCAACCAAGTGCAGTAAATGGGTGCATATCTGGGATGGTCTTGCTGCTAGACATGTGTGTTCTCTGGGTTTGGCATTCTACCATGGTATGCAAGGTGTTCTGGGTGCTAGCTTGCTAGATTTCTGACTTGAGCCTGTTCGAATCATAGTTGTGTATGCAATGTATGTCGGCAACCATACGTCGTCTTCTCTCTGTGCTGTTTTGGTGATGATTGTCAAACCCAGCTAGATAGTGTGCATAATGAGCCATGACGGTGTTGCAGCGATGGCATTCGGACAGAGCGCGGAGAACGCACAGACCACCGAGCATCTCGAAAAGTCGCAATGCACTGAGATGCACGCCTCTTCAGCACCAGAGCGGCCATGCTGCTCCCACGAATATTTGCGCCCGTCCGCGCATCGTTAGCGACATCTACAACCTTCATCGCCCCGTCCACCCGTGTTCTCGATGCCCTCCGCGTGGCCAATGGCACCTCGGCACCTACCCCGGTTCTCTCTTTCGTAAGACATTCCGCGCATCAGGCCCAAGGACGAGCCAACGGAGCAAAAGATGGACCTGGTAAACGGTTAGGAGCAAAGAAGAGCGGAGGTATGTTTGATTGTCTAAACTACTATTCGTAGGAGCATCGCTAATGGCATTGTAGGAGAATATGTCATCCCAGGAAACATCATCTTCCGCCAGCGAGGCACAGCGTGGTTCCCTGGCGAGAACTGCAAATTCGGTCGCGATCATTGTATCTTCGCCACAGAATCCGGCTACGTACGGTACTACCGTGACCCGAGAAAACACCCAAAGAGACAGTACATTGGCGTTGCTCTCGAGAAAGATCACACTCTTCCATACCCACCAAATGCGGCGAGGCGGAGACGTCTAAATATGCTCGCCGTTCCTATCACATCACCTACAAACCCTGCTGCCGACGCCGTTGTTATAACTGACCTACAAGTCGGTGACGGCACAGGCAGCCCAAGCAGCGTCCGCGATACCCCGCGCGAGGCGACAAGGAAGGGATTGACTTTGACTAAGGGCAAGGGATACGCATACCGTGAGGCCAACTGGCAGATTGGACGTGCGGCGGAGAGAGCAGGTGTACAGGTCAAGGAGTTTGTGCCAGGTGATCGATGGACGGCGTGGCGGAAGAGGAGCACGAGAATCAAGGCGAACATGGAGAGGAAGCGTCTCCGGAATGCGGGCAAGAAGGCTAGCAAGCCCAAGGCGAGGAAGGCGAGGGCATAGAGGAATGAGACGACATACTTTGGGTTGTATGAATATATGTGTACATTGAAGACATGCAGCCTTGATGGGCTGTGTACGAACATGGGAAGCAAGATAGTGAGCAAGTCATCATGAAGAAAGCGTTCGAGGCAACTATAACCTTGCAGAATCCTTCCACACCAGACCTCCTTGGTCCTCGATATAATGCCTTCCCTTCGTCCATCCCATCCATATGCTCAACGTATCTTCGCCCCCGTTGCCAGGCTTCAAGCCCTTCTCGCTCCATCCGCTGCCATCCAATCCTATACCCTGGCCCTCTGCCGCTGATCTTCCATCATCGCCGTCCTGTATCGCATACCCAGGTGTAGACTTGAGGGTTACGGCTGGCCGTTGATCGAAGCCCTGGGTCTCAAGTTCACCCTGTGTTAGCACAGGCGTGCAGCATGCATCTGTGCCGTCGAAGATACCCTCCCACTCCTCGCGCGTCTTCTTCTTGAACTCGGCTGCGAAGAAGTCCTTGAGCTTCGGCCAATCTGCTCTATCATCCCTGTTACCAGGTAGATCTGACGGCTCAAGACCCATACCCTTGAGTAACGCGGCGTAGAACTGCGGTTCAATAGCGCCCACTGCCATGTACTTCCCGTCTTTTGTCTCGTATGTATCGTAAAACGGCGCGCCGCCATCCAGCATGTTGGTACCCCTCTCTCGCTTCCAGACCTCGGTCTTCAATCCCAACCGTGGCATAGTCGCCAATATCGCACTTCCATCCACCATATTCGCCTCGACGACCTGTCCAAAGCCGCTTCTTTCCCTCGCCAGCAGCGCCAGCACAATGCCCATGAAACACATTGCGCCGCCTCCTGCGAAATCCCCAACCACATTTCCTGGTGCATACGGCTTCTCCCCTTTCCGCCCGAACATACTCAACACACCGGAAACAGCAATGTAGTTGATATCATGTCCAGCCATTTGACTGTATTTGCCATCTCGACGGAAGCCCGTCATGCGCGCAACAATCAACCGCTTGTTCAACTTCAATAGTACCTTGTCAGGGTCGAGACCGGCTTTTTCGAGCACGCCGGGTCGGAAGGGATCGATTACTACGTCGACGTTTGGGATAATCTTTTTGATGAGGGCCAGACCCGCAGGGGACTTTAGGTTCACGCATATCGAGGTTTTGCGCCGCGTTAGTTGGTCGGAGGTTGCAGTTGCGGGCGCGCGGTCGAGGCGGAGGACGTTTGCGCCGTAGTCTGCTAAGAGCATACCCGCGAAGGGGCCTGAACATTGTTAGATGGTAATCTCAAAAGCTTTTCTGGAAAAACATCTAGAGAGAGAGTTCGACGTTACCTGGGGCTAGTCCTGCGAATTCAAGGACGCGGATGTCCGCCAGCGGAGGTGGTTGGTGTGCTGTCGTCATGGTGAAGCCGTTGGGTAGGATGTTCTACTTGGGACGATTGATCGGATGTAAGTAGAAGATAATTGACGCGAGCTTAGTAGTATACATGCTCGACGTCGACATTGTTGGTTGTTGCGCCGGCTAAGGACTCCCGCGGGGAAGCATGCGCTGATGCCGAGGTGCGGATGTGGAGAGCTGCAAAGCTGGGGTAGCTTCCTCGTTCGCGTCCGCGTTTGACTTGTTTGCATGCACATGCACTTATGTACCTACGACCATTTAGTATCTTCCTTGCTTTGGATATAGCAGGATAAGGCTGATGTAGTATGCCATGTTGTAGAACGCGTAATCATGGCGTACGTTTTCCCACCCTTCCACCACTGATGGCATTAGGCATCAGCGCTTGCTTGTACATAATGAGCGACCTTACAACGATCCGAAAGCATGATTTTATCTCGTAACGTGTATCTTCCTTGAAAGCCACAGCTTGTCAGTCAAACGCTTCACGACAGACGTGGCTTCCTTCTACGTTACCGACCACCCACAGTACTCGACCACATCATGCCTCCCCAGTTAAGACAGCGCACGTCACGCGTCAAACCTCAGTCTTATGCTCTTTCTCTGAACTCCCCTACAAGTCAAACCCACCTCCTCATGTCTGAACATACAGCAAACTCAGCAAGCAGCACGCCTCCAATTTACACCATCGATCTCTCTTTACCACCATGCGAACGCTATGTGCTGGTCGCCACTGACTACGCTCATGTTCTGCGCGAAATGCCGTTTCTCTACGATGAAGCAGTAGAGCACTTGAAGTTGCCTGTCGGATTCTTTCATTTTTTGGGCCGTACGCTCTTGCGTCGTCTGCATAGCGATGAACAGACCGAGGAGCTCAGAGGCATTAGCAAGGCATGCGGGATTCCAATGTATCTACTTGTCGCTTATAACGTCTTTCTGGATCTCCTTATGGGCTGCACGAGTGGTGGCGTCATGGTCAAGGAGTCCGAGGCCGATGCAACGATGATGCATTTCCGAACCCTGGATTGGTCTATGCCTCTTTTACGACAGGCCATCGTACAGTTCGAGTTCGTTGAGAGAACAGCTAGTCATGTGATAGCAAGGACGGTGGGTTATGTGGGTTTCGTGGGTGTACTTACAGGCCTGAGGAATGGGCTGAGCGTATCACTCAACTTCCGGCCCTACCACAACGCCCATGGACTGTCATGGCCAAATATCAAGTATTACTGGAACACGCTGATGGTGCTTCTGGGACGGAGACCGGGTATCTCTACTCTGATACGCGATTGTCTCCTACCCAGGCCGAGTGCATCTCGAAGTCGAAGGCTTTCCAAAAATTCTGTCAAGGAAGAGGAAACTTTGGCGTCCGCACCTATCCCACCACATAGTGCACCTGAAATATTCAACACCATCCCACACATGCGTACGTCAGTAGCATATTTGATATTCTGCACGGGAATAGAGACAGTCGTTCTGGAAAAAGACTTTCACAGCGCGAGAACCTTACGCTCCTCCACTTTCATCAGTACCACCAATCACGATGTGTCACTGGAGTCTACAGGCAATCCACAAGCCACTCAAGATCACGCGGTTCATAACCAGGGTCGGAACCACAGCTTCCTCAATGCGGGTATGCAAGAAGTGCTCGATGAAAGCATCATGCGGAAACAATGTCTCAAGCAGAAATGGCTGAAGTGGAGCCAGGAGCAGGGTCGTAAAGCGAAGCGAGGACAGACTGCAGCAACTGGTGTGAGCCCAGGGAAACTGACTGAGTGGTTAATGCAATATCCCGTTTGTAATGAGGTTACACATTTCGTGTGTGTGATGGATCCAAAGGAGGGCGTGTTCAGATGGGTGCGCACTTTTGAAGAGGGCCATATAGAGTTTCAGGATGGAGCTCAACTTTGATGAGTACACTTGTAGCTGGGATCTTGTATCTGACAATTTGAAAGCTTCTATAGTCTGAGGTTTCGCAAGGGATAATTGTTGGTGTGGGAATTGGTAATGATACTGGAGACCTCGGCCCATGAGAAAGGAGCTAACGCTAGTAGGGTTTGCCACTCTTCACCTCTCATCTCCGACATTTTACGGCTCAACTTCCAATCTCCAAATATCGCCCACTCACGCGTCGTATTGAGTCATGATGATGTCAAGTTATAAGTGTCTTTAGCGGAGTATCAACGAAGATGTTTGACATATCCAAATGGCAACACACAAGAGATCGAGGACCGGTTGCTGGACGTGCAGGGAAGCCGGATACAAGTGCGACGAATTGAAACCCTTTTGTGGACGTTGCACAAGATTAAGAATAATTTGCAAGGGCTACGGAGTCAAGCTACAATGGCAAGACGACGCCGTCAGCACATTGGCAAAACCACCACGGAAGGGTCGGAAGAAGAAGGCCGTTGATCAGGACCAAGCAGTCAGTCCAGCGTCGATCATCAGTTTTGCATCCACACCAATGGCACGTTCCAGTCCTGAGTTTATGTTCTCATCGCCTGAGTCAACAAAAAGCATGCCCATGTTACCGATGAATAGTCCAGGTTTATCATATGGCTTATCTTTAGACGATCGATACCTCCTCAATTATTGGGTTGAGCAACTCTCCACATTGATATCGGTGGCACCTAGGAATGGTATCGCAACACCATTTCAACGACACTTGACGGCCATGACCTACGAATCTCCGGCGCTTAGATCAACGATTCTTTCAATGGCCGCAAATCATCTCGCATTGACATCGAATGATCCTTCGCTACACCTGCAAGGCTATCGTTTTCAGCGTGACGCTATTCGTGAGCTTCAAAGAATGATTCAAGATCCAGTAGAAATGGATGTTGAGCCGGCGTTGGCCACTGTCATGATGATGCAGGTATCAGCACGACTGTTCGGTGACGACGATGAAGCACACGTTGCGAACCATTTGATCGGTGCCAAAGCCATGATATCAGGGCATGGAGGGAATAGCTGGCTTGCTTCATCGAACGCTCGCTTTCTCGTGAGCCTGTTCGCATATCACGATATTCTCTCTTCTGTTTCGAGGGGTTCGCAACCACTGGTGGATCACAAGACAGGTTTTACCGCCATTGAAGGAGAAAAAGAGCTAGAAAGCATTGCAAAGGTGCTTTTGGTAGTTGCACAAATCAGTCAGCTGCAGCACGCCATCAAAAAGAGAAGGGCACAATCACCAACAAGCCCGGCTTTATCGGAAGATGAGAACACCACCGGTCGGCATATCCAGCAGACCTTGCTAGCTATGGACTTCGTTGCATGTAAACGGGAAAATACCCAAGAACATACTGATATTAATTCGACGGCTGAAGCCTACCGCCATGCCGCCTTCATCTACCTTTACCGGACATGGCTTGACATAGGCGCTCCTAACCCGATAAGCGTGGAACATATCAACCAGTGCCTATCACAACTACAGCAAGTCGATGTCTACTCACCTCTTACGTCAGCACACATGTGGCCGCTCTTCACCGCTGGCTGCGAAGCAATCGATAGCACACAACGTCAATTCGTCCGCGATCGTTTTGAGGAGCTGTATGCTGTAAAGCATTTTCCAAACTTAAAACGAGTTTTGCGCGATATTGAACATGTTTGGGCTGCCAAGGATATGGAACAGCAGACGAAGGGTCAAGTTGGTATGGCAAAGGTTGATTGCATACAAGTCATCCTAAAAGGAAGAGGGAGAGAGGTGGATCTCGCCTGAAAAGGGCGCGCAACGGGTGTCACTTTTGGTGCGCACGGACGAGCGTTACTTACCTTCTGAGCGGCCTGCGAGTGAAGCATTAGTCCACCCGCCTGACACGATATAAATACTGGTTCTTTACGGCTCGGTTGTATCCCCTTTTCAATGTACAGACTCGGCCACACTCAACTAACCATAATGTCAACCCTGACCTCGACCTCCGACTTGGAGGCTCTACCCGCAGAGCTCTTCAATCGCGTTCTCAGCTATTTTTTCGACCCCCATGAGTGCAAGCTCGAAGATTCCAACACCGAGTTTGGCGGCTACCGCTTCGAGACGTCCCTGCTGCGCGTGAACAAAATCGTTCATCGGCTTGCGAGGAGCTACCTGCATCACGCGCTGTCTTGGGTACGCTTTGAACTCAACTGGGGCGCCTTCGCGATTGACCCACGCTGGCTGGGTGTAAAATACCTCAATATTGGTCACACCAAGGCCACCAAGTCACTACCGGACACGTCTCTACATCTGGGCCTTCGATCGGTACCCCAGCAAGCTCCACCTGGCCGTCTACGCATCAAGGTAGATTTCCCACATGCCGAGCATCAAGCACAAAAGGAGATGACAAGTTTGGTTAAGAGCAGTACACACACGTCGATGTCACTGCTAGTACTCGAAAAAGACCTGGCTTGTTTCATGCAAGTACTACGCATGAACGATCTCGCCTATTGTCGCCGCAACTGTCCAGGAACTCTGATCTCTGATGACACAAAAGCGAGTTGAGGTATCCACGGCATCAAATCTGAGGTCATCGTCACCTCCGGTCAACAGCCAAAGCGATATCAACATCTGATCCTGGAATTCCAAGTCATGCGGGACTTACTTCACAAGACCAAAGTCGTTGGACACGCAGACAACAATCTTGCCGAGAAGTCCGAGGACTATATACAGCAACAGCACATCTACAAAGAGCGAATAGAGCTCAGTCTGTCAAAGACGGGCATGAGCCAAAAACTATCTATAGAAGTGATGGGAGAGGTGATCGCGTCTCTCATGTGGCTCAAGCATCGTGGCGACGAATACCTCACACAGGGCTTCTACTCAAATGCTTACATGTGCTACTCGAGCGCATGTATCCTCAAGAAAAATTGGCTGAAGATAGCTCCACCACCCCTTGATGTCCGTTTCTGGACGTTCGACAGCTGCATCTTCGTTACCTTCGTAGTGGCTTTACAATACAATATGGCAATCGCTGAGATGGCAGGGGGCTTGGATCTAGGTTCCACACGTTTTTCTCGAATGTCAATATATACTTGCTACGGTATGCTCGGTATTCTCAGCGGTGGCGGTACGTTCCTTGTTGATGAGCGCTACGCGGAGCTGAGCATAGCAGCGCACATTTACGAGATTCTGACTGAGCTGCCTGACAACGTCTACCATCTAACTTCTATCGAAGAAATTTGGGAGGCATACTATGACATCGACGATCATAGCGACCTATCGTCTGGGTTGGGCCTTTTGTACCAGACCGTCAAGCGACTCAACAACGTAGGCCATACGCCCACCTCTCATCCAGAGAGTCTTGCCGAACTGAAGGCTGCTGCAGCACGTGGCTTCGCAGGCGTTTCCCCGTTGAAGTGGGCGATCACGGAGAACAAGGTCCCAAAGCCACTGCAAGAACTTGTCAAGTTCTTACCGCGAGCTCAGCTCTTGCCTGGCGGTATCGTAGAGAACCCTAGTAGCTACAGTTTTGAGACCCCGATATTTTGTCAGCCGACTGACGAACAACGTCTCAACGGAGAGGAGCACCCCAGGTATATAATGTAACAAAGGCATTAGGAAATTCGTCGTGGTTTACATGAACGCGCTGTTCATGTAGAATGCAACTTGTATCTTATCCTAGGGTTTGGTGTCGATGTGGCGTATCATCATGCATGGGGTGGGAAGTTTGGTTCTCGAGTCACACTTGAGAGAAATAGTGAAGTTTATCGTAGTCCTCCAAACCGAAAAGTATTGGTGGTTACTTCACAAGCTACATACTCCACAGTTCCTTTGATCGGGTTGCTCTTTACTACACCATTCCAACGAAGAATCGAAGAGCATGAGTCTCCACGTAGGCAAGAATTTTGGACGCGTACCTTTGTCTCTGTCTGTAACTTCTACATAGATGTATATGTATCTCTCTGCGGCCCACCCGCGGTTTCCAAATACCTTCAGGTCCCTATGCACTAAATTATAACACACCGAGCATCTATCAAATAAGTTGAAGACACACAATGCTGCAGCCTACATGCGAACATGAGGTAAATGAGACAAAAATCACTTCTATATCACGATCGCACACAGTTGTAGGTGCGCGACAACGACAACAGGACATACAGCTCATCTTGATGGAAGCCAAACACAGCTGTAGTGCGATAGCAAGCCAAAATGGAAAATATACACGCCAGGAGTAGCGCGCACCCGTAGACGCGCGATATTGCGCCCTAGGGGAAAACGCAATGGCACATCCTGCAGGTCACGCTGACACGCTGCTATCAGCCAAATCATACAGATAACATTGCAAGGTCTCATTCTCTCGAAGCAGTTTTCGTTCAAGAACCACGATAATTGTGGATAGTGTGGTATGTACCGCTCATATGACACCGCCTGCGCAACCGAAAAAATGCGCAGCCAGCTCTAATGGAGCACTTGGTTCCTTCTCCGCAGCGCTATATCGCAATCACCCAATGGATAAACTCGGGTCGCATCGATACAAGACGTAAAGATGCGGATGAGATGGGTGTTGAACTGTCTGATGGTGCGTGAAGAAACAGAAGGGAGGCAGGGCAAATTTTCCATGTTATCCAGCCATTGCTTGGCACGCTAACGTGTACTGGATTTAGCGCCACTGTCCGTCCTCGATCCCGAGGTGATTCCACTTAAGGCTGCCTCCCCAGCCACTTTTAGATACAGATTCAGCAAGATTAGATGTTTTTGTGAGCCTCATGGCTTACCCCGCCATTGCAACCGTTGGCGCTCGATGGGGAGGGAAGCGACAGAGTTTCGTACACCAACCACCTGTGCGACAACATGGACACCCAACCACCTGTGACTCCTAGGGATGCAAGCATTGAGTATATCAGCGACAGCATCTTCCAATTGACGCTCACCCCAGAGAACAAAGCTGAGATCTTCGATTACGGCCTCTCCAAGCTTGACGAGAGTGGAGACGAGGCTGACCTAATTCTTCGAAATCTAAGAGCATGGTGTCCAGATGTCGCTGCTCAATTCTCTAAACGCTCATCAGCAACAGTCTTGGAAACCCCGTTTCGCCTGATCTTCCCGGCCGATGCTCGGGAAGCATTCGACAACGGCTTGTATGTACGCCAGTATCTAGCGATCTCTTATTGCTGGCATTCAGCGGATTATCCGTATCCAGGCTGCAAACCGCACGACCGTTGGCCATTTAGCAAACCATTTGTAGACGCAATCTTGAGCGACAAAGACCATCCCCGCGAGGGGATATGGATTGACCAGCTCTGTATCGATCAGGAGGATACTGTCGACAAGCAGAAATCTGTTGCCGCCATGGACGTAATCTATCGATCGTGTATCCGATTATTGGTTCTACTAGAAGATGTGACCCTTGACGAGGCGGAGACGAAATTTGTGAAACAGTGTGAGGGCATCACAAAAGGCTACCAAACCGGATGGGTACCTGAGCCGGACGTTAGACATCTTTACGTTTCTGTATGGCGTAAGATGGAAAAAGCGCGATGGGTACGTGTATGGGTTAGAGATTCACCTTGAAACATATACTGACCTCGACCCTACATGTTGCAGTGGGATCGAGCCTGGTGCTTTCATGAGTTTTTTGTCAACGAACCTGATAGCGACATGAGGCATCACGATATCCACACGGCGACCTTTATCATGAATGGTCCTGATGGCTCCACTGTGAAGGTGAAGTGGTTAGACCTCCGCCTTATTATATCCACGGGAATGGACCTTTCGTATGCCGAAGAAAGCTTCGAAATAACCCAATCTAAAACCGCAGTGATCCTTACAATGTATAGACCTAGTGGTAGAAATCCGGCAACACGCGACGGAGAAACATTGAGGCCAAGCATCATGGCTCGTCACAACGGCGTTGCGCAGAAAGTATGCCAATACATCGGCGACCAAATCAGTATCATGTTAAACATTAGTGGCCGTGGATTAGCGTATTGGGGCGACGAAGTAAGCAATAAAGAGAAGGTTTTGTATCTCAGTACCCTCTTAGCTCTTGCTGCAGGAGAAACATACCCGCTTAGTATGATGGACAGCAAATCGATCAGACTCAACGGCAACACGACATGGCTATCACGAAGTCTCGTTGCTCAGGATACCACGATCCCAGATTTCACCCTCGGAAGCGTGCAGGGCATCCGACATATCTCAACAGAATTCCTCGAGCTCGACACGATCTTTCTCAAGGCGCCTTGGGGATTGAGGCGGGACGATACAGAATTGCAGACTGCCAACCAGGTTTTTCCCGACGTGATAAGAACCACACAGCCATTAAAGCACACTCCAAATGGAATCTTCGCGGACCCATCCAATGTACGACTGGACAGCGATTACGATGAGCACCGTCGAAGGTTTATCGCCATATGTATCGATAATGGCATTCAGTTCACTGCTGCTTTATGGGAGCAGCTCAAGCGCGATGTTGTGCACCCCAATTACAACCACGGCCTACACCAAGATCTTCAGCCGAACACGGCGCTGAGTGTACCAGCCCAGAGATTTTTGGAACAACTACATCGAAATGCGAGTCCGGAAACGTTGAAAAGGATCGCGTTCAATGTAGAAGACGCTAACTTCTTCCTGACGTGGGTAACGGATCCTCGTTCAATGTATTACATTGGCTACCTTCCACTCCGCTTGCAATGCACCATGGACGGGCGTCAAGCTCTCATGACTAGCATGGCCATCAACGAACATTGGAAAGAGGCCCAGTTCGACGAGCTTCAAGCAGCAATACCCACTGACCTGCTCGGTGTGAGCTGCATACCGTTGAGAGTTTGGATTTTGCAACCATTAGAGACTAAGGGAGGTGACGTGGTGAGCTGGAGAATTGTGGCTAAGGCACTTCTGCTTGGTGAGCCGGATTTGATGGAGGAGGTGAGACTTCATGGAAATCGAGACGACGCAATAGTGACATTGAAGGCAGGAATACGTGTTGGTGGTTAGAAATCTCCGGGGTTGTGCCGAAGAAAGTCATGGCGCAGAACAAGGGATCTGTGTCGCTGTTTTGAGGTTCATAGAAAAATATCGGAACAGCTTGCGTCGCTTTGTCACACAGGAGGTTTTGTATTCCATCGATGACTCGCTCACACTATTAGTCATGCCGTCTGCATTGATGCGGACGGACGAGCATGTTTGCCCAGCTTTTGTTGCTTACTCACGAGCGGCAAGTAACCTACATTACTAATTTACACGCCCCCGGAAGCGCATCGTTCGTTCATCCGGACTGTAACGTCCATTATCATTCGGCTCAACATCGATGTTTGATTTTGCTTCCATGGGGTTCGCCTTCGTGTTGCCAGCCAGCCTTTGAGTGGCCTGTTCGCTTGCCGCCGCCTTGGGAACGTCGCCCCTCTTGTGCGATTGCCCTGCAGGCCGTCGGCATCACCTTAAGCTCAGCTGCCACTCCACCCAGTGCCGCCTCCATTATGGCAACAGACGTCAATTGTCGATGACATAAGGTTGTCGCTGCGCTCACTTATGCCCAGTGTATAAATTGAAGGACAGAGTCGTCTGAAGAGGGACTGCAATCGCGACCCTCAACTTTTCACCATGGATCGCTCTACGAAACCAAGCTTCAACTTTGTGAACCTCACACATCCAGACGATCTGAAGAATGAAGAAACCCAACTTCGCATCCGTCGTCTGGCCATGACTGAAGTTGGTAAAGCCAGGAGGAAACCCAAAACGAAGAAGGCCCGCAACGAGGTCATCCTTGAATTTCGGAATCCGTCTGAAAGTCGCGTAGACATCGATCGATTTGGTGGCGGCCAGCTTGACCCATTCAACTCCTACCCAATCGAACTCGATGATTCCGATCGATCGTTGCTAGCAAATGGTAGGCGCATTTTCCTGATGTGGTCGAACTCTTTCCTGACTTGGTGTAGTATTCAGCACTGAGGACAACAATCATCCTAGCCAGCTTCGCGGCTCCTGGTACCCCGTTGGACTCAGCGATGCAGCTGCTTTCCACAACATGCTGTCGAATTCTCAAAACTTCCTCTTCCAGAGGCATAATGGATACTATCCCTCCCAGGACGATGCCATAGCACTGAAACATCATAATAAAGCGCTCCGCCATACCGCCCAAATGATGAATGATCCGAACAAACGTACAAGCGATGAAGTGATAGGTGCCGTGGCGTCTTTTATGATTCACTTTGTGAGCAGCTTATATCGTGATGATGGCGACAAGGCTGACATCTTCCAGGCTCTGTTGGGAAACTTTACAGGCAACGACTGGCAGAAACATAGCAACGCATTGGTCAGAATTGTGGGACTCCGGGGCGGCTACGATGCCATCACCAAAGAATACTTGCGAATCACAGTGAGCTGGTAGGTATGACTGGAGTGGAGTCGGGCTTGAACATCCACTGACATACGAGTAGGGCAGATCTCATAGGGAACTTCTATCAAGACCACCCGCCAGTTGTTCCTATGCCACGACAATGGATAGCGGATTCCAAATCTCCACCGAATTCCCCAAGACCTTGTAATGCTGTATCGTTAGCATGGAAACGCCAGTTACCAATGCAGCTCGGCTTTATCACCGTCTTTGATGATGTAGTACAGCTAATCTCTCTTGATCGAGCTTTCAACGAGCAGCAGCTGATGCTAGCAATTACGAGTGGTAGTTGGATGGAGCCGACCATGTACCGCCTCTTAGCTATTCGGCCTTTGGACCACGGCGAGTCCACAGAGTTTGTCATTGAAGAAGTATGTCGTCTTGGAACGTTACTCTTCCTGGCGCCACTCTGGAGAAAACTAGGCCAATCGCCAGTATGGACAGCCGCCATATCTCGTAATCTCCTACTTGTGCTCATGAAGAATATGATCGAATGGAACGACTTGAAACCTCTGCTAATCTGGGTACTGTACGTTGCCGCTGTCGAAACCAAAGATCTTGCAGAACGGAGCCAATTTGTGTTCATGCTTGGCATTCTGATGAGTGGTATGCAGCTGCAAGAGTGGGACGATATTATGTCGATTATCAAGAGCGTAGTATGGGTAGAGAAGGTTTTTACAGGTACCGATGAGCTGATTCGCGACGAAGTTATGCAAATCGTGAATCATAACCCCATGAACATCTTCCCGGCTGAAACTACGCCGCCAAGTTTCTTGGATGATTTCGCGGCTGAGACAGAATAGGACTAGACTAGATTTGGAAGGAAGACATCCTTGTCTTTGCAGATGCCAACGGCAACACTTTAGCATTGGTGCTTATGTCTAATGTCTTACGGTCTCACCTTTGCTAACGACTGGTATCTATGGCTGCTTAGCTTCTCAACCAGCTAGCGCTCAAGTCACGACCCTCATTGTATATGCTTACGACCAACTGGATAAATTTGTAATACGTTGTTATGATCACCCTGACACTCACTATAAATCTGAATTTGACCACTGATCTACACAGCTTGGTTACACTTCCATACCGAACACGATCAACTACCCATCCGCTGCACACTCCAAGCCAGGGCAAACCACTTGACATTAATTCTACACTAATCAACCTTCAGCGTTCTTTGTTTTTGTCGTAAAGAACAAGATATCGAATAGAATGGACGCGCTTCCTGTCGACCACTTTGTAAAAGCCCAGCAGTTCGTGCCTACTGTGCACCGCGATGTATATTCTGCCATCGATCCTACACAAGCTTCACTCTCGCAGAAAGGAAGAGTGGTTATCATCACTGGCGCCAGCCAAGGTCTAGGAGCTCAAGTATGTGTACCTAAAATCTCTACACCTTGACAACAAGCTGACAGGCTCAGGCTTTCGTACCATCCTTCGCTGCTGCTGGTGCAAAGGCTATCGTGCTCGTTGCGCGAAGCGCTCACAAGCTAGAAGAGGTTGCCAAGTTCATTGCTGGATCTCATCCGGAAGTGGAGACTCTTCCAGTCCCGACCGACATCGCTGATCCAGTGTCAGTAGCAGCGCTCTTTGAAACAGTCGTGAACAGATATGGACACGCCGATGTTCTTATCAATAATGCGGGTATTTTCAAAGCCATCGGCCCAGTTGAGAATGTCGACCAGACAGCTTGGTGGGACGAAATGGCAAGTATTGCCTCAACCTAATTGCGTACTTGTGGTTAATGCTTCATACAGACACTCAACATCCGCGGCACCTTTTTGATGACGCAATCTTTTCTCAAACAACTCCCGAACCCGTCCACACCTGCGAAAATCATAACCCTCACCACCGGCGCAGCCTACGAAGTTTTCCCCAACCTCAGCGCCTATGGCATTTCCAAGCTCGCCGTTCTCGAACTGATGACGTATGTCGCAGCCGAAAATCCGAATGTACTTGCCGTTGCCCTCCATCCTGGAGTCGTTGATACGGAGATGACCCTGGATTCGTTCAAGAGATTCGCCTTAGATACGCCGGAGCTAGTAGGTGGGATCACTGTGTGGCTTGCTGGCTGGCAGGGCGTGACTAGAACTTTTCTGAATGGGAGGTTTGTCAGTGCGAACTGGGATGTTGAGGAATTAGTGCAGAGACGCGACGAGATTGAGAAGGAGGGATTGTTGAAAATGGATCTCAAGGGTACGCTGGGTGCTGCGCAGTTCGAGAAGTAGTAGTTGCAAAATGCACTGTACTCAATACGTCATTCCCTACAAGTAGCTCGCTTTAATCTAACATGTCTTCCGACACTCCATTGCGTCTCCTAAAACAGCGAACAGCCTTCAAGGCTTGCTTTAAGACTCATCTCTGCGTCTCATCGCATGCTGATTTTTCGGATAATCCTCTCAATCCCTCCACTTCTTGCTCTCCTCCTCAATCTCCGCCACCATATCTAATTCTTTACTCTCATAGCCCACATTCCCCTTCCTTATTGGGGAAAACGACCTCGCCACCTGCGTATGACTGTCGCTGTGCTGCGTATAAAAGGCAGCCGGAGATTCAACCGGAGTCTCAGGTATCGAAGAATTATAACGCGATCTTACTGAAGTACGACGCCCCGATTTGTGGAGATGGGATTGATGGGAATGTCTAGCTTGACTGGAAGACCGAGAGGATATCACATTAGAGCGACTCCGCGTGAATGAGGAGGAAGTGGTGACAGGTGATGATGTTGAATTTTCTGAAAGTTCGGAGACTGTGGAAAACGTACTACTGCCAGTGCCTTGATGTTGGCGTCGGGTAGAGTTTCGAGGAGGTGAACAGTAATTCATTTCTATCATCGTCATGGGATTGCACTGTGCTTGTGCTAGGTCTAGAGCTGTCGTTGATGTTCGTTTTGAAGTGCCATCTTCAGTGTTGGCGTTAGGGGTCGTGGAGGAGGATGAGTCAATCTCGGAGGTGGACTTAATCTTCGAGCGACCAAAGATGCCGAAGAGCTTATCCATATTTGCTTGCAGAGACGTTCTCCATGTTTGGTAGAATCAAATGCTTGTAGATCGAGAAAACAAACCACAGGCTGGTAGACTTGAGGAGGAGCAAAAAAGGTGATAGCTGAAAGGAGGTGGGGGTTCCTATATGGAGAAGGATTGTATTGAAAAGGGCTGATGGCGCTTGGTGCCTTACATGAGAGGGGCACGCAAGCAACTAAAAACTGCAATACTCCAAAACTTGCGTATGAAACAAACGTGACATACGTGAATACCATGCTGAGGCAATTGGATTGGCCGCGCAGCCACCCACCTGCAGCTGTGAAAGTTGTGGCAAGTAGTTAGTGAATCGTTGAAGGAAGCAGACCGCAAATGATGGCTTTATCAATGATCATTGTATTACGTTACCATTTTTATATAATCTCATGGCTGTCTTTGTTTCCCCATGCGATCTAAGATCTTGGTGCCCTCCCGTTGTAGTCTTGTCCAGGGGCAGCCGTATAGTTTGCAAAGCAGTCGTAGTCAAAATTAATCTCCGCACTACGCTTCTGCAAAACCTCAACTACGTTGTCGAACGAACAAAGACCGTCGGGGTTAGCTGGGCAGCCCGGGTGCGACTCGTCAATTGGAATGACAGCGTCGTTGCTATGAAGTACAATTAGTCGTGCATCAAGCTTGGAATGAAAAGAGGGTACGTACACAATGAAGCGGATCTGCTTGGATGGCTGCATAGCTGGGCAAGAAAGCACTTGGGTAGTGAAGTGTGTTGCGAATGGTACCAATTTGCTGGCAACGAAGCTGTTTTGACCTTGGTTACCCTGAGGACTCAGTGGCGGGCCCTTGAACAGCGCTGTCAGATTGAAAGCGGTGAGTGTATCGAGGACAACGACTTCGTGAGTGGCGTCTGCGTAGATGGACTGATTGAGCGAAAAGTATGTTGAGGAGTTGTCAAACGTCTCGTTCAATGCAGAGTTCGCCCCAGGGTACTGATGAGTGAAGCGAGCGATGAACTCGTCCAGGAAACCCTTGCCTTGCGCGGCCGACACAGGCGAGCCAGGGCCGTTGTTGTAGTAGAAGGAGAGATCGAAGTAGTACTCGTAGTTCAGGAAGTCCTCCTCGTTGAAGAGATTGCAGAAGGCGGAGTAGCCGAGCGCATGCGTCTCGTATGAGCAAAGCTGGAGCATAGCGATGGCGTCGGTGGAAGTGAAGTTGATGCCGATAACCTGCGACTGGAGACGAGCGATAGTGGCATTGAAAGCGTTATTCGCAAATTGTGCCGCTACATGACTACCAATGCTTCCTCGAGTGGCGATGTTTGAGTTGTTACAGATTTCGTAGGGTGCACCGGAGTTGTTGACACCCGGAGTCTCGACGAGCAATTCGATGCTAACTTCGTCCATGTACTCGGGCACGCCAAAGAAGCCGGCAGCAAAGTTCTCTGCAGTCTTGACCATTCGATCTTGAGACTGTGTTCGGAAGACCGGGATAGTACCAGCTTCCGTGAAGTTGTTGAGTAGATGTCCGTACAACTCACGATACTCAATACCCAACAGGAAGTTCATGCTGCGACCAGATGGCGTAAGACTGAATGTGGATGTAGGAAGTTAGTATACGTCTCACATGCAGCTCGTTCAAGAACCCTTACAGCTCAGCACCCAACTTATACGTCCAGTCGCTTAAGAAAGAAAGCTCTCCAGAGACTGCAAGACCGGTCTTCGTAGCATTGGCAATCTTCTGAGCAAGAGTCGCAGGCGCGGCACCACTGGTCGGGTACCTAGCACCGTGACGGTATAGCAGATGCATTTGCGTAATGTCGCAGCCATCCGGGACCAGAGGACTAGCATTGGGAAGGCCGTAATCTGCACTGCGAACAGAATACCAGGGACTCAAGTTGCCCCAGTACTTTGTGATGTCAAAATTTGGCGACTGTGAACCACTGCCATGCGGCTGAGGCTTGATAAGAGGATACGAAGATGCATCGCCATCGTTGTAGGGATACGATGGTGCTGTTTGGATGGCATTAGGCTCGACTCCTGTGGATGTTGCTGATGAAGTTTCGCGTTAGTTTGGAGATAGCGACCTAGAGATGCATATGCAACTCACGGCCAGGGAAGCCTACTACGGACTCTGGTGGGAAGAGTTGAGAGTTGACCTCGGCTGCACAACCAAACCATTAGCTCTCTGCTCTCTCCGCAGTTCCATCTGAACTTACTGCCAGCGGGAGGGTACACATATGCACTGCTTGCACCCGCTTTTCCTGCCACAGAAATTGTCGTTGTCGGTGCAGCTCCGGCTCTCGCAATGAGTGCAAGCAATGCACCCTTACGGGCGGTGTTTGTCGTAAAGCGCATCTTCGTGTTTGTAAGAACCTAAGGCCCAAAGAAGTATACCAAGAGAATCAAGCACTGACAAGCCTCGATGCCCAGCAATGTGAGAGCGCCAAAGGCCCATTTTATACTCCCAAAGTCCTGCACCCGCGGGGAAATGCGTTAGACTTGTGCATATCGCTACCGAGGAAATAGACGCGGCTCGTAGTAAACGTCGCGCAGCCAATAGGGTCCGAACTTGTGAACACATGCGTTGCCCAATACTTCGGTAGCAAGGATGCCGCCACCTCAATGACAGCGCTGACGTTTGCGGGATCTGAATGTGAGGGCACTCGGATACCGAATGTGGTAAGTATGCATCTACGTGGGAAGCCATGCAGCACATGATTGCTGGTGTGCGGTGACGGTGACTACGCTCAGATCACTAGTATCTCTTCAGGTGCCGTACGCCGGCGTTCCTGATATCCGGAAGCAATGAGCATGTCACAAGGAGACCACGTTGACGGGTCAGGTCACGGCGATGAAGAACTCTTGTAGCAAAGGCGTAGAGAGCAGAACGATCGAGGCCGCAAGGATGCGGGGATAAGCTAGAGCACTCATTTCGTCATCACAAACGGTTCATTGCACTTTCTTCTCCTGTCGAAGGGAAATGTTGGTATCGTCATTACACATCCATAAACTATTTATACACAGAATCCTGAAGTTCCCTTCTCCATTAGACCCAAGAGACCTTGAAACGCCAGTACCAATGCGGATGCAACGCAGAGATGCAGCAAATTAAGCACTGTCCAGAACGACTGATATGAAGACTCCGGTAACCGCCCATAACCACGATCTCATCAGTCATTAGTATGTAATCCATCAACGCCAAATTCAAACAAACGAAGGCGACCGCGCCTCAGAATCCAGCGCGAGAGCGGCAACGTAAAAGGTTCATGCAAGAAAACAATGAGCGCTCCGGGCTGGAATGCTCAGGGTGACGTCTGCTCAGCACGACGACGGCAATTAAGCGATAGGCCATCGGGTACGTAGACCTTGTGTCCATTGCCCATAGAGGATGTCCGCTAGCAGCCCTTGCTGCTCCATACCAGGCTCGACATAGCCAGGTAGCTTCTTCTCATCGAAGTAACCGTGGCCATCAGCACTAAAGCCCTTTTCGCCAACTACAAAAGCGCTTTGGCGACGTTTGTGAGATTTGAGGTGAGGGTTGTTCTTCGCCATGACTAGCTTTGGTCCCTTCAATGGAGAGCCCGAGTTGGCGATGGGTGTGTTGTTCCGCGTCGGTGTCGATATGGGAGCGGGATCGTACTCATCCGAAGACTTGCTAACGGTCGAAGTAGCCGCACTTGTGGTACTGGACCGGACACGTGTTGTGCCTGAGCCATGGACAGTTGTGCCGCCCAGACTAGTATCACTGGTCTTGGTGTTGTGTTTCAATGGCGACTGTACTGCCGAGACTTCAATGCCGAGAGCATACGCAAGCTTTGCATCGTTCTTGAGGCGGTCCACCATGGCCTTCAACAGCATGAACTCTCCGTGTGGATCGACCTCATCAAGATGCTGCCAGGCTTGCGCTACACGTCCAATAGCGTCCCGTTGATGAGGCGATGCTGTGTCGGCATGTGCCTCTTGGAACACAGAATCTAGGACCTTGCTGTACGCTCGGCGACCGTATAATGCATCCTTCGTGATGGGCATGTGACCGTCGGGCGCAGGTGGCTCGTTCTCGTTGTTCAGGTCCAGTGGGTGGTTGGACGTTGGAGGTGATGGACGGAAGGTGCGTGCTTCTGGGTTTGGGTGGAAGGACTGGTTGTTCTGAGCGACCGGCGAAGGGGTTGAGCGAAGTGCTGCACGACGCTCGTCCGACGAGACACGCTTGAAGTGTCGTACAGTTGAGGGTGAGTTTCCAAATGTCATATCCACACCCAGCGGCGACTTATTGAAGTTGCTGACGCGACGGGCGGTTGGTGTATCGCCTGAAGGAACGCGGAAAGCCGTGGCTTGGGAAGATCTTCGAGAAGACGGTCGTCGGCGTGCTGGAAGTGGTGAATCTGTAATGTCGCCCAACGGTGCTGCGTTGAGGTCCATCTGTTGCATCATGCTCTCGACCTCTTCATTGCCCGAGGAGGGTATGCGGGCCAGTTTGCGACGCTGTTTCAAGGTCTGGCGTGCCTGAACTGTACCCCGCTTGACTGTGTCAAAGTCCCAATCGTCTTCTTCACCTCTAGGGGAGAGGTCAACCATAGTCTCTTCGTAGTACTTGGGGTGCGATGCCGCTTGTTGTTCTCTTTGGGCGTCGAACATCTGCTTGCGCTCGACCAGCTCACGGAGTGCCTCTACTTTACCCGCACGTTGGACAAATCGATGTTTGAGTAGCTCCTTCGCGGTCGCACGTCGGTCCGGGTCCTTGATGAGACATTGGGCAATAAAGTCTTTGAAGTCCTTGCTCCATTCGTCGCCCTCTAGTCTCGGTGCTGGGTTCTTCGGGATGGTAAAGAGCACCTTCATGGGGTGCGACCCAGCGTGTGGTGGTGCGCCCTCTGCCAATTCCATAGCAGTAATACCGAGCGACCAGATATCGGCCCGGAAATCATAGCCAGCCTCTTGAATAACCTCGGGCGCCATCCAGAACGGTGTACCGACGAAGGTCATGCGTTGCGATTTGATATTCGTGAGTTGTGCGGCGACACCGAAGTCAGCGAGCTTGACTTTGCCTTGGTCTGTGAGAAGTACGTTGGCGGCCTTGATGTCCCGATGGATCTTGCCCGTGGAGTGTAGGTAGTCTAGTCCGAGCAGGAGTTCCCGGCATGTGATGGCGATGTGCGCTTCGCTGAAAGTTCCTGGTGCCAACTACAACTGTTAGTTCCTGAAGATGATACATGTCTGTGAGGTTGCATACCAAGTCTGCGGCAGATCCTCCCCCCAGATACTCCATGACTATCCATAACTTTACGCCCTTGACGAAGCTAGTCTTGTATTCGGTGATGTATGGGCTGTGGCAAGTGCTCAGTAGGGAGATCTCGGCTTGGATGTCGGCCAGCTCTTCGCTGCTGTCTTCGAGGTCGATGTGCTTGATGGCGACTGTCTCGCCGGTAGTACGGTCAATGGCCTTGAACACCTTTCCAAAGCTCCCGCCTAGAAACGTCAGCAACAGTGCATTGATTTGAGGCAAGCCACAACGTACTGCCCAGCTCCTCCATGACTTGGTAGTTTTCGGCCATGGTGGGCGACTACAATATCGCTGAGTGGAAGCGCAATGGCTCAGGAATTCCTGCAGGTGGTCGGCAATCGGGCGAAGGTAGATGAAGTCGTGTTTCAGCGTAAGGCTGTTGGGATAGAAATAAGAATCGTTCGTGGTACTGAGCTGCTCAATGGCGTCGCCGTTGTGGTGTATATCAGAGCATCGCGCAGGGTCCAGCCCTATCATCGCCGAGGCAACGAGACTGATCATCAACAAACGCACAACCCCGCCGCCACCTGGAATTTGGCGAGATTGGTATGACGTCAACAGGTATCAATGCTGTAAAAAAAATTAACAGAGATCGAGGATATCCAGGACAGCTCATCAAACCTTGGAATCATGTCGTTGGACCTTCAACCCTCATGACCAGTCTGTCAACCCCATATCTGGAGCAGTCTATTTTCATCACTCACCAATGTTGCCCTGCATGAGCTCCCCACTGCGGGTAACATGCAGCGGCGGCTACCATAATCGTCACTTGAATTGCCAATTGGACCTGTGTTGACAGTGGTGGCGCATCACCTGCGCCTCTTCCCGCCGAGCTTTACTTTTGCGGTTGCTGAGGGAAACACGAGCTAACGACATCGTGCTGCGAGGTACTCCAGGCATACCCGAACCTACCATCACACTCACCGCTAGACTCAATTGCGAAAAGTCCTCGTAGCCTGAAACAGACCGTTCGGACAACGCATTCCTACACGTTGCGGCAATTTGTGACAAAGGCCGTGGATGGACTTCCATGTTGACTAACTGTCGGGACGACGCGCACGATGTTTTCCGTCTCTGTTCCCCTCAGCAACCATAGAATTATTACTTAGTATGAAATGTCCACGAACCCGTCTTTGACCGATTCACTTAACGTGCTCCCTAGCTAGCTCATAACTCACGGCTGCATGGATCATTCTCTGAGGTGTCAAGTTGCGTGGCCTGACCCCCTCATCTCCGCAAAATGGCAGCGTCGTCTCAGAAAACATGGGAGCATGTGTTTGACAGCAGTCTGCACGTGTAGTGACCGTCACTGTGAAGCACTTGGTTGAACACGAATAGGGCAATGGTGAAAGACAGAGCAAACGGCAACCTCAACAGACTGATGTTCGTTCACCGTCTCCACACATTCCCTCCGTAACGACACTAGCCGCGCAAGCAGTCCCTTGGAACATGCAGCCAGGAGATGGGTTCCTGGATTGGGTTGTTGATGGCCTGAGCACTGCGCGCGTGAGCAACTTGCTGCACAAAGACTACGGGTTCGGCTGCAGGAATCTCTAGATACTCGTTACCGCTTTGAACTCTGTGGCATGCTCTCCTCAATGTCTTTGGTATGAGTTCTTGCGCCGTTGGCCCAACGCTCTTCAAGTCTTGGTTCTCGTGGTTTAGAGGGTCTCTCCTTCTCCGATTGGTTGGTCTACCCACAGCGCTTCTAGCCCTTTATCTCGAAGTCTACGGCAGCTCCCCAGCCGCCGCCTCGCTTATTCTTCACCGACTCGCTCGCCGCTCTCGTCTCTCAACCATTCTCTGTACTCTGAAGAAGGGGCAGTATATGAGCAACTCCATCTTCTACGTCGGAGGAGCAGACTCCATGGACAGAGCACAGACACAGACAACCCTGCATGACAAAGGGGCGGACCCGTCATCCCAGTCGACATTAATATCTCCCGACGCCCCCAACTCGAATACTTCTTTCCAACCTTCACCAACCAAGACGATGCCGTCGCATTCTCGGTCCAAGACGGTCGACGTCGTTGGCCAAGGCAAACGTCTATCGCTACAGTTCCCCATCCAGCCAAGTGCAGGCATCAACTCACCAACCCCCTCGACACGATCGCGCCCACAATCATGGATGAATGGAGCAACATCTGTCCATTCCCCAGAACCCGAAGATTCTACCTCCGAGACAAATATCCTGGCGGTTCTTGCTGCTCAAGAGCGCTATGTGCTCGAACTGAAGGAAGAACTTACCAAAGCTGAGGCGGATCTGAACATGCTCAAGACGCATTGGACCCACCACGAAGCCAACAAGCGTCGCAATGAGGTGCGTAAGGTTGCTGCGCTGCAGCCGTTAAACACGTCGCTTGCCAATGCTCCAGCGGGCCAATATGAGGACGATGGCTCGAACCTGTGGATGCAGAAAGAGATGGAACGTAGGAGGGCCCTGCTTAATAACACCAAGACTTCCCAGCGAAAGGTCTTCAGTGGCTCGCGACATCTACGGACCTTATCCCTACTTTCTCCCGACCGCCTCCAGTCACCGTCGTTCCCCCAGCCACTCGATTTACAGGATGACCATTCGTCAGACTCCCGACCACAGCTCCCTACAAGGGCTTCCACTTCGTCAGAGATTACACGACAAGTTGTCAATGGCGGTGAACACGACCGGTATGACATGGGTGGCATGCCGACCATACAGCGTGAACAGCTCATCCGCGCTGGCACACAGATGGCGGCAGACTTCAAGAAAGGGCTGTTCACATTCATGGAGGATATCCGACAAGCAACTGTAGGCGATGAAGCAGTCAACACGGCGGATGGTAATACTGGCATGACAGGTGTCAAAAACCCCTCCAAGTCTGGCCGAAAATCGTCCGATGGTCGCCCAGCCCTTAGTCGGTCCGCCAGCTCGAAGAAGAATACACAACAATTAGGCTCCATCGGCGACGACTTCTGGAAGGAGATGGGTCTGAGTGAGCCCAAGACCAGTGCAGTCAACAAGAAGACGCACGCACTCAAGAACACGACTACCCCGCAAAAACAGATCCGCAAAGTTGCATCAGAAGAGGACTGGGATAACTGGGACACACCCAACGAGTCGCTTCTGGTCGATTTGGGAGACTCCAAGGACAGCTCGGATGAATCGGATGCGCAGACGTCGCCGGTTTCTGGTCCAGGTAGCTCGCAAACAAGTAGCAGCACCAGGTACCACTCGAAACGTCACGACTCCAAGGCATCATCGCTTACCTCTATCAACCAAGAAGACATCACACCCCGAGACTCAAAGCGTAGCTCTATCCCCTGGCCTGATATGACAAAGGTGTCGCCAAGCAACTTGAAGCGTACTGCATCGCATCTGATGAGGGAGTGGGAGAAGCAACTCACGCCACCTCCGGAGTCGAGGAGTGAGGATTACTCGCACGGCGATTTTATGAACTGAACGTTTGATACCGTAGTTGCTTTTAGCGATTTAGCATTATGACGCAACGCATTAACAGCATTGTCTAATTCAGTATTGCAGAACTTGTTAAAGAGGTGGTTTGTTGTGTGGAAAAGTTCAAAGAATAGCATGGCGTTGGCGTAATTGTACATGTTCTTGAACCTAGCTTCGGGTAGACATGTACCGTCATTAGAAGCATAATGAGAATCCGAATACCCAAATACATATCGAGCGAACTGCTTGCTTGGATTGTGCGTGACGCTGCTCCAACAGCTGCCAAGCCCCACACTCGCGGCATCTTCCGTCCTCCGCTCGAACTCCGCAAAAGTTCCAGGCAGCGGCGCATCGCATCGCCTTCGCAACAGCATCGTTTCTGCCCCACCTTCGCTTTGTATCATAACCGTAAACAGCCCTTTACAAGATGTCTTTTCCAGGAGGAATAGGAGGGGTCGGCTCAATGCCAGCGGCCATGAATCCTAATGCGGGCATGTCAGAGCAGGAGCAGCAGATGGTGAAGGCGATGCAAATGGGCATGGAGTCTTGCATTGGCAAGACAGTAATGGCTGGCGTGATGGGTGGTGGCCTGGGTGCTATGTTCGGACTTTTCATGGCTTCGGTATGTATTGGAATGATTTCCATATCTCCAAACAGAAGAGAAGGCAAGACTGACATGTACAGATGCGATACGATACTCCCATGTCACAACCCCTCCCCGTCAACACGCCGGCTACCAAGCCTACAACCGCAGCTGCTGGCACAACAGCAACAGCAACAGCAGGCGCAAAGCCATCAATAATAGCTACCAGCAACGTCAACTCTGCCTCCGCAGCCACCCTCACCACAGCGCCCTCTGCTTCCACCGCCGCTACCCTCCCAAATCCAACCGCTACCGGTGCCGTAGAACTCAAAGACCTTCCGCTCCGGCAACAACTACGAGCTGGCCTGCGCGACATGTACAAATCTTCAATTTCTAGCGGACGCAACTTCGCCAAAGTTGGCGCAATATTCTCAGGCACTGAATGCGCCATCGAGGGCCTACGAGCCAAGAACGACTTGTACAACGGAGTGGCCGGGGGCTGCTTGACAGGTGGAATCTTGGCCAGGAACGCTGGGCCGCAAGCTGTGGCTGTAGGATGTGCAGGTTTCGCAGTCTTCAGCGCGGCAATTGACGCGTACATGCGTATGCCAGAGGACGAGAGGAGCAAACCTATTGCTTAGGATTTCACCTGCAGGGCGATCTTGAACATCACCATCTAGAGCATGCCATTCATGTATGTATACTGTATACCACAAGCGACGTTGGGATGAACTCGCAACTTCAGCATTGGGCGGCGTTTAAATGATACCTTTATGAACATCTCTCAACTATCTTTGGGAAAATCAGAGTTACCATGTTGAGTTCGAGCCGCGAGCTCAGATATTCGGTATTTTCAGGCCTCCATAAAACTTGGCAATTATCAAACAGGCCCAGCCTTGTTCATGGCTAACGCAGCGTTTCCATTGATGTTAACCGTGTAGTCCAGCCAATTAAAATTCGCGAGGGTTTTCACACCAAAAAAGTTGCGCCCCACCGCCACCATCGCGAAATCTTCCACCACGCCAGCGGCACAGCCTAGTCACATATCAACGATCAAAAAACTCGCAACATATCGGGACTCCGATCTGTCCTAGACTTTTGCCCGAGAAGAGCAAGCATAAATTACTCTATTACTAGGCTGCGACTGCTGCCAAAATCACTGCATAATGGCGACGCCTACTGCAACACAGCAGAAACCGATCCACTCGCTTATTCTCGATACTGGTCCATTGATCAAGAACACAGTGTCGATATCTACCATCATCAACGCCGCGGAGGAACTATGGACTACTCCTGCCATTCTGTCTGAAATTCGCGATGAAGCGACACGATCACGCGTGCAAACAACGCTCATTCCCTTTCTGAAGATCAGAAATCCCAGTCCGGCAAGCTACGATGCGGTCATTGCGTTCAGTAAAAAGACGGGTGATCATGCAGTTCTGAGTAGACAGGATCTGGGTATCCTAGCTCTGGCTTATGAGGTGCACTGTGAGAGGAATGGTGGGAACTGGGGCCTGAGAGAGGCGCCGAAGGGAGAGATCAAGAGGAGGCCTGAGGACATTGAGAGGGAGAATGAGGAAAAGGCGCAAAAAGAGGGCTCTTCAAACTCTACAAAGAAGCGCAAGAACAGACGAAGGGCGGCCAAATCTACCAGCAATGCTGCCGAGGACGAAGCTGAAGATGCAACGGAGGGCGTGCAAGTCGACCCCGAATCCGCTGAGCCAGAGGGGATCGACGAGGGATGGGAACAGCCTACAGGTAAGCGCGCGGCGAAGGCTAGAGCGCCCAAATCTACCAAGTTCAATTTTAAGCCTGCCGAGGAGTTAGACAGCAACCCAGAACAGGCAAAGCAACCGGAAGAGCAACCCGCCCCAGCTGAGGCAGATGAAGAGGACGGTGGAGTAGCAATCACACAAGAGCAGGTCGAGGAACAGATACACGAACAGGTCGTTGCACAGGTTCAAGATCAAGTTCACGAGCAGGTACAAGATCAAATACACGAGCACCTTGAGAAGCAGGGTCAGGGAGAGCTTGAGTCTCAGGCTGTAGAGCAAGCCGAGGAGAAAATTGAAGAGCAGGTCCAAGAACAAGTCCAAGAGCAACTTCAAGAACAGGTTGGTGACCAAGGGCCAATCGAGCAGTCGGCGGCAGTCGAGGTACCCACCACCAACATCCACATTGAGCAGAATGCAGAGCTTTCACTCGCGCCTGAGCAATCTGGGCAGGAGCAGCAACCGACCCAAGAAGTCAGCTCAGATGAGCCGAACCTTGAGCGAGACATGGAGGACCTCTCGATCTCTCATCACGCGGCTCAGCAACCCACACCCCCCACAACTGATGATTCGGCTGCGGACTCAGACTCGGATGGTGACTGGATCACCCCTCAAAATCTCACCGAGCACCAAGCTAAAGATGGAGCCATCCAAGCGCAAATCCACACATCCGCCAACCGCCAATTAGACGTAGCAACCATGACCATCGACTTTGCGATGCAAAACGTATTACTCCAGATGAACCTTCAGCTCCTATCAACAAACATGCAACGCATCAAGAACGTCAATACAAAGGTGCTTCGCTGCCACGCATGCTTCAATATCGTAAAGCAAATGGACAAGCAATTCTGTCCCCGCTGCGGTCAAGCAACCCTACAGCGCGTATCTTGCTCCACAAATGCCGCCGGAGAGTTCAAGATCCACTTGGCCAAGAACTACCAGTACAACAAGCGTGGTGACAAATACAGTATCCCCAAGCCTATCGCTGGCACCGCGAACACAAAGTGGAGTCATGGCCAGGGCGGAGGCAAAGGTGGCTGGGGTCGAGATCTCATCCTCGCCGAGGACCAGAAGGAATACACAAGGCGCGCGGAGGAAGATAAGCGGACTAGGACGAGGGATCTCATGGATGAGAACTATCTGCCAGGCATCTTGACGGGTGACCGAGGGAGGGCTGGCGGCAGAGTCAAGGTGGGTGCGGGCAAGAATGTCAATTCGAAGAAGAGGGCTTAGAACGCTCACGTGGGCGGCTTTGAGTGAACGATAGTTGAGGGTGTATAGACAACGATTCAAGTGGATTGGGATGATTTGAGATGGAGGACGAGGAGATCGGGTTATCCAGTTCCTTGGGATTGGGGGCGCAATAGGTTATGGCGAATGGTGTTGAGCCACGCTTGGTGGACCGTCGGAATGTACGTCTCAGATTAACGAATGATATCCTAAAAGCTTCTATTTGTTCTTTACGCATAATGATGATGGGATGCCCTGCCAACCTTGGTCCCTTATCCCATTCAATTGCCGATCGTCCAATGTCTAATTACCCCATAGAAGAACTGTGTCTCGAGACTTCCCCCTCCCCCTTTCCCTCTGTGCCGCGCATTTGAATATTCAAAGCATATTAACGACATCATGATGCATGCACTTACATGGTCATTCTACGGATTATATACCAACTTCATACAAGCCTATCTATTCAGTTGCCAAAGCGTATTCATGCGTCTGTGGTTATGTAGTGCAGCAGATCCACCACGTATCAGGAGTGGCTCAGCAATCTTACCGAACCAATTTTTTTCTAGTAAGGGTTGAAGTTTTGTTCACAGGCGGGCTGTTTATTGGTGTTAATCCAGTAGATTTTGCACAATCGTGTCAGGTACTGCAGTACTTTACAGGCTGTTAGACCAATCGTACGGCTCGATCTATCCCTTACTTCTCGCTAGAATTTCCTGCTGCAAGTTGCAAGTTCCAAGCTGCGAGATGGACGATGGGATTCGATGTACTACTCCCTCTTTTAGTATTCAACGCGAGCGCTATGAGTCAGGCCTACTAGTCCACTTGTTGGAGGCCACGGCCCCGGGGTACGTGGCTCAGTAGACATATGTCGATGTAATGCTGCTGCTGCCTGATATCGGTGATACAGAATACGAACATACCATTGTACGGTGCATTTTTCCGTATCGCAAAAGCTGCCCGAAAGTGGTTCAGTTGCAATGAAGTGATGCAAGGCGTATCGACTCACGAGGAACCCAAAAAGATCATATAAATTGGCTGTGAGTGAAAGGGCTCGCAGTCAGCAACGATATTCTTGTGCCGGTTGTGACGTAGGTCCAAACTCAAACCCAGGCTGATGGCGGGATACGAATTTAGGCGAATGATATGTGTCTCATCTGGCCATTGGTATAACATGCTTCGGAGCTGCACGCTCTGATGCTTCACGGCTGCGGAAACGTGGCGTATGATGACAGCCGAATCCGTACGACCACACATAACCCTTACATAGCACTCACGTGGACTGCGCTCGAACGCCTCGCTTACGTCAAATCCTTCCAGCTCGAGATATTGCGATTGGTTCCGGATGACTTTGGTGATGCAATTGTAGCTCGGTCCTTGGGGCAATCGACGCGTATGGGCAGTACAGTATGAAAGGGCGCATCAAGTGCATGGTGGGGCGCCTCAAGATTCTAGATGTGAACGAACTGGAATACCGAGAGGCTAATCATATGAACGGCGTGGTGTGGGGACCTAAAGAGAGCTTTATCTCCCTCATCATGTCGTGAAAGCCGTGATCGACCTGCTTTTGCTGTCCATAGTATACGCTGTGTTGGTCTTTTGCTGGTTGTCATGGCAATCTTTAGTATCCTTAGTTCCTGGACATCGCTTCCTAGGTCGTGCTTTAGGCTTGTATGTTCTCTTCTATTGCTTTCTCTTACTCGTTTTGGCACCATAGTACTTACCTTGTCCCAGCTGTCAAGGTCTCTCTACTCCCCTAAATGTACCGAAAGTCCTAGACAGCTCGTCTTCTCTGCGACCAACAATGTTTCGACAACGCCTCGGGATCACCGTACAGAGATCATTGCCCGTCTCCGTGGCCAAGAAATTCATGTTCCGGATGTGTATTACATATACACTGATTGGGTTACCAAAGTGCATCCTGATGTTGAAGTGTTGAGGAATCATTTGGAGGGATACTTCCAAAGGTTCATCAGCACAGAAAGTCAACGGAAGAAACAGCGCAGAGTGGACAACGGCCTCTGCGTGGGATACTTCTGGACACATGTCGAGCCAGAGAAGTTTATCGTATTAGGAGAACTTGTTGCTTGGGTAAGCCACTTCTGGCTTTTCAATGATCCTCTACTGACATGAAACGGTAGTTCTTTTTCTGGGATGATGAAATTGATTGCGGTACTCTGACCGACGATCGTGACAAGACCGCAGCGTACTGTGATGATACACTCGATTTCATCCGATATTGCTTGCAACCGGAACTTGACGGTGAGGTTCCAGCGCCAGGACGACTGCACAACTGCGGTCCGTGGGTCAACATGGGAAGAGCGATGCAGGAAGGGCAGTCGAAGGGTACGACCAAATAGTGTCTACCATACGGGCATTAGCTAACAAATATCGCAGAAGCACGCGACCGATTTGCTGAAGCCATTTACGACTTTATCCTTGGCGTTCGAGCATCACAGGCTATGTGGGCCCAGGGAATATCCACCCTAGAGGAATACACAGCGCGCCGCCTAAGAACCGTTGGGACGAACCCTTGCATCGCGATTATGCAATGGGCCTACAAGCTCACGCTGCCCTCATCGGTATGGGACCATGAGGCTCTAGTAGCCATAACACACGAAGTGGCCGTCTCTGACTTCCTTTGGAACGACATCGTAAGCTTGCGAAAGGAGATCGACGACGGGGATATCGATTCTGCAATTCCAGTTATGGTGTGGAATAAGGGATGTAGTGCGCAGGTCGCCGTCGATCGATGTGTTAAGATGGTGGAGGAAAGCTGGGCGAGGCTGCTGGAAGCGGAGAAGCGACTTGTGAAAGCGCATGCTCAAGAGCCAGAGCAGATCAGGCGTGATATCGAGACGCTGGTCGGCGGGTGTAAGGATGTGTTGGTTGGACATATGGTTTACTCGTGAGGTTCCCGGGCGAACTACCCAGATGCGTCAAGAACTACGCTAACTTCGGGCCAGGCTTAAGATTCCGCGCAATATGTCGGCAGCGAAGATGGGTGAGAGAGACTGCAGTTTTCGTATCGTGTTATAGAGTTTGGCTTTTGGAAACGTCGTTTTCGGTAGGCTGTCAGATAAGAGGTTGCGCTGGAAGGAACGACAAGTTTTATTGAACTAGAGAGGCTTTTGTCTGCATCTAATGTAGCATACTCACTGCCCTTTGTTCCATCAAAACAGCGGCTCGCGGTGTGGCATCCGTTATTTCAGACATCTCAACCCGTTGCGAATCCGTGATCGAGACAACTTGACCGTTTCTCAGGCCTACATGTTAGTGGTCGTCGCCCACGACACTCACTGTTATCGCGGGCTCTTTGACTATTGTCGGCGTTGAAGCAGCAATACGAGGTTCCTCCACGCTTCGTGAGAGCCGGGGCCACCGTCGACGGACGAAGACGCGGAACGGCGTTCGCGTGCTTGTCCTCAACCGGGATACCGAGAAGCGCTGGAGCTGTGGCTTGGTGTACGGACGTTTAAGAGTAGAGCATCGTGTGTCGTCGTGCGGACCACTTTCAGGCAAACAATGAGCATGATGCCGGCGAACCATGATTGGTCGGACGGCGAGGTCTCCGAATTCCCACGAGGAAAAAACGTGCCTTCGTCTTAGCTTCCGCAGCCGGTACCAGATCTCGACCCGACGTTAGATTCGACCTCATGCCATGTTCCGACCCCAACCCCGTACATCTGCCAATATCTATGAGCACGCGCAACGCTCCTCTTGACGACTGCACTCATAATCAGGCACTGTGCTGGCTTCGACTAAAGCGCGTCTTAGATACCCACGCCGCTTAGCGACATGCTCCGAAAGCCCGTCTCCCCTTCCAAATTCGTATACGCTTATACGCCACAGTATGGGCGCGCCCACATATGATACCGGGGTGATGCGATAATTACGATACCGGCGGACGATCGCCGGAAGCCGAGCGGTATGAGAGACACCCGATTCGAAGGTGGCCGGAGCTGGCAGCTGGGTTGGAAGCATGTGGCTCATATACACCTCGCGCCAATGCCCGGTTGGTGCAAGTCCCCGGCGATAGTCGTCTACCATCGGATGCTGGGAAGCGGTATGGGGCTTCTGGAACCAAATCCTCGGATCGAAAACGTCATGCGTGCAATCTCTCCCCAGCTAAGTTAGTCTCCATTCCGTATGGTACCAGTCTCGTTGTCCATGGCGTGTACGATGAAGCACGCACGATAGTATCCATTGTCGTACCACTGGCACTCTCTTGGCATGCCGTTCAATGCTTGCGCCCAGAGCGCTTGTCATAACCTAGATCTAGCCTTCGCAACTGGTCTCTGGTAGCGGCGTTTGGAACCTGCCCAATAACATGAAGCCTTTGGGCCTTTGAGGTCTGAACACTCTTTGTGGAATGAAGGTGTTCCGGATATTGCTCCTCGAGCCATTGAGCATATTGCTAGTGGCAAACTCAATCATCGCCTGATAGGCAGCATACACCCACGCAAGCATAACTTTCCTGACCGTGCCGCATTCTTCTTGGATTGCCCGCCAGCTAGCCCCTTGCTGATAATCCACGTCGATATCCGAACAGCGGCTACGCTAAGGTAGACTTTCCTTCCCTCCATCAAGGATTCGGTAGTAACTTGTCCCTGTATCGAAAAGCGTATGCACCCAAGATGACAAGGCCACACATAGCGGATACACTATGCAATTTGCCCCTGGCTCGGCCACGGCACCTGGGTCATTACTGGGTGCTGACTGCTCAGACGCTCGAGATCTCGGTGCGGGGTCATACTGTAAGTGTGCCTTATCTGACCGGCTTCTGGATTTGAAAGCTACCGCGAGTGCGGCAATGGGAGACCGATTTGATGGAAAACGATCCGTTCCGTGCGAGTACTGGAGGCAGCGTGCCTTTCGATTGGGGGCATTGAGCCGTCAAGGTGTGCGCATGACTTGCGACTTCATCCCGTGTGCCGCTACATGTCGACCGGTGAGTGTCTGCTCGCAATTTCCGCCTGTTTGCGTCGCTATTGAGCGTGTATGTTAGACGACAAGGATCGTCATCCGGTGAAGAAAAGCCTACGATCATGCACGTCGCAAGAATCTGCTTCGTGTTGCCGCCGTTTAGGTAAGGGTACATGCCTGCTGCAGCCGAATTTCCCATTAGTTCAGAGAGCTCGCCAATCGAAAGTCTGCAGAAGGTGGAAGGGAAGAAAGAAGGCAAACTTGCAGGTGGTCCTTCAGGTGGCCATGACGCCGCACGCCTTAATCTGTCAGCCGGATGCTTTGAACGTCTACTTAACTCTAGCACACCCTCATTTTCTAAGAATCACTATGTCGTAAGATCCATCATATTTCAAAAGAGATTGAAGTCAACTTACAAACATTGCTTCGAACAGTCGCCGAACGGGTATAAACGGTCGGATACGCTTGCCGTTGATCAACACATTAAGCGCCCACAGAAAAACGTTGGGCCACAGTGCCCCTACGCCTGCTTATAACCCCTCTTTCTCGCAGAGCCGCATCTCTGCAATTGTCGCCTCGACACACATGCACATGTTATCGCGGCAACGGTCTGACCATACAACAAGAACATGGGCAGCCGGTCAAGGCACCTTCATTCTTTGACCATTCTTAAACTTGATCGACAGAAGAAGAATGGTGATCAGATGTCTCCTACAGCATATCACTAATCGAATACCAAGCAAAATACATGCGACCGCAACACACTATGAGCAGTACCTCCGCGAGGTCGGCACAGTCTTCGCATTGCAGCAATAACATCGACATGACTCGGACTCCGGGAAAACTTCTTGCTCAGGCTGCTCGACGGGCCGCTCATCAATTGTCTGGCAACAAGTGCCGTGGCGGCAGACGGCACACATACAGGGCGCTTCGCTAGAAGGGATCCACCCTTGATCTCTCTTAGTATGGCGCTGTGCAACTCCATCTTGTTGGTTCGCCGGTTGGCACCGGCTTTTATGCTGCAGGCGCTGTGAACACGTTGAGCGCGATCTACGGCCGGTTGGCACCGATAATCTTTGCTGAGATGCAGCTGACAAAGTCAACAGCTTTCGAGACCTATGGTTTCCACGATGTTGCCATAGTACATGATGGTCCCTGTATTGTACCATCTCAAACAAGCCACGAGTTCGAACACAGTATCGGCAGAAGTCGCTTGCCCATACCATCCTTCCGGCGACCCGAGACATTTATACAACAACATAGATCAGCGGCGAGTAGATGAAACTGCCCACAGCGGGGTAAAGAAGACTGGGCTGATAACCTATGGCCTACGTATACGCTTGCTGCAGCCGATGCAGGATCCTGCGCCATGCCTGTTCGAGAGCATCTCTAGCTTATCAGAGGCTACTCCGAAATCCCGTCCCGCACTGCTGTCATCTAGGAGCTCGTCGTCTGACCTCTTTGACTGGGATGGCTCCTCTTGCAAGCAGTAAAACGCAGAGCCGCATGGCGAAGAGAAGGATAAAGGCGTGTTGGAGTGAGGGGACAGCGACAGGCTGGAGCTGAGTCGACGCAACCGAAACACAGTCACGCACACCACACCGTTCATCAAGGATTCGCTGCACGAAGACGCACGAGTAGTAAGCGATGGCGAAAGATTCTCCGGTGGTCAGTTACAGTAGCTCGAACATGTGCTTCTTACTAAATTATGCTTCCAGCCATCATATATCTTTCAAATTGACGAAATTTTCGAAGATCTGGGAGGTGCTCCTGCCCAGTATGATAATTTTGGTATCTGGCAACCTACTTCAGGTCCTCGTGCGAGTCATAACTTCACTCCCAGGGTGGGCGCCTCGGGCAGGACCTGGCTCTGCGATGGGTCACAGATATACGAAGTTGCGCTCCCTCGGAATGCCCAGTTGTACAAGACGTTCTCCGTTTATTATGCTAGTGGAGGAGGATTCTGGGTCCTGAACGGAGACGCACGCAATCCGCCGGATACCGATGTTTTCCACAGACTGCAATTCAACTATTACACGCAGACTCCTGAATCGTCATTTCTGACCAATGCCGGCCAAAACAACATGCTCTGTGTGCAGCCCCAGGACAATCGGGTGGCGAAAATGCTCCTACCCGACATATACCACACCAACGCCGCTGCCTCAAGCCCCCAGCACGGTGGGATTGTGGGCGAATTGCCGATCTTTCTGGCTCTGATGGCGTTTACAACCTCTCGAGAATATCTCCCCTCTGTGCTGCCTCATATGTTCGCAGGAGGGAACTGGATAACCACGCACACTTGGCAGTTTGCCAGTATGTCTCCCAATTCATAAACACATGCAATTATATGCTGATCAGCACAGGGACCGAAGGGCGTGGTGTTGTCGTCAAAGTGTACAATTGTCCCGTGGACTTTCCGGCACACAACCCCAGAGGCTCCACATCTACGGACCTTTACAACTATGAGATGGGCTATACTGCCAAGTACTTTCGCTAAAAAAAAACAATCTGATGTCCTCTACGCAGACAACGTCGTCTGCGCTCGGATCGGTACCCGCACTTCATTCCGTCAGCGTTACAGCCTTACCAACACTCGACTTAGCTCGCACTTGCACCTCGGCACCCGGTATACGTAAGACATACGCTATGCCATTCTCAGCGATTGCACCTTGTCAGATCGTCTGGCTTACTCGTCGCACGTAATCCTTGTTCAGTTGGATCTTTCTTACCTTTTGCACATCATTCATACCCGTTGTTGGCTGGCAGATATCGGAATTGGCACGGCTTCGCGTTCTCTTATGTTTCTTTCACAGACTACGAACCACTATTACGTTACGATGAACCAGATAGCTATCATACGTTCCCTGAATATAACACTGCCAAAGCGATTTCAAGCACGGGTCTTCAGTAAGCGTGGTGAATGTTACAGTCATGTCTGGCTCAATCATATTCGCTTCATTTAAAAACTGATATGGTATCAGCAAAATGTTTCTATACGGGTATCACAAGTGACCAAACAACGTATCTCGGCTCTTCAGCTTCCCATGCCCCAGACAATGACATTGCCATCGCCACCGCCACTACACCACTCCCGCCTTGTCTTGCAGAAAGCAACAACGGATACTACATCCTTCTTCACTTTCGTCGGCACTATGGGCGCCACACCTCTTACTTCTCGCATCTCGGAATGCTTGAACTTGTGCAAACACGTCCCCTCCAACATATCCCATGCAAACACCATGCCGTCATCACTACCACTAACAACCACGCTATCGTTCAGACCTAGCGTGCTCCTGACTCTCAGATCCTTATTTACGAAAGCGTCATCCTTGTACGCTTTAAGCAGCTCCCCATTCGTCCGATCCATGAGCCTCACAGTAGAGTCGAGTGAACCAACCAAAACCTCAGTGCCCTTCTTACTAACAGCCAGACTCGTACAACTCGGTCCTACGACATCGACCTGACACGTGCCCATCCTGAGATCATAACTCCTTACACGACCATCCACGCTCGCAGCCAGGATATCCGCGTCGTGTATCGCGACATCAGAAATGCTGTCTTTGGCGTCGGAAAGTGTCATGATGGGTTTGTATGCGTTGGACTTGGTGTCCCAGATCCTGACCGTACCGTCAAATGAGCCCGTGGCTATGATGCTATCGCCCTCGCCCCCAAAGACACCACGGTTCACACGCCCGGCATGACCAGTCCATCGGCGTACCGTCTGCGCTGTTTGCACATCCCAAAGAAAGACTGTTTTATCGCCGCCTGTGCTCACAAACTTGTCGTTGGCTGAGTTGACGTCAATGCTGAGGACTTCGTAGCCGTGCGCTGTGTATTTGTTCACGAGACCTGGAGGCCGTTGCGCAGATGGTGTGGGAGCGGTCGAGGTAGGCGGCGCTTTCGATGGGTTGTAGAGACGAATTGTGCGGTCGGAGGAGCCGGTGAGGATGTATGTTTGGGAACCTGAGGAGTAGGCGACAGCGTGAACGATGCCGCCGTGACCGGTTAGTTTGGCGATGGGCTTCGTCGGGAAGGACATGGCGAAGTGATGGACACTGGCGTTTGTGAAGGCGATGAGGTCGTTCGAGGATGGTTGGAGTATATGTGCTAGATGCCGCAGCTATAGAGATCTGGTGCTCAAGGCATGGTGAAGGGAAACAACCAAGTAAAGAAGATCCTGCGTCCTAGTCCGACTACGGCTCTGGCGACTTTATTGTAGCAAAAGGACGCGCATCGCTGCTGTGCGAAAGACGTGCAAGCATGTGAAGACACTGGGAATTGAGACATGCGCAAGGCATCTGGTACCTGCCAAGGCCGAGGTGGGGCGATGACGCTCGATTAGCTCCCGCGACTTTTTGGTCCCTCAGTAAATGTTGTAGCTGCCTATACACATCCTGTCAACAAACACAAACTTTTCACAATCCAATCACGCACCAACCTGTTCTCGCCCTCTCGCAGAACTAATACTAGACGCATCAGCTCGGAACCGCCCATCATGTCGTTCCAGCATCTCGATAGCGCCCCCAAGGCAGACGACTTCACCCCACTATCAGAGCATCAATCGCAGACCCCGACTTCTTTCTTCGGCGCGAAACCCGTTCTTCATGCGCATTATGAAGGAATGACTCTAGTAACGGCTGCTGACCAGCTAAAGCAAGATGAGGCGTTTAGCAAGTTCAGCTCAAGACGTGAGGGTGAAGAGGACTTGGTAGATGGCATTGATGTTTGGGTGTCTTCGGAGTGGGTATCTCATCTATTCAATCACGAGAAATGCTAATTCAGGACTACAGAAGCGTTATTCTGTTCCAGAGCACGCCTTCATCTGTCGGTGTATCCATACCATATCCTTCTCTCGCGCTCCATGCAACGATGAAGTACAAAACCACTATCGAAGCGCTGTACGTGAACATATCGCTCAACGACGCCGAATCCGTAAACGAGGACGACGATATCCACATGCTCGAGATCACTCTGCTGCCTCCGTCGTACACTTCAAAACCTACTGAAACATGCATTACAGAGCTGTTCACCGCGCTGAATACCTGCGCAGACCTACATCCCGACCCGGATGCCAGTGATGACGACGCCGAAGATGTGCTCGACGACACAGCGCCCGGTGCATCAGGTTGGATAACCGCGGAGAATATGGACGAATATATGGATGAAAATGGTAACTTCAGCGGTATGGTGATTGGAGAAGAGCTGGGTCCTGGTGCTGGAACAGTGAGAGGGAGAGAAGACATCGAGGAAGGCACGGATGGCGTAAATGGTACAGATGGGCACGAAGGGAAGTACTATCGTACCGGCTGAAGCTGTTTGCATGGAGAGAGTTAAGAGATATCGAAAAGTCGACAATCAACATCAGAAAGATACCCCAGACAATGCTATTAGATGGCTTCAGTAGTATTGGCTATGAGCGACTACTCGTTCTGCCACGCTTAGCAAAGCCACTCTCACAGCTTTTTCAGAACATTTCCGCCGCAAATAAAAGAAACTACAAATTCTTCACCGCACCACCTCACTCTCCAAACTCATCTCACCCCTCTCAATTTCTTTTGTGTATACCGGCAGCGGTTCCTGAATCACGCCGACCTCCAAGCCCTTCTCCACGTCGCTTCTCCTCCTTGCACCTTGTTCGCTTTTCCCTATGCCTACCTCCCTCCTTCCTATAACAGTACCGGCTTTTGTACTTCGTCGCAAGCCGCGTTGGTAGAGAAGGGAAGTCAACACGACGATACCGAGAAGACCAATGATGAGCCCGACGACGATTGCAGTGCGGATTGATTCTTTGGTGGGCTTTTGAGTAGGTTGTGGGCGAGTCGATGGCATATTGGTTGGTTCGCAAGAAATACGCCTTGAGTAGTGATGTACTGATTGCTGCTTGCTCGCGTGTGCTGGTGAAAGTTTCCAGTACGTATATGTGGCGCTGAAGTATACGCCTCAGACGAGACAAGACCAATCTTGGTTCACCTAACCACGATACACGATGGACGAAGAGATGCTTTCAGATTCTGATGTTTTCTAATCGACTATATATCAGTGATTGGGTTCTGTGTCACTGGTCACTATACATGGAATTAGAACAAGAGCTTACAACGATAGTGATTCGGCAAATACGTAAAAACATTTAGCACAGAACAAACACGCAAAACAGGTATTGACAAAGGTAGAAGTAGGAAGCACAACCTTTACTCTTAACATAGATTAGTACACGTCTACACTACGCTGATCTCACGACGCAAGGCTGACACTTGATGTTACACAACACCCACACCGATCTATGCCCAATCATCTTCTCAGCCTGACCGTTCAACCTTCCCTTCCGCCAATCGCAACATATTGCGTGCTAAAACGACCCCCAAAAGGCGTTTTCCCCGATGAAGGCTAGATGCAACAACTGCATGCGTCGAGTTTCCCCTCTTCTTTGGGCTTGCAAAAGGGTCGCTCATCGCCGTTGTTGGTCGGAGCTGAGCCTCAGACCTTGGCTCGGAGACCGAGATCGGTGAGCAATTGTGTGGGAGAAGGAGCTTGGCATGCTTACCATTGCACGCATGGAACGGTGTGTGGTGTTTATGGCGGTCGAATGGGCATCAACGCCTTATGCTGTTGGTTTTTCTTATCTTCTCGGAGATGCTGGAAGGGCCGGATAGGGAACTCGCGACGAAGTGCTTGCAACGGGTGCAGGCTGTTGTACAATGTCTGAGTACATTGGTGGCCATCCTATCGATACACCTTCGTTCACTTGCGGAGCGTCTCCGGCCGGCGTGCGCCTACGATCCTTGATCGCTTCTTTGTATGTCGGGAGCACATCTTCTGGGGGGTGTTCTATCCGGTCCCTACTTCCTCTTGAAGTACTTGCGTGTTCCTCATGTAGGCGTTCGACATAACGTCGTTCGGCCGCGACTCGTTCCTCTGCAGCCTGCTGGCGACGTAACTCGCTCAAGAGCATCGGCTTTGCCTTCTCTCGCTTATGGGACCACTTGGACTGCGAGCATCGACGTAGTAACAGTATGAGAATGATGGAGCCGACCGCCACGCAAATGATAACTCCAACACGTTGGCCAACCGGCCATCCATACCACCCATCTGTACGACAGCGGTTGAACTTCGACTCAACACAGACATCAATGGAATTTCGAGCTGAAGTTGTAGAAGTTGCTGTGGGAAACAATGCAACCCACATGTCTTGGGTCGATGTGGGAACAGGAGTATAGCTACTCGTCGAGGAAGGCTCTGTATTATCGCAGGCACTCCCGTTTTGTGAGCCAAGAGGGCAAGCCACGCTATACCGGTAAGGCATCAATACGCCAGGATCCGATGCACCGTTTCTTGGAGCACCAGAGACGATGAACACTTGACTCTTGACGCTTGGACGGTTCATGTAGAGTGGCACTGTCCCATCGATAATGTCGGAAGTCGTGTACATCGCCAGTGCACATGCCAGACTTATGCTCCCCCACCCAGAACTCGGCTTCCCAAAACTCGGTTCGGGCACTGCAAGTCCTTGACTAACTCCACCAGATTGCGGAGCCCAATCGAGTATCTGATCAAATGTCGATTCGGAGCCGACGTCGTCGCCGCCTCCACAGAAAGGCCATCCCACTTCGTCTGTTTCTCCTTTTCTGTCGCCGTTCTCCATAGGAGGGCACACCAAGCAGTATATCTGTACTGCATGGATTTGTTCTGTCCAAGCAGTATCGGAGTCTGGATTTGTCCCGAGTAGAAACGGTTCTATTATGTCGGCTATGTGGACAGAAGCGGTCGGTGATCCAAAGCCACTGGCAGGGTAGTTGTATCTGTCGCCAAGTACATACTGCAGGTACATTCGCATGTGGTCAGATGGGTTGTTACCAGGTTTGAACGGTGCATCGGTGAATGCTGGCCATGTAGGCAGAGAGGGTGCGGGGTCGGGAAATACAAATGAAGGCAAAATGCTGGTCATGATTATTACTATGGTGGTTCATAAACCAAGATGCGCGCCATTATCTTGAGAGGTTTCAACAAGACGAAAGCCATGCTATGTATGCCTCCAGGCACCGAGTTGCAAGGTTGCGAGCTGTTCCTTTTAGGAATACCAAGAATCGTATTCTTATCGATGTTGACGCCACAACGTACGCAAAACTTGGCCTTGCCGTCTCCAGTCCTACAACCGAGCGGGTGCCCTTGCAGGATTGGTGGGAACACCATGTCATTACCTTGCAAGCCCTCTCTGATCAACCGCGTGACCTTTGGGCTGGGATCCCGTTGGGCAATACCTTGGTACTTTCAGCCTCGTAGGGCTGTCTCGATGCCGCACATCCGCATGATGGTCTGGGTATGTAGTGCTGCGCGCTTCAATAGGTCAGTACGCCAAGTCAAGAAGCAATCCGGTGTACAGTCTCTTTGCAGGCCTATCGTAGGGACACTCTGTGCCAATTGACGTCGCGTTATTGTGTCATCTTGCGGTATTCGGAAGAAAGGAAGGGCGACCAATTTTCTGGAGATGCAGATGGATATGGGTTCTGGGAGACGAATGGAGCGCCGACAGATGCGCTCACTAGTGGGTGTACAAGCATGTGACCTCAACATTCATCGGTCAGATTAAGGCCCATTGCAATCACCGAGGCAAAAAGGTGCAACTACCATAGCGGCCTGTATGCTCCGGCGGCGCATACTCATGTCCTTTGTCGACTATCTGGGGTTCCAGTGTAAGTTGGGGTGAGCTAGACGCCCTCGGACTCTTATGTACTTCAAATGTGAGAGAAGAAGGGGTGGTGAAAAAGACGTCTGAGCTTGTTCTGAATATCGCGAGAGAGAGGTACAGTCGCCCTCCAAACATCGGTTCAGCGGACGCACTCGCCATGAAAGAATACAAAGCTGCACAGACTAAATCGGATTTCTCTTCGCAGCCAAAAATAAGCAAAAGCCAGAGAGCGAGTAGAAGTGGAAGAGGTGCAAGCTTCTTGAACTCACCCAGTCGCCTGTCGTATCCTGGCGTACTCGTACCAGGTAACCGCCAGCCTTACGCGGCCTTATCCGCCACATCCGTCCCACAACTGTGGCTAACCAATCAGCCACACTGCGACTAGGATCATGACGTTTGAGCATGAGCGCTCAGTAAGGTTTACGCATGGGCGTGATAGCCATTCAAGTGTTTATAAGCACTCGAAAGCCCCGGAGATAGTTTCTGCGCAGGGTATCCGCTTACTACCATCAACTCGAGAGTCACACATTCCGTCGTGCGACACAGAACGCAAACAAACAGTCATCAACCCTCAGATATTGCGAGCGCATTACCAAGTACATCACCAAGGCGCGAGATAGAAACAAATCGCAAACATGATCAAAACACTACTTTTAATCCTTATTACAATCTTCAGTAAGCCCTCCACGCATCCAACTCTTCCGCGAAACCCCTACTAACAAATCCGCAGTTCCACCTGTTGGAGTCTTCCTCGTAGCAGGATGCGGCGCCGACTTCTTTATCAACCTGCTCCTCACGATCCTGGGCTACTTCCCCGGCCACATCCACGCTTTCTACATCGAATATGTGTACATAAAGCGACGCGACGAGATACGCGCTGGTATCTACGATGCGCGCCCTGCGCCGGGTGTTTACAGTCAGAAAGTGCAAAATGGAGGACATAAGACCATGCCTGTTGCGCCTGCGTCTGCCGGTGTCGAGGCGGGTTATGGGGGTGTACCGGCACAGCAGGGTTATGTGCAGGAGCAGCAGCAGGGATACGGGACAGTGCATTAGGCTGTGAACAAAAGGGTCGAGGCTTAACTTGGACGATGGAACATACGGAAATCGAGTCTGTGAGGAGGGGCCTGGGAGCATGTGTTAGGCATGCATGAATAGTGAGGAGAGGGCGTTCAGTGGACTTACCTTTGATTCTTGTGATACCAATACTTAGATATCCGAGTTCTTCGGAATACACCTTACTTATTTCTCATCACACTCATACTCCAAGTGACCATGTCTTGGGCATTGTTCGTAGTATTGTACATATATGTACAGTATGCTCGTCATGGTATCCTGATAACCCAGCTGCTTCTTTGTAACACACCCTTGCGAGTTTACCTCTTTTTGCCCCTGCCCTTCTTCTTGCCACCCATCATCGCCGCCGCAGCGCCAGCACCCTTCTTCTTCTGCCCCTCTGCCGTACCCAGCGCAGCCTTCTGTCTGAGGTACATCCTGACAACATTCTCCACGCTTCCCCTATCGTGCTTGACAGTCCTCATGTACGTCAATCTGGCGCGTCTTGCCCTCTTGGCAGCCCGCTGCACAACCTCGATTCCCTCTACCAATGGACTGTAGACCTTGTACCACATCTCTACACCCACACGAGTGAGCTGACCACGTAGAAGAATAGCAGTGTCGGTACCGCGGCGTCGGATGTTGATACACACACCAGCGAAAGGATCACCAGTGCGCTGGCGCACAAGTAGGATGTCGCCGACTCGCGCGCATTCTGGGTTGTCTTTTGCAAAGAGGCGGGTTCGTGCACCGGTGGGATCGAGAAGGCTTATTTGCGAGGCGTTCACCGCTGAGACAGGGTTGGGACAGGTTTTCTTAATGTTAAGGGCTTTGGGCCTGAGGACTGGGACGCCGAACTGGTGGCCTGTGGGATGGGGTTAGCAGTTTCCTCGTCTCGATAGGACTTTCATATGCAATTCAATCCTGCATTGCATACATTGACGTGACTGGATGAGAAAAGGGCTGTCGTACTCAATCGGTGGTCCACGCTCTTCTGCTTCATCACCGGCTGCCACTTGGAATCGATAGGCTTCTTCTGTTTCCGACGCTTAATTGTCACCAATTCTCCGTCTTTGAATTGACCATCTTCTCCATATGACGCTGGGTACAAGGCCCTGTGCAACCGTTGGCTCAGGTCTGGCTCTCGTGTTGATAATCGCTGTTCACGCTTGGCAGGCAATATGGGCGCCGTGGGCGCTGCATCGACAGCGACTGTCTCCGTGCTTGCAAATCGTTTACATCGTATGGCTCTGAAGGCGACACGCTGGGCTGTAGCCCGCGTGCAGGGTATGACGGCTGACATTGGCGGGCGTAGGTGGAGTAGTCGCCATGAAGTTCAGCTTCAGGAAATTCGAGGTTGCTTATGTCAGCATGCATCCATTCCGCATGTCCTGCGATTATCGATTTGCTTTCGTCTCACAACTACATTCTTCACTAGTAATCTTGCATCTTGTCCGGCCATTGTACGTATTCATGTATCATTTTCAACTTGATTATATGCCAGACCACCGTCGCAGAAAACCGACCGTAATCGGTGGTGAACGTGGCTTGCACGTCTTTATCGATTCTATGGAACAGTCATGGGCACATCTCCCTAGTGGAGTGGATTAAAAAGGAAATAACTTTTGAAAATGCAGATCACCGCCAACCCTGGTATACTGCAGCGCGTCCGCCCATGCTAAAAAAGGCAGCCCAAACACCATGCTTGCGCGAGGTCGAGCGAGAAAACCACGTGTGGTCAAAGATAACCAGATAGGCCCGCAGAAAGGCCCCGGGACTTCCGTCTCAGGCACCCCATAGCCATACAATGTACCGCTTTTCTACCCCGATACTCCAAAGGAAAAGTAAGGCCAGACGCCGTTGAGATGCTACCGTCCGACGCCGATGGAACTAAGCGGACATGTCGAACCGAAGGATTCAAAGTCGCGCCTGGTTGAGTTGCTCGCTTAGACCTAGGACAACGTTGGAATGCTGAAAGATTTCGCCCTGGAAGATGAAGCCAGCCGTCAGCAATTGATCTGTTCAAAGTCGATCTCGATCTCTCTCCTAGGCGTCTCTACCTCTTCCATCCATGTAAGGCCGTTGGCAGCCTCTTCTACCGGGAATACCTCCTGGGCGTACTCCTCCATGGAACGGTTTCCTTCCCACAGCTCAAGGGAGACCTTGGGAACATCCGGCTCAAGATCAGGTCCGAAGTATGGCGCGCCCTTCTCTCCCAACGTGTACTCCAGTGCGGAAAGGTGCTCCCGATAGCCTGTGGGTGTGGGCACGTTGATCACTATGGGGCCCCGCTTGTAGCGGACTGATCTTCGGAGACCGGTACTGAAAGCCTTGCAGACTTCTCGCGGGGTCATCGATGCAAACGCAAGAGGGATCCTAAATTAGTCAGTACGTAATCGAAAATTACACGTGCGCTTCAGCGTCTCTATAATGCAGGCACGTCAAAGCAGCACACGAGAAAACAGCAGAAAATTTGACAGTTGATGACCAGTGATACGACGCCAGCAGGTCGAACCACTGTGGAGACTGTCCGCATAATGCGGACCAGGATGTGCAAACGCAGAGTACGCTTACCGCTTGCCATTCCACTTTCGTGGACCTTCCTTAAAGAGTTGGTAAATAGCTGGTCCTATATCGTGTTCCGAGTCCAACCAGGGCAACGGCTGATCTGGGTGGAAAGGTGCTTGCCAAACAAAACTCCCATCGTACTGATGCTCCATGCGAAATAGCGGAAAATCGAGGCCGGTAAAGTTGTTGTGGTAGATGCCGCAGTAGACGAAAGTTGCCGGCAGGCCGATTTGGCGGATATACTGTTCGACTGTGAATTTTGGTGCCCATAGTGGTAGCGCTCTCCAGTTGTTGCCGAAGACAGAGTGGTCTGGCATGCTTGAATAGATGTAGTGTTGAATTCCGGCTTTCTTTGCGGCATCGGCAAGCGATCGACCAATAGCAACCTCGTCCCCCCAGTGTGTGGTATTTATGAATGCGCATTGCGCGCTCTTGAACAGATCGTCGAGAAATTTCTTGTCCTCTAGCGCACCAATGTAGACGGTAACATTGTCTAATTCACACAACTCCCGTGCAACTATTCCGTTCAGGTCTCGCATCTGCGCTCGAACTTGCCATCCTAGTGCGGCGGCCACGCGAATGAAGCTCGCCGATTGGCGGCCATTGCTGTTGATGGTAACGACGGTCCTTTGCATTCGTGTATCCTTGAAAGTGAAACTTGGGCAAAAAAAAAAAAGACGTGTTCTAGAGAATTTTTCTTAGGGTCCTTCAGAGGTTGCGACTTTCGGAAGGGTAGCCGTGGGTGTATATAAAATGCAGATAGAGCCAAGGCGCGAGGATACCGGGGAGTCGTCACCTGGGGCTCCGGAAAGTAGGCAGTAGCTCAAAGGCGGGTGAGGGTGAGATAAGGATTTGGTGTAAGGGTAGTCGTAACCTTGGGAGCGTTTCGGTTCGGCGGCGTCAGCGATGCCGGTTCGGCGGGCGGATAATAACGTGCTCGCAACACACAAAGGTGGTCAAGCCTTTGGTAGTGCGATCAATGGCAGGCACGTGAGGCGACCTATGCAGGGTTGTGCGGAGCTAGTCGTCGTGTTCTGAGGTTGAGGTTGCGGTCCGATTCATTTACCTTTGACGTAGACACACGCAATGCTTAAAGAGAAGAGCTACGGGTCAAAGACGCCGGCCGGAGAAACAGGAGAAGCTCAAAACTGAGCCTTTTTTTGTATGACATTACAGCCAAGTTTGGGCTCGTCATTTGCATTGCTGGGAAAAGCCTTACCTAATAGTCCACCCACAAGGGCGAATAGGCTCCGCTTGACATCGCGAACACCTGACCACGGCCAATACTTACCACAGTTGGCCAGCGCAATATGCCCGTAATGGTCCACTCTATTATTCGAGACTCTTAGAGTTGCTTTCCTGGGCGATTGCGGAGTTATCACGCAGAATCGCGTTTCGTTTTTCAACACGCTGTACTATGCATACACAAGCGAGCAACGTGCACTATCTTCAGACTGCAACGAGCTTGGTAGGCTAATTCACAGACGAGGGCTCCACATTGGAATCTGCTCGTAACGCAGAGAAATCAAAGAGGGGCAGTGTCTGCGAGTCGATGCGGGGGATACACTAAGTTCAGGGACCGCGAGTAACGGGAGTATGGAGCCGCCAGAAACAGCTGTGCTGTCCACGTTGCTTTGCTCGGAGCCATCCACCGTCACCTGTAGGGAACGTGCTAGCATCGACTTACTCCGAGTGTAAGGGCCATCACAGTGTCAGTTCTTGGCACAGAGATTTCTTTTACTAACTGAAACAAGCTCCCGAGGTCTCCATTCCTTTAGCGGGAGGCCCTGGTCTATGTACATCTTCAATCTATATGTAGACACGCACTTGAATAGCTTCCCCACACCAATAGCGGGCCTCTCTAGCAGGATGAGTTGTGTATACCTTCATGTCTACGTCGACCCTGACCAGACCAGCGTTACAGTACAACGGCTGTCAACCACCACCTGCTCATGTTGGCCGTAACATCCCGAGTGGGTTGCGCTCATTGATAGCAGCCGGGATATTTTCGCGTAACTCCAATGATTCACGCTCCTCGCCGCAATGTACGTCGGGCTGATCCCGGTGCGTCACCAGACTCTGGGGACCGACGTGCGATATATGGCGACATTTTGAGGCGCCACGCATTCATCAGAGAGACACACTCCGGTCGCTAGGCTGCAGCCAACGAGAAGCCACCATTGACCGTGCTCCCAGCAGTACTAAACGTGCTGCGCGCTTATCCAATCACACGAGCCCAAACTTCAGCGTTGCCGTCGCCCTCTGATGCATGCAGCTTTGCGGCACTGACTTCATCGCTGTGAAGATGAGCTCCTGCATCAATTAGTGTCTGTACGTGATCTGGTAAGCCAGCCGCTGCGGCCAAGAAGAGCGGGGTATTTCCTGATCGGTTTCGAAGATGCACGGAGGCGCCTTGGGCCAGGAAGTCTCGCAGAATCTCAACATTGGGGCTCGTTGCCGCAAGATGCTACATGGGCACGTCAGCAAGGAACGCAATCTCGCTCCGACGGAATAAAGTCGCTCCAGAACCGAATGCAGTGCAGTAATGGGCTGAAAGATAAGCGACTGCGTCTCACCGCACTACTGGGACACAACTGAGAGCTGTTTGGCTCTGTTCCTCTGGTGCCGACGGCATCTCGTGTCTTTATCTTGATAATGGTGTATGTGCTGCCAGTCTCGGACTGCTGCCAGCCATGCTGCAAACATTGTGCAACTCTTTCCGATACCGGTTCTTACATGATACAGGAATAATGAAAGTATCGAATTACATGCAGTTCTTGGAATGTAGAAGGAAGAATAGAGATAGGCATACGGATGCTGACTGGATGGAGCGGCACTTACTACGGGGCTGTTCATCTGATAATCGGCATCGTTGAGTAGCCATCGAGGCTCTCCTCGAATGATGTCTTTTGTCGCTTGCAGGTCGCCTTTTTGAACAGCATAGCCGAGCGCTGTGAGACTTGAGAGCTCAGGGGTAAGGACACCGCTCCTTGACGGGTGCTCGAAATGGGTGCGTGTGGTCTCAGTAAGCTCGCCACGTAGGGAAACAGACATGCGCTTCGCAACCTCTTCGGGTGTAGCATCCGGTAGTGCGAGGAGGTAGGCTAGTTTGGTGAGCGCTGCCTCTGAGGTTAGATCCTGGCCAAAGACAACGCCAGCACGACCAAGGAACGCCCCGGGTGCGTACAGGGCGCTGACACTACCACTTAAGCACTGAGTTACATTCACGATCACAATCCCCCTTTTTACCGCGTCCGCTAAGCATCGGGTCATTGCGCTGTCCGGTCCTCCTGGAGTATTTCCGGCTCCAAAGGTCTCCAGTACTAGCCCTTTCAGGCCTTCCAAACGCAGGACTGCATCTACCATCGCTGGCGTGATACCTGGGAACACGCGTAGGCAGGCTACATGTGCTGTATCTAGACTCGTCTGGATGGTAAAAGGTCTAAGGTCCACAGATCTATGGACGCGATGCCACAGGACATTGGTTTTGGTAGAGGATACAGTGGCCAGTGGTGGTAAGTTGGGGCTACCAAACGCATCAAAGTCTTCCGCGGATACTTTGGTGGCGCGATTCCCTCGGAATAGTTTGAAGTTGAAGAAAAGGCATACTTCTGGTATCATGAAGTGGCCGGCGATGATCAGAGAGTTCAACAGATTGTCTTGCGCATCGGTTTGCAAGTTCATCATTGGCGCTTGTGATCCAGTCAAAATCACGGGCTTCCCCAGGTTATGGAACATGAAACTCAACGCCGATGACGTGTAGGCGAGGGAGTCTGTACCATGTAATATAACAAAACCATCGAAGAGTTGGTAGTTTCGTTGGACCGTCCGCGCGATCTGATCCCAGCCATTGGAGTCGATAGAGCTACTATCGAGCAACTTCTCAAACTCAAGTACGCAGTATCGCACGCGGCGTTCATATGTGCTAACCGGGGTCCTGAGACTTTGGACGGCTTTGCGTGTGCCTTTGTCGTCAGTAACAATCTCCAAAGGCTCAGGGTAAGATCCATCGTTGAAGACCGGCCTAGGTGCAAGTCCAGCTTTGAGGAAGCCCCGTGCAGGTACCAGTCCGTCTGGAGATTTTCGCATGCATATTGTGCCACCTATTGAGGTCAGCACTTGATAGTTACATGTTGCTTTATTCGTGGATGTGTACCCGTTATGACGATCAATACCCGTGACTCCGGCAGTTGCAGTTCTGGATATTGGTCGTCCATCTTGTTCAAGCGCTAGGGGTTCTAGGTTGTTGCAGGGCTTATCTTGATCTAGCAGGAACCGGGTACAAGACTCTCCGTGGATGGGATTCAAGCTATTCGGTGCGAAAAAGTAACGTTGTGGTAGCTGGGCTCTGCCAATCGAGATTCGGTTCGACAGTGCAAGTGCCTTTGAAGTTTCGTCACCATTCGGTACCGCACAAAGCAAAAAAGATAAGAGCAACGCTGGAACGCAGTCTTGGCAAGATAGCGAGTAGCGTAGCGTAGCGCAACTCACTGACAGCGACTCTGACTATCGGATAAATCTTGACAATCGTTGTGATCCGTCTTCCCTTCCTCATCGGGCCGAACTAGCAGGCTCGACCATGACGACCCACATTTAGGCATTCTGTTACCCCTTCAAAACCGACTGTATTACCCCTTCGAAACTCGATTCTATTACCCCTACAAAACTGAAAATTTGCATCGTGAAGCATGGTCTGATCATGATCGCGTTGAGAAGGCCCGCAACTGCGTGGGAAGCATCGGCTTAAGACGCATGCAGTTACGTCACGAAAATAGGAAATTTCAGATGCGTGCAGCGATGCGTGTGAGCGCGGTTGGAAATAGTACCTACTGCACTACTTCTGGAGGTTGTTCCTGTCATTCCCGCACCTAGGCCAAATCGAGGCACAATATACGTGCACCTTCAAACCTCCCAGTACCTCTGCTCTGACCTAGATTCACGATGACCCCTTCGCAGCTTCCTTGGCCGCATTTGCACGCGCCTTCTCCAAAGACTTGACTTGTGCCCAATTCTTCCTCACCCACTCCAGAACAACGTCTTTGTTATCAGCTGTAACAAACTTTGACCAGATCAAAGGCTCGTCGAGGTTGGGCTCAGACGAAATGCGCGGCTGATCACCTTCGAACACAACCCATCGCTTCAAACCTTTCACAACGACAGCCAGAGAGTTGCTCTGTATGGGTACCGCGACTTTGACCTCCTTCCAGAGCTCTTCTTCCGCAGACTTGAGGTGATGCTCTAACATCATAGCTTCGTACTCTGCTTTCTTGTCGAAGACCGTGAGAGCAGCTTGCAGTACTTGCTGCCTAGTCCAGTCGCTTGTGGCACCTTTGTTGGAATGCGCAGGCATATAATCCTCTACAAATCGCTGATACATGGGTCGCTTCGCTTGACGGGCGCGATCGTTGTGTTTCTCGATACGACCCTCGAAGATCCTATGTGAAAAGAATCTCCCACTGGAAGCCCAGTCGAAGAGATCGTATTCATCTTTAAATCCAGCCCAGTATTTTGCGACGTCCATGCCATAGAATTCGATTGCCTTGTCAGGATCTCGTGTCAGAAATAACAAGGCTTTCTTCTTGTTGTATGGCTCAATCTCTGCTATCCGTACGTGCAGGCCCTGATCATTGCAGGTCAGACCTAGCGGACGATGAGAGACACCAATGATTTGCAAGAGATCGGAGTCGCCTTTCATGAAGCGTGTCCATTTGAAGAGCTCGGCACTTTCTGGGGTCTCATCTCCAACGGATAATTCGACGTCGACTTGTACATGTGCGTCTGGTAACTCTGGATGTGGTACTGCGTAGGAGGATGATCCACCACGCGGAAGATGAAGATCAGCTTGGAGGGTGCTCTGTATTACCGACCATATCCCGTCCTTTGTGTTTGGCGGTCGAATGCCCTCTACCAAGAAGTCAATATCGCCGTGGTCTGCTTTGGCTGGAGCATCGCGTGGGACAACAACGCGTTCGAACAGTGTCTCCAAAAGGCGTTGATAATGTGTAGAAAGGGTCTTGTATAGCGCTGGTTGTAAACGGGGAATCTTGACAGGCTTTCCTGGGTCTTTCGAAACGTTGGCGAATGCGAGACCTCCCATAACTGGTGGCTGTTGTGAAGACCGTTGTTGAAGAACGGGTAGAAGCGTATTTTGTGTTTCTTTCGTTGGAACGCTGGCTATCGTAACACACGGGTCGTTATTCAGCGCGTTGACGAATGAACCAGAAAGCGCAGGAGGGGGGTAGTTGCTGCCTATCATGAAAGTTCAAGTGTGCACCACGTGCAAAGTTGAAGCGGAGCGACAGTAAGTCGTCTATGACTCCTGGAGTCGACCTCGGTAGCCTGTTGCCTTTCAAGGCTCTGATCATGTCGACCACTCTAGAAAGATTCTGATCATGGCTTCACAATTCAAATCTCCCACATTGCTGGTATTGAAATGATGTGTCTCGGGTATGGATCGTCTACATCTAAATGGGTGGAGATGATAGAACGAACGTGCACGTGGGGCGGGATACCTCCGCCTTTTTAAGTGGAGCCAGTGACGCGCGAACATCCCTGCAGCGGTTCGGAAATTTTGAGAGAAATGCTCACAGCTGAGCTTTCCACCATTTTACACCTATCTTGGATCTGAAATGTCTGATTGTTGCTCACCTGGCGGCCACTGCTCCCATACTATGGACACCAAAATGACTGAAGAATTCACTGCTCGTTTTGAGGAGCTTTCGGCTCTTGAGCATGAATTCGAAGACGTCGAGGAAGAGATCAGTAAGTCGCAGCTCCATTGTCACAATACCAATCGTGCACGCAGCTCCAAAGGTGCCGAGTGCGCGCTCACACAGCCTGTGTCCGCGATAGCCTGCGCCCATGTGGTCTCTCAAATAAAAGGCATCACATTGCTAACACGATTACAGTCCGCCAAGCTGAAGCTCTCCAAAGTTCTCTTTACAAGAAGCGCGCCGAATTTGTTACAAAAATCCCACACTTTTGGTCACTTGTCTTCGAGCAAGCGCCTCCCGAGATCGACAATTTTATCCAACCCACCGATTCCAAGGTTTTCGCAGAGTGCCTCGAGACCTTCGAGGTGTCACGATTCGAGCTCAACGACCCTAATGGCTCCCCGCGCAGCTTTTCGCTCAAGTTCGGTTTCAGCGAAAACGAGTACTTCGAAGACAAGGTACTAGAGAAGAAGTTTTGGTTCAGGAAGACGAAGGACTGGCAAGGCCTTGTCTCCGAGCCCGTCAAGATCAACTGGAAGAAGGACAAGGACCTCACCGGTGGTCTGACAGACGCGGCATACAAGCTTGGCGAGATGAGAAAGAAGATGGCAACCGACACTGCCAATGGCGCTGCCAGGAAGGAGGAAACCAAGACCAAGGAGTACAAGAACTTAGCAAAGAAGATTGAAACAGCTACAGATGCCTCAGTAAGCTTCTTTGGCCTTTTCTCTTTCGTATCAGGGTACCGATGGGTAAGCGCCGAAGAGTCAGCACAGGCTTCCAAGGAGGAGAAGGAAAGATTTGAGAAGATCAAGCGTGGAGAGAAGGTTGATGAGGAGGATGACGATGAAGATGAGGAAGATCCGCAAGACTACCAGGAGATCGAGGTCTTCCCAGGTGGTGATGAGGTTGCTACTATCATTGCCGAAGACATGTGGCAAAACGCCATCAAGTACTACAGTACGTCGCGTGCATCCGGCCGCTCCTTGTCTATCGCTAACAAATCACAGAGGGCACCTTTGACGAGGACGAAGACGATGAAGACCTCTCAGATCTTGATGTTATGGATGCCAGCGACGATGATGACGATGACGATGACCAAGAACCAGTCGATATCCGCGCGTTGGTGGGCAAGGGTCGCAAGTCAGGTCAGGAACCGCCTTCGAAAAAGCAGCGCAAGGCTTAAGCATTATTACTACGAAGACATCCTCACATAGGATTATTTGTCCTTGTCACTTGGACGGCGCAGACTTTATACCCGGCGAACATCGTGAGATCTCGTCTAAATCTCTTTGATGTAGCGATGAACTCAATGAATCCACTTGGTCGAAACCGAGCACGACATACCTCAGGCGCGACTGTCGCGCCTGAGTATAACGAATCAAAATACTAGTCTTTTACATCTTTGATATTTGTGTTGCCAACTAGCGATACCGCCTTTTGTCAAACTGCGTTTGTTGATTCCGCAATTTTCTGCATCATCTTCTTCACCGATACTCTGGCCAAGCGACGGTCGACGGACCGCCGATGCCATCCGATCTCCTTGTGACCGTTCACCTTGCCGTCTAGGTACACAGCTTCGCACGATGTTTCTTGGGGGACCCAACAATTAGTTAAGATGGTCGCTACTTTCCCCGCAATAGCTCCGCGCATGGCTTCGAGAAGCTTTGCCTCCACCAATCATTTTACTGCAATCTCGTTCTATGCCTTTTTCGGCACGGAATGCACGCCGGTTCTTCCGTCGACCTGTCCGTTGATGACGTCTCCAAGCTTCGAGTGAACCCTTATGCACGAGGGTTCTATACCGCGGCGAAGCTTGGAGCTTACCTTAGCTCGTTGCGATTGACCAACGATTGCCTTTGCTAGCTTCCGCAACCCAGTACATCGGACGTACGAGGATCTTTTTGAGCATCTTCTTGAGGGGTTCCATGCACGCCGAGCTCAAATTTCCGGGTAATCTCCTTTTACCTAGAAGAATGGTGCCCAAAAGGTCTATGTTAGCGCGGAGCTCTATGAAACTATCCGGTATGACACGGATGGGTCTCGTTGAGGTACTTGCCTTAAGTATTCTCTGACCCGTACTGTATATTGGAACATCACTTCTCTCATTCGAGTCTGAATACTCAAGATGGATCAACTACTGCCATTATTCAGCCTTCTTGTGCTTTCTACACCGGTTGCTGCTCAGAGTAATGGAACAGCTACTATTTCCTATGCTCTACCTTCGGGCTACACAACTGCAAGCTTCAACGCCTCTGCACAACCTACTGCCTACAACCGCACCGATTTCTCGCCCAATGCCCTCGCATCTCTCTGGGACATGGTAGGTCCCATTGTAACAGGCCCTATCACCACCACTGTTACTCCAACTCCAGAACCAACGGCGTACCCACAGCCAGACCCCCAATACTACCACGCTCTTGTAGGTAGTGGATATCCCGAAGCACAGGGCTTGAAGCTTCCCAAAAATTTCCAATGGGGTTTCAGCTCTTCCGCGTATCAGATTGAGGGTGCGGCCAAGGACGAAGGCAAAGGACCCAGTATCTGGGATTTGTTGGCACACCGAGTGCCGAACTTTGTCGCTGATAACACGACTGGTGATGTCGTTGATCAGCATTACTACCTGTACAAACAGGACTTTGCCAGATTAGCAAGTCTAGGAATCAAAGCCTTCAGTCCCAGCTTTTCCTGGCCGCGCTTCTTCCCGTTTGGCCACGGTCCAGTCAATGAAGAAGCCATCGCGCACTACGATGATGTGATCGCAACCATGCATGAGAATGGCAAGTTGCGACTGTACGAAATGCATTTGAGACATATACTGACTTTGTACCTCCACATCTGCAGGTATCCACCCCGCTGTCACACTCTTTCACTGGGATACTCCACTCGCCATCTTCAATGAATACGGTGCTTGGACCGATCGCCGTGTAGTCGATGACTTCTTCAACTATGCCAAGTTTGTCATTACACGATATGACGCGTATGTCGACGAGTGGTTTACAATCAACGAGCCCCAGTATTGTAACTGGCAATACGCGGGTTACCCGGCAGGCAAATACTATCCCGCACCAAACGGTGTCACCGGTGGCAACGAAGCCCGGTTCCTGTGTGGCCACCACACTCTGCTCGCGCACGCAAAGGTGTCCAAGTGGTATCATGAAGAGTTTAAAGGACGTGGCCGCATTACCTTTAAGAACAGCGGAAACTACTTCGAAGCCAACAGCACGAAGCCAGAAGACGAAGTCGCACGCCAAAGAAACTTTGACTTCAGCATTGGCTGGTTTGGTGGGCCATGGACGGATGGTGATTACCCGCAGTCGCTTAAAGACACACTTGGCGACCTCTTGCCTGAGTTCACACAAGAGGAGAAAGACATGATCAAAGGATCGTGCGACTTTTACGCCATCGACCCTTACTCCAGTTTCCTAGCTTTCGAGGTTGATGGCGGCCTGGAATCGTGCACGAGCAACCGCTCACACCCAGCCTTCCCCGACTGTGCTGGCTCAGCAAGTGCAGCCCCTAACGGGTTTCCCATTGGTCCTGCCGCTGACCCAGCCATGTCTTGGTTCTACTCGGCACCTGCCGGCGTGCGTCGCTACCTGAAGCACATCACCCAGGTCCTCTTCCCTTCGATTCCCGACATCGTTGTCAGCGAATTTGGTTTCGCCGAGCCTTTCGAAGGACAGTGGTCAAACCTGAACTCAGCGCTCTGGGACCTGAAGAGAGCAGATTACTTCCAGCAATACCTAGACAATATCCTGCTGTCGATTCACGAGGATGGCGTTAACGTGACTGGAGCGTGGGGATGGTCCATTCTGGACAATTTCGAGTGGGCGCTTGGTACGTCGGTTAGGTTCGGAGTGCAGTACGTTAACTATACGAGTCTGGAGAGGACGCCCAAGGCTAGTTTGTTCCAGTTCTTGAACTGGTTCAAGGAGCATGAGGCGGGTGAGAATGCGACGATGAAGATGTAGATGAGAATTAGAGTGATTGTAGGCGTACAACGAACCATGGAGTACAACAAGAATTACTACAAACATGCCATTATAGAAACACGCATGGAGTGTTGAGTGTATTAAAAGGTTGCGGTTGATTGAACGGCAGAGTGCAGGCTACGCTGGATCTCGTTGGTGGGTCAGCATAACAGCGCGTACCTTGTTTCACATGACGTGTTTGCTTGGCCGTATTCGCAAGAAGTCGTCTTGAGGTGTAGAAATCGCGCTCCAGCCGCGATGTACTGGTGGGCAGTGCCATGTCCATGGTGTGGGTGTTAGCTTCCTTTCTTATCGCGCGATTAGGTCCCTTGTGACAAGAACGGATCCACCCGAGCATCTTGGACGCATGCCTGCATTTGACCGTTTCATACAGGAGCTTGTAGGCCTGTTTCCTTGAACTGACTCAACTGTAAACGTTTCTGCCTTGAATGTGCCCGGATTCTGTTTCTACTGCAGTGTAGGGTGACCTATTACACATCGCGGCTGCCACTTGGCACATGAGCTTAACGCATCCGGTTGCGCCTAGGTCCCCAGCTACGGAACCTCGACAAACTATCTTACCACCACCAAGGCGACGGCTAGAGGCTTCTACAGCTTCTACACGGCCACGTATCAGCACTTCTCCTGTCAGCACAGCTCAAGCAGTTGTGTCGCCATCAAGGGTTCAAGACGCCGACGACGGTACCGTCATCTCTCGGCTCGTGACATCTCCAGCTGCTCCAAACCCCCGAGCTCACCTCCGCAACCTCACTAGCTCTCCGCGGCCTACAACAACTCCACGCGCACTACACCACAGTGTCTTCCTTCGAAACTACCTATGCCATCTACCTAATCCCGAACACAACGCCCTGTTAGGCACAGCGCTGCCACCAATCCATACCCGCGTCATCTGCGGGTAACCAGACCCAGCGTTCGTCCTGGCAGACGAAACCGCCCCAAACTCTCCCTCCCCAATCGCCTCCGACCACCCATCCACCCCGAACTCTCCCGCTTCTCTTTCCCCAGTACTCTCTGCCCCCTCCAACCAAGCCGTGCCCGCCACTCGATCCTCCTACCAAACGCACGCCACTATCCTGCCGTCCGAACACACTACAGCCGGGAAGCGCAGGCACAGCTTCTCTGATAGTGACGAAGCCGAACAGGAGCCTCTGACTAGCGGAATCAGAGGCAGGTTAACCCGTCACATCTCGAAGCGCAGGCGCAGACAAGACGGGAAGATGCGCCTTGATAACGACCACTCCAAATCATCACAATCACCATCGCGGAACTTTGCAAACGGATCATCACAGTCATCAGGGCCTAGGTCACCCCCGAGCAAGGGCGCGAATGGGAGTACGCACAGCAGGAACGAGAGCAATGGCTCATACACGAACGGAGGGCCGGTAGCGAATGGCGGGACGGTACCTACAACTTTCTTTGGCCATGACAGGGAAGAAGTGACGCGGATACTGATACAGAGCCTGACGGACTTGGGATACCACAGTGCTGCGGGCGCATTGTGCAAGGAGAGTGGCTTTCAGCTCGAAGGGCCGACGGTTGCGGCATTCCGAACCTCGGTATTGAACGGCGATTGGGAAGAAGCCGAGGAGTTATTATTTGGGTCAAATACGTATGATACTGGGGGAAGTGTTGGTCTGGACGCCCCCTACGGAAAGCCATGGGGCAAGTCAAGTTCACGGCCAAACTCGCAGCGTTCTGCAGGCTTGACCCTAGCCGAGAGCGCAAACCGCGAGGTTATGCTGTTCTGTTTGAAGCAGCAAAAGTATCTGGAGTTACTTGAGCGGAGAGATCTGAGCAAAGCGCTTGCCGTACTTCGACAAGAACTGACACCGCTTCGTCAAGACGTAGGGAGGTTACATGCACTTTCAGCGTAAGTTCATATCCCCATGACCACGCACCACTCAGCTAATGCTTCATAGACTCATGATGTGCCAGTCTGCCGAAGACCTCAGGAACCAAGCTCAATGGGACGGTGCTCGTGGCGACTCGCGGATGCATCTGCTCTCTGATCTCTCAAGTAAGCAATACATAACACATTTCGGAGAGTTCCACTAACGTGCATAAGAATCCATATCACCAAGTATCATGATCCCGGAACACCGGTTATCCGTTCTGCTAGACGAGGTAAAGGACAGCTGGATTGGAAACTGTCTGTATCACAACACAGCCGCATCACCCTCTCTTTACCTGGACCACAACTGCGAAAGAGATGACTTCCCAACAAAGGCTGTACTTGACTTGAGGCATCACAAGGATGAGGTGTGGTTCTTGCAGTACTCACATGACGGCACCAAACTCGCATCAACAAGCAAGGATACGACAATCATCATTTACGAAACCAATACGTACAAAGTGTTACATCAGCTTGATGAACACCGGGAATCTGGTGTCACCCACCTTGCTTGGAGTCCCGATGACACAAAGATTGTAACATGCTGTTCACAACCAGAGAACTCTGCACGGATATGGGATGTCAAGGTACGATAAACAAAGCTGTTCGAGAATGTTGACTAACTTTAGCAGACTGGCGTATGTATACAATGTATCAGCGACTTCACTTACCCATGCACGACAGCTACTTGGGATCCTTCCGGCACACGGGTCATTATCGGATCACAAGATGATAGTATGGGCTGCGGAGTCTGGGATCTCGACGGCCAACTCAAGCACAACTTCTGCGATGAAGGAAAGCTCCGGGCGAACGACCTTGCAATGTCCCCCGACGGCCAGCGATTAGTCGTTATAACCGAAAGCTCCATCGTTGTGTTTGACTTTGCCAGTTACGAAAAGATTGCGGAATTCCAGCTCGACGATGTCAAGTTGACTAGTGTCATGATTAGCCAAGATTCGCGGCATATGCTAGTCAGCATGAGCCCCGATCAGATCAAGCTTATGGAGATTGATACTGGTGACGTGGTTCAACGCTTCGAGGCACATGCTCAGAAGCAATTCATCATCCGATCAGCATTTGGCGGCGCCAACGAAAACTTTGTAGTTAGCGGCAGCGAAGGTATGTCTGCATAGTTTGATGTCCCATGATTCAATCACTAATTTCTGTTGGCAGACTCACGAATATATATATGGCGCTCCAATGGCCTTCTCATCGAAGTTCTCGATGCACATCCCGGCTGCGTCAATAGCGTAGCTTGGCACCCCAAGGATCCCACTACATTCGCCTCAGCTGGTGATGATATGCGAGTAAAGATCTGGAAACCAGCCTCGGCGTCCCCAATGCCATCGGGCAGTGGATCGAGTAACGGTTACGGAAGATAGAACTGGCCAATAGCTTGACGTGGTACGCATATACGGTTTCATGAGTGATTGGTGGATGATGGCCTGTACGATGGAAAGTTGTGTGTTCTGTTGCATTGACTTTGGCGTCAGATTGTGCATGGTTCATATAAGGGCTGACTGCATGGCTTGTTTTTGGGTATGTGGGTTCTGTGTAGCATTTGTCGGATCACTCGTGCTCGTGTTCTCCCCTTCGGTATGATGTACGTTGTTATTATTTAGACACTATATGTAGTAAATCATATGTTCTTGACTGGAGAGCTCGCCATGTACTTGCGCTTGCCTGCGATTGATCAACACTTCACAGTCTTTCTATAACATCCACATCTCTTTACTTGAGTCTTTGTACCCCCAGTATCTCTTAATGTTTTTATCATAATACTTTGATTCTTCCATTTCCTCACATCCCCAGCTCGCTCCTCTCAATCACGCCTTCCCTCTCCTTTTGATACCTCGCCCACATTGTCCCGACCAGTGCATAGTCCCCCATCCCATCGGCCTCGCGCTCCCATACCCAACTCTGTTGACCACCTTCGTTCATTTGTAGTGATCGTCTCGCAACCCTCTTCTCACCCACCCACAGCTCTTCCAGCGACCCTAAACCACCAAAAGCCAACCTAGCAACCTCATTCTCAGCTGCCACCCTCCTCTTCTCATTCCCTTCCCATAACGCCCGTCTTGCTTCCTCAGTCTTACATTCCATAACAGCTCGTTTCCACACTCCCCGATATCCCATGTCTAGATATTCAATCTTGCTGATTTGTAGCGTCTTTAGATGTGTCAAGCCTTGGCCTAGGATACGCATAATGGACGCGATGTCGGCTCGGTAGCAGTACGATTCACTGCGTAGGATGAGATGGTGGAGGTGCGGGAATGTAGTCGTAAGGAATGTCAGTTCAGCCAAAGACCAGGCAGCACTCCCATCGAAACTTTTCAGTCCCTTTACGGCCTTGAGAAGCGAGCCATCATCGTCGTCCCGCGAACTTAGGGACGGCATGGTCTCAAACAGACTCTTTAACTCGGTATACTTCTCCATCGCACAGTCCTCCCCATCCCCTTTACCTTTCAGAACCAAAGTCTTCAAATCAGGACAGTAATTGGCTAAGAACGCAGCACTGCTATTCACAACCAATGACTCTACTCCCCTTAGATCAAATAACCCCTCATCGGACCCAGAACGTAATAAGTCAGAGTCGCTAAATGCAGCAGAAAAAATATCCAAACTCCGACTCATCATCTTCACCTCCAATCTCTTTAACCGCGGTAGGCCCCGCATAAAGGTAAATAGATCAACTGCGTCACTGCCAGATACGTAGGCGCCGGAGCACCACCACCACAGACTGCCGAACATGTCTATTTTTAGTGTTTGGACATGGTGGTGTAGATGGGATGTCAGGGTGTTCGTGTCCAGAGCTTTGAGCGGAGCGGCGATGCGTAGCGCTTTGAATAATTGAGGAGTAAGGAGAGTACGGAGACGGCGGTTTGTAAGGGAGAGCTGCTTCCAGGGGGTTTGGTTGTGATGGTGGTCGAGGAAGTCGCATATGAGTAGTAAGACGTCATCGCAGAGGTCAGAAAGGGTGAGTGTTTTGTGGAGTGTCAAGATCGGTGGTGCATCAACTAAGCTGTCGACGCGTACAGGTCTAGTTTTGAGTACCATTGAGTTCATCTTGATGTGGAGAAAGTTGGGTATCTGAGGATGTTTTTAAACTTGATATTGGGTGCATGATCCTTGATAACGTCAACGAAGATACGGATATGGGAAGGAGCTAAGGAGCTACCCCACGTTTTAATGCATACTTGTTACTCGAAGAGGCTAGATATGTTGAAGCTACTAGGTTGACTTATCAGTGTTCAGCAAAGATCGGAGTAGGGACTGCAAGTAGACTTGTATTGTTGTTCGTACTATTGCTATTAAACCATTCTTTTATCATCGTTAGTCATAGTCATAAAACGTTATTCGTATCTTTCATATCGTCTTTGGCTTCGTCAGTCCTACACAAGGCACAAAAATCCACCACTCCACTTTTTGTACACTTTCAACTCATTCTTGGGTATCAGCAATATGTAACAATTAGGTCCAAAAGGGGATATTCAACGCTTTGGAAACGCGAAACTGATGCAACTCTTAAACGACCCGGACTGTTGCTTTACCTTTCCCGAGGTTTTGCGAAGAGGATATCAACATGTCTCTAAGTCGATCTTCGGCTTTTGTTAGCTCTGATCGGCTGTTCTGGTCGAGACCCGCCGGCCGGGGCCATGGTAGCCATGATTTGATAGAGCCCAAAGTACCAGAACGTGCTCGTGAGGCTGGAAGACTACGCATGGACGCTCCGCGTTGATGTGAAGGGATTCTTCGGGGTGTTGCAGTCTGGGGCCGGGTATTCAACGATCCATCAGTATCCACGACAACGCCCTGCATTGCCGATGATGTGTCGAGGGAAAGGTGCTTCGAGGCTGTAGGCGCGGCAATGGTTATGGCTGGATGCGAAGATGAGGTCGAGGCATGAACCGCCCAAGCCGGTCCTGCATTCTGAGCTTCGATCTGTTTCGAGCTGCCAGCCTCTTGCTCTCGGAAAGTGTCACCGTCGATGGCTTTTCTCTTGCCACTACCACCACTGATGACGCTCTTCAAGCTGCCATATGCTGACTGGCTACGCTTCTTACTGTTCTCTGCCCTACCCTCTTGCGCCAACCTTTCACTAGAGCTACTCGCTTCAGGCACAGCCATCAGTGTGTTGTCGGCAGCAGTCCATCCTTGACTGATTCTGTTGAGACGACCTCGTCCCACCAATGCCCCTGTGCTGGCAGCCCATCCCGAACCACCGCCTGTTATTTCTCCCTGCGGCGGTAGATGGGAATCGTACTCGTCGGCCAGACTCATTCTGCTTCGCGCGCAGATCTCGGCAATTGCATCGATGGCGTCTCTAATCTCAGGGTCAACAGCGCGAAGAATTGCCGAAAAGGAGAAGTCGTCGACGGAGGGTAGTTGCTCGCTCCTGCCTGCCAGACCCGCTGACAGGGCTGAAGCGTGATTTTGTCCGTTCATAGCAAATGAGCGTGGGGTGTTGAAGCCGGAGCCAGGGCGTGAAGCGTGCCGCGAGCCCGAGTACGTGCGTACTACGACGGGCTGGCTGGTAACGGTTGTCCGACTAGAAGTGGACTTTGCAGACTTGCTTTTGGAGGCCGATGAATGGAAGGCGGGCGCATTCAGGGCGCGCAATGCAGCAGACTGAGTTGGTGGGATTGTGTTGGTCAAGGTAGTAGTCGCACTGGGCACTGAGCCTGAGCTCGCCGTCAAGTCAGACGTGCCTTCTGGTGCATCTAGTGGTTGCGTGTGGGCGAGGACAGGTTCGTTGGACAGTATAGGTTTGGCACTAAGTGTAGACGTGGTGTTGTTGCCCAAGAGGGTCGAAAAGACGCCCAAGGGTACCGACTGTCTGGTGGTCGTTGCAGGCGTCAATGGTTGTGGGATTGAGTTCGACTCGGCGGTACCTGACCCATGTTGCTCACAGCTGGTCGGAGGGGCAGAGCTGGGCGGGAGCGATGGCGCCTGGAGGGGAACGCGCGGGTCATTAGACATGCCGGACATTGTGGGTTTTGGTTCTGTAGCTGCAGGTCAATGCATTGCCGCTATGCGACGCCGTCTGAGTTGTTGGGTGAGCTGCCGTGATCGAGAAGGATGCGCTGGCGGCCGACGCGGGCCACGCTTGGCTGAATATTTTGTCCCACCACCGACCCGGCCGCCATCATTGGGCCTTGGTCACACCATCGTACAGCTACCCTAATATGTCAATCCAATCGCACGTCACCTGCATTGTCCTCAATTGCGCAAATAAAAGACTTGAATAGTTCTTGTTGTGCCCAAGAGGTGTCGCACTGGTTACAACTTCCCGAACTGTTTCCACGATAGTCCTTGCTGCACGTTGGTCCGTCTGTCAATCACAAAATAGAAGGTGACACGTGTAGGTTTTGCGTATAGAAGTGCATCATGATCCTCAGGGGTATTGCAGGTCTCAAAACAGCATCCTCTCATCTGGGTGTTCGTCCATCGGCTGCGCGCACACCAGCTCCTCTGCCTGCCCAAGCTCGTAGCTCAACCAGGACGCTAGCCCACCAGCCAGTTCGTCCAATATCTGCATCTCAGCTTTAATATTGAGCATCAGCATCATCTGCAGCTCCCGTCGCCAGCCTTGCTCGGGACCGTCAACGCCGATCAAGTTCCATTCCAGCATTCGTGCTGCTTTAGTGCGGTCGCGTGCTGTCAGTCTCATCAGACCTTGGAGTTGAGGCATCGCACTGGTGTCTGTGTACTCTTCGTCCACCGGAGTCCGGCTCATGTGGTGACTCTTTACACCAAGCCAGCGGATGTTTGGCAAACCCGGCGCAGTTGTATCAGTGGGTGTAACGTTCTCATGAGCAAGGCGATACGAGCCATACTTGTACGTCGATAGGATGGCGATGCCATCAGGGTCAAGATCCACAAGAGCATACATAGGGATATGAGGGGCGCTATCCGCTATCTGACTCAAAAATGATCGTGAGGCAACGTCGGGGTACCCTTTTGCCTGTAAAGGTGATTAGGCAACATTCGGTAACGGACACAATCAAGCTTACAGTCAGTACGATTCCGTTCGAGCCCAAGGTGTGCCACTGTGGTGAACTCATCAGGGACCTGAAGGCCGCCTGGGTATGCATTAGCAGTAACATCAAGACTCTTAGAGCATCAGTCATACCTCCTTCTCAATGATGAGAACCCAATGCACTTCTGTAAGATCTACATTGTCGTTTTCACTGACATTGGGAACGAGCATACCCTGGCGAGTTGTTAGAGAGGTATCACGGGCTCGAGGGCATTGTCCAACCTCTTTCTCGCTCATACCGTCTACAAGATGACCGTCATACCGAACTAGTCTGAAGTTGCCAGCTAATAAGCTTTTTGCGGCAGCAGTCTGAGATAGAGCATTAGCTGTGTTTCCGCTCATATCACCAAGATTCGCGTACCACATTCAGTTGGGACCGAGGGATGCCGAAGGTACAAGCCAAGTCATCGATGTATCGATCGACGACTGATTGCTTGACAAAGAGGTCTGGATGTCGGTAGTATATATCTCTGTATCGGGTCAGGTCATGTTGTCGGTGTACGAGAACAAAATGTACCTCTTAGTCATGATGGTGTTTGTAATGAGGCTAGAATGGATAAGCTCCAGTATGCGAAGCAGCACGGCTATGCGAGTCTTAGTCCAGTCTGAATATACGTATGTGGGTGAACCCACTGAAGTTCCATGCCTCTTGTGCATTGACTCCTGGGAAGTTGATATCGCGTTCCTTCGGTTTAGGAACTAGACCCTGGCCGTCACCTACGGTAGTAGTTCGTCTGCGAGATAGGGCTGCACGCGACTTCAGAGTGATGGTGAGGGCTTCATGCTCTTCTAGCAAGGCGTCCACAATCGTCTCCAGCATTGCTTCAATGCGAGCGATCACCCAATATCTGTACAAAGGTCAGCTCTAGCCAGCTCAGCTTAAGAACCATGAAGCACCTGTCGCGTATCGGTCTTTCGTTAAGCACAGGTCGGTAGCACTGATGTTCCTCCTGAGAATGCAGGGCGCTACCAGCAGCTCGAAGAGTCGAGTCTGAGCTGTTCGACATACCCCACAGCATGGCTTCTTCTCTAGAAGTAGTGAAAAGAAGCTCCTCATCGGAGTCTTCGGACAGGGCGTCGTCAGGAGTAATTTGCTTGTCAAAGTCACCAAATAACATGTCCTCGAAATCGCTCGTATCCATGGCGGGACTGTGGAGCGGCGAACAATGGTCTGCCACTTTGTGGATAGTTCCTAGTTCACTAGAAGGCAAGTGATAGATTGTTGAGATTCAAGAAAGCACGAGAGTTGCATGATGCCCAGGTAATGTTGGGACGAGGAAGTTGTTCGCAGAACGTGTTTGGCATGTGAGTGCCGTGAAAAGGTAAGCACAACACGCGCAACCGCATTCACAAAAGGCAGGTCCACTCTGTGTGCTTGCTCACCAAACCTGTAATAATGCAGCTGCTTGGAGATCATTCGAGGTCACTTCTACCGTTGAGATGATGGTGCTCAGGATATCGATGTTCGTGTTCAATCCGCCCTAACGCTAACAGGAAATCAGGACATGAAATCGCTAAAGTATGCGCCATTCGAATAGTTGGCCCCAGTCGCACTTCCCCACGCTAGGCCCCCGAAAGCTCTAGTTGCTCACGCCTTCCACGCGCTGCGCGTCGCGCCTTCCACCTTCGCGTCTCCTCCCGCATCAACGTCCGCTACCGCAACCGCCCTGTTTGTCCAACTACAACACAACTCTGTCAATTGAGCGCCAGCTCCCTTACTCTCGGTACCCGATAGACTCGCAGAAGTCCATAGGTTGTACTTCTAGCAGCCACCGCACACATGGAGGACCCCACGCCCGTTGCGCCGGTGCCCCAGAAGCGTCCACACGAGAACGACGACATCGAATCTCCCATTTCAACTCCGGTCAAACAAATTCGATCAGAGGCCTCCACGCCCCTCTCAGTGCTTTCTGTCGAAACCCCATCGCCCTTCAAGAGCAGCGCCCAGAGTTCAACCATTCCAGACCGCAGCAATGTTTCCGCCCCAACCGCCTCCCAACCGCCCAAGAGACGGAAGGTGACTTCACAAGAAAAAGATGCTCAACGTCTAGAGAAGGAAGCGAAGGCCAAGGCGCGAGAAGACAAGAAAGCGCAAAAGGAGGCAGAAGAGAAGATCAAGGCAGAGCAAAAGGCACAGAAAGAGGAGGAGAAGAGGAAGAAGAATGAAGAACGAGATGAGAAGAAGCGTCTCAAAGAGGAGGAGCAGCAACGGATAGAGGAGGAGAAGGCAAAGAAGGCACGGGTAAGTCGATCATCATTCCTGCACCGCAAACTAAACAGCTAACCTCGGAGTAGTCCCAAATGAAGCTCAACGCTTTCTTTGTGAAGCCAAAGGCGGGAACCAGCCCAGGACAGGCAGTGGTAGCTTCATCCCAGAACCCCACTGCCTCAGCCGTATCTCTACCTTGCATATCTCGAGTCAATACTAATTTGACCCCTCCATCTCCACAGAAGACCATTGTTAAGAACGCACAGTCAGACTACGAGCGATACTTCCTACCATTCAACCTTCCTCCACACACGATCCTTGCGTCGGCAAACCCTCTACTAGACGACCCGGAGCGGATGGAGGCTGCCCGAACACGACTGGAGAATATTATTACGCAGAGGAGCACTAGTGCTGAGACCATCACACGAGAGATATTCGTATCTTCTTTCCCGAAACGAAACCAGCGAATTCGCAAGAGTGCAACCATCGCGGAAGTCGTCGAACGCGTAAACGGCTCATCGGATCAGCCCATCGACCTGACTGCAGACAAAGGCCCGTTAGAAATGCTCAAGGACATTCCGATGAAGTACATCCACTTCTGCAAGGACGTACGCCCGCCATATTACGGTACATATACCAGGCCATACACCGATGTGGAAGCTTCTCGGCTCGCACGAAATCCTCTTGCTAGGGTCCGACAGGATACTGATTACGATTACGACTCAGAGGCGGAGTGGGACGAGCCCGAGGAAGGAGAAGATCTGGACTCCGATGGAGAGGACGACAACGAAGACGAGGCGGAAGACGACATGGACGGTTTTCTTGATGACGAGGAAGACCCACAACTCAAACGACGACTTATTAGTGGCGATTTGGTTCCTGTCAGTACTGGCTTGTGCTGGGAGGACGCGGATAGGGTATCCAGGTTGAATGACGGTTCTGATGCCATATGCACCGACTTCAAGGATTTCAGGATGGGTTTCCTATTGGATCCACAAATGAGCTCGATCGACCCGTTCTCCACTGCATACTGGGCGCCAGATCCTGCGACAGTCTCAACTGCAGCCACCGTCGCGAAGAAAGACAGCCCTGCCAATAACACTATGAACCCGCCTCGAGCGCCTCTGGTACAACGGTCTATGAACGGTTTGCTCAACACATTAAATGGCCCGCAAAAGTCAACCGCAGCGACTCCGACTAAGCCTGCGAAAGCCAAGCGACTGGTACCCACCGAGCAGCTGCCGGCTTTCAAAGCCGAAATTGAGGGCAAGGATTTGACTAAGATTGGTATGATCGAAGCGCTAAAAAAGGCGTTCCCCAAGTTACCCAAGGATGCTATTAGCAATACTTTGAGCATAGTCGCCGCAAGGGTAGGCCCCACTGAGAAGGAGAAGAGATGGGTGCTTGTCAACACCTGAAAGTGTCGCGTTGTCAACACCGTATTCGGGCCAGCTTCTTGTCTTTCGCTTATCATGTATACCGCTTTTTTCCAAGTGTGTTAGTAACATACCTCGTCAACTACTTTTGGGATTTATGGAATAGTCATTTAGCATAGCGGGTGATGGAGTACACGGTAAGACTGAGGTTTTAGGTGTTCAAGAGTCATTATCAAGCGATGTACCTACTTTTCAAAAGTCGAGCCGCGGCCGCGCGTTGTAAGACAAGTGGAATGTCGGGCGTGTATTGGGAGCCCAAGCAATGCCATCAAGAACACACAATGAACAACGATATTAACGTCAAGACTGGTCGCATATGCTACACGGTTCCACGCACACTTGTCATCTGGACAACTATCACAGGCGCGAAGTGATACTGGGAAACGGAGACATTGTGATTGCTGCAGGCAGTCCAGCGGGTGAGGCGGATAGTTGAAGCCATTGCACGTACCACGTCTCGTACGCATTGCAAGTGATGAGCGTAGACGCTCGATCATCCCCTGGGAAGTAGCCATGATACACACCATGCAACGGCGGAAGGACTACATTATTTGTGATCAGCCATAGCAGAACTGATGAACTCCATGGTCACGAAAGCACTTGGATGGCCATGCAGATTTATCCAAGTATACGCTGGCAAACACTCATTCTGGATGCACGGCTGTAACAAGTAATAGAACGCGTAAGCAAGGGCAAGAACGGCATGCGGGGAACAACTGCGGGGTTCGGAAACAAGACATTATATCGTGACTATTTCCGAGTACACATTTTGTTCTCGTCGTAATCTCACCGAGCGGGTACGCAATCTGACTGCTTTTGGTAAACATATTTTGGTGAGCGCGAGGTTAAGAATAGCGACTGGTGCCGGATCCACACATGCATCGAGGACCGTGCGAGCGGGCGCTTGGGATACTCGCGAGACGATCGCGTCCAATCGACCCCATCTTGTAAACGCCCACTATCCTTAGTGCGACAGCCTACAATAGCGACCCAATCATCAAGGCCTCCGCGACGAAGAAGCTTACATCCGGAAAGGGATCATCTTTGTTCCTCAAGTATCTTTCTATTCGAAGCGCCCACGCTGCACCTCCCTAGGCCGTGGTACTTCCACAACAGCATCAGCAGGCGCTCTCTGCAGCGGTTCAGTTCCGTGCGGCTCTAGGCGGCGCCCAGGGATGCTACCATGCGCTACCAACAGAAGCAAGGTGGATATTCCCGCATGTAAGAATAGCTGAGCCTTTGTCTGACTGGCTAATCGTCTGCATGCTCATCTTAGTGTATCGATATACAGATGATGGAGGCCTACAAAGACACCGTACCGCCTCCAGAACCTCCGCAACTCGAGTTTGAGACGTTTCGTCATTGTCGTCGTCCATCTTCGCCTGTCGGTGTCGTAAGCAGTACCCCACAATTTGCTACTTGACCTTCAGCTTGCTGGATTCAAGCGTCTTTCATCATCTATTATGGCGTCTTTCGTTCTCTACCTTTCCGCAACTGTGCTGTTCGCTCAGTCCACAGTCGCTTCAAACTGCACTAAGAAACCGATATATGTCGATATCCACAAGCGGGCCGTACACGATTCGCCAGTCTTCCAATATGGATCCTTCATCGGACTAGGGACGCCTGCACAAAATCAGAGTCTTTGGCCATCACTACAACAAAACCATATCTCCTTCGCGTCAAGTAACTATTGCAAAGAGGCAAACACGACGCTCAAGGATTGCGATAGAAATACAGGAGGCTTTTTCAACGATCGAGATTCGGATAGGTATGTTAGACTGGAGACATAATAGTTTGCCTCATCAGCTGACATGTAGAGTAGTTTCGAGAACGACGAAAACTTCCAAACACTAGACGATGATCAAAAAGGATTTACGGGGTTCTTCGGCCAAGAGACCCTACGATTATATACACATTACTTCGAGACGGACGGCGCGTCGCAGACATTACTAGGAAACACCACCGTTGAAGTCGCTGAATCAGGATCGATCACACCTGGAAGGGTTGGCATAGGGCCATCTTCAACGGTGCTACGAGATCTCGTTGCGCAGGATATAATTGCTGGTAAAACGTATTCGCTCTATATCGGTCAAGGATTTGAACGAGCTGGGGGCGCAGTCAACGGCAGCAACGTCTTTGGAGGATATGACTCTGGTCGCTTCACTGGAGAACCGCACAAATACCCAATGAACATCAACAACCCTAGTCCGATGAGCGTTCGCATCAAAGACATTGTTATCACCAACACGGAGGACAACGCAAATGTATCACTCTTCGACAACACAGTCTTCACTGACATGGAGACGCGGGCAGAGGACTTCGAGGCCCAGATCACGACTGAGCAGTTCCCATTCTCTCTACCCTATCAGATCACCCAAAACTTCATCAAACGGCTAGGCGCTGAGCAAGATAACAAATGGGGCGACAACTCGCTGAAGTTGAAGAACGCTTTTAACGGTTCACTCTCTATCGTGCTCGAGGATGGCTTCACTGTCACCCTCCCGCCAGAAGTCCTTATGAACGCCTCGAACATCACACCCATCCAAGATCGCGAAGAGTCAGCAGACACGCCGTTCTACCTCGGCACCGCTTTTCTAGGACAGGTCTACTTGATGGCCGACTACGAAACTAACAACTTTTTCCTCGCTGAAGCCATTCAAAAGAACAACATGGTTATGCCAGTAACTTTCTGCCCCAAATCTACCCCCACAGCCTACGAACGTCCCAAACAGTCCGCATGGCAAAGCCAAGGCCTGATTGGTGCAGTTATCGGTGGTGTGGTCGGCGGTATTGGCATAATTTGCGCAAGCTACTGTATATGGATCACATGGATGCGAAAGAAGGATGAACGGAACCTGAAGAGGGAGTTGAAGAGAAACTCACAAAGAAAGATGGAACAGATGGATATCGAAGAGGCACAACCAAAGTTCGATCCACCACCAAGGAGTGTGAACGCAGCGAAAGCCATGTTTTGGAGGAAGAACAAGCCGGGGTTGACTTTTTGAAGCGGGTTGCTACATTTTGTTTCTTGAAGTGACCTTTATCGTTCGTTATACCCAGGGCTAGCAGTATGCTGCTCATTTAAACCACATGCCATTTGCAATACTTCAACTGTCTGCTTCATTCATGTCAATTTGAAGTTTACCATGGAAAATGAGGCTTAACAGTGACCTGACGTCCCGAATAGGCAACTTCTCTGTGCCATTGATCTTAGCAACTTTCACTGAGGCCAGCAGCTCCGTTCAGGATCGTGATAGTGGCGCCACAACTTCCAGCCCATCCTCCACATACACACTTTACCTACTTCTACATTCGGTAATATATGTGTGACCATCGATCGTGGTGCTGTTCACTCAGGTTGAAGTGAATTCCAACACAACCGTTATGTGTCCAAAGTCCGTTCAGCTAGTATTGCCAAACCGGGCAGTTGATACTCAGGTGTGGATTGCGGTGCCTTTCAACACGACCGTTATACTCATGCCCAATGCCCGATTGGGCAATTCGTAGAAAAAGTGTCGATTGCGGTACGCTTCACCCACCCTACGGCTAATCGTCAGGCTACCCACGTACCCTTTCACGTCCGCCTAACACGGTAAAGCTCATTCCACTCTAGCTTCCAGCCCATTGACATATCCCGCTGTGTAGATGACGCACACAGTTATTGCGCAAATGATGATGCATGTGATCTACGACGAGACCTAGCAAATTTGACTACTGTCACCGCTGTGTGTGTCACGCATTCAAAGGCCACGCGTATCAGAGACTTTGTATCGCCAGAAACACATTTGACGAATCCGAAGAATCGAAACTATCGTAGTGTCCTAGGGAAACTTCTAAATCCTCAAGGTGGGACGTATGCGGGTCTTGTCACCAAAAGCAAGCATAGTTTAATTGTTTCTTGCAGTTGTTATAGCAGCAGAGTATGTATCCCTAATCTTATCAGTGCGTATGGTGTTTCATATCTTAGCAGAACCTGGGTCTATCTTCCCGACGCATTCCCGGTGTCCTTTGCACATGCCAGAGATTTTCACAATCCTTCCTTAATTCTCCTGATGCGCCCTGGACGAGGTTGACGAGTGCTCCAAAAGAGAATCGCAAAGTTGCCTTCGTTCCATCTCCTACAAGCTCGAGGTCGTTCATCTCGATTCCGTCACTGGTGCTAGGATGACCGTGCGGAAGGCACACGCGTCGATGGTATGGGTCCCATAAGAGATGAATGCGCATATCCTTACAGGTTTTGCGTAAACAGAATACAATCCCTCTCATTCTACGATAGGTGAATGGGCAGATACTTCCACAGTCCATACAACGAATGTATCTTATGTGAGCGGAGGTGACAGGCACTTCAATGTACGATGCCCTTCCAACAAACAACCGCGGTGGGAGACTCAAGGCGTCGGTAATGACTGCTGCGGAACACAAGCAAAGTGAGTCTGAGCATACTCGAAGTGTATATCGCATGACATCCTCATCTGAGACGTTGTAGTCGACGCGAAAGCTCTCGCCTTCGCTACACAACGCTAGCAAGGAATATATGCGGTCTCTGGAGTTCGCACAACCCGTGCTTCGAAAATGATAAAGAAGGTTCAAAAGGCTCCACTCCGAGGTTATTGAGGATTCTCGTTTGTGTTCCAAGATATAGTCCGCGATGTACTGAAATGGTGAGTCCTGCATCTTTATCGCACGAACCACACTGTTGAGCTCAAGAGCCTCCGATCCAGCAATGACTATGGCGCGTCGAGCGAGCGCAATCTCTTGTGTCACCCAAGCTCGCGACCAGTATCTGTTCTTGCAAAACGCAAGCTGCGATGGGTGAAAAGGTACATCTCCAGCAGGGAGATGCAACTGCGCAGCACGTGGTGACGTATTGTCTCCATACCAGGTCTTTGATTCGACACTGATGTGATATGGGCGTTGTCGTATGCCTCTTAGGGCTTCTTCAGTCGTTGCATCGCATCCTAACCAGCAGACGACCAAGTCCGCTTCCGAGAATATTTTCCCCATCTGTTGTACCTGGTGATTACGCTCATTCTTGTTCAGCTGATCAATACACAGCGCATCAATCCAGAAATTTCTGCGCCTAAGCCATCTCAAAGTCCGCACGGTGCGGAGAAATTCCCACAGACCCTGGCGTACGTGAAAAGGGCGCCCATCGATCTGAATCGAGTAGAGGGGGAGTGGCTCACCCCAAGTATACGAGAGGCAGCTGTATGATGGCAACGGTGCATACGATTGCAATGGTATATCTGGAGGTGTTCCTGATTCTGAGTGCGGGATCCCGAAGTGAGCCATACGGCACTGAACCGCACCATCCCTGGAGAGCTCGGAAGAAACTTGGACTAATCGTATGGAGGCGATGTTAAGATCCAAAGGTCTATGTTGAAAGTGCAAGTGGTCTGTGGCTCCATCCGAACGACAGCACCGGAGATATGACGCTTCCGTAGTTGGCATGATTCGTTGAGCAAGGCCAAGGTATTTAGAAGTTCACATCATGATTGAGGTACCGGAGACGGGCGATAGAGTATATGGAGTAGATAAAAGGTTGCATATTGTATAAGGTGTTCGGACGAGAGTGATGAGTGTGCGTCGTGAAGGAGCGAGGCTTCATGGTCTTGTCCGTCTGATGGAGGCGGAGTCGAAAGGTTGAGATTCCAGTGCACCGCCACCACGGTAGGCGCATTGAATGTAGGCAACAATACAGCCGACCAATGAGAACAACGCCAAAGCTGCGTTCATGATACATACCCATTCTCTTCAGATTGCCAGCACTCGGTTCTCACCACGACGCAGTCAGTTTAAGTTCAGTTTTTCAAGTTCAGCCTTGTTACATGCCATCGTGTCACCTCAGGAAAAAACATTCAAAAGGGCGGGCATGGTGTCGAAGTAATGGACGAAGCATGATCAGGGGAACATGAGGACATGGCGAAGACGTAGTTCGATTGTAAGTCGTGATGTACGTCATATCAAGTGCTTGTTTACAATATGGTACAAAGTCTGGTAGTGGTTTTGTACAAGATCGAATTGCGTCCAGGTCATGAATCAGGCGAGAAGCTGAAGCCAAGGGGTGCGAGTATCTTTTCTTGCACAACCTTATTGGCTACTTCGCCGCCGCGTTCCAGAGCTACGGCTCCAACGATGGCATATAGGGAAGTCATGAGAACGGTCTCGAAACCGGACCCTTGCAGGTTATCCGCCTGTAATTCGTTAGCCTGCGAATAAAGATACCCAGAATGTTCAAACATACCCTCTTGGGTGTCCATCGAGTGACTTTGTCCAGGCGGTACCGCTCTGCTAGCGGTGCTAACCGTGACTTGCTTAGCACCAGATTCTCTGCCTCGTCTGTCAAGCCTTGTAGCCCATTCAAGGCGGGGTGTAGGTATGGTTTACGACCGTACTCGTCGTTCATTGGTACACCATTGGGGTCTCTCGGCCATTGGTGTTCTTGCGGCGAGTTTATGAGTGCTTGTGATGTTTGTAGTTCGACGATCCTCCGTCCTGCCCTTTTCATTAGCCTCCCGCCTGCCCGCCTTTGAAATATGCACACATACCCAAGTATGCCAGTCGGTCGTTGAACCCTCTCCTTCCGTGGTCGAAGCTTTTGTGTGTGACCGCTAACCATTTGACATCGTCTCCCAGCATTTTGTCTCCTCCAGGACCCAACATGCGTATATACGCATCGTCCAACTTTTTCGGGTCGTCGTTGACTTTGTAAACGCCACCTTTGGCTGCCGGTCGTATCCTGTAGGGTGCCATCATCCGCGGGGGTGTTTGTTGCCATCGCGGCCTGTCTGCAGCTTCTGTGTCATGTTCGGTGGCCCTCGTTGGTGTGGTGCTTGAAAATGCGCATGCGGAGGTCCGCACGATGGACGTTTTGGAGATTTGCGCGGGCCGCAGTGATGATGAAGCGGTCGAGACGAGTGATCGGAGCGGTCGTTTGGAAGCCATTGCGATACTTCCAACCGGTGGGTGAGGTGTAAGAGGCGTGATTGGCGGAGGGCGGAGACAATGCTGCTGGCGGAGGTGAAGTTCGGATCATCGAAAAGTTGCGGCACGCGGATCGCGCCTTACCGCAACCACGCTAGCACCAGTCGCGCCTACCGCTCCCCATGTTGCGTCCTCGATACGCGACTCTTCCCCCTTGCTGTGATTCCTTTGGGTCATCATGGCGAGTGCTGGTGTCTCTAAGCCGCTGAAAGAGTTACTGGCCGAACAGTTACCAAAGGATGTGCCTATCACCTTCTATCACTACTCAACACCACCCTCCAAGTCCTCCGCCCTCTTCTCCGCGCCGCCGCATGGCAAGTCCGAACGAACATACTGCGAATCGCATACACTAGCAGCCTCGATAGTGCCAAAAGATGCAGCAGCCTCAGAACTACCCGAGGAGCTTCTCATACTTGCCATCGAAGTCTTGATCTACACCACGAGAAACCTCACCACCATCTTCGTCTCCAAGGCCGACTCGACAGGGTACATTTCGGAGCTGCAATTACCGCGAGCCCAATCTGGATCGCCTCTGAAAGCTATTTGCGGAACATTCGTATCTTGGCTTGCAAGAGAAAGGCAGAGAGAAGGGAAGAAGCTTGTCGTGTCTCTCTTCGCAAGGGCACAGGATCAATACCTGTTCCCGGCGAGCATCGAAAACAAAAACAAGCATGTTCTGGATGATAGAGGCTTGGTCAAGTGGTGGTGCAGAGTACTCGACCCGATAATATGGGAGTACAAAGCCGAAGGAGAACGGAAATCCTTCGCTGAACGGCTGGTTGACGCTGAGGGCACAGAGACGAACGACGTGCCAGTACAATCAGAGTCTACAGCGAAGGGATATCTGGTAATACCGGGCTTCGAACCATACGACACGCTGCGATACATTCCTCCACCTTCCGTGCCGAACACTCCTCGACGCTGGGCGAACACACACCCACTCCTACAGATCGCTCCGTATCCTGCTGCACCACCACGGTGCCTCGTGCCACACTTTCCAGACGACCCCAAGGCTAGGTTCCTTGACGAATTAGACGAAGAACTTCCCGACCGTGGCACAGATACTATGGTAGTAGATGGAGGCACACCTTCGAGAAGCAACGGGCAGTGGAAGAGCGTCAAGACGCTTGACCAGTTTTGGGAGTTCATGGCGTTCAGGCAGGAATGTTCGTCAGGACGTATAGTGGGTTTCATATGGGTTGTCATAACACCGCCTAAGCCTTCAATACCCGAGGAAGATGAGGACATGCCGTCGCAGCAATCGGCATCACAGTCTTTCTCACAGATCGACTCGCAAGAGAACGTACCCAGCCCAAAACGACGGAAGACAAGTCGGCGAAGGCAAGAGGCTAAAACCAGGTATGGACCTATCCCGCTTGTCCTGCCCAAGATCAAGACAAGCTCTTCGAACCTATCGACATCGTCAAATATGTCTTCCAGCTCTGCCAAAACTCTTCCTGAGAACAGCCCATATTGGAAGTGGCCTGCTTCCTCACGCGGGACTATCTGTTTCTCGCTCAAGAACTACGACCGCGCACACGAGGTCCTCTTACAACAGACGTTTGCGAACCGAAAGGCAGCAGCACGAAGCACGAGGAAATGGAAAGAAGAGATTGCTGTTCTCGGCGGCATGGATGAATGGAGCTTTACAGTAAAGGGAACAAAGGAGTATGTAGCTGCAGGAAAGCCCTTGGATGCAACAAACGGTGTGACACCGACGATGGTCATGGGTGTACGAAAGAAGAGGAAGCCCGACACCCCATCAGAGGCGGCAACCGGCGCGGAAAAGTCGGTGGAGCCTGCGCAAATGCTAGGAGAAAGCATGGTCAGAAAGAAGGCAAAGATCGAGCCAACACCCGTTACTGATGCAAGTGCTGCAAATGGTGTGAACACTTTGACCGCTGGACTAGTGCGCAAGAAGCCAAAAGCTTGAAACCTGTTGAGCTTGTTAGATGCTTGACATCTTGACTCGCATGGCTATTCAGTCTACTGACCATATAGGGAGTTTGGGGGTAAACTTGCACCGGGATTTGGCCTACGAGGTCGCATAGCGAGGCGCTTATTTCAGTAATCACCTTGATTTTCGAACAGTAATGTATGAATATACCGAAATACCTCCCCTAGTCATCTGTTTCGTCTCTGAGTTGCTCAACGTGCAGTGCTAGGAAACCCTCCAGAAAAGCGGCCTCGAATAAGAAGCGGCACTATCCAACCGACCAAAGTTCACTGTTCATCTTCCAACTCGCCTTCGGCATCTTCGCCAGACTCTTGAAAACGCTGCCACATCTGGTTTGATATCGCCCTGGCGTGAGTAGCCCACTCACTTTGCGTTTTCGTCTCACCGCTTTCGGCGTAGGTCAATACAGCGTCTTCGTGAGCCAAGGCTTTCCGGCGTGCAGATATCCCTTTGATTAGGGCGACACATTCAATCGTTGCATTTGCAATGGGCTTGATGAACCTGAAGCAGGTGAATCAGATGTATCCAAGTTCGAATGTGTCATTGTCGTTTATGAATCCCTCGAATTTTTGGTCCTGTGCATCAGAACTACAACTATACCACCAGTTGCTCAACGTAGTAGCGAGAAGATTTTCTTCGAAGCCAGGCGCGAAGAACTTCAAGACCTCATAGAACATCGAATTCACTACGGGATCGTAAAGATCCAAGCTGGAAGCCGAGAGAGGGGCAATCAGATTGTTAGCATTCCCAAGAGCCCAGCCAGTCCGCATAACTTCTGTTCGCCTCCGGATCGGTGTCAGATCTTCAGTGATCAATCCTACAGACAGTAGATAATCGGTCAGAATTGCAGTAAACAGGTCTAAGATGGAAACAGGTCTAAGATGGAAACAGGTCTAAGATGGAAACAGGTCTAAGATGGAAACAGGTCTAAGATGGAAACAGGTCTAAGATGGAAACAGGTCTAAGATGGAAACAGGTCTAAGATGGAAACAGAGTAGTCGATCTGCATACGGCTGTTGGTGAGCCCAAGATAACCCAATCCTCTGAATCAACAGCAGTATCATCTGTTTCCTTTTCTGCGTTGGATTCGCACTGATCCGGGTCTTGCACTATCCATGCCAATACTTCCTCGGCCCGTTGGTAGATTTCTCCCATAATTGAAACCAGAAATGGTTTCTCGGCGTCATCATCTTGATTGATACACAAGGTGTCGATAAAGAACCAATCTTGTCGATTTTCAGCTACCATTTGGGCCACGATGGTCTGTAAGTTGCTGCGGATAGGGATCTGATGATCATCAAGGTAGGCCTTGATTCCTGCATGTCTTCGCCCCACCGATCAGAGAGGGCTTTTCATTAGGCAAGTCATGAATACTACCGCTTAGAAGCGCTAAGGGATTGCCTACCATGGTCGTGCTATAGCGAGGTCATGCTCGTACGGGCCACAGACGCGGTGTGACGTGGTGAAGCGCTGACTACACAGCAATATGGGCAGGAGCTGCAGCATACAGATATTTCGTGTATAAAGAAACTTCCAAGTTGTACTCAACAAAGCCTACCCCAAAGGTTTCCGCGATATTCTGTATAATAGGGTTCCGAGACACATGGTTGTGTACCCGTCTACCTAGAGTGTTAATTACAACTTATCAAGAACAGGACCCTTTGTGGTCACGTATGACGGCTGCTCTACAGGATGTATAAACACCGAGGATACCAAACATTTGGTATCGCAAAATGATTGCAGAGCGACGAGCTTAGTGAGACAGCTCCATAGCTTTCACGCTTAGCCTCCACTCACGCATTGTTAGCGTAGTTTCCATCATTTTGAAGGAAATCTTCGTATTGAAGAACTGTCGGACGTGAAGTCAATCTCGAGCATGTGTTACTCTGTCTGCGTGGAGGACATCTGATCACTACCAGCGATTGCTCCTGGCGGTGAAGTCGATCCGCTCGGATATGCAAACATTTGCGTGACAAATAAACGCGTCATGTTAGCAACTACAACATGTCTGCTTCTTCGCATGGATTTGCCGATACTACTTGCATTGACATACCTCTAAACGTTGTCGTGGTGTTGGCTTGGCAGGTCGTCACTTGCTGGTGCGAAACTCCGCAACCTCCGCGCTGTGAGATTCGTCAACATCCCACCCTCAGTCTGACTCTACAACACTTTTGCGCATGCTTCGCGTGCCCGACTTCGCGACAGGAGAAGATGTCTCCATGTTGCGTACCATCATCGCGACTGGCTGTTTGATTTGGTGGGTGGTTGTTTGGAATGTTTGTGCTATCGGCTTCATTCAACTTTTCCGTTACTACTGGAGGAGGCCTCAGCAAGCAACATGCGTTACGACGTTGAAGGACGATGAAGTACCTCGAGTCACCGTGATACGCCCAGTCAAAGGCCTCGACCCGCGATTGTACGAATGTCTCGCAGCGACCCTCCGCCAGACATACCCCAAAGACAAACTGAACACCGTGTTCTGCGTTCCTGAGCGTTCCGATCCCGCCTTTCCGATTCTCGAGCGCCTATGCAAAGACTTTCCGGACGCCGACGTACAAATCTTGGTCGAAGAGGAGGATCCACTGCTAGTTAAGGACAATAATGCGCTGGGGCCCAATCCCAAAATCAGGAACATGAGTCGCGCCTATAGGGAGGCCAAGGGCGACATCGTATGGGTGCTCGACTGCAATGTCTGGGTCGGCAAGGGTGTTTGCGGACGACTCGTGGATCTGCTGTGCGGCTTTGGACAGGACAAACATGGCAACAGCAAGAGGAAGTACAAGTTCGTGCACCAGACACCTCTTACAGTAGATCTCGACTCGCAAGGTCTCTCGCTACAGGACAGAAAGGAGTTACTCGGAGGAAAACCAGAAGCAGCAGCACAATCGACCGATATCGCGGCAAGCACATCTTCGGATCCTCGCAACCACTCGGGAGGTACCATCAGGAAGCTGCTGCAACGTGGTGGAGGACGTCTGGACGAAGCATTCATGTCTTCTGCCCACGCCAAATTCTACCAAGCCATCAACACCGTCGCTGTGGCGCCCTGCATTATGGGCAAGAGCACTATGTTCCGTCGCTCCCAACTCAACTATGTTACCTCGTCGAACCCAGAACGCGCTCCCGGTATCGATTTCTTCTCCGATAACATTTGCGAAGATCATCTTATTGGCGATGTGCTGTGGAAAGAACCCCAAGCTTTCGAAAAACGGGGATACAAACCAGAACCAGGGACAAAGAAGGAGATCTGGGGCAAGCATGCTATGCTTTTTGGTGATTTCTGCTTCCAGCCAATCAGCCATACTTCTGTGATGGCCTACCTACAGCGTCGCATTCGATGGCTACGAGTTCGGAAGTTCACGGTCACTTTAGCGACCTTTGTGGAGCCAGGGACGGAGAGTCTTCTTTGTGGGCTGTACGGCGCCTACGCTTTAACGACACTACCCTTCTTTCACAACATCGGCATCAGCTCGACCTGGACCTCCTTCTTCCTCATCTGGCTCTTACACCTGTCTGCGTGGTGTCTCGTGGACTACGTCCAATATTTGTTACTCCACTGTGCAAAGACTGTCGAAATCGATGCCGACACCCCTGACTTCGTCTTGCCCCAACGATCAGCCTCTGCATACCATCGTACCGAAGTTCTGGAACCTTTGCTTGGCAACAAGACCCCAAGTGAGCCGAGTCTGCTCGACGGTGCAAGAAGAAACTTCATAGACTTTTTGTGTGCATGGCTTGGACGCGAGTTCTTTGCATTACCCGTATGGGTCACTGCCTTCTGGGGCGGTGTTACTGTCGAGTGGCGAGGCCGGAAGTTCTGGGTCGGACTAGACATGAAGGTCCATGAGATATTACCCCAGGAGAAGGAAGCCAAGAAAGATCAAGGCAAGAAGCCGTAGCGGTTTAGGCGATCTGGCGTTGCTTCTTGCATAGTATGTAGCCATGATAGCATTTCAGGCGTTTCCACGACAATACAGATACTATTAGACATGTGCACTGTCATTCAAATGTTAAACTAGGTCGTTTGCTGATCAAGAGCAAGTACAGCCAAGCTAATCTTGTCGTGCAGGGTCTAGCTGGATGCCTCCTACAACCCCATCAATCTCAGCCATCACCTCTGGCGTAAGCTTGTCCAAAACCTTCAGAGCTGCACAGTTGTCCACCACTTGCTCCGGTCTTGACGCCCCAGTAATCACCGCAGAGACATGGGGGTTCTTCAGACACCATGCAAGCGACAACTGCGACTGGCTAATGCCCAACTTGTCCGCAATTGGCTGTTTACATGTTAGCTAAGGTGCATCAAGGACATATAGGGACTTTAACTACCTTCAATTTTCTTGCGCTGTTGATCATGCCGCTCCACTCGTCGTTCCCATACCGATCACGCATTCCACTCACAAAGCCATCTTTTCCTTCGGCGAATCTGGATCCTGCTGGTGGTGCATCTGGACTGTCGTTGTACTTCCCACTCAGCAGCCCAAATTTTAGTGGCGAGAATGTAGTCAGACCAATCCCAAATCGCGCATAGAGGCGCTGGAACTCGCTCTCAACCTTCTTTCTTTCAAGCAGATTGTACTGCGGTTGCTCCACTACTGGTGCGATGAGGCCCAATTGTTTCGCTATCCCGCATGCCTCAGCGATCTCATCTGCAGACCATTCAGAAGTGCCCCAATACAGCGCCCAGCCTTTTTGCTCAATCACATGGTTGAACGCGCGTACGGTTTCCTCCATGGGCGTGAGACGATCCGGACGGTGCGCATACACTATATCGACGTACTCCAGATCCATGCGCTTGAGCGATGCACGAAGTCCTTCAATGATGTGTTTGCGCGAGAGACCATGGTTGTTGACAAGTACCTCGCCATTCGCGCCGCCCCAATTGAGTTTCGTGGATACCACAATGTCGTTGCGATTCCAGGCGAACTTCTTGATGGCCTGGCCCATGATGATTTCGGACTGGCCGCCAGCGTAAGACTCGGCAGTGTCGAAAAACGTGATACCGTTGTCATATGCTGTCTTCATGATGGAGAATGTAAGTTCTGAGATTAAGATTAGTTGAGTGGCCGTTACGCGTGAAGACAGAAAGCACCATTCTCGACATGGCCACCAAAACTGCAACTCGATCAGTACGTGTATCCAGATGAACAGGTAGTTAGACATACGTGAGCCAACCTCCTAAACCGAGCGCAGATACATGCAAGCCTGAGTTACCTAGGCGGCGGTACTGCATGCCAGTTTTACGAGGTTCTTCCCAAGCCATTTTGCGTATGTATAAAAAAAAACTTTGTGATACGTCTCAAAGGCTCAATTTCGTTGTATACTGAGGTGAGTGTATACCTCAAGCAGAGCCGCCATTACAGTCATGCGTTCTGGGAAGGCGCTCCAAAATTCTACCAACTACACCCAAAATGGTCATTTCTCCATGCAGAGCGATGCCGGTGATGTAGCCTCCCACATCGGATGAAAAATACTCTTTTTGGCGGTTGCGGCGAATTGTGTGCTGTTGAGGCCTTGGTGTTCGCGGTTTCGGAATGACTCGCGAGAACGTGGAGAGTACCGAGGTCGTCATTGATCCCCGCAATCACGACATGCTGTAGCTCTGGGTAATAGTGGAGCGCTGTAGAGAAAGTGGGTCCGACTAGAGACGTCTTCGTTGAACAGGACGGCTGTTTGCAGCCGATGACGGGACGCATACTCACTGTCTGCGCATGCAATGGCGTAGTACTATTCAGACAGATACAAAATATAAAGACAAACGTTAACAAGACACGCAAGCATTCAGGACATACTCACCAAAGACTTCTCCGCAAGAGTAGCAGCTGCTGAATGTTAGAATACTCAAGTCGAAAATCAGGATGAAAACTTGAATTAATCTCATTGATTTACGGATCGCAGATACCTCGGTGCGGCTGGAGGGCGGAGTGAAAATTATCGGTAGGTGGAGCAATTGGCGTAGACATACGATGCTGTAACCACAACCCGCATGTTACCATGCATGTTGATCCTAACTGACTGCCTAACGCCACCGGCTATCTTTCCTAGACCAGACTAGAGCGTGAACCTGAAGTCCAACCGCTTATTGCCCTCCTTCTCACGCTCGACAACGTCTGCTTGGTAGACGGCCTTCTCCTCTGAAGTCATCTGCTCCCACTTCTCTTGCTTCTTCTTGTTCAGGCGCATCAGAGTCCATCGTTGAACGAGGAAAGCAATAACACTCAGCGCGCAGATAGCCACTAGGACTGAGTTTCCCTGTTTGTAGTATGGTCCATCGTATTTGCGGTAGATCTGTGAACTGATCAAAGATCCAACCTGCACAATAACGTTGTACGTTGCGGCCGTAATCGCACGCTTCTTGACGTCGAATGTATTTTCGGAGATCCAAGATGACACCAAGGGATGAAAATAGGGGTATCCGGAGATCAGCGTGATTAGGGAGAAGCGGCCCCATTCGCGGCCTCCGTCCGGAAGCGTCAGAAGCGCGATAAGGAGTGGCATAATCCAGAACTCGCCGAAGATGCAATGGAACGTGCGTTCGTTGAAATAGTCGCTCGAATATGCTAGCGCTAACATGGTAACGACCTGGAGCGCAGCGGACGGAATGGTCAACATGTTGCTGTTGAAGGTACTAAAACCAAGGCGTTTTAGTGTGAGGGTAAGGTAGCCCTGAACCGGCGAGGCAGGGATGTAAGCAACGAGGCCGATGAAGTATAGACCCCACATAGAGGAATCAGACCAGGCGGCGCGGATGTCCTTGAATGTGGCAGGCTCTTTGAGAGCTGTAAGGCCTTTTGCTGGGTCGTCTCGGAGGATGCGGTTGACCATGATGACCTCTTCCCGCTCGGTATACCAGCCCTTAGGCCAAAGCACATTCTTGGTAGATGTCGGCGCTGCGGGTAGATACATAAACGAGAGAACGGCGATGACGACCGTCAAAAGCCCCTCTAGGAGAAACAGCCAAAACCAGCCGGGCTTCCCACTGACGCCTCGCATCTCCAAAATTCCAGCTGCAAGCAAGGCGGAAATGACACGGGCAACGTTCAGTGTGGACCAGAAGGCTGCAAGACGCATGGAAAGCTCCTTGGACTTGTAGAAGTAGGTCGCGAACAGGATGACACCAGGGATGAAGCCACCTTCGCAAAGTCCGATAGCTGCGCGGCCCAGATAGAATGAAGTGCGGTCGTGCATCCATGCCTGGCCCCAAGATGCAGTTCCCCACGCAAGCATCATAGTTGGAAGGATGTACTTGAAACCATATCGCTTAGTAAGACTAGATAGGAGTCTGGTCAGTTACTGGCTACAAAAATGGATTTGAGAACACTTACAACTGAACCGGAAACTCGGCAGCAAGGAAGCAAACCAGTTGTATAGTCGTGCCGTTGTTGTAATCGTCGGAGGTCAGACCAAGATCGTTCAGGAGATTATCTGCGAGCGCATTGGATAGGTTTCCACGATCGAGCTGCAAACAGTCAATATTTGTGATCATTCAAAAGCGTATATCAACTTTCCTGCAACCCAAACATCATGAGGCAGAGCCATGTCAGTAGTCGTAGGTCTGTCTTCCGTACAACACGACGCTCTTCCTCAATGCTCCAGCTCGCATGAGGGTCGAAGCGATGCCGGCCTTCGTAACTGTCGTGTGGGGGGATGATGTCCGCAAGCTCCTCTCTACCCACTTGGGCCGATGATTTGAGCGAGTTGGCATCTTCGCTGATCCGCGTCGTGTGCGGCGCTGCTTCGATGTCGTTGCCCATGTTCAAGGGCTGCGGTCGTCGGCTACAGCAAGAGTCCCACGAATGGAGGCTGTTATTGAGATTTGATGTTTGGCACGCTACATCTCCCCTGCTATGCTTTCACTCTCCTATTTATCATTTGGGAAATCGCATGTCGCAATTGCGGCTCATCTCGTCGCCATCGTCGCCATCCTACCGAGGCAGTAAATGCGCCGACGAAGGAGGAGAAAGCACGGTGTTGTGCATGCTAGTGCATCTGCTATCGGTCTTCCCGTCTTAAACCCCAGCTAGCGTACACAGGATGGTGTAGGTTAGACTTGGCATGCCTAATCCCGGAACATACAACTAGTCCGATGACGTGCTTTACCACGCATGCCGGAAATGTCCCACCCTAGTTCCTGGTAGATATTAGATGTCCTGGACCTCCAGGTATGTAAAACTGTTGGTCTAGAGGCTGTCGAAGTGCTTTACAACTCTCAAGCTGAGCCGCACGCTAAAGTACCCGTGTATCACATCGCTTCTAAGATGCCTTCAATAAAGTGCAGTCGTATCGAAGATGCTCATGACGACGGGGATGTCAACATTATCGGCGGACACGCCAGTGCCAGATCGAGGCTTATGGAGCCCTTGATTTATTCCGGATCGTTGGACAGCTTCAAACACCAAGACCTAACCCCAGTTATCGGAAGAGAATTCGAAGGTCTTCAAGTGACCGACCTGCTTCGATGGGGCGATGCCATGATTAGAGATCTGGCAATAACGGGTAGGGCTTCCATCTCCAACTTGACGAAGTCGATGGCTAACCTAAGCTGTCAGTCTCGCAACGCGGCGTCGTCTTTCTACGGGACCAAAATGTCACACCAAATCAGATGAAGGACTTGATGCTGCGCATAACCGAGCTATCAGGTTGTGTACGTCAACTCGATTATCAACATGAATTCACTTCCACAACACTGACAAATTACCAGCCTTCATCATCTGGACTCCATGTGCACCCCCTTACTGAAGAAGGCTCCGAACTGGGAGACCAGATCTCTGTCATAAGCAGCGAAAAACAGAAGAAAGGTGGCGGTCTCACTCACCAACTCTCAGACGTGAGTCGCCTTGCATCTGCGGGCTGGCATAGCGACATTACCTTTGAGCCAGTGCCATCAGATTACGCAATGTTAAAGATCCACACATTACCTGCAACAGGCGGCGACACGCTGTGGGCGTCGGGGTATGAAATCTATGATCGCCTTTCTCCCGCCATGCGAACATTTTTGGAGGGCCTAACTGCGACGCACGATGCAAAGTTCTTCTTGGAAGAAGCAGAGCGGCTAGGCAATCCACTACGAAAGGGAGTTCGTGGCAATCCGCTGAACCAAGGTGAAGCGCTCACGGCCACACACCCGGTCATACGGACGAATCGTAAGTTTATAATCTCCATTCAGTGTTCTAATTGCTAATGCTTCCCATAGCTGTGACGGGTTGGAAATCAGTATATGTGAACAAGGGGTTCACCAAACGCATCAATGGCGTCACGAAGGACGAATCCGACCTCATTCTGCCGTATCTATTCAATCTTGTGACGCAGAACCACGATGCGCAGGTGCGGTTCAAGTGGCGGCCGAATGATCTGGCTATTTGGGATAACCGGAGTACGTGGCATTGCGCGACATATGATTACGATGAAGCTAGGGCAGGCGATCGGGTATGTAGCTTAGGCGAGGCACCGTACCTGGATTTGGGAAGTGGAGGGAGGAGGGAGGCTCTGGGGCTGAGATAGACGATGCTCCAGTGTGAGGATTCATACATACGTCGACGCATGTCAGGCGACCTTGGAGTAATCCCATACATGGAAGAAATGTCTAAGTCTTATTGATATCAAAGGATCTTCGACTTTCGCCATGCCAGGGCTAAAGTGAAATTGTAGGTGGCTGGGGAATGTTTGGATTTGGCGGTGACGTATGAAACTAGCGTCTCTCGGTTTTAGCCCTGAGCAGTGGCTTACCGCAACATTGGAAGTCGCTCAACGCCGCTTCAGGGCTTCCTTCTCTTCATCAACAACCGCTGACTAAATGGTCGCAATGCATCGTTTTTTCCACTCACATCCACTTCTCTGGCTTCCAGAGTATACGGCCTGGATAATATGCAAGGTTATGCAACGTCGCGCAAAGTTCTACACGCAGCAACGCAGCCTCTAATGAATCGCTCGAAAGGTTGATGAACTACGGAAACCTTCGATCTCACCTCATCTGGTGACACGATAGGGTAACGCTTCCACTAATACATGGTAACTGTGTTAGACTAGGGTGCATCCCAGGTGGTCCGTTACACGAGCCAAGTGTAAGATGTACACCGACTCCATACCTTGACCTCTTCAGCTCCTTTCTTGGCACACTCAGGTAGCTCACCACCCGCCTGCACCAGGAATACCTTGATGAAGCTGTATCAAAGGCGGTGTTGCGAGGAAAAATAGGGTCCGCCAGTTCATGTTGGGCACCTATCGAAAACAGACTTTGGAGCAACAATATTGGAATGACATGCGCGAAGCACTTTCGTACAACTTCAAGCGGTCAAATCAGCTCGAGCGTATCTTTCGCGCCCCCGAGAACTGCCTCAACGTGATATCAGGTCATGATTGATCAGAATGTAAGCCTTCAGCTATCAACTGACACAGACAGATTTGGACTGGAGCTCGATGTATATATGCTACATCCATATCCTTTGCAAAGCCCTCAAGTCAATCGAAAGTTAGTATCACAATAACCAGAAGCACGGAGCCCCAGACCATTACCAAATTTACCGACTCACTGAGCATACCGAACAAAATGCACGCCACCAAGCTCACTCAGTTACTACTTTACCTCTGCTGCTTCCTTCCCTTTGCTGCTTGCGTCACGAAGCGCTCGGCCCAGGTTCAGATTCAGAACAATACCCCTCACAGTATGAGTGGTGTCGGGTTGAACCACATGTACAGCGATGTGTACAAGGAATCGAAAACCTGGGAGAGCATCCCAGCTTATGGATACTCCGATACTTTCACTGTCAACTACAACACAGGCTTCGGTACTACAGGCAGAGACTGGTGGGCAATCACTGGGCACAACGACGCAGACCCGATCAGCCCTAATTCAATGAGTTTATGGTACTCTAATCCGAACAACTTTCGAAACTTTCTCGATTTCCTCGAATCCGTCGCACCGACTCTTATTGGAACGGCACTAAAGGCCGCAAAATTGGCACAACCTCAATTGGCGCCAGCTGCGACAGTGGCGAACGTCGTATCCAAGGCACTTTGTAAAGCTATGCTCAATTCAGCCAAGACCGATGGGTTCAAGCAACACATTTTGCGTACGGAAGACGAAAATAAGATAACCCTGATACGAATCAACAACGACGGCACGATCAATATCATATCCCCCTCCGGACGGTCCGATACCGTATACAACACGAAGATTCAAAAGCTTGGACTCTAAAGGCGATGAAGTTTAGGCGGAATTTGTGTTATTTGGTGCTTAATATGCTACTGCAATCTACGATTCTTCTATGTTCGTAGACCGGGCCAAGGCTCAACCAGTGCGTCACGTTTTACCAGTGAATGTTTTTAGACATTACCAACCCTAGTCACTCATTCATCTACATGTAATCAAATATACTTCTATAGCGAATGTCCTAGCACATGGAGTAGATCACTTTTGCTAAGACACTATTAAAACCATCATAACTTTGGAACACTACAGTGACTAACGGTACCTGAAAGTACTATATGGTAATAGATGTGATCTAGAAACTACTTCTACTTCTTACTTACTAGGTGCCGCTTCGGGCCCTGTAGTACCTCCATGCAGCAACATCGACTCCTGACCTTGACGAAGTTCCGGCAATTCTAAGCTTCCGGGGGTTCCAAGATCGCTCAAAGGAAAGGAGCAGGAACCGACAGTAGCTTCGGTGTGAGAATTTGAACCTTTCGCTCGACATGACATCATGTGCCACACACAATTTAGTACGGCAGACGCGAAACCCACCGCGCATACTATTTCTGAACCACCATAATGCTTATATACCACTGCCAACAAGTTTTCATAGCAAATTATCACGTTACTGATACACTTCAACCATTATGTACCAATAAATATGTGGAGCATAACAAGATTTAGGCGACAACGCAGTGGTGAGGCAGGTATTTGCAGCTCGGACATGGGGATGAACGGATCAGCTTCTACAACACAGCAAAACCTCAACCGACAATAGAAACATGTAACGTATATACACGATCTTGACTGTATGTACTAGTAACAACAATAACACCGCACCGAAGGGCATCCCATCCCATCCTATGCGTAAACGCTATCAAATCTAAAACCCACCAGCCCACAAACTACCGAAAAAGAATGAACAATTATACCTGGGAACACCGATGTACACCTTGCTACTATTCACCCAAAAAACGCCTTGAACGCTCACAATACCATACAAATGGAAAACGTATCACGTTCTCTTCTCCCTAAACTGGCCCGTCGGACCTGCACTAAAAGCACCACTGATGATGCGCTTCAGCTGTTTGGGTTTGCTTTGTGGAGGTCTCTCGCCACTCGCGGTACTCTTACGACTGAGTCCGGTACCCGTCCGCGTAATACCATCCATACTCATACTGGTTCCCATATCCATAGCATTGCTGGCACGTCGTGCACGTCTCGTCGCATCTTCATTCTCTTTCTGGTGTAGAGTTTCCGACGGGAGCAAGATAGCACGATCAAGCGCATAAGGAAGACCACGATGGCGGCCACGAATTTGCATGGCGATGATGATGAGTTTACTCAGTGTCCTGAACTGACCCGAGAAGGAAGTGTTGAATCCAGGGAAGCCTTGACTCAATCCTACGGTACCATACGCCGAGACGATTTCGAACAGGACAGAGAAGAGACTGAACGCGTATTCGTTCGTGTTCTCAAGTCGCGGGCCTTCGATGATAGCGATGAGGAAGAAACCTAAGAAGACGAACCACAAGTCGAATGAGAGTTGGCGGCGCAAATGATGCGAGAGGTAGCTGGATTGCTCTTCGTCTTCGTCGTCTGCAGCCCAAACGCCCAGGGACTTCTCCTCGTAGACGTTGGATTGGCGAATGGACATGGCAATGGGGAAGATAGATATGTACATCATGATGAGATAACTGACTTGGACTGCAGGGTGCAGGTCAGCAATGTTGACAACGGCGAAACCTGCAGTACGCGTTGAGGCAGCTTGGAAGAGACCAGCGAGGAAGCGGTGGCCACCAGATAGGGAGGTGACAGTCGGATCGTTGAGCTGCAAAGCGTTAGTGGAGATTATTTCAGCCTAGGAAACATTGTGCTTACATCGAGAATGATGAAGAAGATCAGATCGACACCATTAAGGATGACAAGGATCCAGAACAGCCACCAATTAGCCTTACTTGGGAAAAGTAGAGTGAAGCATCGACGTGGGTGATCTAGCAGAAAGCGAAGTTCCTCCCAGATGGCACTGCTCTTGGGCACCATCTTGGAGTACAGCCAGATGGTAAATCGAAGCATACAGGGGAAGCCAGTATTGCCGATGATAATGAGGAAGGTACCCAGCACGAGGGGCCACACAGCTAGCTGAAAAGAGACCATCGAGTCTGGAGTAAGAGTGAACCCCAGGTCGTTGAATAGGGAGGCTGAAGTGAAGAAACCCCACCAGGTCGGGTCGATACCAACTTCTCTGACCACGTTGCTGTAGTGAGAATCATGGTTGATCCATGGTGCCAGGCAAATAACGCCGATGGTGTGCCAGCCAAGATAGAAGATGATAAGAATCATGGCGAGGAGTTTTAATGCACGATATTCGATACCACCGAGTTCTTCTCTTTGCTCTTCAGTCAGATCCACGAAGTTCGAGTTACGTCCGAGAGTTGGGGTCCAGCTGAGGTAGGGCATCGGATCTTCTTCTTCTTCTTCGTCCTTGTTCCTAGTAAGGAAGCTTGTGAGAGTTCTTGACCGCGACCTGTTACGCAGATGCATGCTCGGCGCAGGCGCATTTGCATCACCATCATTTGTCCTGGTTCTATCATAAACGGAGTGCCCGGTAGGACGTGCCTGTCGGTCCGGTACGTCTATGGTAATGTGATTCCTCAGCGGCCGATCGTCTCCGTTCAACGCATGAGGAACAGAATTTGAGCGTTCGCGTTTTGGATGGGATTCATGTGACAGCCTACTCGCAACTCTATCCAGCTCTTCTCCTTTGATTGCCTCTGGGATGAGACCCTGGTCGAAATCGCGAGGACCTGGGATGCGCAACTTGTTCCTCGCTGTTGGGTTACGCTGTGCTTCTACAAAAGCAATACTCCTCTCTTTGTTGGATTGCGGAAGGCGGCCGCCGGGAGATTCTTCGAGCGACTCCGTGGGTTTCTTGTCAGTGGGCGTGCTAAGATTGTCCGCCCATACGATGCCGGTGGGGGCGTTTTGTATAGGAGTCGTGGGTCGAAATGGTGGCATCTCATCCTCGCTGGAACTAGATCTCCGAGGATTTATGCCGTTACCAGTCCAGTCCAGTCCGTCACTGAAGGCGAATTCGTTTGCGATCGTTCCACCGTGTGCATGGCCACTAGAGCCACGCATAACTCTGATCTCCCGCGCACCGACCGCTTGCTCTTCTTGTCCGACATTCCGATCCGTCACAGCTTTCATCTCACTCTTCCTCCTAGAGAGCGTGCGAGTCCGGCCGCTCCGGTTTCCTCTCTCGAGTACAATATTCTGGAAGCGCTTTTCGAACCAATAGAGGCGAACGACAACGACGGAGCTGTGGATAAAGATGGGTGTGCATAAGCTGGTGATGATGTAGATGGTTATCTGAACAAAGTTAGTAAGACAATCATTGATTACTCTTAAACTAGCACGTACCTGTTGATACAAGTCTAGCAAGTTGATATCAATTCTGCAATCATAGTTAGTTAATACCTCACAGAACTTTGGAAACCAACGTACGTGTTCAGACCACTTTGCGTTGCTGCGCCGCTGGCAAAGAAAAGCGCATCGACGTATGGTATGCGACCACCGCCATATATGATGACGGATCCAATCAGCGCCCATGAGACGATGTACGCATCTATAAATCTATTAGCGCACGTCCAAGGACTCCTCTTTTTCTTTTATACATACAGTGAAGTGTGATAAAGTTGGCATGCGGTATGAGGGCTTTCAGACTGGATGGCGTGCGCTTCTTCACCCATGCGAACATGACTAACCAAGGACCGAACATTTTTGCCCCTTGTGGCCGTCAAGGCAGTACCAAAGGAGTGTATAGTCGTGCAGTGAACGGTCCTAGTCGGGTGGAAGGGGAAGATCAGCGGAGAGGTAGTGCGAAGGAAGAGCTGAAAGATCGAGTCTAATTGAGCGCGCCCAAGTAGACAGAATGTCAACGGACCGACCCGGTAGCGCGTCGCAGGAAAGCTCCGTCGTAGTGATGCATGGTCAAGAGAGAAGAGAGTGAAGTAATAACTCAAGTGGGCACTGTGAAGTACGGGTCGTGTTGCGGGAAGTAGTCGTGTGGTCCGTTGTGAAAGATTGCCGACTTGTCGCGCAGCCAGGTGCGGCGATGACGCTACGCTAAAGGGGCGTCGAGGCCGCGGAACGCTGCGCGATCACCCTGGTATCGGAACCGGAGTTTTAATAGACCCCTATAAGGAACATGAAGAATCCAGTCGTGAAGGGGTTTCGCCCACACCTACAAAAGCACTACACCGCTTCAAACAAACTTCACATGTACGACATGCTCTCGGCATGCATGCACGTTGGACGTGTGCTTATGCTCCACCTGAACGCTTCCGCTCCGCCCCGCTAGCCATTCCCCCGCGTCGCGTGAGCAGTCCTGATGGAGATTCTGATAAACAATGCCCCTCCACACTTCAAGACATAAATTGGGTGTGGACATGACGATCCTTGTAAGACTACACTTGCCAGCGCACATCGTCATGTCGGATTGGTGCGTCGGCTAAGCTGATGATATCTCACCACTACAACGCAACAACAGATTCCAAGGAACGCCGACATTGTCCCAGGATAACGCGTGGCCAGCGAGTAGGCGCTTGTGTTTCAAAACAAGATGCTTGTTTCGGCCTTGATAGGGTTCGCCTGATTGCCGGGAATGAGGACAAAGCTAGTCCATGTTCCACGGGCTTCCGGGCTTCACGCACTCCTTCTTTCTTCTGCGATTGCTGCGCCTCATTGCCCAGCTACGCCACAGCTCGGCGTTCCGGTCAGCCACCTGTGCGCGTACAACGCCCAACAGGGACTTCGGCACTTGCAACGCTTATTGCGGCACGTGTAGCTCAATACTGCGCTGGCTGCAAACTCACAATGGCAGCCTGTATTCATGGTCTGCTACACTCTTGTTTTGCAAACAGCAGCACGGATTCCCGATAGCAAGACGCGCGTATGCAGCCTTAGTCTGCACATTCGGCATCAACTATGAGCAGATTCGGACCGCACAAAAGTTTCGAACGGACCAACAGACCCTCATATTCACATCCTAAAATACACTTGGCCTCCCGTCGAGGCAGGGACCAGTTCCCTACATTCTGCTCTCCTGCGTCCATTCGTCTTCGCCAATGCAGTATATGCGTCTGAAATCAAACCAAACATAAAGGAATAGATCAATGCAATTTTGGAAGTCGTCGCTTCTCTTCCTCGTTCGGTTCTTTCATCACGTTACAGAAAAGAGATGGCTAGTCAGTACCGTTCGGCGCAGTAGACAGAGTAGGGGTGTTTGCGCCTGAATTAGGCTTACTCTTCGTCTTCAGAGTGAGCGGGAAGGTAAAGTCATCAGCCTCTTCTTCTTCACTGTGTGATTGTTAGCGTTGTTAGAGGAGAATTGTGGTCTGACTATCACTTACGGGAGCTTCCACGCGATGTAATCCTCAGTGCTCAATCCCTCGCGACCTTCTTGGAGCGAAGCAAAGTCACCAGGTGTCATCATACCCGAACGATCGCGGGGAGACCCAGGCTCAGACAACGGCCGCGAGATCTTGACATCTTGCGAGCTGAAGAAATCTGGCTCATCATCGTCCTCGTATGCCGCAGGGTATGCTCGTCGAAGGGCCAATTGTCGAGCCTTGACGTACTCCAAGCCCATGCGCTTCCAGTCGAGCAGGTCGCTGAGACGCTCGGTCCGGTTACGCTGATTGATACGTTGGCGCTTGCTCTTCTTCGTAAACTCGAACATGTAGTCGACAAGCTGGTTGACTGAGTCATCGACACCCTTCATCCTTCGGTCTACAATGTAGATACCGTAATCCTGGGCGTTCTCGATCAATTCCTCCATATAACAACCGAAACCAGACAAGTTGGTTGTGATGCTAGGAACACCCATTACGGTGCACTCAGCCGGGGTGTAACCCCAAGGTTCGTAGTAGGATGAGAAGACACCAAGATGGGTTCCGCGAACGAAGTCGTCGTAATCCAATGGCAAGACGGGGTTTGCCGAGTTCAAGAATTCTGGATGGAAGACGACCTTGACGCGATCCGATGGGTGGTTGAAGAGCTGGCAGCGACGCAGTTGGTTCAACACTGGGTCCTCAGCATCATTGACCATGTTGTGAGTAACAATAGGGGGAAGATTATGGCGCTTCATGGCAAACAACCGTCGTCGGAGCAAGATCTTATCCGCGGGTGTGATCAGGTCCTTGTCCTCCGGTAGTTCGGAACCTTCTGTCCAAGTTAACGAACGCTCGAACAGCTTCTTAGCCACGTTCTCAGCGATGTTGTTTACACTGTCGTGGAGAGCCTTGATGACGGCCTGTCCCTTTAGTGAGTCGACCGAAAGAGAGGTGGTCTGTGCAGGCAGAATGATGAAAGCAACGACCGTCATGTTCGAGTTCTCGTTCTTCATCTTGTGGTTCAACCGCGCTAACGATTCGATGAACATGTCTACACCCTTATTCCGGTACTCGTAGCGACCGGCGGTGAAGAAGTAGAGAGTGTTCTCGGGGTCGAAGTCGTTGTGACCATAGAAATGTCCACGCACAAAGTCGTTGATCTTGACCTTGGCTTGCTGATGCAGATTTTGGAATTCGTGGGTGGCAGAGAACTTCTTGACGTTCAAACCGTTGGGCAGGACGCCGTCCGGCTTGCGCTTCAAGAGATGCTCGCTCTCGTATGCAGTGATGTGGGAGACGGTGGTGAAGACATCAGCTGCGTGCGTGGCGGCGCGCTCGATGCAGTAGCGGTGGTAAATGCCGCGCTTTCCTGCCTCAGCATCCACGTCGAAGTACTGAAGGTTGTTGTAGAAATCGACTGAGCCAGCGCAGAGGTAGCGACCGAGGAGCGTAGCGTGGGTGGTGAAGATGGTGGTAACATCGATACGGCGCTTCTTACAGAGAGGGACTGCGACACCTGCCAGCCACTCGTGGAACTGAACAATAACGGCTCGCTTCTTTTCATGGTAGACGTACTAAGAAACTGTCAGTGCAGCTCCTGGACGATGTATGTACTCTCAACTTACCTCGCCTAGGAACCATGCGATGAGGTAACCAAAAACAATGGCCTCGTTGGTCTCTGAATCGCCGGGAGGTGAGGGAATACCGGTAGAAGACCAGAGATCGCCCTTCCACTCGTCGAGCCACCTGTAACCGGTACCGGTATCGAAGAGGAGCACACGTGGGGCACCGTCGATCAGCCAGCGTCCGTAGAGCATCTTGATGCCACGATCGTCCATGGACTTGATGGTAGCAATCAAGGCCGGATCTTTGGGCTCGATTGGCTCAACTTCGACAGCCGCCTATTATTTTGTTAGTATTTGCTTGCAGAATGCAGTTCATTGCGCCTACCGAAGCCCTGTTCCACGGACCCAAAAGCGTGTATGCAGCGCCATACTCAGCTGTGGTGACTTGGGCCTTGGACTTGAGGACTGAGTAGATACCGCCGACTGAGATTTGTTAGTATTTGCGAGTAACATGAGATGGAGACGAAAGCTACCTCTGTTTGCGACTTCGGTCGCAACCTCAAACAGGACGTGGTTCTGCACGTCTCTCGCGCCGGTCTCAGCCATTGTGGGTGGGTGGTGTGGGAAGAGGGTGGAAAGTCGCAATGGCAGGATCGAAGCTCTTTCTAAGAAATGCGGAGCTTGGAGAGTTGAGGGAGCGTGGGAGCTTGAGCTCGGTGCTTGATTGAGCTACTGCAGGTTGCCGCGCTAGACAAGCGGTTCGATCACTCCCGGGTTGAGTACGAGTTGTTGGCCGCGGACAAGGTGTGATGTAAGTGGAGGAGCAATTGAGCCTGTTATAGCAGAGCAGCGGCAAGCAAACTCTGTCTAATAGTTGAGGAAGGATGTTTTGCAGCAGCCCTGGGAGGGAGAAATGCTGGGCCGCTATTGTTTGGCGCACGAGCGTTGCTAGCCGTGGAGGTTGGGATTCCTATTTGGGTATCGCATGGATTGTCGCTGTGACGTAGGCGCTCGGCTTCCACTACCAATTCATGATTAAACCTCCAATTAGCCTGGCAACCTTTCCGCGCCACATTCCAGCTGTAATACAATTCGCCAGAGCACTTCTCACACCTCTCGCACTTGCAGCATCTCGAGGCAAATTCTCTCTCCACGGCCAGCGCCCAACTCTGAGGCTGGAGCGCAACGGTCGAGGCCAAGGCCGCGAGTCAACAACTCAACAGTTTCCCGTGGAAATGAGAAGCGGAGCATCGACCGATCCCGCCGGCCGTTGAGCTACTCGCTTATTCCTGTCTGCTCATCTATCTTCGTCCGTTTTCAGAAAGCAACAGGAACATCAAAAGGGTCACGCTGAAAGACGAGCTTCACGCCTTGCACCACTGCCGAGGCGCTGCATCATGTCCGCTTGCTGCATCATTCCGTCATAAGGCCGACAATTGCGGGGTCCCGCGAACGGTGGGAGAAGTCGACAGCACGCCAGCTCTCTCCGCAGCCAGATTAGTGGGTCGTGAGTGGAGGCGGAGAGATGCACGTGAACCCACAACAGCCACTGCCGCTCCGTGTGACATTTCTGTGATGCTATCGGAGGGTTCATCGGAAAGACAGGATTGCCTGGTGAGACGTGTCTTGCTGCATCTCGGTCGATATTGTCTAGCAGCCTTCTTTTCTCGTATAGGCAGTATCATGTTTGTGTTGCTATGCGGTTACATGACTCGTATGCAGTCAGTGCGTGGTTGTAAGCACTACACTTACCAAGTGCACTGGCACAGTTAGGTCTAGACAAAGATAGCATTTGACTAGTGAGAGTCTCGAATACAAGTAACAGAAACTTCCGAACATCTCACTTTTGCAAAAACAACAAGATAACGCCGCCCAGACCATCCAAGGAGTTATTCCACGTTTCGTTGGCATTTGCTTTCATGTCATATAGTCCGGCCGGAGCATCGAACTGCTCCACTCCCACGGCCCCCGTCTAATTCTATTACATCAGAGTCCCAAGGCCGTAAACTTGCGGGAGAAAAAAACCCAAAACGAGAACATAACCAAAGCAAAGGATATCGAGCTGAACGTGCGACGCCAGACAAACACAAGCAGGAACTAGAACCAACCCATACGAAAAAGATGTCCGTCCAATAACTCATGGACGAATCATCGCAAGCAAACAACTACTTACCACTCCGATCAATGACAGGAGCAGCGTTAGGCAGCGCACTCAGCAAGCTGCCTTGTGCGAACTCGTTGTTTAATGAGAGGTTTACCATCGGGCCCCTAGCCCTACTACCGTCCATAACGCCCCTACCCACTGTGTCTTTTCCCTGTGAATAGCCAGCTTGAGATAGCAAACCGCCTCCCGTAAACGCCCTGCTGTCATCTTCTGGAGCACCGAGATGATTGTTTTGTGTATATGCTGCCAAGGGCTCACCACGACCCTTGAGCGAACGCGTACGTTCGTGGCCACCAGCACCGTAGGTACCATGGGCGGCGCGCGATGTACCTGGACGACCAGCGCGCCAGTCTGTTGATGAGGGAACTTTGATTGCTTCCTCAATTGAAGTTGCACTTTCGACCAAAGGTCCTGCGCTAGCTCCTGGGTTGTAGCCTTTGCCCTTGTTGAGATGCTGTGGCGGTGGTTTGTACTGAGGTGTCAGATCAACCAGAGGCTCGGGCATGCCGGGAACACGTTTCGAAGCACTGCGTTGGAGATCACTGGATGTTCTCCGGTGATGGTTGCTGCGGACTGAGGTATTGCGCTTGAGGCCGGAGTCGTTTGACGATACTTGGGCTATACGACCCATGCTGTTCAGTAAAGACGGTCCTTCGGTGAACGGACCCGACTGTTCACGTGTCTGTAAAGCAGCCTGACGTTGTGTGTAGCTACGACCGAGGAGACCGCTAGAGGCAAATGCTTCCTCGCCCTGCTGATCAATACTCCGACGCCGAGCAGTGGGCGGTGGTGCAATTTCTGCGACCATACCGTTCTTGTTGTAGGCAATTGGGGGTGGTCGCTTTACTCGTATCGACTTCATCCTCGCGTGCATCGCGCTACTGTCGAGCTTCGAGAGAGGCTTATCGTCTGGGAATTCCCCTGGCTTGTGGACCTCAATCTCGTCTAGTGTCTTGTTGAAACTGTCCATGTCAAGTAATGATGAGAATGCGCCAAGTTGGTAATGTGATCCAACCGATTCGCCCCTCGTGTGAGAGGACGCCTGTGTAGCCCCAGCGTTCCCTGATACATTGCGTTGCGCGGTGGTTTTCTTCTTCAGTCCCTCGCCCTTCTGGTGTTTGAGATACCAACTGCGCCAAGTTTGCAGCGCCGTATAGAACGTGTTCGCTGTGTTCCGGTCGTTGGTACAAAAGAAGTGAACATACTGCGATTCGTCCGCGAAGATGTTGGACTTCTGCATACTTTTAACAGCGTAGCAAATCTTCTTGGGAGGCTTAACCCGCGCTAGCTTCGATTGCGTCACCGAGTAGATATCGTAGTCTGTGAGAGTGCAGATGTTTTCCTGGTCCTTTTCCTTCGTCTTCTCGTTCTTGGCCATGACTAGCTGCCCATCCGGACGAAGGACGAGAAATCGCTTACTCCACTTGCCAGGTCTCGAGGAGTATTGGATAAAGCACGACGCACCCTCTGGTCTAGTATCTGGGACTTTGTAGGAGAGCAAACTGTCCTGATTGATCCCATCGACGTCAGAATCAATAATGGTAAGCTCGTTTTGATTATCGTAATCCCACGAGTTCATGACGTCCCTTACATACTCGTAATTGCGAAGGGGGCGTGTGATGTTGACTTTGGTGAAGAACTCGCAGATAACGGCGGTGCGCACGTCAATGGGGTCTGTGAGTACAGTGGCCGCTGACTTGATGAGATCGAGAGGGGTGGTGGTTGGAGTCACAGGAAGCAGGATACGCTTCTCATTGCACACGACTTTGACGCGCTGTCGTGTCTGTTAGTACTTCCGTCGTGGCTTACAGATGACATACATACCCTGTCGCCAGCATTCACGGCAGATGTAGGAGCATCAATGCCAAGAACAACGCCACCTCCGCCAGGCCTAATAGTCTCCTCCTCCTGGGGATCGAAGTTGAGACTCAGCTGCGGTGGAGTTGATTTTTGTACAGGAGCATCTAAACCCAGGGCCTCGTCTTTTCTCCTCTTGAACATGCCAAATCCTACCTCCTGCTGCCGCGGTGGTGACACTGGAGGGGACGACGAGGGAGCCTTTCGGGCCTTTTGCTCAAGCTTTGCAAGTGTCGCCTGTCGCTCTTTCTCTTCTTGTTTTGCCTTGCGAACACCCTCCTCCCTTTGTTGGAGCACCTTCTGGATTTCAACCTTCTGTAACCGCCTGCCACGTTCCTGCTCGGCCTTTTGTTCCTCTCGCTGCCGACGTAGTGCCTCAGCTTCTTCCATCTCTCGCTGAGCCTCTAGTCGCGTAGCCTCCTGCTCTCCTTGGCGCTGCTTTTCAATTCTGTCCAGCTCGGCCAGCTTGGCCTGCCTCTGTGAGCGCGCCTCTGCTTCATACTTTTCCTTCAACTGTCGCTGTCTCTCCTTCTCTCTCTGCAGGACCTCTCGCGCGCTGTCATCGCCCCTGAGTGACTGTTGTTGTGGCGCATTGGACACCGGGGGTGAGGCTTCTGCGCGCGTCCTAGCGGTTCTTGGGCGACGCTGGCCGGTATTTGCGGCATGCGACGACTGATACGGGGAGCTCAAGGCACGGTTCCGGGATGTGGAAGGCGGCAGCTGGGTGAGAAGGGGAGGTGGAGCATTGGGGATCGTATTCGAACGTAGTGGTGGGGGATTCGGGCTGGTCGCGTGCGAGGTAGTCGGCCGGCGGTGGTAGCGACTCATGCTTCTGCTAATGGACGCATCATTTTGAGGCTGCGATTCGGGCACAACAGGCATTGGAGGCATTGGAGGCATTGGAGGCATCGCAGGGACTGCTGGTACGGCTGGCGAAGTGTGGTCCTGGTATTCTTGACCTGGTTGCCGTGTGTGCTGTTCTTGCGCACGCCTCACACTCCTATAGCGAGACATTTTGGGCGTTGCCGTCGCCGACGAGGGCAATGTTTCGGTAGCCATGTTATGGTTGAATGCTGTGCGACACAATTCTGCGTACCTGCGCGACGAAAAGTAAGGGACATAGGAGACAGACCCATGGAACGCACACTGCAAGTGAGGGGGAACGGCGCAGGGTAGACAGAAGAAGCAATAGGGAGTGGCAGGTGCACACGGATACTCGGCTTTTAATTCGAGACATTCAGGTACCTGACTCCAATCAATACACCAAGCACCCGACCCAGACTTACACCGTCTATGGAGGTGGTCCTCTCAGGGGAACAGGTTTGGCTAGACTCTTACTTGATCAAGGAAGGCTGGCCGTTGTGGCGCTAACAATAGCCTGCGCCGGCTGAGGTGCGTGTTTGGATGCGCCATTAGCTGCCATTAGCTGTTTCGGCCAAATCTTGCTGCAAGCCCGCTGAAGGTACCACCCTGTGCGAATTATTACACATTAGCCATGCTTCAGCCACAGCAGGGGGGGTTTTTTTTTGTCTAGTATCCTTGCACTATGTATACACCACCGACAAAAGTAATGCATTGCAATTTTACAGGTGCCCAGCATGCACCCTTCGTAGGTGGGAATATCTATGTGCACACGACCTTGAAAACAAATGCAATGCCAATGAAAACCTCCTCGATAAAAATCTACGCGAAGACAAACCGAAAAAAATCAGAAAGAGTTTGAGAAATAGTCGTCTTCTAGGTGGAAGCTGCGAGAGTACTATGCATGTGCGACACGAGAAACCTGTTCACAACCACAAACACGTTGTAGCAGGGTAGCTGTAAGAGCTTACACAAAGTCGGTGATTGAGCGCTGTTTGCACCAGATTTCCCTTCACTGTAAATTCCATCAGTCAATTCGACGTATGTTGTTCTCTCATTATCTGCCGCTCCCATCCTCTATTTCAATTCCCCCACATCCAATTCACCTTCTACCGATGGCCCGGAGGACCCACCTCCTCGCTGTGGCAGTCTCCATCCTCACACTCACATGTATCTTCTATCACCACTGTTACAGCAGTGCCTCTAGCACATTCCCTCTCCAGCAACAGTCATCTATCCTCCCATTAGCCAACTCAACCCTTGGCTTCGGCGCCATACTTGCCGTATCCCATTCTAGCTCTCCACGCCGGCAGAGCCTACTATGGGCCGCCAATCTAACAGACATTGAAATCGTAATTCCAGAACAAAAGGAATGGACGTTAGGTGACATTGAAGAACTCAAGGCGAAGGAGAGCCGTCTAAGTCCAGGGAGTGCGAAAGCGTGGTTGGGACATTTGGCGGTTTTGAGATGGTACGTTGAACCATCTGAATCGACAAGATAGGAAGGGAAGAAAGAGAACCGAATTGGGAACTGACGAAAGAATAGGTTCCTCGCCTCAGACTATGAAACAGCTCTGGTAATGGAAGACGACACAGATTTTGACATTTCAATCCGACATTCTCAAATCCCTCTCCTAGCATCGGCCGTCCGTTCCCTACTCAATAACAGCGATGATGACCATACATCATACTGGGCGCCCAGCTCAGCCTGGGACCTCCTATACCCCGGTCACTGCGACGACCTAATCTCCACCGCTTACCCCTCCCAGCCCTCCCTTCTCTACAGCGACCCTACCGTACCACCTCACTCAGTCCTCCATCCTGACACGGCCCTTTTCCTCTCCTTCCTTTCCATCCCCTCAAAAACTCGTATACTTCACAGAAGCTACTGGCCCTTCTGCACCTTCGCCTACGCGGTGAACCGCCGATCTGCCACACTCATCCTGTCTTCCTTCTCTCAGGAGCCTGCAGGCGGTAGTTCGGCATACGATGTTGCGCTGCTGAGTGCATGTAGGGATCAGGACTGGAAGTGCTGGAGTGTGGCGCCGGAGCTGTTTCATCATGGACTTGGGGAATCAGAGATATTCAAGGTGGACAAAGCGGGTCAAGGCAAGGGAGAAGGAAACGCAAGCAAGGCAGATGCGAGGGGAACGTGGAATTTGTGGTGTGGGGCTAGGCATGGGCAGCTTTGGGTCGATGAGGCGGCTGGAAAGAAGAGGAGGCTCGTCAAAAACCATGTTAGGAGCGCGATTCAGAGGGGAGCATGCCCGATTGACAAGGTTATGGAAGAAAGGACTTGGAAGGGTTGTGAGTGGGGGGAGTGTGGAGCGCAATCATGATACTCCCCCACGACGAGCGAAATTATATGATGAGGGAAAAGAATCTCCATGTTCAAGACATAGCAAACACCAATTGATTGCAAGGACGTATAGTGATACGTAGATGGCGACGAGATCGCAGATCCCGCCGTATTCCGAGGCTTTTGTAATTCTTTCTTATATACAGATAGCCAACCATACCCCAGTCCGACATCAGAGGTATCTTCGTTCGCGCCATCCATCTCAATGATTCGTCCTAATATCACACCGTACCCCTATAAAGATAAAAAAGAACTCCTCTTGGTATCTTACAAAGATCGCCTATGAAGGTAAAGAAGAATGGACGGGTATCCAGAAGTGAGAAGCGAAGAAAAAAAAAGAATATGAAAAAAAGAGATGAATGCATGTGGTGACGGCACGAATCATCGCCAGAGGTCAGCCCTCGAAGCCCGCTTCTCGCGACCCGCGTGGCTCATCCAGCTGGCACGGGGGCTGGGCTCCCTACCACCAAGCGAGTTGGAGTAGCCGTGGCCGAAGCCTCCACTAGGCGCCATGTGCCCAGCACTCCTCGGTCTCCCGTCATTGTCTGCAGGTACGGCCAAGAAGCCACCGAAGCCGTTCGGCACCACGATACTCTTACGAGCGTCTCCACCCCATTGGGGTCCAAGGCCCTTGTGTGCTGAATAGCTGCTCAATGGTCGACCTACTGATACCGATGCTCGGCGTCCCTGTGCCTCGGGTGGCATGATGGATGTGAAAATCCAGTCCAATTCATCGAGGCCCTTGGAGTAAACCTCGAGTGGCTGATTGAACATTGGCGGCGGTGCTTCGCTGAACGGTCGGATCGGTGGCGCCAGCGTGAGGACTTCGGGAAATTCAGGATCGCGCACGTAGAGCTGTCGCAAGGCAGGGAGGCAGTTGGCGATGAGCGAGTTGGCGAGGTACTGGTAGCATGATGCACTCGGGGGGTATACTTGGTTCGCCGAGCTGGAGGTGACTTCAAAGTTGAGCTTGTGCAGCGTGTAAGACGTCATGGGTGGTATCGGATCTAAGGGGAGGGACGCGGAGACTGTGGCAAAGTATTCTAGTGTTCGTAGATTGGCTGCTGCCTGCAGAATGATGTGTAGGGACGGTACGGGAATACCACCACAATCCTTCAGTATGAGGGTTCGTAGCCTACCACTACACATTGGGTTATAGAGGTATTGAGCGAGTCCGTTTGCAGTGATGCCGTGACACTTGGTCAGCTTGAGAGTTTCCAATGCAGGGAAGTTGGGAATCCCCGGCGCATCATGGAAGGTGGAGTCGTTCAGCCACGACACGCCGGTGATGGTGAGCTCCTTCAGTCGTGGCAGCATGCCGAAGACCTGCCTCAGGATGCTGGGCTCTATCTGGATCTTGTTAAGCTCAACCGAGATGAGCTCCTGCCAGTAGCCCTGGAGAAGCGTCTCCAACGACTGCTCTCCGCCCTCATTGTATTTCATCTTTCGGATGTGCGGGCAACGCGCCTGCAGCTCTTGACGCAGTAGCTGGCATGACTGATCGCCATTATAGAAGCCGTCTGGGAGGTCGATGAACTCGATGTTCGGACAGCCCGATACGGTTCGCGCCAGGTCAGCCTTGCATGCCTCGCGCGTCATGTATGGGAGCTTGATGAAGCGTACGCGTTGGCCGAGGTACTGGTTTCCACGCACACTCTGGCCCAGCTGCTGCAATCGGGTCGTAGGCGCGTCGATGTCATCACCGTTTCGCGACTTGCGCCGGCGCTGGTCGGCGTAGACCTCTTCGAGCTCGCAGTAGTGGACGGCATCGATGCGAATGCTGTTGTATCTAGGGCGAGTTAGTTATACAACGAGGCGTATTAGGGATCTGGACTTACAGCAACCCTGCAGCAACGCCGTACCATTGTCGCTTGGTCAGGGCACAATGTGCAAGGTCCCGCATATCACAGCTCATGCAGCCATCATTACCGCTGTCCTCGCTGCCATCAAGGGATTCGTCGGCCGAATGCGGGCATACTTCTTCGAATATGCGGCGGAGGACCTTGTCGGGCAGTCGTTGCGTCTGGTCAGGGCCGTGGTAGTCATACACTGCGGGGGCATAAAGGTCGTTGCGCGGACGCGATTCGCTCTTCTTGGGGCTTTTGTGACGCCTGAAGCGCTTGAAGAAGCCCATAATTCCTCGCGATGAACTGGAAAGGTATTAGGAGAGAAATTCCATGCATGCGTCGAGCATTTGCTTATGAGAGGGTGCAGTGCAGTCCGTTGTTTCAAAAGTGGATAGGTGAATACTAACTCGCGTCCGTTTGGCGCAGCTTGCGGGGAAGATGTGAATCCACGTTGCCGAGAAGGCATGCTTGGTAACCAAGCTCAGCCAGACCCAGGTAAATGCCAAAGCCGCAATGCAAGGTCCCCGGTACTTGGAAGCGGGTACGTGTCCAAACTGGAGAGCATAAATTGTAAATTGCAGGCAGACTGCGGAGTACTTTGAGTGCAGCTGCTCGAGCTTCTGTGGACAGAACAGAGGGAGCAGCGCGTTTAAGGGGTCATGGGCAAAAGCAGTTAGGAACTTCGCGCACAAACAAGTGCAACGGCGTGCTGACAGGGCTAGTGCTTGTTGTACGTGTCAGCAAGGCTTGAAGATCGTCCTGCGCCCATTTCATTGTTCGGCGGTACGAGACAGCGAGCGACAGCCCATAGTCACGTGCTGACGTGGCCCCCCAGCGCCGCGGGAATGGGAAGATCGCCAGGGGTACCCGGACGGCGAGCGAGAGCGGGATGGGCGGAAGGGGCCACTGTGACATGCAACATGTCTTGTGCTGGTATTTTAGGCACAGATTTGGGGCACGCTGCAAGGGGCGACTAGTAATGGCATCGATACATCAGATGGCAGCAGGTCGGCGGTGTTAGACGCGGACTTAAGGGCGCTTGACTCTGCCCACGAGCCAGTGGGCAGAGGGCAGCCCCATTGTATAACAAGCAGAGCGTGTCGCGCGGTGTGAAGCTGCGCCAGGTGTCCTGTTGGACCCTGAATAGCAGCCGTAGTCGCCAATGGCCGAAAGCGGCACGGCGAGCAGCAAAAGCATAACTCTGATGCAACTGTTCACGAGTTCACGCCGTATCGTTCCATATCGTCATGGGGGCACAACGTGGCACGGCCGAGGCGGAGCACACGCGAGAGCCTCCAGCAGACGCGTGGAACCCTCCATGAGAGAGGGTAGAGTGTTTCAGATGGGGACAGATAGCTTTGCCGAGCGGCTGCGGGAGCTGCTGTCCGCCATGCTCCTGGCATGTCCGGCTGCAGGTGGCCCTGAGACTGGAAATTTGGAGCGACGACGTTGAAATTAGCGGTGATTTGACCAGTCGTAACCCTGACGACAGTCGCTACCAAGCAAGCTGCGGTCATGCAAGCGGCCACCTGTGGAAGAAGCGTAGCAGAAATGTGTAGAGGTTCTCACCAGACTACATGCCACCGCGTTCTGACATGCCCGGCACTAGGCAGACTAACGTCGAGCTCCCGCCAAGATCTGGAAGTTGTGCCTTAGCTCTGCTATCCACGTCAAGAAATCTGCCCGGGATCATTGCACGGAGCCTCAGGTCGTCCGTCCCCATCTCGTAGCATTTGGTTTCATCTCACCGGGACTCTTCTCAACCTCGTCCCGTTCGTCACCTCGAGGCTCTGTTTTCCCCTTCACTCGCTCCGGCTTGCCAGCTGTTCCCCACTCCACCCTTTCACCATTCACCTTGGGCTCCCCGCTGACGTACTCGCCCGTCGCGCCTTCCATCTCCGCCAAACCTCGTACCTGCTTCCTCGACGAAGCTCGCCCGCCGGAACCTCAATCGACGATACGACAGCGTGATTCAGCACACTCGAGAATATCAAGCTAATCTTGAACTTGTCCAGCAACATAGATATGGCATCTCAACCGACCCCGAGCCCTCAGACGGCCAACCTGGACCGCTACGTCGTGATCCATGTAGCCACGACTTGTGACGAGCACGGCGTATATGTCACTAAAGACTCCGCCGAGGTGATTGAGCTGGGATGGATTCTGCTCGATGCAAAGTCGTGCGAAGAGGTAAGCCTACCAACTCCAATATCGAGCTCCAATGCTAACCCTGGGCCAGCTGCATCGTGAGTCTGTTCTCGTGAAGCCTGTCAACACGCCAATCACGGCTCTATGCAGTAAGTTCTCCCTTCACCACCTTCGCCATGTTCCACTTTTCGTGCAATTTCCGCTGACCTCGGACCTTGCACAGCCAGCTTGACGACCCTGACATGGGACCAAGTCCGCAACGCCGGCTCCTTCCGCGACGCAGTTGATCGTTTTACAAACTTCTACACCGAGCACATTGCACCCAAGAACCTTGAGTTCGCCTTTGTGACGCTAGATTCGTGGGACCTCCGCGTCCAGCTGCCGCGCGAAGCCCGTGACAAGGCAGTTGTTCTTCCTCCCTACCTCCAACACTCGCGTACCTTCGATCTCCGCACAGAATACCAGCGGTGGCAGGCACACCACCCAGAGTCCCTTCCGTTTGGGTCCAGCGCGTTGACAAACATTTGTGCAGCGCTCGAAGTGGAGCCCGTCCAATCGTCGGCCCCCATCAAGCACAACCTGCCCTTTCACCTGCAGGCCCTCGCTCCTGCCTCGCCTCGCCGGGCCATGGAGGAGGCCGTTACGCTCGCTCGCGTACTTCGCGGGCTTATCCGGAAGTCACAACCACCACAAGATCACCCAGACGTGCTGACCAAGCCCATGGATGCTCGCGCTGACGTCCGCGCCTTCCTGTCAGAGCGAAGCAAGGTTCTCCACATGAGCGGCCTTCCCCACGACACTACTCAGTCAGAGCTTGAGAGCTGGTTTACCCAGTTTGGTGGACGTCCCATCGCCTTCTGGACCCTCCGCACTCCCGATCAGCATAAGCCAACCGGAACCGGCTTTGCCATCTTCTCCTCTCACGAAGAGGTATGTACTGCGTCAGCAACCATTTCAATCAATTATACTGACATGACTTAGGCCGCAGAGTCTCTCTGTATGAATGGCCGTGCGTTGAATGAGAAGGCCATTGAGGTTTCTCCCTCCTCCAGCCGCGTCATCGACCGCGCTGCCGACATCATCGTTCCTTTCCCACCTAGCAAGAACCGCCCCCGTCCCGGTGACTGGAACTGCCCTTCGTGTGGCTTCTCCAACTTCCAGCGTCGTACCGCTTGTTTCCGATGCTCTTTCCCCGCCATGCAGCAGGGTCCACCAGGTGGTGACCCCATGGCTTACGGTGGTTACGGATACGGTGGCCACCCTGGCATGATGGGTCCTCCTCAGCACCACATGGGCCACGGCCATGGCCACGGAATGGGTGGTGGACACATGCGTGGAGGTACCGGTGCCGTCCCCTTCCGCGCTGGAGACTGGAAGTGCGGTGAGAACGGCTGCGGCTACCACAACTTCGCCAAGAACACTGCCTGCCTCCGCTGTGGTGCGAGCCGCGCAGGTGCAGCTGTCGTCGCCGACTCGGCCTTCCCCTCTCCTATGGATACTCCCTCCGGCTTCGGCATGGGTCCTCCCTCAATGGGCGGCACTCCTGGCGGTGGTCCCTATGGCCCAGCTGGCTACGGCGGTGGTGGATTCCCGGCTCAGCAGTACGGTGGTCCTCCCAGCTCATATGCTCTGCCCTCTGGTATGGGCGCTGCTAGCCCCTACCCTCCTATGGGTGCTCAGTACGTGCCTAACGGCGGCATGCACTCTACTCCCTTCGACAGCCGTTCAGCCGAAGCTGCCTTCTCTTCCGCAGACCCATACCCTAACCAGGGTGCCGTCAACGGCGGTGACGGTCGTAACGATCCTTTCGCATTCCTTTCGACAGGCTTTGGCTCTCTTTCCATGAACGATGACCGCCGTAACGTCTCGAACCCCGCCAACAAGTCGCCGGCGTAAATGCACTCGTATATAGGTATCGATCATCTGGAGCGCGGATCTTGCGGTGCAATTTGATATGGGATGGTGTCTTCGGATAGGCTGGCGTGGGCAAGATTGGCTTTTGGGGAGTTGGACAGCGTCGGTCGATTAAGAATTTGTGGCATTTGCAGGCTACCTACGGCTCGGATGCGTATAGACGGAAAACCTCATTTGACGGAGTTCGATACCTAGGATGGGGGTGTTTGGGGATCGACTTGCATTTCATTTCAAAAGCGGGGCGGATGGACAAAAGTACAACATGGACGCGGCAATACGGGCTTTACTGGAGCTTTTGGGTTTCTAGGCTGACCATTTTGTTCGATGCCTAGGCTGTGAGCTTCTTTTCTTTCCATATGCCTTGCTTTTCCTCGTTTTTCTACCTGATCCAAATTGAACATGTCGCTTCGGCGATCAAGGCGTGGGTGGTGGAAGAGGCAGCTCCTTAGCCTCATATCTTTTGTACTTACCATAGAAATACCTTCTTTATCTGTCCTAATAATTTGCAACTTCTTCTGCTCGTCTTGTGTTGGTCAGTTCTGCTTGCCTCGTGGTGCATTACTTGAATTCATGTCGATAGCGATGCGGATTCATAGCAACTGGAAAGTGCGGTAACGGCGTTCGACATTCTCAAGTCAGCAACGCCCTAGCGTGCATACCTGTCTTTGGGAACAATGTCCTCACCTTTTGCTCGCCCATGTGACGAGAACTCTTCGAGTACCGTGGGGCAAGTATATTGCTGTTCATGAATCGATATCTGCTAACCCACAGGATTACTATGTGAAGCTCCCATATTACTGTAGATACCACTGGGTCAAGTCGATAACGGCAAGGAAATGAGGCATTTCTACAGTCATAAGAATTGGAAACTATGGACTTGGGTGTCGCACAGTCTTCTCCGACTTCCTCCAGGTATCCACGGGTATGTACCACAATGCCCGTATTGGCAATGCTAAGATGGCATTCGGGCAACCAGGAATGGCAGGAAAGCCCAATTCATGGAACTAACTCAAGCATTGGACGCAGCTGGGCTTTGAGTTACCACATATATCCAAGACTGTCCAAACACGGCAGACTATGTACTGCGGCTTCGGCTAATCCGGCTTCGGTCCGACGAGACTACTACCATGTATTGCAGTTCACGCACGGATCCTGTCGATGTGCACGAATATCTCCAAATCTATTGGCTCAGTTTCCAGGCTTCCAAGACGAAGGCTGTTGATCGTAAGAGGGGTATAGTGACCACTCATATGTCACCAGATTGATTTCGGGCGTCGCGCTGTGCTCCTGGAGCGCGAAACGAACAAATGCATCCGTAACTACAAGCTTGCAGTGTGGGGGTGGCGTGACATTTGAGGAAGATGGGACGCCGTTGAATCTCGTGTCCGGTAATATTCAGCAGCATTGGTTAAGCGCCACACGTATTGTTGTGCCCTGGTACCGGTATATCCGTGCCATCCCTTTGATCAACGCCACAAATGCAACGCGCTCGCAAACCATCTCAAGTCCCAAATAATCCCCACGAAGTAGACCACTGAAGATGGGCTGACAGCAATGATAGCCAAAACGATCCCAGCCATGCGCGACCGTTCCGCTAGTAACAGGGTCCGGCAGCTATTTTCAGCCACCTACCGCCGCCGTCGATGACGCTATCCGTATAACCACTGGAAACTTTCTATTCCAGGTTTGCACCCTAATACGAGATTGGTGTTGAATAAGAACTAGACGAATTGACTAAGCAGGTCTCGCCATCACGCTCGGTCTCAGGTGGATCTAATCTGAGATGGGTGCCTTGAGGCTGCGCACCTACGAGACGAGGACGACATGATGAAATTCGGAAAGACGATAATCTTGCAGTTGCACATACGACAATCCACTCGTACAAGCAGGATAGTCCAAACAACAATAGCTAGTAAGCTCCTTGTACTGCTCAGCGGTTCATTCAAGGGCGTTGCAGAGCAGGGCAACACTATCGTGACATCTTGGCCTGTAGCTCCCGAGGTCTGGAACGTAGACTGCGCTTTCCCCGAGCGCAACACGGTCACCGCTTCTGTTTGTATAGCGTTGGTCGTAGCTTCGCACCCTAGCACAAATGCTCTTGTATTGGGTTGCCAGGTTACATGCAGTGCTGATGCTCAGTAACTCCACACCAGCGATCTCACCACTCAGCTTTCTTTTCACTTCCACGCCGCACCTAAGCTTTCCTCGTTGCCACTTTTTATCCAGATTGCCCCATCTCTGGACCTCTTTTCTGGACGATAATTCACCCGCGATTATGCTTGTGACCATTCCTTCAATACCCCGACTGGTCGTCATCCCGCTCTTCCTTCTCACATGCGGCATTTTCTTTATACCACGCAGCTATCATGGCTCTGGCGCCTTGAACATGCCGCTGCTCACAGGCAAGAACCTTACCGCTGCTAGCTCAACATTCAACACACCTGTGCGAGACTTCTGGCAGGAGCTCGCCACTGCTCTTCTCCAGTCACAGCCCCAATGCGAGCCCCTACATCTGCAAGAAGACGATGCTGGACCAACAATAGACTTTCTACCTCTTCAACCAAACCAGAAGCACCCTGATCGGATACTGAATCTCAGCGACAAAGAGGAGAGTGTTCTGTTGCGGGCGCACCATGCTATGCGTAAGTCAGCACAGCGCCTAGCACCGAAGATACAATTCGCGAAAGGTACGACTGGTATCGTCACCACTGCAGACGCCTGGTATATGCCTATATTTCTGGTGTCTCTGCGCATGTTACGGAGAACTGGGTGCGACCTACCGATCGAAGTATTCATCGACGACTGGACAAAGTACGATCCGACTGTCTGCGATACCGTCCTGCCGTCCTTGAACGCTCGTTGTGTAGTCATGTCCAACATCTACGAAACTGCAGCACATGTTAAACCACCCAATCATTACCAGTACAAGGTCTTTGCCATCCTCTTCTCATCCTTCCAGCATGTACTCTTCCTCGATAGCGACGCATTTCCTACGGAAGATCCCACCAAGCTTTTCTCAACCGCGCCCTACACAACCCACGGCCTGGTCACCTGGCCTGACTTCTGGGCTCAAACCATATCCGCACACTTTTACCACATCGCCGCTATACCAGAAGTCCCGTCGCAGTCAAGACTCTCAACCGAAAGCGGGCAGCTCCTCATCAACAAGGACATGCATCGCGCCTCTCTCCTCATGATGGTGTACTACAACTACTATGGCCCAGACTACTACTACATCCTCCTCAGTCAAGGCAGTCCCGGCGCTGGCGACAAAGAAACCTTCGTACAGGCAGCATTGGCAGTCGGTCTACCTTACTACCAAGTTCGAACACCGCCCGGTGTTCTGGGCAATCATATGAATGGCACTTTCAGAGGTATTGCCATCACGCAAGCAGACCCCATTCTGGACTATGAATACCTCATTCCCATGCGCAGCCATATCCATCCAGATACACTTTGGCAAGACACCGATCTAGCTCACCCCGACAAAGGACAAAACAAGAAACACAAAGCTCCACATAAACCACAACCCATCTTCATTCATCAAAATAACCTCAAGCTGGATCCAGCCAAAGTTCTGGAAGATGAGAGGGTATACGGACCTGACAATGATGCACGCAGGATGTGGAGCGAGAATAAAGATATGGAGGAAGAACTCGGATACGACGTTGAGCGGAGGCTGTGGGATGTCATCGCTGAAGAGGGGTGTAGGTTGGACAAATCCAGTGGGACGTGTAGGTGGTTAGTAAAGTATATTCATGAAGTTTTTCATTGATGGAGTATGAGCGGTTGATCCTGATGAGATGAGCTCGAGAGAAGATCATGGCATATGGTGGTCTAGGTCTACGTTTGAGCTGTAAACGTGGCACTGAGGAGCCTCAAAGGTATATTTTGTGGCGAAAGGCATTGATCTTGTTATTTCTTTTTGGAGCATCTTGTCGTATACCCACTCTATAGATTTGATTTGTACTTTGTTTTCTTCCGGTGTCGTAGGAAATTTGTAGTTGTACGGTGATGTAAAGATGACTGAAAGGTGGGTCGAATTTAGGGTGGTGTCGCGCTGACTGAGCTGTCCGGAGTGTTCATTATTGTCATTACTCAACACATGATTACAAAGATAGAGAAATAAGACCAGGTCATGATCTCCTGTCAAGCATCGCAAGAATGAGCTGCATGGAAAAAGTTCTCGAATGTAACAAGGGATATCATAAAGCATGCATACATCAAGGCTCATCCGACCTTTTCGTACCAAGTCCAGTCATCCAACAAGGAAACAATACATGAACAGAAATACTAAGCAGAGTGCTCCATTTCACTCTGCAGCAGACTCTTCATGATGTCATCTTCGGTTACTGTCGTCCTCCCCGATCTCCTATCGTCCCTTCCAACCGTCAACGTACTGTGTCCAGCCGCAGACTCATCATCTTCTTCATCTTCGTTGTCGTCGTCTTCTTCAAGGGGCATCCGTGTGCTTTCACCCTGCATACCTGCTAGCATGGTATCTTCATCCTCCTCTTCCTCTTCTTCTTCTTCATCATCATCATCGACCTGCGGTACTGCAGACTTCCGCTTAGTACGCGACGCAGAGGTTTCAGTGACATCACCCTCCGTCTCTTCTTCTTCATTGACTTCAGTAGCATCGGTAGCGACAGTCACCTCGGGTGTAGCTGTACGCTCTACCTCTGTGTCTTGGACTTGTGTGGCCGCCTCACCCAGTCGTTTGGTCAAAGTGGATTCCAGTTTGATCAAGGCGTTGCGCTGTGTAGCATCTGTGCCGATTTTTCCTTCTACAGCCTCAGATACTAGCTCGTGTAGAGTGCGGAAGCTTTCTTCGTCGACGGCGCCTTCTTCTCCCTTGCGAATCGTACCAGAAGGGGTGATGAACAGTTTACCTAATAGTGAGAGCAAAGGCTTTCGCTCATCCTTCGAGCATGTACTCGTCAATGCGCGTTCCAAAATGTCGATTGCGAGCTGCATATGTGGTTCTTCAGCCTCGGCAATGGTACTTGTCTTTCCGTCGAGACCAAGTTCGGTCGCGCCCACGACTTTACGTCCATCGGTCCATTCGGCAAGATGAGCAGTGATGACAGGCCAGCCCACCATCTCATCGACATCTTCTTCCTCGACGTTCTCATCGCGCATAATGAGCAGTTTTGAGATCACCGGCACGGCAATCTCACTCATGAGTTTGGCGTTTTTGAGCTTAGAATGACAGTACACGGGCAAGAAGTAACTGAGCGCTTGTCTCAATGCTGGGTTCGTTGCCGTCTCAGGGTCGAAGTACGTCAGGACGAAAGCTTTGAGGACTTCAGTCGTGGATTGAGGGGGCAGGATACCCAAGAGAAGAAGCTTTGACGCCGCGGTGCAGGAGATTAAGCTAATGCGCTTGTTATCCGAGCTGAAGGCTTTCAGCAGTATCTTGGTAACGGGGCGAATGCGCGGGTTGATGATGGGCTCTGCATCTTCTGTCGAAGCATCTGGGTCTGGAATCGTAGGCGTAAGGAATTGAGGATGTGTGATGATTACATCAGTCAGAACTTGGATAACAATCTCTTTGAGGGCGTCGTGGCCTTTCATGAAACAATGGAAGAACAGGTCGAGGTTGTTGTCAGCGAGATCCTGCTTCTTGTTAGCGTAGCCCGCGGAAAAGCGTAGTCCTCTCGACTTACTTTGCTAAGGAGGGCGGCCAGACCCAAGCAGATGACACCGCGTTCTCGAATCATAGCCTGATGAGCTTGAACTGCAGGGATGATGAGTGTGTTTAGGATGCTGGTGAGCGAAGTATCCGACTCCAGATCGCCTTCTACGTTCTGAAGTGTACATTGAGCGATATGCAGACACTTCGAGTAGACCATCACTTCACGGATCTGTCGCTCCTCCTTCTCTTCTTCAGTAAGGTTCTCCGTAGCCTTTGCAGTTTTGGGCTTGATCAACGGTGCGTCGCCATCCGCATCAGATTGTGCGGAATGGAAGCTCTCTTCAGCATCCTCACCTGTAACTGTGGCGTCATCGGCATCTAGCAAAGAGTCGCGAACATCCGCAATGGCCTCTACGATAAGAGCAGTGAAGTCCTTTTCGCCACGACTGCCGCAGACCTTCCGTAACACCTCGATAGCAAGCTTGGTGCACTCCTCCGGTAGCTGAGCTTTGGCGATAGCTTCACGCATGATGTTGTACATTTGCCTACGACCCATCTCGTCCGTGTAGTCAAGGGTGTGGGCGATATGAAGTAGTTGCTGGACAATGAAGTCCTGCTCCTCGACGTCTTCCTGTGCTTCTTCAACCTCCGGATCGTTCTCTTCCATGACAGCGACCTTGTCTACCAACTCCATGAGGGAATTGAGCTCCCTCTGTAGGACAAAAGCAAACATGGTGACTTCCGGCATCTTGTCCTCGATCATACTTTGCACCCTCTCGTCGTCGGTGCTGTGGCTGTAATCGTTCAGCGTGCGTGCAATGAACGCCGTCTGCGCATCGAGGTTGTTCCAAAACTCATGATCAAATGTGATTTCTTTGCGGTAATCCGGCCGGCCATCCCAGAATTGGCGCATCGCTTCGTGTGCCATACCGTCTTCTTCCCCAGAACGGGTAACGTCAATACGCTCAAGAAGCTCACAAAGCGCTTCGAGGTTTGGAGGAGCAACATCTCCCGGCTTCTTCTCCTCTTCAGGCCGGGTGTCGCGCGAAGAAGCACAGTCCTCGAGCCATCGTTCACGGAACAAAGTCGCAGCAGCTTTGCGAACGAGATCATCTCGATCCCGAAGACCCCATCGAATGAGCTTCTCTCGCTCAACAAGCGACATGTGTCGGAAGTCGCCCAAGGCTGGCAGAATTTTGCCGTATACTAGTCGGCGGGTGGTCGCATCCATGTCTCGAGCTCGCTCTAGGATATATCGGAGGGTGGATGGCCACAGTGGTAGATTTAACAGCACAGCGCGTCGCACTTCGGCACTCGGATCGTTAATCATAATGTCTAGAAGCTTTTCCAGGATACCGCCTGCGCCTTCATCGTCGCTATCTTCGTCTTCCTGATCCTCATCGTCGTTACCAGCAAGACGACCCAAGCCCAAGATGGCCTGTACACGCACTGAGGGTTCCTTGTCTCGTAGACGCTTCATAAAACCCAATCTTATCAGGTCAAATATTTCGTCGTCGATTGTTGTCAGGCTATTTACGATGTGTGCGACCGTCTGTGTGGCTCGAAAGCGGATCGTCTTGTCCTTGGCCGTCAGTAGTGCGAGGATGGTGGTGAGGATTTGGGAGGTCAGTCGACTGCTGGGTGTCTCGTGGAAAGCTGTGGCTTCTTCCTCTGTCTCGGCAGCGAAGATCGTTTGGTCCTTCTCGGAAGCATGCTTCAGGAATATGCCCAGAAAGCGGATCACCCTATCTCCAACCGGCTCGCTCTTCTTGACGCACATGATCCTGAGTACGCACCTCACAATCTCGGCATTGAACTCCTCCTCGTCGAAGTCCTCCTGTTCCTCGCCCTTGTTCTTCTTCCCGCCCTTCTTGCCGGTGTCTGGTGGCTCGAAGCAGCATGCTTCTTGTATCTTCCTCAAGTTCACCACTAGCTTCCTTTGAGTCGCAGTTGTCTTTTGTGCGTCGCTGAAGACTTGAGCGATTTGTGTTCGGAGTGAGGTCACGAGGCCTTCATCGGGGATTTCGACTGCATTCGAAGACTGCCTCGCAGATGATGCGCGTGTGGATTTGGTAGCGCGTGTCGTCGAAGTAGTCGATGCTCGCGGAGCACGTGTTGACGTTCGGCCGACCATCTTGACTATATCGTGAGTTGGTTGTCGTGTCGTCTGGTCTCCACCTCAAGATGCGGCCGTCGGTGTTGTTGTTCAACTGTTTACTGACCCCACGCGGTAACCCACTCGTGGCTGCAGGGGTCTGTCTCGTGGCAGGGGTCCTGCAGTTGCGACATCGGGCGAAAGCGCGTTGATTCGCCGACCAGCCGAATGGCATCATTGCGAATCCTAGAAGTTCGACTTTCCCATCTTGACGTGTTTGCCTCTTTCTGCACAGCAACAATGTTCAGGACGGCTGCGCGAAGTTTCGCTGCCTCGGCATGGCGGAATGCAGAGAGCCTCAGCCAAATAGAGGCTGCACAGCAAACTGCGATCAACATCTCCAAAGCCCAAGGCATTGGACAGCGGGGTTTCCTTGATGGTACCATACCCGGCAATCATACCTTGGGGCTTCCAGACTGACTCTACAATATAGCTATCGGCAAAACTCCCCTCATCCGCCTCAAGCGCCTCTCCGAAGAGACTGGCTGCAATGTGCTTGGAAAGGCCGAATTCCAGAACCCTGGTGGCTCTGTGAAAGACCGCGCCGCCCTCTTCGTCGTCGAAAACGCCGAGCGCCAGGGTCTCTTGAAGCCTGGTGGCACCGTCATCGAGGGCACCGCTGGAAACACTGGTATTGGTCTCGCGCACGTCTGCCGTTCCAAGGGATATCGATTGGTAATCTACATGCCAAACACCCAATCTCAGGGAAAGATCGATTTGCTGCGCTTGCTTGGAGCAGAGGTATACCCAGTACCAGCGGTGGCATTTGACAACCCAGAGAATTACAACCACCAGGCGAAGCGACACGCGGATAGGCTAGAGAATGCCGTGTGGACGAATCAGTTCGACAATGTGGCGAACAGGCAGGCGCATATCGAGACTACTGGACCCGAGATCTGGCACCAGACAGGTGGCAAGATCGATGCTTTCACCTGTGCCACTGGTACTGGCGGCTCACTTGCCGGTGTAACGAGGTACTTGAAGGAGAAGAGTGATGGAAGGGTTAAGAGCTTCTTGGCCGACCCACCAGGCTCCGTATTGCACTCATACATTCAAAGCGGCGGAAAGCTTCAAGAACGTAAGGGAGGCTCTATAACAGAAGGTATCGGTCAGGGACGTGTAACGGACAACCTGAAGCCCGACATTGACCTTCTGGACGGTTCAGTACATATCAGCGACGAGAAGACCATTGAGATGGTATACAGATGTCTGGACGAGGAGGGTCTTTACCTAGGTGCAAGCTCATGTCTGAACGTCGTTGCCGCGAAGGAGGTGGCCGAGAAGATGGGCAAGGGATCAACCGTCGTCACTTTGCTGTGCGATGGCGCATACAGATACGCGGATCGTCTGTTCTCAAAGAAGTGGTTGGAGCAGAAGAAGCTGTACGATGCGATACCCGAGCGGTTGCGCCGATACATCGTACTCGAGTAAGTGCTCAGGAATATGTAAAACACAATGACATCAACGTACGACAAACATCTGCCCACCTTGTTCCGGCCAGCTTGCACTACAACTCCATTTGTACATCTACAACCATGACCTCTAATCTATCTATCTAAACCTGAAATTACATTTCTAGATCATTGGACTTCCACTAGCGAACCCGTTAACAACGGCCGTCATGAGCTGGTTCGCAATCGCAGTTTTCGGCGGCAATCTCAGCCCACCCTCTTTGTACTCTGGGCCAGCATCATCTCCAAGTCCACTAGTACCCACGCGTAGCGCCTCCCTAACCTCCTCTGCCGTGAACCATTTCGCATCTTCCAGCTCGGCGTCATGTCCCAGATGAATCGTCTCTCCATCTGGGATCGCCTGCCCGACAGCACCAATCATGAGGTTAGCAGGATAAGGCCAAGGCTGAGTGCTGTGAATAACAACACGACCGAGATGAATGCCAGATTCCTCCCAGACTTCGCGACGTACGGCTTCTTCGACGCTCTCGGCGGGTTCCAGGAAACCGGCCAGAGTGGAGTACCAGTTGGGAGGCCAGCGCTTTTGACGTCCTAGTAGAATCTTCTTACCATCGGCGGATACAACGGCCATGATGACTGTAGGGTCTGTTCTAGGGAAACAGAGGTTCGAAATGCCGGTTCGGGTTGCGCAGGGTGGGCGTTCGCCTTGGTTGACTTCGGACGCAATGTCTTTTGGTGGGCAAGTGCGCTTGAAACCGGCGTTTACGGACAGAGTTTTGTAGCCGCAAGAAGCGCAAAAGGGGTTCCGTGCGTTCCAGTCGAGGAGGTGTCGGGCTTCAGCGTAGATGGCCGCTATGGAGTGTCAGATACGAAAATCCGGGTATCAGTGAACATGGATGAATGATATCGTACCTTCCTGAGCCTGCAGATTCAAATTCGTTCTTCCTTTACTGAATTCCAGACCCGTGCTTGTCAATTTCTCCAGCACCTCGTCTGCCTTCTCCTTCACACTTTCCCTAGGTGTAACGTCGACAGCAAACCACGGCTGTCCCTTATAGTGCTCTTTGTATGTAAAGCCATCTTGTCGCTCATCGAGACCCAAGAAGATAATCTGCGGAACATACAGACTAGAGTTGTACTGTGCGATGACTTCCTCCTCAGACTTCTCGAATGGGTTCTCACCAATGACTGGCTTGACATCAGAGAAGCCGCAGCGTGCAAGTTCCGTACCGGACTTTGTGAGGGGTTCGAGGTTTTTGAATGGCAGGAAAACACTGCTGGGATGGTGGAGTGCCGAGGTGAGGAACTGATGGTCGGGGCGCAGGAAGCCTACGCGATTGAGTGGAGAGCCTGCAAGATCGCGTTAGGAACAGGATGCAGAAGAGGGTATAGGTGGGTTATCTAGGTACCAGAGAAGTAGTTAGCAACTTCCTTTCCGAATTTACGGCTCAGCATTGAATCTACTTCTGGATGCGCTGGCTCGGGAAGTTCGGGTTGCGGGGGCATCGTCTGGAATACTATGACGTCTGATCGCCTTTAGATCGTAGGCCGAAGAAAGAAAGCTTCAAGTTGGTAGTAACAAGACTCTAGACGGAAGAATTCAGGTACGAGATCAAGGGTCAGTGTCACTGAAGACCAGGCGACTGACGTCTGCACTTTGCTCTGCCCCACGCCGCTAGACAACGGTGCATTACAAACCATGAGATATGTATGCGTGGTCGAGTTCCGAGGCCTCGGTTCATGTTCCGAAGCTTATCGATAGCTTTATTTGGACTTCTGGCAACAGCAGCGCGTATCGCACACGCAACCCGTCTCCCGACCCATACATGGAGTTAAGACAGCAACAATGAGTCGCTTCTATGTAAGTACGACCAGCAGTGCTGCATGTATCCCGCGAATCTAAGAGATTGTGCAATTGACCCTTCCACCAGTTCGGCGACGACTCGCGCTCAGCGTCCAGCGACAACGACAATGACGACGAAGACAACCTCTCCACCCTCCCCTTCGCAACGCCCCTACGCCGATCGGACTTCCTCACCCCAAATTTCTCACCCGCCACCTACCTCTCCACGCTCCACAACCGACACCAAACCCTCGAAGACCTACGTTCAGAATTGCGCTCGCGGTCGCAACTCCTCTCAAAAGAACTCTTAGATCTCGTCAACAGCAACTACCAAGACTTTCTCAACCTAGGCAACAGCCTCCATGGCGGCGAGGAAAAAGTAGAGGAGGTGCGAGTGGGGCTTCTGGGATTCAGGAAGGAAGTTGATGGTTTGGTTGGTGTGGTGGGGAAGAGAGAGGAGGAGGTTGGGGAGTTGTTACAAGAGAGGAGGGATGTCAGGGAGAAGATTGAAGTAGGGAGACGGCTGGTCGATTATGATGCTAGGCTGAAGGAACTGGAGGCTGAGCTCATGATTGAGGCAGCGGGGCACGAGACAATCATTCTCGGAGAGGAAGTCTCGGACAGTGAGGACGAGGACGACGAGGACGACAACGACGAGGAGGAAAAAGAGGGGTATGGGGTGTCGATTGCCAAGTTGAGGCGGAATGTCGTGTATTACCGGTTGGTGCTGGGATTACAGAAAGACTTGGGCGAGCATCCGTTTGTGGCAGCCCAGGCAGCTAGATTAGCAAAGGTGCGAAGTACATTGTTGATGGATCTGAGCACTGCATTGCAGCAGGCGAAGGGTGCTGGCATATCTGGCGCTGGCCGTGTGACGAAAGTCATGAAGATATACGCCGACATGGAGGAATCCGCCGAGGCCGTCAAGGTCCTCAAAACATTCAAGTCGTCATAAAAGAATATTTTAACCAGCATAGCGACGGCGTTCGGTATGGTACAATGTTCATACATCCCAAAAAGCTACATTTACAAAGGTCCGCTTAACTCCTTTGGCGATATGGACTCTGGTCCTCTGAAGTCTCCGCTCAATGTGAAGCCGGGTGCATTCGTCGAGCTGAGCACCACCTCGTGGATCTCCTTACTGATGCGGTCGCTCATCTGCGCCATGTCCTTCTTCAGCGCATCCAGGAATGCCTTGACATTCCTCTGCATCTCTTCCGGTGTAAATCCTAGTTGCCCAACTGCCATGCGAATCACGCCCAGACGTTCCCTGTACTCACTACCACCAACCATATTCCGGACACTGGTGCCCACCTGGGTAACAACCGTTCCTGCCTTTGTGCTTGGCATCAAGCCCTTGGGACCTAATACTCTTCCCAACCCCGCCTTGTTCATCTTTTGGAGACTGTCGATGTGACAAACACACCTGTCAAAATCGATCTTGCCTTCCTTGATCTGGTTGAATATCTCGTCCTCTCCTACAAGCGTAGCGCCAGCAGCCCTAGCTTCAGCAGCGGCTTTCGAGTCGGGGGCGGCGATGACGCAGATCCGTATATCAGTCTTGACGGGATGCGGTAGTCGTAAGCGATTTCGTACAACGGGGCCGTTTTTCAGTGTGCGTAAGCGAACGTGTAATTCGTATTTGGAGGAAGATGGATTGCGGCCTACTTCAAAGGCGCGGATATATCTGTTTTACTGTCAGTCCTCGACCTTCCCACTTCTTCATACGAATTCGAGCAAAACGTACTGCATTGCGTCAACGAGCGAGAACTGGTCTGCCCTCTTCAGGTCATATTGCAAGAATGTGTTCCGCGCCTTCTTCTTTTTCTTTGGCTGTGCTTTTGTGGTTGCGCATCGTATCGTCTGGTACGGTATTGGGGCGAAGCGCTGAACTTCTGATCTCGATGCCGCAATTGAAAATGTAGTGAGTCTGCTCAAAGGAGCTATTAACGATCGTGGGTGTGCCATTGGTGCTTTTGCGGGCGTAGATGGTGGTCGTGATGTGCCAAAAGTTCGGTCGGCGATTCGGGAATGCCAAGACATAATGGCGCTAGTTAGAGGACACCATCTGCGCCTTTGCCATCTTCTTGTGCCTACATGTTTCCTCTCACGTTGCAAATGATCTGATAGTTGGCTAGCAAACACGTTCGTCGTCATCATCGTTAAACTTGTTTGAGTTTGATCTCGACTGCACTATTCGCGCCGGCAGTAGCGCAGCAGCAGATTGGAGCGGCCACGGCCAAACCAGTAATACGACAGCTTCAAGATCGAGGTTCATATCCCATGCGATTCTACTTCAATATCAAGCGCTACTACGCTTTACGTGAAAAATTTCAACAAGCACTTAATTTGTTCGGCACAAGCGTTGCACGATTCAGATGCTCAAACGGGATTGAGGACAATCTCAAGTGAGCATCAAATATGACTCACAGCGTCCCGTAGGTCACAGTGCTTGATGCTTGACAGTAAGCAGAAGTAATCACGTTAGCATATGAGCTAATTGAACCAACGGGTTGCATGTCAGACGGCAGAACAACGTGCAGTGTGAATGATGAAGTCTAGCCTTATCAAGTCTAGTACCTAACCGCAAAGCCTTCTGATCTGTATGCCCACAATCCAGAACGTCTCCGTAGTGGAGGCGTCTCTGTTGGATTTCAGCCCATTTTCCGTGACTGTTCTTCATTGGTGCGTGAGGTAAGGCCCTCTGCGCAAAGGTGTAAAGGATATAAGAGTCACCAAGCATCGGACTGTCTAGTCCAGTCGCGGAAGGCTGTATTCCCACGCTAAACCATGTTTGGTGCTTACCGAGCTTAAACAATGCCGATTGGACTCTTTCTCTAATCTATTCCGATACATGTTTGCATTTCATGGCTGAACAAAGCGTAGTATAAATGTTGGTATGCTCTTGATGGATGCATCAGACTCATCTCACGACACTTGAGTCACCATGGATCATACACTTTTCACGCCTCAGCTTAAGCTGACGCTCATTACTACGGCGGAGAGAGGAAGCCAGGAATTCGAATGGTTGCACGAACTACGCAGAGATGAGAAAGCCGCATTCTGGAGGTAGGTCTTCACGTGCTTTCCCTAGCCGTCTTAAATACGCCATGTATCAAATATAGTGGTACTATACTAATTCTCTTTAGCATTCACGGAATCTCAAAAAGCTTTGAAGATACCGAAAGGTTCAGTAAGAACGTCTTGCCAACCACCGTCAAGGAAGGCGAAACGAAGTCCTACCGAATCGCTTATGCTGTGCACGAGTTACTCCCCACCTCCGGAAACGATGCAGTCAACAAAGAAGACATTCCAACCCGCTTCGTTGGAATCATTACCGTTAAAACCCTAGGTCCACAAGGCCTCGTTATAAGATCCGACATTTTGCCTCCTTCTACTTCCGAACCCGGATGTCTCGTCGTAGAAATGGGTTATAGCTACCTCCCGTCCGCATGGGGTAAAGGCTACGCAACAGATGCAGTAAAAGCAACGATGGAAGCTTGCAAGAGAGGGAAGACTTTCTGGGAGCCGTACGACAGGGTGTTTGTAAGAGCCATTGTCAGTCCGGAGAATCCGGCGAGTCAACGTGTGATGGCTAAAAGTGGTATGAAGGAGCTTGGAATGCATTTCTGGGATGGCAAAGGTGAAGCAATTTTTGTCGGGGGGAAGTGGAGGACGACGGATGAATTACATGTGTTTGGTACATTTGTCGTCGAGTAAGACGCTCTGATTGGTTTGGTGCCAGGTACCGTTGGCCTGGCAGTAAGATGGGACGGACTCTTGGCAAAAAGATATATTCTGCCTCCCATGGAAAGACTCCAGGAAGTATATACATAGACAGCAGTTTTCCACCAAGAGTGCGTGGCCGCTCTTGCCTCAGATGGCTTTGAGGTGGAAGCTGCTAGCGGTACACTAAGATCCCCGATCAGCACGTGGGCAATTGCGATTCCCCATCAGTAGCTGTCACTCTCTCATCTACAAACAACATCAATCATCTACCATGCGCGCATCCATTTGTTACCTGACAGTATGCGCTTAAGGCCATCTGCCTGAGTTCTTTGCGACCAACCCTTTGGAAATGTCCAGCCGACGGTCAGCCGATACTTGCGCCGAGTGTCGAGCTCGTAAAGTCAAGTGCGACGGGCGACGGAACATCTGCAACCCTTGCAGACGACTTCAGCTTCGCTGTTCGTTCACCGTCGCGGATGTAGCGAATCCGATCCCAGATCCTCGAGCAATCCTCGGAGGTCGACGTGCAAGAGCGGCTTGCAAGGCTTGTCAAATACTGAAAGTTCGTTGCAGCGGTGGGCTGCCCAAATGCGAAAGATGTGTAAATAAGCAGAACACTTGTGTATACCCAGGACCGAGGTCGAGTGCTGCACGATCCACGAGACGGGGAGATGCTACACAGAATACCTCCACTACAGTTCTAGCTCCTTTGGGCCTCTTCTCAAGCACGTTATCAGGTGCTGACGCGACGCAAACCACTTTATCTGCAGTCAACGCCACGAGCACCACGCGAGTGTCCTCATATTCAAACCCAGAGATCCCAGCAGAGGTCATCACAACTTCTCTGTCGCTGAACGGCCCCACAGTGCTGCGCCTGTTAGAAGCTTTCTTCGAGTACATCCAGCCGATTCCCGTCTATTCGTTCTTCCATAAAGCTTCACTGATCCATCGATTTGAGTCTAGCTCCATCAGTCCTGAGCTTCTGCTTGCCCTGATTGGTACCGCATATGACATGCTCGAGACGGAAGCTCCCATGAAAGAACTTGGTCGTAAATGCCTCTCGAAAGCCGAAGAATTAGTGATGGAAGGCATCAAAACGCCATCGGCTGTGAAGATACAGACTCTCATTCTAGTGATACAGGCGCACTGCCGCCAGGGGCAAATCACCGCACCGTTCATGCTCTTTGCAATCGCAGCGCGATTTGCTCATGCCTTGAGACTGAATCACGAGACATCTGGGCTGTGTTACCTTGAGCAAGAGTCCCGTAGAAGGCTCATGTGGAGTTTGTTCACAATCGACGTACGGCTAGCTGGAGGCATTCGCGACTTTTCACTCTGTCCTGCCGATGCTATATATGTTCAGTTGCCATGTCAAGAACGCAATTTCGAGCTAGGCCTTGAGCAAATAACAGAGGATTTACAACCAAACAGCAGTCAATCTAGTGGCGAGAATGTTGGGTCGCTTGCGACGTATCTGAGGATATTCTGGCTTCGTCATCGCATCCTTCAGATGACTAAAGAAACCATCTTCTCGCAAGCTCGAGGAATAAACCAGCTTCCTGCAAAGGTTGATTCGTTGGCCCAAGAACTTTCAAACTTCGAAGCAAACTTGCCCGTGAGCTTGCAATTCTCGAAGAGAAGTCACCAATTAAGAGCCTATTCACCCAGACTTTACACGTACTTACTAATACATCTCTGGTTACGGCAATGTTATTGTGACCTATATCGCGTATTTCTGACTGGGTTGAAAGAGTCCATTACCGAAGACCAAGCCCGTCATTTGGATCTGAACATGGTTTCGAATTATTGCTGGAAATGTTACGAGAGTGCGAAGAAGATGTCTGACTTCCTGGACAACATTAAGACTATGGGTATTAGGTTGCCTAAGACGGAACACGATATACCTATATGCGCGTATCAGTGTGTTCGGTTGCTGCTGCAGTGTTCCTGGCGATGTGGTTATGTAGACGGCAAATTGACGGAGGACATCCTCCAGCTTCTTCTGGGTCAATGCTTAGCAGCAGTAGAGGCTGTGCCGTCGACATCTTCAATCGGTATACGTGTGGTATGTGACAGTTACTAGCTTCGCTGCGACATGTCCAACTGACAAAGTTACAGGAAAGAGATCTTCGAGACTTGATCAAACAAGGGAGATCGTCAGGTGCTTCGCCAGATCGTGCGGAGTCTCCAGTTGACGTAGGGCAACCAGGCCACCGCCCTTTGAAACATCTCTTTTCAAGGCACAATCTTCTTGGACAGATGTACATTAGAGACGACCAGGCTATGCTAACCATACAGAGTGGTCTGGACCACGAGGTCTCTGGAGCTGCATCGCGCACACGGCCGCCTACACCTGTTCCGGTCATGATACAAACTGCAGACTCTGAAATTATGCGTGATACCGCTGATCAGCGGACTGGGTCTGAACTGGTCAATTCGGCTTCTTTAGACGCATTTAACAGCGATCTAGACGGACTGTTCGACTTGAGCATTGCTGACATGGATCTATTCGGCTGGTCGGGAGACCTTTGGACAAACAACACATAGTAGCAACATCTAAGCACCCTTGCAAGTCCATCGATTATGGTCGTGCTACAGTCGGGAGTCAAGAAATACTACTTCGCACCCGGTCAGCCTTCAACAAACGCTCTTCTAGCTGCTTCCTTGGTGACTTCATGTCAACCTTGGGAAATCGGTCATCCTTTGACCAAGGCAAGAAATCTGACCCAGCCACCAACCACCTGAATATCTCAGCCTGAAGCATGTTCGCTATTGGCGCGTGTTCGGGCTCTGCTGCAAGGTTATGCATCTCTTGTGGGTCCTTTCGTCTGTGATACAATTCAGCAGGCTCGTACAAGCGGTAGATATATGTCCACTCTTCATTGCGGATACTGATTGCTTTCCCGACTAGGGCTGTATTCTCGTGTTGAAGGCCGGCCTTGATGTCGTACGGATAGGGAGCCTGCTCTAGAAGAGGTTCTTCACTTGTGAGAAAGCCGCCTTCGGTGAATGCGAATTTCTTGTGGGACTTTGTGTCGCGCAGCAACGTCGAGATAAGAGAGATCCCGTTATGAGGAAAATGCTCACCAATGCCAGCCATCTCGAAGATTGTCGGGACCAAATCGACCATCTCAAACATAATGTCGGAGACCTTTCCTGCTGGTATGCCAGCACCACCGATGATCAGCGGTTCGTGTGTAAGAGCGTCCGACAAGCCAGACGGCCACTTTTCTACAAGACCATGGTCGCCTAGATATTCTCCGTGGTCGGTGAAGAACATAGTGACCGTGTTGTCCCAAAAGTTCGAATCCTCGAGCTTTTTTACAATCTTCCCGAACTGGTCATCCAGCCTTGTAATCATGCCGTAGTAAGTCGCTTTGACCTCTGCCCAGATCTCTGGCGTAGCACGATCCGTACCGTACTGCTCACGGATCGTCTCCATATAGCGAGGCTCGTATCCCGTCTTCTTCTCTGGCTCGGAGATGATCGGAGGCATGTCAGATCGCTCATACATCGAGAAATAGGGCTCCTCAACCTGAAAAGGGCAGTGAGGGAAGAGGAGCGGCATGAACAGCACCCAAGGCTTATCTTCGGGCGGACAGTCTAGCCAGCTCAATGCTGATCGTACGACGGCGTCGTCGTAGTCTAGTGCTTCGTGCGGATTCCGAAGCCCTTTGTAAAATAACCGCCCCCAGATACTCTCGTCCTTCTCATTACCACCGCCAGTAAACTTGGGTACAAACTCAGGTGTCTCTAGGAAACCGTACTCAGTGACACTTAGTTCTGTCACGGTTGGAGCGAAGGTGTCGCCTCGTGGTGCTAGGCAAGCGACATGGTAGCCGTTTTCTTTTAAGCTACGGAACATATTCGGCTCCCAAGGCTTAATTAGGTTTTCCAAGCTACGATGTCCACTGACGTGTGGATAGGTCCCAGTGAACATGCTGCATCGAGACTGAGAACAAACGGAAGCTTGTACGAAGCAGTTGGTGAAGCGTGTGCCTCGATTGGCAAATGCGTCGATGTTAGGGGTCTTGATCGGGCTGTCTGAACCTGAGAGACAGCCCAAAGAGTCATAGCGCAGTTGATCTGGCATGAATATGACAAAGTTTGGTCGGACATTGCCATTCTTCCCGTTGATTCGAAGAGGCAAAGGCGCAGGTGGTAATGAATGAGACATATCAAGAAGAGATAGAGTGGGTTCAGAAGGATGAAAGTACCATGAAAGTCAAGAGCTTTGTGACAATTATGACTATTGAGAATACTACTCCATAACAAGAAGAGCTTCAGGTGCGTTTTCATCCGAACGAGTTGGTCACCGACATCCGTGGGGGGGGAATACCGAGATCCGAGTAACGAATGAACACGCTCTGTGAAGCTCCACCGAGCGCCGGTCGATGGACGCCAATTGTGCCATTGCAAGCCATAATAACGTTTCTACATGCATTCACCATCCTTCTTCGCACTAAAATTCCGGAAGAGCATCCATTCCGCAAGTATGCATCACTATTCGCCGTGATTGGAGAGCAGGAGGTCTGAATACCCAGCTTTTGGCCATTGCCGGGCTATGTAACTCGATCGGCCTTCGCGGATCAAGTCAATCAGTATCCGAAGCATAACTATATTATAAAAAATGGAATCTATCGGATTGGGGGTGTCATAAACTCATCTCGTCGCTTTTTGCTCTAATCTTTGCCCACTGAAATCATGGCTATCCTTAAGCAGTTCGAGTCTTTCAATACAAGACTTGCTCTTGGCTGCCATCTCATTGCATCTTCTTCATTTAATTATGGATTTGACAATCAAGCTTTCGCTACCTCTCAGGCAATGGATGCTTTTGCAAAGCAATTCGGTGTGCTGGATCCGACGACAGGCCGTTACGTCTTAGAACCCTCATGGCTATCTCTCTTCAACTCCTTGAATTACATCGGATTTGCTGCAGGTAGGGAACGTAAATTCACACTACTAGCATTGCTCTAATCATGTCAGGCGTCTTGTTAGGTAGTTTTATCGCCAATAGGTACGGACGGCGATGGTGTACGTTCAGTATGAGCATCTTTGCCATCGGTACTGCGACACTAGGTGTCACTGCCCAGAATCGTGACCATATCATGACTGCGCGTATCTTAAACTGCAAGCATCTCTTTGATGACACTGAAATGTTGAGACTAACTCACCGTAGATGTGTACGTTGGTATGGAGCTGGCCGTCATCCCTGCATTCCAATCCGAGATCGTTCCTGCTCCCGTCCGCGGTCTCGTCGTCGGTACATATCAGCTCAGCCTCATAATAGGTGGTTTCGTCATCAACTGCGTTTGCAGGGGCACAAGTACGATCCAAGACAACCGTGCATGGAGAATCCCACTAGGTCTCTTCTACATCATACCAACCCTGATCGCTACCTTGGTTTTCTTCACGCCCGAGAGTCCTCGATGGCTATTACTGAATGGTAGGGTAGACGAAGCCCGCTCAAGCCTAACAACCTACCGACAGGGCAAGTTTTCGCAAGACGAAATTGATGCTGAGTTCCGTGAACTGCAGTTCGCTTTGGAACATGAGGTCGAAAAGGGAAAGTTCATTGAAATGTTCAAAGGTCTCAACCTTAAGAGAACACTATTGGTGCTGGCCATCAACTTCTTCCAGCAAGCCACAGGCCAAGCATTCGCTAGTCAGTACGGAGCGATCTAGTACGTGTTCCTCTCGGCCATTTTCAAATCCCATAGACAAACTGACAACAACTAGTGTCAAGTCGCTCAGTACCGTGAATCCATTTGACATGAATCTTGTCTTCGCTGGTATCAACATAATAGCTATCTGCATCACACTGGCCATCATCGACCGAGTGGGCAGGAGGCCAATGCTGCTGGCGGGCGCAGCTGTACAAACGATCGCCTTGATGATTATGGGCGGGCTGGGTACTACACCAAATGTGAGTGACGGTCAAAAGATTGGCATAGTAGCTATGCTAGCACTCATGACAGCCGGTTTCAGCATTGGGTGGGCACCTCTTTGCTATGTTGTAACGACAGAGCTACCCGCGCTCAAGCTCCGTGACGATACTTTACGTTTGGGCTTCTTTTTCAATGTGTGTCTAAAGTAAGTCCATCCATACTAGACATTGAAACCTCCGGCTAAAGCGAAGGTCCAGCTTTGCTGTTAACTTCTCCATTCCATACCTCATTTACCCTCAATATGCCGGCCTGGAATCCAAAGTCGGGTTCGTGTTTGGATCTATTGCGGCTGTTTGCTTCATGTTCACGTATCTTTGCATACCTGAATGTAAAGGCAAAACTTTGGAGCAAGTCGACTACATGTTTCAGAAGAAGGTCCCGCTTCGTCAATTCGGAAGCTATACGGTACCTAATTTCTCTGAGCAGGAAGATGGGAAGCTGGAGACTTTGTTTATGAAAACAGCGTAGTCGATGATTGAGAATAAGTCATACGTCTTTGAGCACATGTGGCTGCCCAAGTGGTTGTGTCCCAGTACTTTCGTGACGTAATTATCAGCTCCCTCGGCATCCAAATTGCCTCCGTACCCCAACAACGAACAAACATCGGCGACAACACCGATACTCCCCTCTCCAACCAATGCATTGCAGATCATCTCCATGATAGGAGATGTGCAACGTGAAGATGTGGATTTTACCCCGCACGTCTGGGGTAAAGCCGCAGTTGCTATATCCGGGACTGGTTTGCCAGCATAGTGCTACATCCATGACCTGTGCTGGATTTCTCCAATTGTATAGCCATTGCGCAAACCCGCAAAGTTGAAAAGACTCGTTCACAATACATTAGTCCAAACTGTGGAAGTTCACCCGAATGAAAGCCAACATGGATAAATCTTCAGAACAGGAGAAACAGGAACATCTCGAACATGTTGATATCGACACAGCAAAACACCAGCATGAACGAATGCAAGAGGATGGAGAAGAGATAGACATTTACGATGAAAAGCAGAACAAGAAGCTCAACCGACGCCTCGACTTACGCGTCCTACCCTTATGCTGCTGGGTATATCTCTTGAACTTTCTCGATAGAGGTACGCAACTTGCCCAGCCAGAACACGGCCACTAGAACGAAGTCACTCTAGTTGACACTCGCGACAGGAAACATTGGAAATGCCCGTGTGCTCAACACCGAAACGGGCGACGATATGCTCAGTAACACGGGTCTAACACCGCACGGCTATGCTCTCACCGTTACCCTCTTCTCCGTCGCTTACGCCGTCTTCGAAATCCCGAGCAACTTCGTGATGAAGCATTATATTCGTCCTTCTAGGTGGCTCGGTATTCTTTTGTTCGCATGGGGAACATTAACCATTGGGTTTGCAGGTGTGCAAAACAGTGCCACGATCATCGCGTTGAGGTTCTTGATCGGAGTTTTCGAAGCGGGCTTCTTTCCGGGTGCGCTCAAGGGAGTTTGATGAAAGCAATGAACTGGTGCTGATTGTGTATTTCCAGGTATTGTTTACTTCATCACAATCTGGTACCGCTACAACGAGCGCGCCGTCCGCATCGCTCTCGTCATCGCATTCTGCAACCTTGCTGGAGCCTTCGGAGGTGCCATCGCATTCGGTGTTGGGCACATTAATGGAGCGGCAGGCCTCGAAGGGTTCCGGTGGCTCTTCATCATCGAAGGCATCATCACTTTACTGTCCGCCTTTCTGCTGTGGTTCTGTCTGCCGGATTACCCAGCTCGAGCGAAGTGGCTCAGCAACGCCGAGAAGAAGTTCGCAGTTGATCGTCTGGCCGACCGCGGTGGCGGTTATAATCAGGAACATGCTAGCAGAAAGGAGATCCTGGATACATGCTTCAGCCCGCGCATGTTGCTGCACTACATCGCATATGTAGCCGACGTCGTTCCTCAAGGGTCATTTACTTTCTTCACGCCTACTATCGTCACCGGCCTGGGCTACGAATCCATTCATGCCCAACTCCTGACAGTTCCACCGTGGGTTGTGGGCTTCTTCGTTGCTATTACGATCTCTTACTCGGCAGATCACTTCAACGCTCGTGGCTGGCATATCACAATCGCATCTCTTATCGGAGGCACCGGTTGGCTGACCGCTGGTTTTCTTCCTGCCGACGCTTATGTTCAGCGTTACGGCTGTTTATGCATGGCAGCTGCGGGAGCCTTTCCAGCTGCACCTTCCATGACGAACTGGGTGACTTGCAACTCGCCAAGCTTTCTCACTTTACCACTCGCTATCGCATTACATAATTCTTGTGCAGGTATTGGCCAAATTATAGCGCAGTGGATTTGGATGAACAGCGAGAGGAGTCAAGGATTCCCGACTGGAAATTTCGTTTGTGCCGCGTGCAGTTTCTTGGTCGCAGCAATAGCGACGATACTCAGATTATGGTATGGAAGAATGAATAATCTCGAGAGATCAGATAGTAGGGGAGATCAGAGGGTTTGGGCATTGTAGGTAGATGAGGTTATGAGTAACGTGGTTCACAAGCGAGCGCCCCACCCAAGCGAGCGCCCCACGAAACACCAGCGCAGCGCACGCGCAGCGACAACACGCAATGTCACAACAACACCAAGCTCTAAGACTCTATACTGAAGGCGACGTACAGCTTGCTGTCTCTGATGTTCAAAGCAGCCAAGTAAAAAGCCTACGACGCGCTGAGGCAATCTACAACGTTCCCCGAAGGACGATACAGCGGCGCTGCGACGGAAAGCGCCCTCGACGCGATTGCGAGCCAAACTCAAAACGCCTTACTAAGCTAGAAGAGGAGGCAATTGTACAGCGTGTACTTGAAGAGAGTCTACGTGGAATACCGCCCTCGAAGGCGCACGTACAAGATATGGCGGATAGACTGCTAAGGGAGCGTGGTGGGAAGCCTACGGGCAAGAACTGGATTGATAACTTTATCAAGCGTACACCTGAGCTGCGCACGCGATGGAGCCGTCCGTACGATCGCCAGCGAGCTGCCTGCGAGGACCCAGCGATTATCCGGCCTTAGTTCAGCCTAGTTCAATCGATGAAGGCAAAGTATGGTATTGTAGATGAGGATACCTGGAACTTTGATGAGTCTGGCTTCATGATGGGTAAGATATCCTCTCAGCTTGTTGTTACAGGCTTAGAGAAACCTGGGAAACAGAAGAAACTACAGCCTGGTGATCGCGAGTGGGTTACCCTAGTACAAGGCGTCGCTGCGACGGGGCGCGTTATCCCACCCTTCCTCATCTTTGCAGGCAAGGTCCTTATTACCTCCTGGTTTGCAGATCTACCTCGTGATTAGATTATCGCTGTCTCTCCTACTGGCTGGATCAATAACGACCTCGCGCTTGTGTGGCTTAAGCACTTCGATGCCTATACGAAGGCGTCTTCTGCTGGGGCGTACAGGATGCTTATTATCGACGGCCATGAGAGCCACTGCTCAACAGAATTCCAGGACTACTGCAAGGAGAACAAGATTATCGCTCTCTGCATGCCATCTCACTCGTCGCACCTCCTGCAGCCTCTTGACGTTGTCCCCCACTCGCTGTTAAAGCGCCACTACGGCGATGGGATCTCGCTCTTGGCACGCAGCCGCATCCACCATGTTAACAAGGAAACCTTCCTACCAGCCTTTAAAGAAGCTTATAAGAAGACCTTTACACCAGAGAACGTTCGCGCAGGCTTTCGAGGTGCTGGACTAGTCCCATATAACCCAGAGGCTGTGTTATCAAAGCTGGATGTGCAGCTGCGTACGCCGACGCCGCCTGCACCAGGCACTGTCGTCTGGGAGGCGCAAACACCACGCAACGCCCGCGAGATAGAGGCGCAATCTACGCTAATTCGAAATCGCGTGCAAAACTACTGCGGGTCACCAGCAAGCTCATTAGACGAGCAGGTTAAGCAGCTAAGTAAAGGCGCTCAGCAGATAGCTCATAATATGGTGTTAGTGCAGGAAGAAATGGGTCGCCTTCGAGACGCTGTTGACACGCTTACAAAGCGTAAGACTCGCAAAAGGCGGTACGTACGCGTAGAGGAGACTCTAACAGTTGGTGAGGTATCTAACTTAATTGCTGCAAAGGAGGGTAGTAGTCGTGAGGAGGGCGAGACGCCTGCGAAGAGGGTGCGCGCAGAGAGGCGCTGCGGCCGTTGCAGCGAGATTGGACACAACTCCCGCACCTGTAAGGTAGAAATATTAGATGTAGATAATAGCGACGCTTCTAAATAATGCTACATTATTGTGTAAAGTATAATAATTTGTTGTAGTGTTGTACTGCGTCGCTACGCGTGCGCTGCGCTGGTGTTTCGTGGGGCGCTCGCTTGGGTGGGGCGCTCGCTTGTGAACCACGTTATTCATGATCTTTATCTCTAAATCATTGTCTTTTGCCTCCACTATTGCTTCACCAACCATTTCCTCAATGCCTTTGTCATAATCTCATGTGTCCGACTTGTTAAATGACCTGAGTTGTACCAGAAGAACGTGTCCAGCTCGGTACATCCATACTTGCCAGGATCGGTCAGGATGTCCGGCTGGTTATATCCTGGACAGTAGTCCGTGACGTTCTTGAATCCGTAATCTTGGTAGTGGTCCAGAACATTATTCAAGACACTATTGACATCGAATTGAAGCACCTTGACATCTTTGTGTTGGTTCTGGAAGGCGTTGGCATGCGCAGAATGGATTTTGTTGAAAGACGAAACCATCGAGGCGTTGACCTTGGGAGTCCCTGGTCCACGATCCAGGGGTGGCAAATTCACAAACAGGAAGTCCTTGTAGCCAAGATCATAGATTTTTTCTACGCTCTTGAATATTCTACCCTGGATTTTCTCATATGACGGTGCGAAAGTAGCGTTCTTGCCTTGGGTTGAGACGAGGTCGTTGATATCGTTAATGCCGATCCATACCGCTACGAGCGCCTTCTTCTTGTTGAGGTGGATTGATTCAAGAGCCGGATTGCCGTAGGAGACGAATTGCTCGATTTGACGTTCGAGTGAGACAGTATGGTTGTGATGTAGAGGTGTGAATCCAGCTTCATTGATAGTGTTCGCGCCGGCGTACGCGAAATCCCAAAGTTGGACATCGCATTCCCTTGGATCATGCAGACCATCTTCAACACCGCATCCGGTCAGGAACTCAACCCAGTTTGGCCCTCCTTCTGCTGTTCCAGTAAGATTCTGTGCGATGCGATTCGAGAAGAGCTGTTCGGGCGTGAATGAGAAGTTGAATTCATCCCCAATGAAGGTGTAGTTCGTGTGGCCGAGCGTGCCTTGCACGTATGTATAGCTATCCCCAAAAGCTATTAGAGATTTCGTAGAACGCCATTTGAAGGAGCTTTGCTTTTGTTTTGGATAGCTTGGGGCTGCAATTGCGTGCGCACAAAGTGCCAAGGAGATGCATGAAGTCGTGGTAACCTTCATGGTGGCCAAATGGAAAGCGTTTTGGAAGGCTTGATGATCTTGATCATGATTTTTGGTAGGCTTGGCTGTGAGTTATATTGTTCATGGCAGTGAAGACGGAGCTCCGGCAACATGGGAATTGACGGAAGAATTGCCCCCGAAGTGGCGGGTCGGGAAATTTGGAGCTGGGTGATTCCCGGGGTAGATGTATGATGCTGCGGGGTACCCCAGCTACTGCGAGCCTCGCTCAGGAATAGCATCAAGCAACGACCACAAAACGGCTTCTGAGTCTCCAGACCCTTCCGTGGTGTAGAGACAATCGTAATAATGCCGGACCCCTCCGCATTCGTACCACCACCGATCTAGGCCATGTTGTTTTGAATTTGCTCTTTCATAGCCCATGTCTTGCAGAGTCCAAAATGGGAGGGCCTCAATTGGTTTTTGCCCGCATGCAAGCAGGTCGGTGATGAAGGGCTGCATTGATACAACATGAGCCAAGGAAACACCCATTCTTAGCGGCAGATCCTGCCACCACCAATTCGAAGCATGCATACAGTAGTGTACTCCAAGCATTCTGATGGCATCAAGATAAACTTCTTCCACGGTATTGTCATAATTCATAACAGGACGCTGCTCCTCCGCGACAAGACCTAGCATGCCGTATAACTTGTCTCTAGGGTCTTCGCAGCCCATACCAGAAAATTGCGTCAGCATATTAGAAAGTAAGTGCCTATACCTAGGCAGAGTAGGTTCAGAATGGGGGAAACGATTCGTTAGTAGGTATACCATCGGCGAAAGTGTTGCGTGATTGAAAAAATCAGCTCTCAATGAAGCATTCATGAGGGCATCCCAGTCCATCCAGGTATTACCGCACATAATGCGAGCTTCTTTAGGTAGTAATACTTCCTGCACAATCCACAGGCGCGTGAAGTAGCGATTTTCCAGTATGGCTTTCGTATTCACAGCGTTCCTGTTCTTTGAATATCTCCGTGCCGCCCTCGACAAGGACAAATCAAGCCAAGCGATAACATAGATGCATACACCGTAGATCTGAGCCATTAATCGAACTTGGTGGTTCCGTTCCGCTGTATCCTGTTGGTTGATACATATCTGTGTGATGAGCATTAGTCGATGTACATATCGAGAAGCAGTTCCAGAGTATACCTGATCGATCCAAATGTAATGGATATTGTCCTCGTCCGAGCGAAACGCGTAAAGGAAGTCGAATAAGTTCGTCCTAACGGTCATTGGTTTGTTATCAACAAAAATATATCGAATATCCGATGGATCGCCCCAGGTGTATGATAGACCGATATATTCGGGTGCAGTGTCGATATCGAACGTCTCAAGTTTGCAGTGTATAATACCCCGCTCGGGTAGTATATTAGCGGCAGATGGAGGCCGCAATAATTTCAGTAGACGTGTCTGCTGCTTCATTGTATCTAGTTTTGTGTACTGATAGATATCCGCGGTTCGCGTAGTACTCGTTGCGCTACTAGCCATCTTGTCGAAAAACTTGGCTTCAGGGAACACAAGCTTGTTGAGTATGCTCATACGACAACAAAGATGAGCCTAGCGTCAAGCGCTTGATGGAGGACAGGATATGGTGAATAATAATTTGCTGAGTGAAATAATGTACACGGACCGCGACGTAGGAACAAGCATGGGAGGATCGAGGTGTCCAGCACAGCCCCACTTCAGCCGCAGACTATATGCATATGCAATCGCACCATCTTACACTTGTCTTTACAATAGGCGCTATAGAGCCCTCGTCAAATATGATATCAATGCTAAACGATGAAGTGGTAGTGCATATGAAGCGGCAACGTCTTACTCATCAAAGAAGTCTCCCCAGCTAAACCCACCACCGTCGCCCCCACCACCAGCATCACCGCCACCCTGCCCACCCTGTCCACCCCAGAAGTCTTGGTCCTGATCCCGGGGCCCAACACCTGAATCTTCGCCCCAGATATCCTCACCTACTTGGCTTGTACCGGACTGTTGGTCCGGGTTAGGCTGATACGGATCGGTTGCTTGTGGAGAAGCATCGTCTCCTCCTTGTTGTCTTGCTTCTCGCCCTCTTTGCATAGCTTCGTAACCTGCCATTGTAGCCGCTCCTGTCGCTGCGCCTTCTCCAGCACCTAGCCCGCGTGCTGCAGTGCCAACTTCACCTGCGATACCGCTTTCGCTAGCAGCACCCACGGCTCCAGCACCAGCAGCACCCGCCTCACCAGCTGCAGCGCCACCTGCAGCGCCACCGGCAGCTTCACCGCCGCCACCAACCCAGGGCATCCACATTGGCCACATCCCACCGGAACCGCTATGTCGACTGAAATAGTCAAAGTCTATGCTGACAGCCGTAGCGAGCATTACCGCTCGTTGGTCGAGGGTCATGCCAGGGTAGCCTTCAAGTGGTGGTCTACTCTGTTCACCAGTTTTGGAGACCAGGTGTGATGGCTCATTTGCTAGTCCGGCAGCATCCATCCTCAACGCGTAAACGCCAGTATCCGTAAAGATTTCACGTGCAAAGCCGCCGAAGTTGCGGTTGACGGAGCCTGCCAGACGTCCGTCCTCAGACATCAAGCTGAAGTCCCAGGAAAGAAAGGGCTCGTCGACTCTGGCAAACTGAAGCATTCCTACTTCTCGTGTGTCGCCTTCCGCCACAGCGACAGCTTTTGAGTCTGAGATCGGCAGGTCGCCAGAGGATAGTTGTGGTGTACCGGGTGCAGCAGCAACATCCTCTATATTCCTTGCGAGAAATAGATTGTATTTCCTCCGTAGGGGTGCCCACTCTTGTTCTGCAGCTCCGATAATCCTCATATCCTGCAGTCCTAGACTGGAGACATTTGCGCTGGTCTGATTGGCTATGCTTGGCACGCTTGTACCCTGCAGACTTGCCGAGCTGGTGTACGCGCCTTCGCCCTGTCCTACAGCATCATAGACCCGTATTCTCGAGTTGATCCAGCTGAAAGGCCTGTGAAACCTCAGTATTTCCTTTTCGTCTCGATCAAAGACGTGTGTTGTAAAGCTCCGATGCGTCTTGAACATCTGTCTCGCCATGGCATTCCCTATGCCATGCTCTTGCTCTGCCAGATATCCAATATGGCTGCCATGCGGGTCCATGATAACGTAGCGGTTCGCTTGTTCAAAACCCATGAGCACATTCATCATCTCCAGCTGTCGTTGTACTATAAGAGAGGAGTTGTCGAGCAGGCGTATGGCAGGATGGGTCTGCTTGAGAACGGCGTGCGGGTCTTCGGGCATGTATACGGGCGTTATGAGATTATTATCGGAATCGGGTGTGGTAGAGAGCGCGTTCGATACGGCGTCGACTTTCGATGTTTCCTTTGGAGATTCATCCTGTGTGTTCGGCGAGTTCTCATTGCCAGGTGGTTTCGTCGAATATGCTGAGCTCGATGGTGGCGTTATGAGTTTTGATAGGCGACTGTGAAGCGGTAGCTGTGGTGATGTACTTCTGGTGACGAACAATCGAGCGCTCTGTCGTGGCAGTTGTAAGGACCGCCTTGCCGCTGGTAACATGTTGAATGCGATGTTCTCCGTATCTAATGCTGTAGTAACTTTCACAGTGAGTCTATAATCAAGCGGGCAAAATGCGCGTGAGGGATGTAGATGCCTAATCGCCCTTGCGTGGCGTCATAACGATGTTCTACAATTTTTCGGAAGTCGAGCTGCTCTGATTACGTCATAACATGAGCTGCTAAGGCAAGCACAAACCCAACGCCAGTTTACGAGTATCGTGAGGCATAGGCTCTTGGCAAGTGAGAGCGACCGTGATAGCGGAAAGTTGTGCCGTTGTGATCGTTCTGTAAGAGAACCGGACCAAGCGTGGTACGGCGGTTCAAGTTGACCAATCATATTCTGGCTTGGCAAACAGTCATATCTAAACTTTTTGCGCTTTGCCCTTACCTCCAGCACCATCACCATGAAGCTCACAACTCTCGTCGACGACGCCATCACCTAACGTCGCAAAGACTGGGTAAGTCTCATCTCCTTTTATATCTTCAAACGTGCTGAAGGCAGCACATCGTCAGAGTTCCTGTAAGCGTCATGTGCGCAGAAGTCACGATCGTGTTCCGCCTTTGCACCTTTGAAACCCTTTTCATGATGACATCTTTTCACTTATACGATTGCCGGCGCAGGCATTCACTTGAATGCGTTAGGTGCTCGATGCTGTTTCCGTTACAATAGACTACAACGGTATCTGATCGATATTACTCACTACACTTTGCATTGTTTCTATGCGCGCGCAGTGCTAACGTTAGTGCAGTTTCGTCGAACACCGAACTGAATCGTCAGGCATGTCCACGACCGCGCAGCCTGAGCAAGCTGCTGCTGCAAGCGAGGCACGCCCAGACGGTCATCCTCAGCAGAACCAAGAACCAGCCAACGGTGCTTCGAGGAAACCTCGTCCAAAACGACCCAATTACAATGAGATACATACGAAGCCTCTGCCACTAGACGTCTATGCATTGCCTGCCTTCGTCCCGCATAACCCGATTTCCGTACTGCGACTAGTCATCAGTCTGATATCACAGTCGTTGTGGCCGCCGGCATCACATCGCGTCGTACATAAAGCATACTATTCTGTAGAGACCTTGTCAATCCACGTCACCGACCCAGCCTCTATTCGAGCTCTCTGGGAGCAGGGCTTCTGGGGTAAGGGGTCCCTTAGCCGAAGTGAACCGCAATGGCTAGTCGCTGAAAAGCGAAGACGAGGTGCACAGGCGTCCAAGACAAGCACCGAAGTCACACAATCAAGGCGAGAAGAGCGGAGGCAGTTCAAGTTAGAGAGAGCCAAGGCACAACGCGAGGCTATTGAGCAACAACTACGACAAGAAGGCAAGGTTGTATCAGATGCCAACATCGATAAGCTTGTAGGTAGCGATACCAAGGATACCAGCAAGCTAGGAGAGGCTGCGGGAACCTTCGCGATCAGTGAAAATACAGACGGGACCGTTGCACAGGCCGACACTAAAGCTGGCCTGGAACTTGATATTCCTGATCTTGAGCATCTCCAGCTCACGCCTGAGGAAGCCTTCTTCCTTACATATGTCATTGGTGCTCTAGAAGTCATCAATGTGGATACCCAGATGGCGTCGGACCATTCGCAACGCTACCCAACATGGTACCTCTTGCGCGTGTACTGCGCGCATGCATTAAGTTCCAGCGAATCCATTGATCTCGAACGAACATTAACTCATCTTCGTACCGCATACAACATGAGCAATGGCGCCACGCGAGTGGACCCCGCCATGTCGTGTATTCCATCTATTGCGCCCGACAACCCTTTCTTGATGAAGTACGTTGTCTTCCACCACTTCCGTTCCCTAGGATGGGTAGTGCGGCCAGGTGTCAAGTTCGCTGTCGACTACTTACTTTACATCCGTGGGCCTGCATTCACACATGCCGAGTTTGCAATCATGATTGTTCCTTCTTACTCAGCTCCCTACTGGAATGAGCAAGCAGACGGCCAAACTCAAGCCAGAGCTGCGGAGAAGGAGCGCAGGGATTGGTGGTGGTTCCATCGGGTGAACCGAGTGCAAACTCAGGTCATGAAGACACTGATGTTGGTCTACGTTGAAGTGCCAGAACCGTGGGATACAGGATGTGCAGAGCTAGATGGATTCAAGCTCGACATTGGTAGCGTTCTGAAGAAATACACAGTTCGAGAATTTGTGTTCAAGAGATGGAGTCCGAGCAGAAACAGAGATTAAGGTGCTGTTCTATAGAATTCGACCCGAAATGGGACGGAGTCGCACGACTTACGAAGAATGATAGGATCAACACGCAATACACGAACCTTGTCCTATCTAGGACGTAACCTTGTGACAAGAATTGCCTTATATTACATCCTGCGCGCCTCGTGATCACTGGAAGCAGCGGACAGTATGATGTTGTACACCCAATGCATTCAGGAGTGGCTCGTTCATCCTCGTGGGTGCAGAGAGCAGACTTGGGTAGAAGAATGCAACTCAACGAATTCTTGTTCGCAAACACATGAGATCTGGGCTGGCGCCTCCAGCATGCACATCGTTGTCTGCTCTGTACTGGATCATCACGAAAGGCAGATACAAACGGACTGCCCGTATAGCAGGTTTGTAAATGCGCCTTGAATGATGGAGCAATAGGGTTAGCTAGGAACTCGTCAATCTGAGAACAAGGAGAACAAGGAGAACGAAGCACAACGGGCATATGATCTAGGCGCGCGCACAACACATACGTTCCAGAAGTCGAAACCATTCACTTTGATGTATCAGCGGTTAGTGGGTGTGACTATTCACTACAAACAATATCCGTACCGACGCCAACTCCTCATTCATCCAACTGATTCATCCCGTTCTTAACCCTTCGTATCAAGACCTTGTAGTTAGTGCAATATAAATCAGGACACGATCTCATCACACTCTACAGGCCGATAGATTGAGGTGAAGCAAAACATCGTTAATTTAAACATCTAGGTCTATTTCGCAACTCCATTCATCTCCAGACTGGCAAACTCTGGTGCTGCGGTCCTCACTCCAAATTTCTTACTCAAAATCACAAACTGACCAGCGAGGATCATTTGACTCCACTTCGGTCTGTCTCCATCGTATATTGCATCGTGCAACAAATCTTTGCACTTGTCCCACTCCAGAAAGCCCAGTGCCTCGACGTTCTCTTTCGTGATCAGTCTCTGGAACAGCTTATGTACCGGCCCATCGGGCTTGTACTTTACTGGAGCTGAGAAAGGATGCTTCTTGCGGGTGTACAGCTCAGTTGTGATGAATGGCTTCATAGCTTCTTTGAGAATCCATTTCTCACTGAAGCTGCGACTGGTAGGGTCATAGTGCAGCTTTACGGAGGGTGGAAGTTTCATAGCATATTCAGTGAGGCGGTGATCGAGGAATGGTTGACGTCCTTCGACACTGTGAGCCATCTCGCAACGGTCGCCTAATACGGTGAGAAGACCGTTTGCGAGAGATGACTTTGTCCAGATGTACAGAGACGTGTGAAGTGGATGCCACTTGTTGGCCATCAGCTCGCGCGTTCGACCATCGATAGCGTTCACAGCGGTGAGACGTTTGTCGCTTGTTCCAAACTCGTTGAATACCCAAGGCATAAAGAGCGAATCTCGGAGTGATGCGGTCTGCGTGAAGCCAAGGAAAGAAGTGTTGTTTACTTGGGCACGAACTGCAGCCGAGGTCGCGAGCTCCTTTGGACCTGAGGTCTCTGAGCCCTCTAACCCTTCAAATGTTGCTCGGCGCTCTTCTTCAGGGAGACCGGAATTCTGCCATGCAAGGTCAGGCTCGCGAACGAAGTCTGTAAGTAACTCCCTATACCCGGCGAAGTGTTCATCTGATCCCTCCCCTGTAAGGACAACCTTGATGCCTTCGTCACTGGTAAGCTTTGAGAGCAAGAATTTGCCGACGGTGCCCAGATCAGTCACTGCGGCCTCATTGTGCCAGACTGCGTCCTCGATATTGGCGGCAAAGTTATCCTCGGTCATCTCGCAGTGGTGCATCTTGACCCCAAGCCATTCCGCAGTGCGACGCGCGATCGGCTCTTCGTCGTGTTCTTCACCAATGAACTTGACACTGAAGCAGTTGATCCTTTCTGAAGCTGGAGCAGTACCAAGCTGAGCACCTTCCGTGTCCATTAGATGCTTCACCATTCCTGCTATTGCGCTTGAGTCGATGCCGCCACTGAGAAAGACACCAATTGGCACATCTGCACGGAGGCGGTCTCGCACGGCGTCAAGGAGATGCTTTCGCACGCCTTGTATCATCTCATCTTCGCTTCTTGTTTCAAGCTCACGCTGACATGTGTCAGTGTTGTTTGCAATGCACCTGCTACTGCACATACCTTATCTTTGTAGTCGACATCCCAATACTTGTCCTGTGAAATCGTACCAAAGGATCTACACACCAGGTAATGTCCAGGCAATATCTTTGAAACACCTTGAAAGATAGTTCTTCCATCGCACAACCAGCCCACGTCTTTGATACTTTGCACGTCCCACTCGGGTTGCCACCCAAAAGGAAGGAACGCCTTCATCTCGGAAGCGATCTATGGAGGGGTTGTGAGTCTTCAGTAAGTGCGAGAAGCGAAGAACGGTCGTACCAGCAGTTTGCCATCTAGCACTGTATAGTACATAGGCTTGATGGCATACCGGTCGCATGCGGCAATGAAGACCTGAGCCTCGGAATCGTATAGACACAATGAGAACTCCCCGCGTAGATGCGACAGGAACGAAAGGCCATGCTTCTTGTATAGCGCCAGTGCAATCTCAGAGTCCGACTGGCTCTTGAACTTGTAGCCCTCGCGACTGAGGCGATTTCGGGTTTCTTCGTAACCATACAGCTCGCCGTTCACTACAGCGTGAATAATACCACCCGCATCGTGGAATGGCTGTTCGCCTTCCGGGTTTAAGTCGACGATCGCTAGTCGATTGTGGGCAAGAGCTAGGTGATGAGGAAGTCAGTCACGTGCCACGGTTTGTCGCAGCCGCAGTCACCTCTCTACGTACCCACGCGACAATCTTCACTAATCCAGTGGCCTTCTGCATCGGGCCCACGATGTTTGATAGTATCCAGACTCTTCTCTAGTGTTTTGCTCAAATCCCCACGTTCCCTCGCTAACGGTCCATGACCCCGCAATGCAACCGCACAAGTGATGCCACACATGGTTGCGCGATCCAAGAGATCCAAAAGGAGAGAGTGTGCAATGCTTCCCCATATCTTTTCATCCGAAGGCCGGCGATACTTCTAAACATGACGTATGCACGAAAGTTGTAGCGGTGATCATTCAATGAGGTTTCATTGTTTCTGATAAGCCCGCGTCGCTTGTTACTGGTTTGGGTGTTAGTGGACGCCCCTGTACCGCCCAGATCGCGCGGTTCCAGGCGGGATCTTCGAGCTTCAACAAGCACAGCTTCGAGTCTTCCATACATCTTCAATCGTGTTATCGTGCTTGTTTTCCGATGCTTCTCAAAGCCAGCGTTCGTCATCATCAACCGGCAAGCCTCGGATGTAGCGATGGTACTCCCAACCACATTCTCCACACTTGAGGTATTGCTTTTTGTGTTCGCTATCCGGGCCCGCTATACGATCTTCGCGGTTTTCGAGATCCGAGGGGCGAAATCGACAGAATGATTCTCTTGATTCTGAACCGAGGAGGTCATCTTCACGGACGACGACGTGATATCTTCGCCATCCAAGACATGGCGCCGTTGCACGCTTTCTGCAATGGCAGTCTACCGCCAAAAGAGCTTCGCTGTGCAAACCCTCCTCGGTCAAATCCCACGAAACCACTAGCTTCTTGATGAAAGCTGGCTGCGGCTGCCAGTGCTTCACCATAGACCGGTACTTGTTGAGTTTGAGGGTGTCTCTCTGACCGACAGGATCGTGCGCATACATAAAGCCGCTCTCCAGAACGAAGATGAGGCGTTTGAAGCTCTTACTAACATGCGGATACATACTGGTTCCTCGGGCGTTTGTTCCTACTGGGCCCGAGAAGTGCAACGTCAAACTGTCCAACCATAAGCTGAAAATGGCATTCAAAGATCGCAAGCTCTTGTAGAAACTTGGGTCCAGGTACGCGCAATCATGGTATTTATGGCCAGGAACCACCAGTGTCAAGTCACGGAGGGTGTGGAATTTGGCGTGCATTTCGATAGGCGTTTGTGTTACGACAGGAAGTAGGATACGCACTCCAAGCTCGCTTTGTGAAAGGACGTCCCGATTGTACGACAGCAGCCACGCTTTTGTCTTGCGGATCGACTCTCCTTCGCACTCGTACTTTGCTTGCCGACAGGAAAGAATCAGTCCGCGGCATTGCTCGTTGTCGACAGGCGGAAAGTCTAATAGTTCGTATATGGCAATGCGGACCTCAGCAGGGAGCCTGAGTAGGGGTGATGCGATTTGCGCAACCTGATTTGGAGACATATTCATTTGCTCAAAGACAAGGTCCTCATGAATTGGTGTACCAATGTCTTAAGATGCGGTGATCATATACCCCGAATTTCCAGGCTGCTGCCTAAACCCAGCACATCTGGTTGGCTGGCGCATGACGTCTACTCTTCGGCCTACCTCCACTTTCAGAAAGAGATGCCGGAACCCAAGAGGTCCTCATATCATTTCGATAGCACCCATCAAACTTACATAGAGGTGCCAGACGTGTTTCAAGGCATTATCCAAGTGGCCAATAATGCGCCGAAACTGTCTCGAAGGGTATCATGGTGAGAATTTAGCTTGTGATTCGCTCTTATTCTTTATCTAATGCGTGTATTCGGATAAACTCTGGCCGCCCCATCCAATGTCACTCAATACGCCTAGAATTCAGTGTCCTAAGCAGGTTCCATGGGATGATTCCACAAAGCTCTAGGCATGACGGGTGCCAAATTCAGTTTGTTAAAAGGTTGAGTATGTCTTGGTCAGGAGACTTTTCACTACTTCATACTCACCAGGCTGTAGCTTTGCTATTCGACCATGCCTTACTTCTACCTTTTGCCACGCGAGGGGGTAAGGTAACCGATAAAGAAACATGGCATGTTTTTATGTAAGGCTCAACTTATTTAGTGCATTTCCAACCTCGCTTCTCTATCTTTCGAAACAAAGGGAATATAAGTGAGGAACAGCATAGATTTTTGGAACATAATATATAGCAAGAGATATTAAAAACACGTTACAATTGAAACAAATTTCCTAACCGCATCACCACCAACCACACCAACGATATGATAAACCCCTCTCCAACTAGGAAGAACAAGAAACCAAGAGGATTCCTGTCCAGACCAGAAATCTAGACAAAAGCCTTGTCCAAGTTGCTAGCAAAGACGTCGTTCCTGAAAGGCACATTTGCCTTTCCAAAGAGTGTCGAGGGCGAAAGAGCCTGCCTCGCAGCGTTGGGCATGGCATCCCAGTCGTTGATCCAATAGGTGCGACCAACGGTGTTGGTGAACTGCAGAGCGTGGTTTCTTGGGAAGCTGACGAAGTACTCCACTTTGACGTTGTTGCCTTGAATGTTGGGGCGCGTGGTGGGCGAGTAGCCACCATGACCCGACGCAGCGGCGCCGAGAATACGAGGGTTGGCATTCGCCGGGTTGTCGAGCCAGACGACGACACTCTCCCAGTCGTGGCGGTGGCCGCCTACGACGTTGCCAGCAGCTGGTTGGTCCTTGGGCCAGTACCATGCGTACATGATAGCGAACTTGCCCTTGTGCCAGGCTGCTCGAGCGTAAGTTTGGCCCTTGGATTGGTCACGGCATCCAGCGCTGACATTGCCAGTGTCTTGAAGTCCTCCACTGCGAACAAGACATGTGAGCGTTTGGAGTTTGGATGCATCATTTGATAGGCTTACCTGGTGTTGCCATTGTCGTCAACCGCAGTGTAGGGCTGGCAGCCGTGGGCGATGTGTAGCAAGGGCTGGTACTTTAGGATAGCACGGCCAATCGCCCCTCCTTGAAGGCGGGTCCGAACTGGGTTGAGGGAGCTGTGCGGGACTACAGCGCGAGTATCGAGTTGAGATGGGGCGGGGGCTGCTAAGACGCCTGAGACCACCGCGAGGGCAGACAGAATCGTGGGGAAATGCATTTTTGGTAGTTAAGAGTGATGAAAGTATAATGCCAGTCAAGTGATAAATTGTATCGTTTGATGGAAGGGCTGTGTTGATGTAGTCTGCGGAATGCTGTGCTGGACTTTAGAAGGGGTTGAGGATGTCTTTTATATTCAGAGCTCTTGCACAGTTCAAGACACTCTGCTGATATCTTGCGATAGTAAGCTCGTGATGCCGCCTGCATTCGGTGACACTACTCGGTGTTAAAAGTCTTGGTAAGAATGCGTCTATATTTCATCGAAATATCACCGTACGGGTTCCAAGAAGCGTGAGGGCCCTAGTAACTAGTAACTAGTGTCTTTACAAAGAGACGTGCACCACGTGGACTGTGATATCTGTTTGCTTTCGTAGCTTAGGAAGTTGCTTGGTAACCATGAATATCCTAAGACAGGCAGGTGCCGGCGGCACGGCGCAACACCTCTTGAGAATAGTTGCAATGCGATGCAATGGCAGAGAACTGTACCAAATACACTAAGCCATCGCGGTATTCTAATCACGACCAAGTCTAGCAACGTCAAATCGCAGGCCAAATTCACCTCAATGCAAACCTTGGAAGGCTTGAACAGAGACAGTCTCACGACCAAGGGTTTCATGGATCCCAGAGAATACGAAGATATCAAAAACTTCCTCCAAGCCCTCAACTCTTGGCAGCTTGTATTGCGGTCAAGAAAGGTTATCATGGATACCTAGGTACGCGGTGTCTTGAATTGCGACAATGGCCTGATCTAGTCTGAAGGGAAGCCACTGCTAGACTTCGAAAAGTCTAGCTGCAGTTCGTCACGCCCAAGTTGCTGCGCCAAGACTATGCCAGCTAATGACTAAGTCTGTAAGCAGTTACCTCTAGCTCGGATCTAGTACGTCGGGATCTACCGAGGGGCTCAAACTGGTGTTACATCGCACAGGCCCACCATACCGAAATCGCTATTGGAGCCGCATCGAAGGCATAATGGAAGATGTGTCAAATCCTGACAAGTGCCACGTACTGTAGGATTAAAAATAGGGCAGTGATTAGAGGTGCATTTTCGTCAGCAATGGTCTATAAACCACCCAGCATAACATCAATCCCAATTGCAGCAACCAAATCTCGATAGGGATGGTAAGTTCCGTGGACGCTGCACTAGAGGCGTTCCTGCTCATGACGTGCTGCAGGATTCCAGACTGTGGCTTGCTAGAGCTAGCTCATTTGGCACGCGTCGGCCCTTTACACAGAGCCGTTCATGCTGATCCGACAACTCAGCCGAGCAATCCTTGGATACATGCAGTTTAGTCAGGTACAAATTCTAGAGCTGAACCCAAGACGATTGTTCATTTTCGGATTCTGGTCTCTAGTCTGACCAAGCGGATGCGTCGTTCACCCTTAAATTGGACGTTTGCATTTCTAGTTCTCTTTTGTCTCGGCAATCTGGGCGGTGAACTTTGATATTGACAGCTTGGCAGCAGCTTTTGTTCATAATGCCGTTGCCTTCCTAATCCTCCACACCTCATTTCATTACAGCGTTCGGTGTTTCGTCTGTCAAAAGTCTTGCATTTCATTTGCGACTCACTGTTTATCCGTGATCAGACATCGTCGAGTATCTTGTCCAAGAGGCAGCTTGATGATCCCCTTACTTGCGAAGCATGTGAAAGGGAACGTGTGATCAATGAACGAACTGGCAAGCTGTTGCGTGACCCGATCTGGGCTGATGCCATGACTGTGCGGAAGAGCTCTATCGAATGCCTTTGGCCTGTAGTTCGATCGATGCTCTTTATTTCGGACAGAGTAAGCTCTGATCAATTAATCATTAGGTTTAATATCTTGGTGTTTTTGCAGACTTATTGCAGCCTTATTGCAAGCTCGATACCAGTCTCATATTATCTGAAACGAAGCTCCCGACTTTCCCAAGCACTACGGCAGTATTGCTCGCGCTCACTTGTATAGCTTCAGCTAGCCCACTCGGATACGAAGTCCGTCAGGCTAGTTGCTCCGCAGCGGTCATGGCATGCTACGCAGCATGAGGTGCCACCTGGAGAGTCCACTAGCAGCTACTGCTCCTGCCACAATCGCCGCCTGCAACACTGCTTTCGGCACTTGCCAGGCTGTATGTACGGCGGTGCTTTTGGCCCCGACTTCCTAGGAAGTGGTTGCACCTGCTTCTATGTGTTGCCCCAGCTAATACACACATGCAAACTTCCGTAAGCCTACCAATGGACATCCACGAACACATTCAAGGCAATTCGTGCAGGCTGAAACAAGGTGACGGGTTTTTGTGATGGTGCTGTAGACGTGGCGGCGATGAGGGAGTAGTGACAGGGCTGATAAGCGCAAACGGAAGCAGGCAAATACCTGCATAGCCTCTGTCCTGCCTGCATCGAGTGCACCAATTAGCGAATTGTGTGCATCTCCAGTGCACCTTTGTGAATATCGTAATTACTGGCAAACTATGTGCTGGTAATAAACCTATGAGAAAACGATGTGAAGAGCCAGGCATTTTCCTGCATACTGTTCTGTCATGACAACGACCATAATTCCCATCCACCAAGGACCAAGGCCGCAGCGAGCGCTGGCTGTACCGACACACCTGTCGCGACAGCCGCATTCGGGGTGACAGGCGATTCGGTAGTAGTTGGGGTCGCAGTAGCCAGACTTTGTGAAGCAGACAGGCTCTCCACGACGCTAGACATGCTACTGACCATGGCTTCATCAGGTTTGATAGCACAGGGATTTCCGCTCTCTCCTAACCGCAATTGATCCATTGAACAGGCGTTTGATTTGTTCGCGTCAACCATAGCAAGAGTGCCCAGTTGCGCACAATTGTCTGTGACGTTTCCGAGTGCACTGGGGTTGGGAGCACTCCACTCGCCACGCCATGCGGGAAGCAGGGTAAAAAGGAGTTGCGAACCGTTTGAAGGAAGAACGGCAAGGTTGGGGTAGTCGCATTGGGCTTCTATATAATCCCATTGGATGTACCATTGTAATGCATATGCAGTGCCTCCATAATTTGGTTTGCTATTCCATTCCTTCGGATTCGTGTAGTTGGTCAAGACGAACGGTGATCCATTGGGGTTGGTAAATGTCGATACATTTTCCGAAGTAAATCCTTCCACCCATTGATCGTTTATAGTGCCTCCTGGTATCGGCTTCTTGATGCTGTTGTACGGCATGATAACCCAAAGGAATCGGAAAGGACCTAGTTCAGCAGCTGCCGTAAGGTTCTGGAACGTGAACACGATAGGTAATGAGGAGGTATAGTTGTATGTTTCATTCTCACGCGGGAACAGGACATCGATCTCGAAAGCTGGGAGGTTCGATGTTGGTGCTGATGTTTGCACTGATGATGTGGGTGTGAAGGACGCGGCAGCAGTTGTCGTGGTCTGAGCGGAGGCTAAGCGGCAGGCAGCCAGAGCGGTTGCTGCACACCAAGAATAGCGCAACATCATTGTGTATAACTCTTGTGACGATTCAGAAGATTTGAGACCGCTGCATTATTTTTCCAGTATCGTGATGTGGGGATGAGTCGCGCTTTATCGTACTGTACGCCGAGACGCAAAGATCCTTCGCAATCTTAAGTTGCCGCGCTCCCGTTCAGGCGCCTAGCTAATCAGCTTTTGTAATGGTGGTTGTGGCCGCTCCTTATGTATTATACATCCTCGTGTCCTAACAAGGCCCTTTTCATCCAGTACTGAAGTTCAAAAAGAGTAGAATTCGACTTCAGCGATACCTGTCTTTGCCGGAATCGTAATAGCAATGGGGAACCCTCCATAGTCGGGATCCTCATTTGGCATCATCGCGTTTGCTCCACTCCTCGTCTCATCGCCACCCAGCGTCCTAAGTGTTCGTAATCTGCCTGTCGCTATGTCGTCCACGATCTTCTCTTCGTTTTTTAGGATGCCGTTGAATCTCGTGTCGGCGTTTGTCGATCGACCCATCACCTGGAACCCCCAGCCGATGAGTAGAAAGCGCGCTCCACCACGATGAATGACGATACCGCTGCCGGTACCGGGCTTGCCAAAGACGAAAGAACGCTCAACAGTGATGTCCCAGTCGCCGAAACGTTGCTTGATGGGTTTAGATGGGTCTCTATCGCCGACCATCTCATCGAAACAGAAGCCAACCGATGAACCCGGATTACGTTGGGCTTCTAGCACAATTTGAGAAACCTGTGATAACAGTCCATAGTGTTTTGTGTAAGGATTGCTTTCCGGCTCCAACGTGTCGATGCCAAAGGGGCTGGCTAACAGAGCTTGAAAGGTTCCGTAGGCTATCCAGATGCGCCGAACGCCGTACTCATCTCTTCGCTGCTCAGGAATGAAAAGCGTGTTATGGCGATGCCGGTACTTGGCGCATAGGCCAGTGTACTCGTTAAGGTAGATGTCCGGCGCAATGAAGTCGAGGTCAGGTGCAAATCGTAGCCAGATATCTAGAACATTGCTTGTCGCGCCACCAGAAGGGTAATCACCTAGATGTCGATTCACGATATCAGTACATGTTTCACACGCAGTTCGTATATGGGGGTGTTCACCTGGTTCCCCGCCTCCGCCAACAACAACAGGGGTACCATTGTCAGCATCCTCCCCATCATAGTTCTGCCATACATTGGTGTATAGCGGGAGTGGGTATTCGGATTTCCCAGTCGCTGCTACACGATTAACGTAGTGTGCGTAGTGATACGCCATGAAGAGCTCGTCAGTCCTGCTGCTGACGCCAAACACTTCCTCCCAAGTACCAGACTGTGGCTTCGATCGTGCGACAAAGGTTTGGAGGTTGGCCTTGAGATCGGCGTGTAGTTGATCATAGTCGTTGCTCAAAAACTGAAGAAGCTCTGCAGGTACTGGTTCGGAAAAGACTTTGTTAGCTTCTGCACTTCCGTCCCGGCTGTCGAACAGAAGACCGACTTCATTCTCTACCTGCACCATTAGTACGGTACCGTGTTTCTCGTCTACCTCTTTGAGGTGAGCAAGCAGCTTTTGGAATGCTCTCGCGTCCGCTTCAACGTTCTGATCGTGAAACAGAGACAGCACATCCGCGACCTCAATTACGCCTCCTGCATTGCGAAGCTCGGCGCGTGGGAAACGTGTAGGATTCGTTTTCACCCACGTGGGAGTGTATGTCGACCTGCCTAGCGATGGATGTATCAGCACGTGGAAACAGGTCATGAGAATATGCAAAAATACCATTCTTGAACGATCCGAACCACAACAAGATCAAATGCAAGCCTTGATCTCGAGCACCCAAGATGACCTTATCCAGCTCTTCGAAGTCAAATCTGCCTTCTTCGGGCTCGATCATCTCCCAGCTGACGGAGCCAAGTAGAGTATTGACATTCGTTGCGACCATCTTAGGCCAGATCTCGCTCATGTATTCGGCAGACGAAAGCGATGAATTTTGCAGTTCCCCGCCTAACATAAGGTACGGCTTGCCATGAACAACGAGTTGCTTGGTGTTTCCTGATTGTCGGAGGTGCGGAATTGATGAATTGAGAGTCATGATGAATGCCCAGGTGGTGAAGACTTGAAGGGTTTACAAATGAGCGTAGTTTCCAAGAACGTAGACAGTCCTCACAGCTTCGGCAGCCAGAAATCTTCACTCGGAGCGCTCATTGTATAGCACAGGGAGTTTTGCGGGGCTGCTCCAGCGGGGTAGTACCCACCGAACAGCAGAGCGTGCTGTGACATTTACCGGTGCTAGAAGTTCAGCCATACCTATGATTCGGCACGTTTTGTAACAACAATCGCGTGAGGGTCTATGGCTGTTGCTAGCGGCGAGTTCTTTCGTTCGGAATATTATTATTATTGCCTTACGTACTTCCCGGCTGATATCACAGCGGTGATGCGTTTGCTGTCATCTACGATGCACGGAGCAGTCAGCCACCGATGGTGTCTTTGCTCGCCTGCCATTGGCCGCCACATCGCCCGGCTCTCCGCTTCGAACGAGCAAGCAACAGCCTATCAGATGTACCTTGTCGCTCGATCCTACCTAGTTGCCCTTGTTACCAACGCCGTGCAGGTGCCCCTGGTCGCTCAGACAAATCTCTGGCTATCCGGGTCAGGCTCGACCCACCCAAGGGCCTGGCTCGCTGCATGTAACTGCAAGGCACTAGCTCATCCTTTCGTGCAGCTGCATTTCTCCCCAATTGATGAATTCATCGTCGCTCAGATAGATATCCAACAATCTGTAAGGATGCTCAGTCCCACCCTTCTCTCTCGCGCATCCTCGAAGAGACCGGGACATCTTACTATCCACCGAGCCTTTCTATCATTAATCGATCCAAGCTTGGCCTTTCATTTCTAGTACACCAATAGCAACAGGTCGTAGCACATTTCGGATACGTCAAAGGCAAATACTTGGAACACTCTTCGTCGCTTTCGACCGCTTCCAAGAATATCTTCAAGTAGGAGTTATGGCGCCGAATAACAGACAACCTCAGAGCAATAGCTGGGAGCCCAGCACCACCATCGAACTCCTAGCGCTGCTCCTTACAATCCCAGGTGCTATCGCCGCTATAGCCACCTTCTATATATTGCTTTCTCGTCATCGGCAGAAGAGGTTTAGTATGTCAACCTTGATACCTGCATGTAGTGTGTCACGCACTAACGGTGACTTAGAAAAGCCGAAACGCGCTCGCACTATGTAGCATGGTATAGAACACAGATGTTGCATGCGGTTGTGTATGGTTTCGATACGTGTCGCAAATACCGACCAACGTCTCTTATTGATGAGGAATGGAGAAGTAAAGACTGGGTTGCGAAATAAAATGAATTAGGGTCTACGTGAACTCAGTGGTTCTTCGCTTGGAGGTGCTCGTACTCTATCGATAGACCTGTTGCTCGGCGGAGGGGACCTTCTCTTCGGAAGAACACATATCTTGCTCACTGAAACCCCGTTCTTGCAAGAAAGGCCTCAAAGCTACCAAATTCTTCCCACCCGCCTGCACTATCAACAACCTCCTGGCTCCACTTCACCCCCTCCTTTGCTCCAGGCCCATAGTACGCCCACTTTTTGATCATAACCATATTCTCCAACAACTCCTGCCCAGCCTTCCAGTCCTCGTCCCTCATCTCTTTGAAGTCGCACTTCTTTCCTGTAACCTTCTCTACAGCTGCGCAAACATCAAGCGGCGTGACCCACGCGCTCGCAGCAAGCACGTGCTTTCCGATAGTAGCTTCCGGCTTAGCGAGGCATGATGCCACGAACTTACCGAAATCGGTGGGAACGTCTAGCATAGGGATTTGAGTGTCAGGATGGAAAAGTTGAGATAACGTGTACCCATCGCCATTCGGGGTGGGTTTTATAGATCCAGGGACGTTGGTCATGAAATATCCTGGTAGTACGAAAGAGGCAGATTGGCCGGCTTCTTTGATGTATTCCTCAACCATGGCTTTGCTGTCGAAGTGATGCAGATTCGGCAGTTTCCCGTTGGTGATCTTGGAGACGTGGGGTAAGGAGGACCATATCAAGTGCGATACTTTGGCTTCGAGGCAGGCGTCGGTTAGATTGCGGCCTTGTTGGACTTCGTGGGTGAGCGAGGCCTTTTCCCAGTACTACGTGAAGGGTCAGAGGGAGAGTGGCTAACAAGGAGGGAGTTCAGAGGGAGGTACGTTTGTCACGCCAAACACGGCATCAGATCCGGTGATGGCGATCAGGATTGAGTCTTTGCTGTTCAGGTCCGCCTAGAATACTTAGCTGCCTAGGTACCTCTACTTTTGAAGTAAGGAACTTACAGCGACCATCTCAACACCTTTTGCTACCATGGCTTGCGCATCAGGTTTATTCGGGTTCCTCGTAACGCCGCGCACCTTCCATTCCTTGCTAAGACTCGGGTGATTCAGGATAGCTCGTACAACAGAACCACCCTGGTTGCCAGTAGAGCCAAAGACAGTGATGAGCTTCGTCATATTGAGAGGTCGAAGCATTCGTGAGTAGTATCAACCCGGGACGCTGAGATGCTGCGGCTATCTATAGAGCCTGTATCGCTCTAGTTGTTCTTGCAGACGCAAATGCAGGTGGCACTGCACTGCCATGTTCGCTAACATAGTTAGTAACGTGGAGAGCAAGACCGCGCCAGAAGATGAGTAACGACGGAGTAAGCTGAGGGAGCATTTGTGTTGGACGATAGAAGTGTAGTATGAAGACTAGATGCGGGGTGATAACTCAACGTAGCGCTAGTGCGGGGACGGATATGATTACTCACCTCCGCATGCCATGTAGCGCCTTAGCCAGAGTGTTTCCAGAAGCTGACAACACAAGTGAGAGTGACGATACACTTTTTCAATTCTATTGATATTCTTCATGATTGAGGCAGTAATCTTGCACGATCACATGAGGAGGTCTTGTAGCAAGCATCCCCACATAAAAAGGTTCCTACAGGTCTTCGACTAATACAGTAGCCATCAAGTATACCCACTCTCAACAAGTATTTACATTCTTTTCTTGCCATATACAGTATCCTCATCTCTACTTCCTAAGAAGTCGCGCCGTGTCCTTATCTTTTCCACAAATGATTAGTTTTGCATTCCTCACTACACCCTACACAACCTGTTCCGGCGCTCTTAGTCCACTCCCCACGTCGTCATCCGGTTCATCTTTGCGCTTCAAGGGACTCGTGACATCACCAGGCTTACATCTAGGCTCAAAGATCATGGCCTCGGGGTTGAATTTCTTGAGCTCAGTTGCTGACTCGGCGTAGAACTTGTCAGTGTCCTGGAATCCACCGTGATCGTAACCAGTATCGCCGGTATTGTCGTCGCCAGGAGGTTGTCCATTGCTAGCATTACCGGTGAGATTCTCGCAGCGAGATGATGCATTGTCACCCCCTTCGACAGCTTCCCTCTTCGCGGCTTTCCTCGCGTCCCTAGCAGCGTCCTTCCGAAGCTTCTTGCCATACCACTTCCATTTCTTCATCCCGTTGGGTGTGAGCACTTTTTGGTCGCCTATTTGGTCACTCATCGGGTTCTCGTTGACCTCCTTCCTTTTTTCGTCCTTCACCAGCGGTTCTTCATTCTCGTCCGCAAAAATGTACTTCTCTCTAGCCCAGTCTTTCTTCTTTTTACCCACATCCTCCCTCCTTTCAATGAACCCACCCAGTATTGCTGCAATCCGCAGAGCGGAAATACCAGGATCGAACGGACTCTCACCTTCCTCCACCGGACGGTGCACCTCCTGAAAGTGGTTCGTATGGACAAAAGGTTGGGAGGTTGAACGATTTCGCGTCTCGTTGGCAAGATTAGTTGCGAGGATCTCGGTGTTGGAGGGGAAACCAAAGAGCGTGGCGGGCGTGGCGGTGGCCCAGAAGTGGATCGCGACGGCCCCGCGGTCGGCGGGAGTCGTGGCTGGTAACTCGGCAGTCTCTTGGACTTGATCTTGACCAGCAAGAGCTGTTTTTTGTGGGTTCCTGTTCTTGCCGCGACTACGACCGCATTTGCTTCGTGTCCGACCGGCGTTACCAACTTGGTCTCCAGTATCGTCGGCGGCCTTCTCCTCTGCTGGAGCGTTGTCATGATTAGTGGACTGCTTAGTTGGGAGGTCGTGGCCGTCGCGCCAGTTGGGATAGGGCTTTTCCGTTCGCTTGAATTCTGTTTCTCATCAATTTGTTACCTTGGAGAAGGTCGCATGACAGGGGTGATGACTGAATCGCCATGTCTTTGGAGACCTACCAGACATCTCGTTGGAATATGTTTGTACGTACAATTCTAGTAGAAGTGAGTACCAGAAGGGCTTGTTGTATTCGTGCCTGAAGCGGCTACTCGCAGTGTCGTGTTATTGTTTGTGGGTGCAGAAAGAAAACACCAAGGATGGAACGGTAGGACGCAAAGTGCAGATTCAAGAGCATCACTACTTTTAAGCGAGCCTTGGCTCGTGTTCTCTGTTATGCTTCCGAGAGGTATCAATGAAGTTTGTTATAGAAGATGCTTTGGTGTGAAGAAGACGGCGCAGCGCATCACCACAGACGCGCCCACGAGAATGCCGTGTCGATTACAGCAGTTATGGCGATATCAGTGAGCTGGCTTTGCAAAACAAGTAGTAGTCTCCTCGGAATAACGAGGAGCGTTTTGTGATATTAGCATTATTGAGTAGATGTGTACAGCGTCGCTCCAGCATGAAGTCATTACCTCCCTCCCAAGCCCACGTAGTGTGAGTAACTTCGCACGAATTGTCCTAAAACAACGCCTTATCTCCAAAGCGTTCAGCATACATACCCAGCGCCTTGATAGGGAATATAAACTTGTAGTTCGGATAAGAGATCATACTGTCGTCAACGTTAGCCGTCATTCATACTCATCCAACAACGTCAGCCAACTTACCAAGACTTATTGAACACCCCCTCAATTGCCTCCTGCAACCACTCTCCATTCTTTTTCTGCCTCTTCATGATGAGCTTGACAGCCCTCTCAAGTGGCTCCTTGTGAGGGAAGCCGCCCTCGATCATTGCGATAATTACCCAAGCAGTCTGCACAACTTGGCTCTCCGCATGCTGATCCCAGACACCGTCTTCGCAACTCTTGTATGTCTCGCCCCAGCCTCCGTCTTCCATTTGCTTGTCGAGGAAAAACTGGCAGGCCCGTCTTACGCGCTCAGAGTTCTCGTATTGTTCGCCAGAGCATTTGAGTGATTCAAGAGCGAACATGCCGGCGTAGGTAAAACAGATACCCCAGCTACCGTACCACGAACCATCTGGACGTTGGGCGGCTCGAATGTACGATACCGCGCGGTCGCGGAAGGCAGAGATCTCTGCGGCACGGTATTCAGGGTAATGATGCTGGAACATGTGCAGAGCGGTCACAACGGCGGTCGTGCATTCGGGGTAGTCGTATTCTATCATGATGTTGCCGAAGACTTCTGCTGCGTTGAGGTGTTCGAGGAGTATACTGCCTCGCGTCGGCTCGTAGGAAGCACAGCCACCAGAAGCGTTCTGCATGGTAAGCAGGACGTCGATGGCGTCCTTCATGCGACGTTCATTGATAAGTTCAGGAAACTTGTTGTCTTTCTGTAGGATGAGCGTGCTCTTAAGACCTTCAGATGTGCAGTCGCTAACCGTATAGCCTTGCTTTCGTGTGCTGAAACCCCAGGCGCCTTTGCGTTGTTGACGATAGCATGCGTGTTGATCTCTGGTTTCTTCAAGGATCTGCTGGTCTTCCAAAAACTCGAGACTCTTCGTGAGCATATGCTTCCACTTCTTATCTTTTGACCAGCCGCAAGATTCGACAGCTTGAATGAGGAACGCAGTATCCCATGTTTGTACACCGTTTGTGCCGTTCATAAGCATACCTTCATCCTTCACCCAAAGGAACTCCGGAAGAGTCTTGATGTGCTCACGAACGGCATGGCAGTTGGGTCCGTTTCTGATATATGCAACCAACATATTCATGGGGCCGTTTACCGGACCGAGATTTGCAAAGTCTGTGTTCTCATCCTCAGCCTCAATCAGCCACCATACATGTTCCTCAGCGCGCTTTACCATCCAGGTGGGTCGAATGTATGGAAACCATATAACGGCCAAGAACCAGAACAGGGCTTTGAGAAACCAGGACTTGACATGATAGTTATCCGTAGGGGCAATGGTGTTCCGGCGTGCATCAAAGTTGATCGTCTCAAACGGCTCCATCAACAGCTCAGCCCGCAATTGACGTGTGAGGTCGTTCAACGGATACGACCATCTCTTGGAGTAGATATATGACATGGGCAGAAAGACCATTCGCATATGTATCCACCATCTCCAAGGCGCAATGGGTACCCAATCTGGTAGTAGCCATAGCTCAGGTGGAACAGGATTGACTACATCCCAATCGGTCACACCCAGCACGCTCAACCAGAACTTTGCCCAGTGCGGTGCATTGAGCGCGCCGCCCAGGTTCCAAAGTATGTCCCTCGCTTTACGCATCCTGGGATCTTCTGCGTCGATGCCTAGCAGCCTCAGCACAGTATAGTTCATTGCGGTACCGAACACGGTGCTCTCGCCCTCGATGTGTAATCCCCAGCCACCATCTACCGGATTCGCCCGCGCGAAGAGGTAATTTTTGATCTCGATCGCATGCGATGCTGGTATTGGTGTCTCGGTGACATACCAGGTGATTACGAGGCCTGGCAGGAGGAACATAGGACCACCGTATTCGCAAGCCCAGTTTCCGGGTGGGAGTTGGAGTTGAGAGAAGAATTCGAGGCCATTGTGTGCGGCTTCGAGAGGTGTCTTTGCGGGTTTGAGAGTAGGTTGTTCCTAAGTCGAAAGTCAGCTACTACGGCCCTGTCTGGACAGAGAGAAGATGGTTAGAAAATGCGCCAACTCACCGTATCGAGACCTAGGAAGTATTTATCCGCTGTACTCTGCGGCCATGCTTTCATCTCTTCGTCGCTCTGCAGATAATGCCATGTCTGACATCCTCGATCGTCCTTTAACCTCCATCTTGTGTAGTCAGTCTTCTCATGCCCCTCCTTGCTCTTGGTCACGCCTACTGCGTCGTTCAGTATCTTTTGCGCCACACCGCGCTTCAGAGAGCCATTGTTCGTTTCGATGGCGTGCGGCATGATGTTTGTTGGTTTCGTGAGGTTCTGAACGTCGCCCTACACTTCCCTTGCAGGGGGAAAGACGTGATGGAAGTGGCATGAGTGTTGCGGCGCGGTGAGGTACCCCAGGGATGGACATCTTGGCAGGGACGCGTGATCGCAGGCAACAGCAATCTTGCCAATCACTGCGTCTGGCGTATTGGACGAGCACCTGCAAGTCAGTGTTACTACAGTGGATTAACAGATGTTTGCATTCGAGTCGTCTATATAGAAGTGTAGTTTGCATGCGGCAACTTTACGCAACACATAATTCTTCAGATCCTGAATTCATGTACATCAACATCGCATCCCTACCATCTCCCACCACCAAACCTTGGAGACACTGCAAAACGACATATCATCAACTAACCAAGCGTCCCCTACTTGTCCTCAACTCATCGAAACATCACAAATACCAACACTCTTGACGTATATACAACCACTCACCTGGCATCGCCCCTGCCTCAGTCTTGGCAGGCACTCCCGCGGCGAAGCGTGTGATCGACAAAAAAAGCTGACCACTCGGCTCGTGCAAGGCTTGCATTCCCGCCCCCTTTCAAACTCTCGCGCGCATCGCAACGCACAGATCACCAGTCTCCGTATTCGCGGAACATGGGAGGATCCGAGGCCGAAGGTCTGAATCGACGATGAGGGTAAGTAGGATGACGGAGGTATGACTTCATCGCCTACTTGGAGTTGTGTTTGGTTTGGTAGACCTGTATGCTAAGGGATATTAAGATCTGTGTATACAATGACGATGATGACGAGGATAAGTATTGGAAATGTGGAGATGAGTAATGTGAATCATTGGTTGTGCGTTTATTCAATCCTCGCATTCAGTTGGCGGCGGGTATGATGTGGTATGTACAGATACTATGCGTTATGTATCGAACGAGCGAGAACCTCCAGGGCAGTCGCTCTACACGCTCAAGGTCGAGAGCCCCACCAGGAATAAGACATGAGCAACAAAGGAAAAAAAGATGTGCCGTCGAAATATGAAAACACCATGTAGTTGCGCTTGAAACCTGCCAAAGTAAAAGGCTGTGAAATGCTAAACATGCTTGGAGTTTTCAAAAAAGAGGGATAGCGGTAATTCGTGGCTCCCATGAAACCAGGTTGGTCTTCTGTATGCGGTAATCGTGTACGGTGTGGTAGTGGTGGGAAAATAAAAATCGTTGTTTCGGGTATCGCAGAAAAAGTAGCCTCTCATCCATCTGCCCTTGTTGGGCAAACATGATCAATCGCTCAAGTCGGGATTTGCGACGAACAGCCTTGTTCCCATGGTCATGGTCCGCTCGTCTACACTGCCCCTCCGTACCAGGTCATCCTTACTGCCTTTCTTGTCCGTTGTAGCGGGTGGTTTCAGCATTCCGGGCGCTGGCAATTGCCCCATGTCACCGAAATTGCGTTCTCCACTACTACCACTGCCCGTACTTGTGTTTGTTTTCGTGTGCTGGAAATAGCTGTTGTCGTTGGGTGCGTTGGCGTCGTACTCGGCGGGGGAAGGAGTGGGTTCCTCTTTGAGGTCGGCAAGTTCGCCGTCGGGGGACGAGTTCTGCGGGGGCGTGCTGTTGGAGGATATGCGGCCAGCGGGGTTGGCGTAGGACATACGGCGTCCTGAACCAACCGAGGAGCGTCCTGAGCCGGTGCGGTGGTGGTATTGGCCGTTCTTGACTGAACCTGCATCTTCGTCGTCGCCTTCGTCCACTTCAGAAGCACTCAGGCGCATAGGCACACCAGACCCTGCATATGTGACTGGCGCATACAACGACGCTTTTGGAAGACCGTGATGACGCCCAATCTTGGATCGCACGCCGCCAGCCATGCTAGATCCTCCCGAGGCACTTCGCGGGGGGACGTGGTGTGGTCCGCCTGCTACTTCCATGTTTGCCCGCATCTTGGCCTGCCGTTGCTGTGCGAGCATGCGCGGGTCTTCATACTGGGCCCTGTCGCACCAGACGGTAGCCTTTTGTTTCCGCATGAGGGCAACGTACGATGTGGGCGAGTTGCCGCCGGAGCGTGAGGACGAGGAGCGACGGAGGGCGCCGCTGTTGGAGCGGTTCGGGGTGCCTGTGGTGGAGCTGGTCGACGAGGTGGGTGTGCGGCGGAGACTGCTCTGGTACTGGGTTGGATATTGCGAGTTCATGGTGCTTGTGGTGGGCGATGCAGCGGGGAAGATGCCTGAGCTGGTTGTGCGTGTTCGTGAATGTCCTAGTTGGCCGTCGTTGTGGTATTGATGTTGTGGGGGTCGCACTGAAATGCCGGGGTTTGCTATGGGCTTGCGGCGGAGAGGAACAGCCCCGTAGGCAGAGGTTTGTGGGGGTTGTGCCATGACAGCCTGCATGTTTGATCGACTCTGCTTCCTTCGCGTCACAAATCACGGGACGTGAAACACGGATCAGAGCGCTGGCGTTGGGGCGGCAGCGTCAAAGAAACACAGACAATGACGTTGTTTTTTCTTCTTTGGCAAACTAGCAAACTCTTGGCTCGCAGTGAAGGGGAGCCGGTGTTTATGTAGATGCTGTTGGTGTTATTGCCGGAGTGCTCGCTTGGTGCCCTGCTGAGAATGATGTTCTGCAGCCCTGCGACTCAAATGCACTGACTTCCCACGGCTTCCGGCAATGGGCTGATGTGAGGGATTGGCACAAAGTTTGGTGATGTTTATGATATTCGGGCAAGGACAGCGGCAACAGCGGGGGAAGTGGTCAACGCCCCGCGGGAGGAATCGAGATTGCAGGTGGAGGGCCGAGTGATTTGCGATGATTTGTGGTGCCTGGGATGCCGTGTCGAGTCGCGGGCGGGAAGCGTCCTTAATAGCAAATGGTCCAGTCCAGCCAGAGACGCTAGAAAAGCTTACTCTAAAGAAAGAAAAGGTCAACACGAGCCATAAGAGTGTTTGAGAAGAGTAGTAGACGCCAGCTGGCTTGCGACAATTAAGCCGTAGTGCATGCACGGTGTTGCAGTGCGCGAAATGCTGACTTACATATGGATGGATGGATGCGGCGTCTTCGTCGTGTACTAGTCCAACCCGGCCTTGCAGCAAGCAGCGGCACACAGGCAGCTTTTGAATAGGGAATTACAAAAAAGAAACGTCGAGAGCTTGTGGGTAGAGCGGGTGGGGAACAAAGGGAATAGTGTAGAAATGGTAGGAACTGATAGCAGCAGAATCGGGAAGAGTACGCCCGCAAGAGGAACTGGCCGTGTCTTGTATCTTGGATACGCTCCGTGCTTGCCGTTGAGGGCGATCACGCTAATAGAAATGGGTGAGCCGACACTTGGGAACCACGTCTCCACCGCGCAAGCGTCAATGACGAAAGGCTGCTCTGCATTGTCGCCATGGCGTATTGCTATACCCATCACTCAAGCGCGACGACAGAGCACGTCCATAGTAGGCCGCTGTTAACGCCACAAAACCTGAATCCGCCGTGTACAAGAAGGCACTCGAGTCCAAACAGCCGCCCCAGCGACGCGGAGCCCAGTCCGTATACGGCTCACCACTATTTGCTTGAGCATTGTACGCCGAGCATCCTGGCACTAACATGCTGCATATCGACAACTTCACGAATCCCACTCACTGCCGAGCATGTCCTCTCCGCGTCGAATCATCGGCAAACGTGGCTCGAGCATTGCGGGCTGCAGGACCCAGTTCGCTGTGCATGCATGATCGCCTTTGGTTGCATCCCGCCTTTGCTTTTGAACCTCACTGTTTACCACCTGCCAATGCTACATTTGACACATCGCTCCTGATACCGGCTATGGTGTTTCATACTTTTCCAAGCGTGCCTGCGCATCTTGGTTACGAAGCCATGACCGCGACCACTGTCAAAGTCCCTCATCTGCACCCGTCGCCAACACCACTGCCGGCGCTATCATCGCGAGACCTCACCCCAGCGCGCATCCGACCGGGATACAACCAAGGCCCTGATGCCGTTTCATCTAACGTGATGTGTCCAACAGCCCGCCCACAGTCCTTGCCTGTTCCTCTGCTTTCGTTTATATGCCAGAGTGGGGTTGTATGCACGACGATGCACCACCAGCTGTTCCCCGCTCTCTAGCACCGCGCACTCAACCATGGAACACGCTGCAACGCCAGCCGAGCTCTTCCAGATCGTGATTTCTGCGAACATCCGAAAAAAAACGTTGAGGCTCTTTTTTTTCTGCATCACAACCTCCACCAGCGCCGTCTTCGGTCAATTTTGTCCGACAGATCCGCTTCGGCCTTCGCCGAGAACCTTCTAGCACCTGGCATTGCCACCTCCTGTACATCATTGTCAATAATCTGCTGCGTTTCTGATGATGACCATCGATTAACGCTTTCTGTGGAGATACGGGTTTGAATGGGTATTCATAGAAGGAAAATTGGAGACCAGCCCGTACAGAGCGCAAGTGTACCAGACTCGGCATTGTGGCGTAGCATCGCGTAGCAGCATCCTTGAGCGACATCCTCCTGCAAACGCCGCCACTGAAAAGGACCCTGAAGAGCTGAATCTGTAGATCATTGCTTGATTGTATGCGCTCGGGGCTTTGTGACCCCGCGTTCGGTCGTATAAGATTATCGCGAGCCTCAAATATCGGAGCACAAGCCGTGCGTTGTTAACAGGCTCTCAGCTTCTATGAGGCTCCTGTTCTCGCCGCCATCATGGTGTTGCATGGTGTTGCACGCCTAAAAGGCGAACGACGCACTACCAGGCATCATCCATCTTGAGGCGCAAATATATAATACAACAACGGCACATGATTCGTGACCATCCACCTCTCCACCCACACCACTAGAATCCACAATGCCAGTGAGACCCAAGGTCTTGGTTTGGAGGGTTACACAACGTCCGCAGATCTCTTGCCTGCATACAAGATCGTACACCACAATTTCCATGTTCATTTGCTTCAGCGACTTATGTACGAGTAATGCGCCTTGGCCACGACAGCGCAAGCACAAACACAAGGCTCGGTACCTGCCGTGCTGACGAGAAACACACATGCATCGTGCTACAGTGACTGGGTGTCGCATCTCCAGATACGGTAGTCGTTATCGTGAATTGCTACTTTCGGCAATACGCTTGCGCTCGGTACGCAGCTGATCCGGCATTGGGGTTTTAGTGTCGGTCTTGTGCCGCTGTCAACGGTAAGGTATGTTGTGGTTTTGGACAAGTGTGTGATGAAGACGTGCCCACTGCATGAGGGGTCCTCCGATGTCTCGGAGAGCTCTACCATCGTACGAGCATAGTTGGATTGTGCATGCACAAGTTGTGTATTCGTAAAATACATGAAGTATCGAATGAGGAGGGGCATGCACCGCTCACCCGGAGATAACATGAATTTCAATACATGTGGATCAAATCCTTAAAACCACCTCGCCAGATCAAGTACAGTATCGCTTATAACTTAGTAAATATAAGGAATCAGCTGATACGGAGTCTTCTGCTTGAATTCCTCCCACTGCGCTCCATAGCGCTTTTCGCAGTATTCGCTAAGAGTTGGAATCGCACGTTGTGTAAAGTCCCAAGCGAAGAAGGCTCCTACCAGCGCACCTAGCGTGTAGCCACCACCGGCCATGGCGTAACCCGCTCTCCAGATTGTGTACCCGCCGTAGTTGATGTGGCGTGCAAAGCTCCACAAACCTCCGGTGTACGCTTTGCCCTTGTTGTTCGGGTCCGCCTTGAAACGCTTGCGCTGTATTTCCGCGATGAGCTCAGTCATAATGCCCACGACGTATAGCGAGCCGCCAATAAGGAGTGCTGGCTGCGGGAAGTCGGCTTCAGTCGAGGCAGAAGTAGCAGTTGTAAGGAAAGCATAGGTGCTCAGACTGTTGAATACAGCATTGAAGACGCTTATGCCGATAGCACCCACAACTGGCATAGGCTCTCCAGAAAGTGCCGTCACCCAGATGTTCTGCTTCACAGCTGCGCCGACCGCCATTCCAAGTAACACTAATCGGTATGGTGATAAGCCCAAGCCATCGATCAGAGGTATACCTGTACGCGTCGGGAGCCCGGGAGGCAATGTTCGTAATCCTACGCGATGCAGGACGGATGTGCCGAGGCCATGGGCCAGAATTGAATATTGGAGGGCAGGCTCGATGCCACGCAGAAAGAAAAAGATCGCTTTGCCAGCTGGTGTTGGTGTGTAATCGCCCCGCGCGATGAGATCCTTCTTCTTCGATGCGTCTGACCGAGGATCGTTTGGGTTGCCTTTCTGGCCTTGGCCTGGCGCCATCGTGTATCGATTGATAGGAGCTGTCCTTGTTAGTACAATTGGCAAGAGTTGGAATAGTGCGGGGCTGTCTTACCTCTGGAGTGTCTTACTTCAGTACCCTCAATGCAGTTAGTAAGTACCGAAACAGTCGAAAACAGCGCCAGCTATATGTATAGCTTCTCTTTGGTCAATTGAAGTGCGCTCGTGCATTCAGTCACTCAGAAGTGCGAGGCTGATTAACAGCCTTGGTGGAGGATCACAAGACGGATAATGACGTACACACTAACCCGTCATTCGGTCGTTCGGCTTCACCAACTGCCGTTCGTTATACGAATCGGGCAGTATGCATCCTCTCATCCTGACATCCTGTTGTTCAAGGTCTACACGCGGGAATGAAATGGGGCGACAGTTCGTTTGGGGCAATCCGGGCAGCTAGAGGTAGACGATACGGACTCGACGATTATCTACGTCAAGCTTAGTTCACGCGTGTTCCCGTGATGCCTTGCATTAGCGCGTCCCGCTCCTTTCGTCCCACCTTTGCTTTGTTAACGCGCGTTCGAGTCTCTTTTTCGTTCAACAACAATTACTCCATCGCCATTCTTATCAACGTTTTGACACAACTAGAATCCCAATGCCACACTTTGACTCTCCTCCCCACTTCTAATCGTTCCTTCAATGTCACAGCTGCTAGCGGCAACATTTGTGCGACTATGATGAGGATATTGACGCCTCAGGAGTGCGCATTGAGCCACTATCAGTCAGTTTGGAGTACACAGGCGGAAATATTATAATTTCCCACTGTGATCCTATGTGCGCGAACCCTGAGCGCGCTGGTGACTTTGAAGCAGCGGTAGATCACCTATTCGCGATTTTGGTTAAGTGCACTCAAACGCAAGTACTTCACTTGCTATTGCCTTCTTCCGATTACCAGCTCGACGTTAGAAGAATATCAGCATTTGCATCTTATCACGACATTGTACGCTCCCATATATCGATACCCAACGATGACCGTTACTTTCGGCGCAATCTGCAGCCTTCTGCAGAGTATCGAGATTATCACCACACAGTGGCCACGTTTACCTGCAACGCAAGAGAAAAGTGGTAGACGCGAAATAATCTCGAACTAGTTTCTCAACCAAAGAGATTCCCTCGACGGCTCCGACACAAATGGTGGTGCTGTATTATCGGCTCTCTTCCCGCATCGAAGAAAAGACCGAGTCTACGGTCTGCAGCCGCCCTTACTCGCAAAGAAACTTGTGGACCTACTCGCCTTCAACCACGGTCAGCTTGCACTTTTCAATGGCTGGAAGATAGGGGTTCATGGCGATCTCGGTGAATACCTCGCACGAGCAATGAAGCTATGGGATGGCACCTTCACCAGTAAACGCGTGTTTCCAGTCAAATAAATCGACCAGCTTCTTGTACAATTAGTAGTGGGATGCCGGTTCTCTGATGAGGCCATCCGGAAAAGGCGCAATCGGGACAACAAGACAGACACAGAGCTAAGAAATATACTTGTGAGGGTCGGATCTTGGGAAGCAAAATGGTTGATTCGTCTCATTCTACGAAATCACTGCACTGTTGAGCTTGACGAGCAGTTCGTTCTGGAGCGCTATCACTTCCTGTTTCCGGAATTACTGATGTTTCAGAATGATTCCGACGCCGTTTTCAATATGCTTCGAGGTGAACTGAGCTGCTACCCTACAGTACCAGAATTGTCAGAACAGAAGCCTATGCGTCTCGAGGCGGCGCAGAAATTGAGAGCTATTGTTGGAATCAAGGTGGGGCGACCGACGTTCCATAAAGCTTGGTCTTCCAAGCACTGCATTCAGTTGGTGGGTCAACAAGCTTGGGCTGCCGAAGTCAAGTACGACAGCGAGTATTGCGAAATACATGTAGACCTGGGAGATGCGCCCAACGATATCAGAATCTTTTCTAAAAACGGCAAAGATGCAACAGCGGACCGAAGACCTCTGCATGCCACTATTCGCCAAGCACTACGTATTGGGCGATCAGACTGCAAGTTGAAAAAGAAGTGCATTGTCCTTGGCGAGATGGTGCTCTACAGTGACCGAGAAAAAAGAATTATGCCTTTTTCGAAGATCAGAAAGCACATATCACGCTCCGGTTCTTTTATCGGCACACTTCAAGATTCATTGCCGCATGAGTGGGAACACCTCATGATAGTATTCTTCGACGTCCTGGTGCTGGATGACGAATCAACCCTACGTCACTGCCTCCAAGACCGCCGCAAGATTCTCCGAGGCCTTGTCCATGTAGTGCCGGGCCGTTCAATGCGATCGGAGTGGACCCTCCTTGACTTTAAGACAGGGAATGGTATAACAGACCTTAAACAGATATTTGCCCGGAACCTAGCCGAACGCCAAGAAGGACTCGTCCTCAAATCGTTGCATGCACCGTACTTTCCACTGTTGTCAGAGCAGGGGCATCGTCAAGCAGGTTTCTTCATAAAATTGAAGGACTACCTCGGTAACATGGATGGTGAGCAGGACTTGGGCGACTTTGCTGTGATCGGAGCTAGCTTTGATGCGCAGGTCGTGCCAAGAATTCATATCAAACCCTTGCACTGGACGCATTTTTATCTTGGGTGCTGTCTGAACAAAGACGCAGTGGAGCGTACGGGAGCAAAGCCAGAATTCATGGTCCTAGCGAGCCTCAGTCTCGAAAAGTGTATACCAAAGTCTGATGCGAAGTGCATGAACATCCAAAGTTATGTTCGTCAGTCTGCTCTACGAGAGAATGGATCGACCGCAGATTTCGACATTCGATATCCCAAAGGTTACGGTAGTCGTATGACTGCTGTATTCAAGGAACCATTCGTAGCGGAGATCCTTGGCGGTGGACTCGAGAAGCTTCAAAACGAATCATTCGAAATGTTACGACACCCTAGAATCAAGAAGATCCACCATGATAGAACTTGAGAAGACACTGTTTCTTCAGAGGGTCTCGAGCGTATGGCTGAGGAGAAGTGGGAGGTTCCTGACGCTGATAGGCTTGATGGACATGCTCGTGATGTTGCTTTGCTGGCCAAAAAGTACGTCAGGGAGATGGATGGGTCTCAAGTGACTGTGACGACCGACGACACCACGCAGCAGACGACTCAGCGGACCACTCCTCGCTCCTCGCAAGTGACACCTCGTCCAACGATCACCCGGACCATTAGCCAATCGGCGCCCAATGGAGCCATAGTTGAGAAACCGCAACAGCACACTTGCACCACAGTTTCGACCTCCCAATGTTCCGCTTGTGGCAGTACACAAGGCAAAGGCACACAAATCTCGCGCGAAGTGCACATTCTCGTACTGAAAGACTCGTCAGAGCTTCTATATACTCCGACCCGTCCAACTCTAATATTAACGGCGCCTGAAGCCTACAGCTCATCACCGCCTAGATCCAGTGCGATGTCGGCCTTGTCGACGACAAGCAAGCGGCGCACCTACATAGAGTTGATCAGTCCACCAAATGCAAAGCGGAGGAAAGCACTAGCTTCATTACAGTCATCTGGGAGTAACCGCCGTTTGGGTGAGTTTCAGTATGACTCACAGGACAGAACCATTGATATTTGTGCGAAGAAAGGTATAAGAGTGCAGGTACATATTGGATCTCAAGAGAAGGAACGTAACAGCTGAAGAAGAGTGTCCTGCGACTCATTGATTACCTTTATGATAACCCCGCTATGTTCGTATTCTTATATCGTAGCGTCTCAGCTAAGTGTTGGACGGTTATCTGCTCATATAATAGTGCAAAATTGAGAAGCATGAGACGGGTTCGAACAGAGGAGTAATATCTCCCTTTCAACACCAGACGTGAATCGCGCTCTTCCTGCACCACTGAGAGGTGCACCACCAACAGTAGTAGACCTATAGGCACTCGAAGGCCCACCCCATGGAATTGTGGGAGGGAGCGTGGTGGAGATGGAGACCAGAGGGATAGAGGCGAGCGTGATAGGCTGAAACTTAATCGTGTGATGGGCTCTAGGAGGACGATAGAGTTCTAGTCAAACGAAAAACATACCCTCGAAAGAAAGAAGTCGCAAATGTAAAATGCTCGACCTTGAGTTGTCTCTATTCGAACGGAAGGCATCCCGAGTTATACTTTTAATACAACTATAGTCAGATGAATTTATTTACACCCACACCGTCCTATGGTCTATCCGTAATATAGCCGTTGGAATCCGCACATTATGTTTCGTCGACGCCTATGGAAGCGAGAATGTCAACCATGGTATTCTAGCCTCTCACCCCGCTTGTTAAGCTAATCGAATACAATACAATTTTCAGTAAATGTATTCCTAATATTTACTTCAAATGTCTTTTGTTCGAATACCTCAGGAACTAGCCATATTCACAACTACGATGCCTCAAATCTTCGACTGCGAACTGGAGGGGGATGCTAGGTATAGACGCATAACCGTCTCTTGTAGGCCTACGCCGCGTTTTGTTCGTCAAGGAAGCAAACAACCCATACAAACCTCCGGCCGTCTCGTCAGCCTTCTGCAATCTGCAGTACGAAATCCTCGATCTACGCAAGCAGTTACAACCGGCGCCACTGAGATGTCGTCGCTAGCTTCCCTTGACATACGCTCCGTCCAGAGGCCTATACCTATCGAACCTTTGCGGGATTCCGACGAGCTAGTAAGCCTCCTTCAGCACCCAGTATGGAATGCGTTGCGTAGCGTTACCGTGTCTAGCGTGCCCAGCGATGCTGAGATTGCAGTCTATCAGAGTCTCCTAAGGCTAGCACGGTTTGTTCAGGCAGATGTACATGAGTGGGCAGAAGAAACACGGCGTAATCTCGAGGAGGCGGAAGACAGGCGAAATTTTGAACATCTCGAACCAGAGAGCCGCTGGGAGCGCATACAAAGGATGCACGAATTAACACAGAGCCTCGGACTGGACCAGACAAACCTCGCCCCAGCCGGAACCGACACAGTGGAGCCTATACGGGAATCTCCGGATGATCTCTTCTCGGAAAGTGCAGTTCGACAAGAAGTAAGTATCAGGCTTCTTTCCGAAAGCGCAGTTCAGAGACTGGTAGCCAGCCGACCATTCCAATGCCCAGTCTGTTTCGAGGCTGTGTCGAACCCTGTTGTCTTTATGCCGTGTGGCCATTTCTTATGCCGGATGTGCTTTGAAGGAATGGAGAGAGTTGCGCGGAAGAGCGTGAGAAGGCTGAGCTGCCATCTCTGCCGACAACGCTTGGGGCTCTACACGCTCTGGGAGCTTGTGCGTGCTGAATTGGAAGATGGCAAGAATGGTGAGACGGCAGACGGTAGAGGAGATGAGGAGCGCGAGGGGGACGGCATTGTGGTCGAAAAGGGGTTCCAAGGATTCATTCGTCGGATTCGTGACTGGACCGCTCAGGTATGTGGGTGGTTTGGTAGATGAGAGGCTGGTGCTTACATAACGGTCTGAGGCTGGTGGAGATGGCGGCGGTTGTGTTTCGGCTGCATGATCCCTGTCAAGCTTCCAGAAGCCGCCCGAGGGCCCATGCACCGTCACCACCGAGCGCGTGGAACTTTGGCTTAGAGACGATTCAATGACGCTTTACACAACATTCTCCGGATTGCGTCTTCTGTTTCTTTTTGGTTGATTGACAAACACAAGCTTGATACCAGTTGATACTTGCTTCAGCATGCGATAAATCCGCCCCCCCTGTCCACCCATGCCGCCGCCTATTCACCACCCCCGACCTGCGCCGCCATCATGTCCTCCCCGATACCCCACGGAGATCGACCGAAAGCTTCGAGTTCCTGTCGCCAAATCCACCCCAGGGTTCCTTTCCGTTCCCTTCATCAACCCATGACTGGACAAATAGGCCTAGCTCCACTGGTGGGCGCTACAAGCCGCGACGTGGCTCAACGGCGTCGTCGATACACTCGGTCGGTGGCTCACTTGACAGCGGCTTCAAGAGCACCATGGGCGCGGTGAGAGAGCAGAGCAACAATGGTGGGCATGCCTAACCCATGCATGAATGACGATGGAAGAGGCTAACCCAGGCTCAGCCATTTCCACGCTGCTCACGCCGCCCATCATGAGGACTGGCATGGTCCCGCATACCAATGCTACAGCGACTTCCGGCCACCGCCCGCCATCCACCAAAGACATACCACCCGTCTCGCTTACAAACATACCCCACATCGAGCCTTCTACCTTCAATCCCTATCTATCGCAAGTAGGCAGTCTCTACGAGGCTTTCCAGCGCGCAAAGGCCGAGGCCGAAGCAGAGTCCGCCCAGCCAGCAAGGAGGGGGTCAAACAAGGAAGACACTGAATCGCCAGCGGGGACACCCAACCTAGCAGGAACACCCTTTGCCCCCAACGGCCCGCCGAAACCGAAGCGTCGAACGAGCGGATCGAAACGCGCCCTACCAGCCATTACGCCCCTTTCGACAATACCCAACATTTACTTTGACGATAACTTTCATCTAGAAAACCCGCGAACCTTTGACGTAGTCAGCGAGCGGTCCGAGGTGGTTAGGCCAGTGCGGACAGCAAGCAGCGATGACCATGGCGCAAACGGTTCCTTGGATATGCCACAACCTCCTGGGAGGAAGGCTCTAGCTACGAATGCCATCTTACAAGAGAAGCTGTCGTGGTACATGGACACGGTCGAGGTGCACCTGATCTCGGCCATATCTACGGCATCGACATCCTTCTTCGCTGCGCTCGGCTCTCTACGCGAACTTCAGACCGAAGCATCAGACTCCGTCGCAAGGATAAAAGGGCTTAGGGAGGACTTGAAGAGACTGGACGAACAGATGGCAATAGGAGGCTTGAAAGTCGTTGAGATGAAGAGGCGCAGAGAGAACTTGAGGAGGCTGACAGACTCGGTCGACCAGCTGCAAGCTGTCATCGTTGGACTGTCACACTGTGACGATGCCGTCGTTGATGGTGATCTCGAGACTGCTATGACCCGGATAGAAGTCATCGAACGACTAATTACGGGCGCGCTGGACGCGACTGACGCTCAGAGTACCTCCTGGCTCGACTCACGATTACCTCCGCAACTGATCGATTTGCGACACCTCAGAGCGCTAGACGGCGTATTCGAGAGCATCACCGAGCTCAAGTTCCGCGTAGGCAGAGGGTTTGAGGTACGCTTTGTCGATACCCTACTCACTGACCTCCGAGAGCACGTCAAGCGAGTCCCGACTCATGACACGCTGGAGCGATGGATAGCTGCATCGCAAAAAGCACGAGGCAGCAGCCAGAAACCGAAGACGACTTTGCCAGCCTATATGACGACAGACGAAAAGCTACGTGCAGAGCTACGAGCTAGCTTGTATGGCCTGAGCGGTGCGCAATTCACGAATCAAGCTAGCGCTACTTTTAGAGAAGCCATGATTAAAGAGATGAAAGTCATTATCCGAAGACATTTGCCGAGCTCAACAGAAGACGATACCGGGTCTATGGCTTCTGTATCCACAAGAGGCGGCCGAGGGACCAGTCAACAGGACAAGAACTCCATTCTTGCACGGAACTTACGGGCAATGGATCCCGATGATGCCGAAATCTTCTTCGCCAATATTTTCACCGACATTTCAGAAGCGCTACGTCGTCTCAGTACGCTGATCAAGGTGCTTCTTGATGTTACGAGCGGCGTTACTACTCCTCCCGCCTCTGCTGGTGGGCTTCGCTCTCCCCCCCGAAGCCCATATATGCACAGCATTGATGATTACGTAGGCAATGGCGTGCCAGCTCCAAGTTCTAATGACTTGCAGATGGAGCTGATGCAAGCTCTGGACATGTCGAGCCTCCTAGGTCAGGCTGTTGACGCAGCGCAGACACAGATCACCAAGCTCCTCAAAGTCCGCTCTGAGGCCACAGCAAACCTCCCCCTGGAACGCTTCCTACGGTACTTCAATATGTGTAGGTTGTTTGCCGACGAGTGCGAAGCTGTTTCAGGACGCTCTGGCGCCGCTCTCAAAGGTGTGGTCAATACCCATATCAATGACTTCGTGTCCAAGTTTGGCGACTTTGAGAAGCAAGAGCTAGTAAGATCAATGGACTCAGATCGCTGGGAACCCAAGGAATTTGATGCACAGGACACTGAGGTCTTAGCACGGTTATTGAAGGGTATGGAGAGCGATCCAGCAAGCTGGGCAGAAACTGGTGACCTCCTTCGAGAAATCGAAAAGTCAACTACAAACGGCACATTGGCGCAAACCAATGGCGCATCAGAAGACAAGCCCAAGGAAAAGAACAAGACCACCATTCCCGCCGTTGTGGATGAGGAGAAGTATACCATCTCCGAATCGTCAACAGTCGTTCTTCGTGGCATTGAGCGTTTCGAGATTCTCGTTTCTGCCATGCCAAGTATGACTTCTGAAGTCTCCGCCTCCCTTTGCGACTACATCAAACTCTTCAATTCACGACTATGTCAATTGATCCTAGGCGCTGGCGCCATGCAGTCTGCGGGCTTGAAGAACATCAACACCAAACACCTTGCCATCGCCTCTCAGACACTGTCATTCATTGTCGCTATTCTGCCCTACATCCGCGAATGTTTCCGACGACGGGCTGCTTCCGCGTCCAACAAGTCTTCTGTTGTCGAGTTTGATAACGTCAAGCGCCTACTGTACGACCAGCAAAACCAGATTCATGAGAAGCTGACAGGTATCTTATCTGGAAGAGCCAAAGTACATATGCGTAGTCTCAGGAAGGTAGAGTGGGATACCGATGCCGAGATCAACAAAGATGTCAGTTCTAGTATGGAGAGCTTGACCAAGGATACCGTGACCATGCACAAGGTAATCAACAAGTACTTGAGCGAGATTCAAGTTCGCATGATTATGGGGCCTGTGTTTGAAAGTTACAGAGAGGAGGTGGGCAATGTTATCAAAGAGGCGGCCGTCAAGACACCCGGTGGTAAAGCACGGTATGTTATTATGATTCACCCGGTATACGGATGAGGGCTAACGGGCTTCTAGATTGCTACGCGAGGCAAAGCTATTCGATGCTAAACTCGGATCTATTGACGGTGCTGGTAACGTTGGCTCTCATCTCATCGGCCTCGTGGTCAGCAAAACAGTTGTGCAGCCCAAAGCAGAACCTAAAACGGAGCCCAAACAAGAATCTGAAGCGAAGACGAGCGAGGAAAAGACGCAAAGCACCGAAGCAGAACTAGAGAAGTCGAGTACAGAAGCAACTTGAGATGATCCCATCAAGCATCTTAGATGAGCTTTCGGTTGAAGCAGCTATATTCACCGACGCATACGCTTGACCAGGCTTGGTGACCCCCCACCATCTCGATCTATAAACCACAGGGTGTCTCCATAAACGGCATGCTGCTCATCCATAAACTCCCTACTCCAATCGCGGACTACCTGCATCTTCAGACATGGAGGGCACCCTGGCAGAAATAGCCAATCACTTCGCGCACGCCTCCATACACGTCGCCCACCATGTATCAACGTATCATCAATACCCAGCAAGGCGTTTTGGAGTTGTAAAGCAAGAGAGAGAAAGTACTACGGAGCAGAGCGTTGTTGGATAATGTCCACATTGCGGAAAGATTGGGGTAGGGAAGCATGAGATAATGCCGTTATACCATTTCAAGAATAATGATATTTTCACGGTCCCCAAAGGAAATGCGGACTCTTTATCCATACATCACCTGGTGTGTGATCGCCTTTATCTTGTTCATTGTCTTCGTGTGCTTTGGTTCCTAGCATAGCTGTTGCGGCGACCATTTCTTTTGCACCCTTTTTCCGTTAGAATCACTGTGACCTCGTCACTGTTATTCATGACGACCGTATCGTCTCCTTTCAACGCCGTCTTCGCATCATGGTCATGTCCATCCACCACTTCCACCTCTGCCAACCTTCTGGCTGTTGCGGTATTTGGACTGGCTTATTTCTCCGCTTTGGGTTCCAGTTCTGATTCCCTCTCTTTCCTACATTCTTCATAATCATGCATACGCGCGTGCAGGGCTAGATGTGCATTCATTTCTGCTTTTGAGATACCAAGTTTGACGTGCAATGGTGTATTTGTCCAGATTGTTGTGATATTTGTGTTGCTTCTGGGTCGAGGCTGGGGATGCATTGGGGATTGAGGAGAGAGGGAGGAGGCGAGGGGTAGGGGGATGTCTATACGTTTGTGCGGGGATTGAAGAGAGCAAGTTCCCAGGTGCTATGTGTTGGCTGAGCAACTTGTGACGTATACGTCAGCATCACCAGCAACTCTTGAGTGGCCTTCCATCATTCAGTATTTGAATTCATCTAGCGACACGACTTGTGTCTCTACACGTGTCTGACCGTCTGCCTCTGACAGAGGGAATGAAGGGCTACGCTAGTGTTGTGCGACATGAAAGACTTCACCCTTCATGTGCCTGTCTTCCTCGCTGACCACCGCCTGTTCTCTTAGCTGCTAACTGAATCCTAATCCGGCCTAGGCTGTAGCAGCTGTACCATTTCTTAATAGCAGAAATAGCTCTGGCCACCCTGGGCCCAATGGGACTTGTCGGCGGGGGGATCCATTGGAGGCGTAGCCTTTCCCCAGTTCCCGATGATGTTGCCTTGACATTGATGTTCTATAACACATATTAGTGCTGTGCGTTGACAGCCGTGGCACTTAACAACAAGGGAAAGAATGGCCACACTTACTGTCGAAAATAATGCAGAACCCGCACATCCTGTTGGTGAATCGCTTCATTTCCACGCCTGGATCTGTCTCACCGCAGACTAACAGCCCGGTTGAATACACCGGCTTGTTGCCAGGAGTGTAGTCGCCGCATAACCTTTGTTTTACAGCGGTGACGGACGTCTCAACTGTACGAGAGGAAGGGTGGGAACGGGCGTAAGCGACCGCTGCGGCGAGATCTGCGTCGTAGGTCGTGGAGCCGGGGACAGGGATGGCGAGCGGAGAGTGCAACTCGAAGTCTGTGGGCGCACCTGCGACGCACATGGCGAAGATGCTTAGGAGGATGAGGTTGAGGAGACGCATCGTGGATGTTTGAGGAAAGTAGTTGAGAGTGAGATTGGGTTGAGTGAGTTTGATGAGAGGTAGCGGGGTGAGCGTGAGGAAGGTATTTATAACTCTTTGTTAGAGACACGGAGGTGATTGCGGCGAGTCTGGTGAAAGGGGATGACGTAGTTCGAGGCGTGATTGCCAAAGAACACTCATTGAACACTCACTTCTCGATTGGGCACGTGCGCTATATAAAAAAAGCTCAGAAAAGCTCACTGCATGGGGACATTCAAAAACGAATTCGACTGTAACCGACCTATAACTTTCTACAATCTAAGCTAAACAAGTAACTAAAAGAAACAAAACAAAACACGGCGAACTGAACATCCGTGCAGGTGAATTGGGGTGTTAGACCCAATTTACTACACGTCAACGTCCTTCTTCCGCTCCTATCACCCTACCCGACCCTGCCTTTCCCATGTTGGAAGTCCCTAGGATTCTCCCGTGCAGTCGGGATTATTGCAGGTCAAGTAAGAACGAATGCTCAGCGACCTGCAACCAGGTGTAGATCCATCAGAACACTTAATATCAATGAAGTTACCACCCTGAAGATTGGAGGGAACCTGGGAGCAAGGAACGTTGTAGAATCGGACTGTAATTTGGACATCAGTGTCAATTGGTTCGCTCAAGTATCGCAAAACTCACTTGTCTGAGTCAAACTACTCTCGTTGAAGTACGTAGCTGGGAACGGCCCGACATCAAGGTCTCGACATCCTGCACGTCCGGTAACAGTGTTTTGCAGGAAGACCATATCTTCCAAGTTGGGATTCATTCCGTTGTTACCGCAGCTGCCCTCGCCGTAAAAGCCGGCGCGTATGCGCGGGGCACCTTGGCGGGAAGAGAGGCTGCTGGGGGCGGCGTTGGCCGCCATGGTGGCCAGGAGAGATAGAATGGCGGTGGGCTGCATGATGGCTGGTGAATGAACTTAAAAGATGATTTGACCCTTTGTGTGTGGATGCGATAGGTAGCTGCTGTGTTGTCGACTATCAGAAACGAACGAAGGAGGCCATCTTTATACATACGTTGATTCACACTCTACTTAGCATTTTATACGCCCAAGACAGCTTCTGATATTGTAGCTACTGTACCAACTTCCCAAACGTGCAGTCTGTTCGCCATGAAGGACTCGTAATGATCACCTCGAGACCTATTGTGGTGAATCTGTTAGTAAGATCAGCCGGATATGATCATAAGCTATCGCCCCAGGTGACCTTTTCTGTAAGAGTAGCAGTTTCGTATGGTTCCAACTCGTCATTAGTTGGGGTATAACATATGATGTTCTGGCGTTAATATGAGCTCGTGCTGCTAAAAGGTCTTGCTCGTCGGTGTGTTGTTGCGGACGCCGCGGCCAGTTTCGGTATAAAAAGAATGCGCAAACTTCCTATCTCATAAATTCGACGCGTTGCAATATCCTAGAAGAACTTTCGTACTGACTGACGCTCGACTTGTCGTCTGATGTTTCGTTTGTGTCTTGTTACTACGTTATTGTTACGATCATATCAGTGCCACTGCGACCTTTCCGCCAGACTATAACAACTATCCAACAGGGTCTGCTTCTCGCCTGAAACGAGCCTGAATCATGATATCTCAATTATCCCCCGACATACCAAGGCTTCTAGTGTTGTAGTCAACAGTTGTCAGCTATAGGCTATCGTTATACCTAGCGTTGGCCCAATGTCCTTGCAGACGTACATCTTGCCCAACTTCACGCCGCAACATAAAGACTTTTCAATACACACACGGGGGCGACCCCAGAATCTTCAATTTATATCAAACGAGTGACTAAGAAGGCTAGTAAAATAACACCCGCAAGACAAGACCGGAGTGTTGGACCCGACTCATCTGACATTTCCCCTACGACTTGTCATCCTTCCATCGCCATGATCAGATCGACGACTTTAGGCCACTGCTATCCTCTCAATTTTAAAGAAAATACCAAATCAGTGTCTTATTATGTAAGGCTACCTAGATGGTAACCCAAGAGCGAATAGCCAAGTTTTGGCACCCAGGAGTCTGACCGGGCTTGATATCGACAAAGTTGCCACTCGTAGTAGACGTGAGCTGGGAGCAAGGCAGGTTAAAGAATCTCACTTTGTTCTTGTTAGCATAATTCTCTTTCTACGCCCTGCTGCATATCACAACGTATTACGTACCAGTTCTGCTGAAGTTGTTGATATCAAAGAAGGTGCTGGGAAAGGGCCCAACAGTCAGATCCTGACATCCGGCCAGTCCTACAGTGTCCGACTGCAGGAAGACAGTGTCCTCTGCCCAAGGGGAGGGGCTGCAGCCGCCATCACGATAGAAGCGGGCATAGACACGAGCAGCGCCTTCCAGCTGACGCTTCTCCTCTAGTTCGACGGGGGTGGCGCTCACTGCGAGGGAAGTGGCGAGAAGGGCAATGATAGTAGTGAGCTGCATGTTTGAGGTCTGATGGGAGGTGTTTGGGGGATAGATTGATGAGGAGGTAGGGAGATGAGATAAGATGAGGTGATGTGATGTGATGAGAGAGGTTGTGAAGATGGGGCATACGATGCTTGCTTTATATGTCTTGTTAGAATGCATATACTTTCATCTAGCGATCGTTCCATAGGATCAGGCATCACTCATGTTACGTATTGCGCTGTTCCACCAACTCTAGGACGAAGCTTGACCCCGATCGTGTAGTTGGTGGCTTGCATTGCTCTAATTGAACTCGATCGAACGTAAGACATACGATCTTGTTGAGATGATCTAGGGCCTTCACAGGCTGTTGCGTGAGCTGAGAGGCGACATGACATGAGAAGTATCATGTTAGTGGCTGGTGGTTGGTGGACGTATACGAGGCAGCAGTTTTGAGGTTCTCGTATGTGGACTAGGATTCTATGACACATTCTAGGTACTGGTCGCGAGTTTCCTTCGGTTGGTGTAGACTGCTTGTCTGTTGCTTACATAGACGAACAGGCTTTCCAAGCACTCGATCTACTGGTACCACACGATCCTGCAGGTAAGCTGATCAACGACCGTGCATGCATACACGTTCACGTGCGCCCGAAGATGCTTGGGGAATCCACAACTTCAGTCTTGACGAGTCGAGTATCGCTTAAAAAGTCAGGGAAAGCTAAGCATTTACTTTGCATTCCAGCCAATGCATAACTACACTTTCCATAACCTGGAATACCGGGTTGCCCCGAATTGTTGTATTCTACCGTAAATGAGTGACTCGAAGGATCTAGAATAGCCTCTTCCAACTCTAACCACGCTGTGATGTGAATCGGAGTGTTGGACCCTATTCACATCATATCACACTGCCACACGACAAAGCTTTCATCGTTTTTCTTCGCTGACTGATTTCTCATCACCCCAGTTCGTCTACAAAGTGACATAAGACTTAAGTGTCAGCGTCTGGCAACCGATCGAGCCAGGCGTAATATCAATGTGATGTCCGCTGTCAACAGTGGCGAGTTGAGCGCAAGGGAGGTCGTACAAACGGACTAGCCATCCCTTGTTAGCTTCTCGTAATCTATTTTCGTTGCCATACTGCAAAAGCGTACTTGTCCTAGTGAGGCTTCCAGTCTCATTGAAGTAAGTGCTAGGGAAGTTGAAGCACGAGGGCAAATTCATGCACGTGCTCAGGCCGGTGGCGGTGGTGCTCTGGAGTGGATCGTAGTCATCGCTGTAGGAGCTGCCGTCGCGGCCGCATCCGGTGTCACGGTAGACTGGAGGTTGATACGAGGGTTAGTCATGTGCCCCTGTAGCTTTTGTATGCGTGGGGATATCACGTACAGGTGGCGCGAACGTGCGGGATTTCCTGACGGACCTCAATACCGCTGGTAGGCACGGCGGTGGTGGTCAGGGCCACGGAGACAAGAAGGGCGGCGAGGGCTGTAAGTTGCATCTTGGCGATCGGAGTATTGGAACCTGATAGTACTATTGATCGAATGTATAGATTACTGTAGCAGGGTTGGCCTTTCTAGATCGCGGCCAAGCTCTGCTCTATAGGAAAAAGGCTATGCCTCCGATGAGCTCAGCATGTTGTCGCTACATTGACTTCCGTTACGTGTAGCAAGCTCCCTTCTTTCCATGAAATGCTACAGAGGCTCTAAGCTTGGAATATTTCCAATCCTTCAAGTTGGTGGCGCATCTCTTTCGGCGGTGTAACATACATCATTCCATGGTGAAAGATCTTGCTAATGCCTTTGCGGAGGTGAGATAAGCCGCCAAACAAAAGGATTTCGTAGATTCGAGACAGTGATATTGGCGGCTACTCATCCGATGGAACACGCAACCGTCCTTACTATCACGTGGGTGTATAGAAGATGAGGTTATAGCTCGTATTTGTGCTCGTGCTAGCAAAACTCTTACTTGCTTATGAACTCTCTCTTTTCCTGTTGTGCTGATGGTGACCAATGTCTATGCTTGAAAGGCGGCAAGCACCGGCTGTGGATAACCAACACGCTACTTACTTCGCGTTTTTATGCTTGATGTCTCCATGGAGAGAATACTTGTTGTTCGAAGACAGTAATCGGGTCCTAGGTATAACTTGTACTTTCAGAGATGTGATGAGTACCTGGTATCTCTCGATTGGCTAGTGCAGGACACATAAGGAGGCTAATTTTGCGAAGCGAAGCGGAGCTCACCGGTAAGGTCTACCAGTATAGAGCGAATTACAGACGGTCAATGTTGGTGGTGACAAGTCGTGGCTAAGAGGCGTTTTAGAGATGTCTCGCTTACGTCGGTGCATATAGCGAGTAGAAAGTGCGGCCAGCATCTGGGCCGCGCCGTAGCAAGTCACCCACCATCCGCTGTAAGCTGACGGGTGGCACTGCTGACACCCCGATCAGCCAACAGTATCTCATCAGCATTGATCAGGGATGCGCGTGGGACACCGGCGAGTAGACGCACGAGCGGCCCGTTCCACTGTTCATATCCGGGTAAAGGCTTGCCAACCGAACACTCGCTTACTTTTACTGTTGGCTGGCGCTGTATTAGTCTTCATGGTCATGGAACGGGTCTAGAGGACCACAGATAAAGCCGTCGGTGGTGGTGGTGGTGTATCATTACGTTCGTACACCCAACTGGTATCGCATGCCCATCGAGCTCGATGCTAGAAGACAGCAATCTTCGGCAATGGCTTGTTCTTCACTTGCTCAAATGTAATTCTTCTAGCCCACACCAACTCAGCGCTTTCCAATCTATTCCGGGAGTCGCTTGATATGCTGTTAGTCGTATATCCTGCGACTTCTGCGTATATGAATGCGTCTGAGATCCGTATACGATCGGCGGATCTCAGTCGTCGAACTGGCACCGGTTTTCGAGTGATGGTTTTCGCATCGAGCTCTTTCCAAAACCCCTTGTGTGTTGTCTGAATAACACCAGAGGTAGCGGTTGGAGCACTGGCCGTGCGCAAATGGTGTCGACTCTGACCTTGAATGCGTTCCGAGCCAGGTATAGGTGTACCATTCTTGATAGCATGAGCGATTTCACTAGGAGTAGCTCTTTCGCTCCGATGGATACCTCCAGAGAAAAGGTCATCACGGCTTTCAAGCCCGTTAGACCCACTTCGTGAACTGGAACTTAAGGAGCTCAGGCGAGTGGGACGAGTAAGGGATACGGAGGAGCGCGCGTATTGGCTTCGACAAGAAAACTCAGCGCTGTGTATATGGGCATGCGAGTGCGTAGATCGCAGAGTTGACCTGGGACCTTCAGGGTGAATGGCACGCCATGTAGACATCGAATAGTGGGCTGGTCCGAACAAAGGTACAGACTCAGGGTTTCCAGCAATGCCGGATAGACGAGGCGGACGCGTCAAAGAACCACGATGTATGGATGGATGGAATGAGTGAGGTAGAGTATCGACCGACGAGTTGCGATGCGACGTTATATAAGCAGAAGGTATGGGCGGCGGCGCATGAGGCGAAGTAAAAATCCTGAAATCCGGTGAGTGAACTCGGGAGGGAGCGAAAATGATCGGTGGTACCAGACCGTTACTTGGAATTATTGTGTCGAACGGTCTGGTCCTACGTATTGACGCAGACCCGTGCCGGTCGTGGATGCGCTTCTCAGATGTCCATGTTCGGTTTTCTGTTGGGGATGGCCCACGGGAAACATAAGGCGAACGCGATATGTTTGCAGGCTTTTGATAGCCGTGCTTGAACAGATGAGCTTCGAAGGGACGATTGACAACGGCAATTACCCCAAAGAGAACACATGACGCAGTTCTAGTGAAATAGTTAAACTCCGCTCAAGCTCCAGAGACAATTTCCACGTACAGCGCGATGACTGCGAACGCGATCCCAACACGGCTACTCAAGCAAGTAAAGCCGAACTCCCAGCCTTGAAGTCCAGGCGCCTCGTCCAAGCAAGTAGGTCTTCTCGCAACGATGATCATGTTCCATCCCGAAGTCAGTAGCCAAAGAACACATAACGAAACCACTAGACGAACGGCAACGTAAGAATTCTTGGCAGCGGAAGTACGTCGCTGTTGTTGTTGCTCCCATATCTTTTGTTTGAGGGAGAAACCCGTATGGATGAAAGTGTACACGATTGTCGCGAGAGCCTGGGCAGTTTAGTCAATATCGGCCTTTGTCGCAAGGTTCGTACTACATACTGAAGTTAAAGTCAAGACTACTGGCGTGATGTTCGTTTTATCGCGCGGATCTGATATTATCTGGTAGAGTGAAGTGACAAGACATATAATTGCACTCCACATCAGTACATTAAGAAGGAGCGTGATGCAGATAAGAGTGATTTTTCGACGCGAAGTCCTAGGACTATCAACCGTCTTGGTCTCCGGCTTGGTGCGTGGGTGATCAGCTTCGCTGTAGCTGTCGTACGATGTAGCCATGCGATCAGTGATAACTCGCAAGCGAAAGAAAGACAGAATTGTCAATAAGCATGATAATGGAATGTTGGGGAAGGTGTGGCTAGGGTGTAGCTGGGTATAGAACGCCTGAATAAGAAGCAATGACGATTGTGATTCTCGGGAAGATCTTGGATAGAGCCTGAACGTCTCACACAAGCAACGTCTCAGAGACAACGCTACCTGCTTCGAGCGACTGGTCCGTTCGCGCAACTCGGTTCTGTCTTCGATCTAATTGCCCTTGTGACAGCAAATGGAAAATTTGTGTAACAAAGCGATGTCGGGAACGCTCTTGTTGGCGCGAAGATTCTCTGCTCAACCACGTACATCCAACAACCTACGACATCTACAACGTTTCAGCACCGCTCGGTTGCACAACGTCTCCCAGTTATATGACATGAGAGCATCTTTAAGCCGACGGATTAAGCGGTGGAAGGGTGCCCGTGTTCGCAGAACTTCCTCACTGCATGCACAATGCATTCATGCAAGAGCGCTAGTGAAGGATGGATTACCCCAGATAAATTGCCCGTATAGTAGCACCGGCAATGCAAGTCAAGAATCGGGATCCGGCAGATTTGCGGCAAAGTCTCGGGGTTTTCTTTGTACGTGCATCGGCAGCAACGTAGCAGCCGCAGCCGCAGCCGCAGATGCAGGTGCAGAAACGGTTCGATACCGCCAGCTGTGATCGTCGATCATACGATGATAGAACTAGTGCGAACGGAAAGATGTATGGTGCTCGGCGCTGGTGTTTCGGCGTATTGGAGCTCGGAAGGGCGTGTTCCGTGTGTGCCTGAGGTTGAGGTGGAAGTTTCCGTGTTCAAAGAAACAGAAGCAAAACGAGGAGGAGGATCAGGACGAAGATGAGGACGCCGATGCAGCAGCTGGACCATGAATCTAGAGAAATTGATCAGCAACGCCCGTTGAACGGATAACAAGTATCTCACCTTCGTTTTGCTTAATCACCCAGCCGACCTTTTTGAGACCTGTTTGAAGCTTTCCACCAACTCGGTCTGCCACGTTGTCGACATCGGTGAGTAACTCACCCTGTTCCTCAAGCTCACGACCCATGTCGTCGGCTTGCTGTCGCAGGTTGCCGACAGTGCGGAAGACGCCGTCGAGGGCCTCGTCCTGCTCGTGCATCATCTCCACTTGTCTTTCCTGCTCAAATGCCGCATAGTTGTCTTCATCCTCAAACGAATCCGGATCGGGCAGAACATCGCCGTTGGCTGCGATTTTGCCCTTGTTCTTCGCGTGTTGGACTGTCTGCTGCAGCTCCTCGCGCATGTTTTCGATCTCATAGCCAACGTCTTTGACCAGAGTTCTGCGTCGCTCAACTTCATCAATTTCCAGGCCGAACCGATAAGGGTCATGCTCCACTGCCTTGACGCTCTCTACTAGGTCCTCGAGATCTTGGCTGAGGTCTTGGAGTGTCTGTTCAAGTTCGCTACGCGCTTCTCGGAGCTCGGGACTGTTTGCCGATGAAGCCGAGGAACGAATACGTAGATACGACTTGAAGAGCGGTCGCGCGGTGTTGAGGGCGGATAGCACGTCTCTGGGTCAAGTGTTAACGAAGATGCCTGAACCGCAACAGGAAGCCGTCTTACGCCTGCACCTGGAGGAAAGGGTCCTCGTCATTCTGTGATGACATCATCATGAGCTATGCGACACGAATTGCCCCTCCAGAATATAGTCGTGAAGCCAGATGGGGGTGATGAAGCGTGGGCGATAATGTTGGAGCGTGTCGATAACCTGTCCCCTACAAGCGATGACGCGCCTCAACACCTCGGCACGGACCCACCTTCCCAAAAAAATCACCCACAATGAGTCGACAACTCCACTACACCTTCTCCATGGCGCACTCACCAAGACTCTGGATACGCACAAAGAACACTCTCCGTATAAGAGAGATTGGGTGATACAATGGGTCCAGACACGCCTCTCCCCCTTCCCTCCGAATTTACCGATACTGAAGAATACGTCGAGTCCTTGCTGAACTTGACAACTTCCTCATGGCTGCTTCAGACGCTATGTGGAGGTGTCCATATACTGGATTTCTACACTAGATCACCTGATCTCTACTCCCACATCCTGCCACAGTCATGGAGAGACTGGTTCAGGACGCAAGATATCATGGACATCTTGGACCTCTTGATGAGAGAAGACCTCAGTCAATTCGACTCGGCAGGAGAAACTAACGACAAGACATGGCGGGATGGCCCTGCACCACCAGAAGAACTGCTACAATACATTCGGACTGTGCGAAAACATTTGTTGGCCCGTGACTTTCCTCCACCCAACTCCGGTCTAGAGCCTCAAAAGGCTGCTATATCACGTCACATCGCAACCGGGATGAAAGTCAAGAAGGTGCACGAGGTTGACAATTTTGCGCGTTACATTGACAGACTCACCTCTGAGATAGCGCAGTCTGATAAGAAACCAATTACCCATCTTGTGGATTTCGGCTCAGGCCAGAACTATCTCGGACGCGCACTCGCTGCTCCCCCTTACTCTAAGCATATCGTAGCTGTAGAGAGTAAGCAGCATAATATAGAGGGAGCGAAGAATATGGATATCTTAGCCAAGCTGGTGGCAAAGCCTATCGTCATGAGGAACAAGAAAGAGTACCGCGCGAAGATGGGCAAAGTGAAGAAGGACAAGAAGGCTGAAGGAAACGAACCTACGACATCAGCCGATGTACCGGTTTCAGTTGTCACTAAGGAGGACGACTCAGGAATAAACGGACATGATCAGGAAGCCCCATCTAACTCACCTACCCAAGATGCTGCTCTAGCCCCAACACCCCAGAACAGCGCGAACTGCGATGAGGATGGCTGCACAGTTCCTCTGGTGTCCCATGTGAACTTAACCCCTGCGCTTCCCGGATCCACGTCCGAGGCGAGCGGGCTTACAGATCAAGTTCCGGCTACCAAAACTTCTACGCTACAGATATACAACGAAGGCCATGGTAGCGTACAGTACGTAGAGCACATCATCAATGATGGTGATCTAACGCCCGTTATCGACCAAGTCCTGGACAGCTCACGCGTACCCGACGAGGTTGTAAGCTCGGAGACATCTGTAGTCGCTGAAGCTACCGACTTAAACGCTGTACCGAAACCAAAAAAAGTAAACGCAATGGTCATTTCATTGCACTCGTGCGGCAACCTTGTCCATTACGGACTACGTTCTATGCTTCTCAACCCACATATCTCCGCGGTAGCGATGGTAGGGTGTTGCTACAATCTAGTCACAGAACGTCTTGGTCCTCCCACCTATAAGCTACCTACGCTTCGTCCCAATCATCCACGCCTAGAGTCTACTTCTAAAGCCTTCGACCCGCAAGGGTTTCCCATGTCAGAAAAACTTGCAAACTACCCACTACCACATGCGCCTTTGGAATCTTTCCATGATGACTCGAAAGCAGACGGTGACAAAGCTAAACAACCAACGGGTGTACGTCTCAATATCACCGCCCGTATGATGGCCGTACAAGCACCTTTCAACTGGGGTGTGACAGACTCGGAACTTTTCTTCACTCGTCACTTCTATCGAGCTCTGCTCCAGCGCATCTTCCTAGATCGTGGTGTGGTCTCCGCACCCTTGGACGAGCAAGGGCTTGTTGGTAGTGCAGTCTCAGCTAATGGCCACACTTCGCAAGTGAACTGGACGCCACCAAATGGCCTTGGTCCTGGCCTCTCCTCAGATGGTACTACCACGCCCCTCACCATCGGCACTCTACGCAAATTCGCCTACAGCGATTTCGTCTCCTACGTTCGTGCCGCGCTAGCAAAACTGACCACGGAAAACTCTTTCTGTGAGGTTGATCCAAATTTCATTAAGGAGAAGATGGATGGGTTGACAGATGACGATATCAGGAACTACGAAGTAAGCTATGCTGAGAGGAAGAAGGAATTGTGCGTCATGTGGAGTTTGATGGCCTTCAGCGCTGGCGTAGTGGAAGCTGTCGTGGTCACGGATCGATACTTGTGGCTCAAGGAGCAGGAAGAAGTCGAGCATGCATGGGTTGAGCCAGTATTTGAGTACAAGTACAGCCCGCGCAACCTTGTTGTCGTGGGCATCAAGAAGTAGAGCCATATACCCAGCTTTCGTTAACGGGATAGTGGGTTGTACTAAGACTCGAACAGTCTGATCATACTGAGTCGGTCATGAATCCATTGCTAATGCCGATTATTGGCATTATCCTGCGATTGTGATGATGTCTTGCCCTGACTGAAACACTGGTGCACAAATGCTACGGCCATTGATTCTCGTACTGCATACCGACGAGCGATGCGCCTTAGGCATACAAGGCGCCCACACATACTTGACGTCATATCCAAGGTTTCCAAGTCGGCCGGACAATTCGGCGCGTTCTCACCCCACAAAGCGATTCGGCGTGCCGTTGCAAGACACTACCTCACCGGTGTGCTGAGGCTGTGCTGTATGGATGGGACGATTGAAGCGTCCAGCCAATCTCATCTCGTCACCGGATCATGCGTTTTCAGTGGGCGTCCCTAACGCTTGGCACAAGAGGCGCGCACAGCGGGGAGAGAGAAGTTCGCTACCAAGAACGGTCGGGGAGTACGAGCTGTCACATGGACCTTCAGCCTCACGGCTACCGATACCAACGAGTTCACAAGTCAGAAAAGCATGGAACACCAACATCAGGGTCCTAATTGCGAATCGCAGCGCCGCACAACAGCGGCGCCACAAGGATTTAGCCGCTACGAAGGAATACGCTTGTCCCGCTTACCCGTGCACCCCCACTTCTATCCTATGCTCTTCCATCTGATTTGCCCACCACACCAAAACAGCCACAACGCCAGCCTACTTTGAGCGACATCTACAAGGCACAGAATTCGCAGGGCCCTCATAGCCAAGACTCTAAACAAAGCGCGGCGGACGCACACGAGATAAGAGGCGTTTTTAGGCAGCGGCGCCTACGGGTTACGGCCTTAACGGGTAACAAGGCTATGCTGTGTGCGTTGTGATTAAGACGGCAATAGTGCCCACGTGTTGAGGTTACTTTCTTGTTTTATCTGGAGTTGGACTGAAAAAGGTGGGTTGAGGAGCGCGTACAACGAGACCGAAGAGGCACTTTTTGACAAGTATTTGTCTTATAGAGACAGTCATATCAGAGCGGTCTACGAAACATCAGTAGAAGTAAGGTCTACAAAGATTTACGACTAGAAGTGACATTGGAGGCCACTGCTACATTCAGAAAGAGAAGGACAGAACGCAAACCTTGAAACCTTCTTTACTACTCGACAAGTCACGTCTACGACACTCGCACGTGTGATACCGTTCATATTGTATCGATCCGTATCTATATCCACCTTTTTGGACATTGCATCATATATCCCGCATTCTTCCAAGAGCATGAGGTCCTTCATAGCGCTCTCAGCGCTGCTAGCAGTTGCAACAGCACAATCGGTCACAGCCACAGGCGCCTCACAGTCGTTCGACATCCTACCAACATCGATGCCGACGCCATCGTCAATAGACGACATTGACCTTGACCCCACGACCACAGAGAATGTCTCTGGACCGATAGAGACCGACCAGGCCTGTGGGGATATAGCCGAATTGGTGGCGGATGAATTCTCAGAGTTCCCAGTCGTGGATGCTGCACTAGCATACGCATGTCTCAAGTCACTGCCGTTCTACTCAACCGACGCGTCTTCGACAGTCGATGAGATCAAGAAGATGGTGGAGTTCCAATCGACGCTCAACTACCTCAAAGACCCACCAAAAGGATGGCCGAACGAAGCCGTTGATATCGTCGCTGGCCTAGACAACATCAAGAGCAATGTCGAATCTGGACAATATAGCAATGAATACGACTTCGAAAACGACATTGCATCTTTGATGGTCAAGGCGCACGATGGACATCTCGGCTGGAACGGTATGGCATACGCGGGAGTCTTCAGATGGCGACGAAGCAGCGCTTTCGCTTTGATCTCCGCATCAAGAGACGGTAGCGAGTTACCCCAGATCTGGGCTTTGGAGGACTTCAATGGCACTGTTGATTACGATCCGTCGCCCGTTACACAAATCGACGGAAGAGATGTTGTACAGTTTCTGACGGACGAGGCGGTTCTGAACTCTTACCATGATCCGGATACGCGGTACAATGCCATGTTGTTCTCGCAATCAGCAGAGAACTACGGGTATTTTACCAGTCCGAGGTTTTACCCCGGTGCTACCACCAATGTCACATTTGAGAATGGCACAACCGATACGTACAGTAATGGTGCTATTGTCTTAGATGCTGAGAGTTGGAGCTATGTCAGCGATGCCGATTCATTCTATGATACGTACATTAGACCTGAGACGAGCTCAACGAGGGTCAAGAAGAGGGATCCCACTAAGCCGCCCCTACATTTGGAGAACCCGCGCGATCATGAGTTCAGGGGTACTTTTGCGCAACAACACGGTTCTGTGCCATTGCTTTACCCAGATCCGGTTGTTGTGCACTCGGCAGATGAAGTGCCTTTGGCCGGTTTCTTCATCAACACTGGTGCCGGCGAGATCGGCGTGCTTGTAGCGACGACGTTCATGACCGTGGATGTTACGAGTGCCCAGGAGTTCCAAGCCGTAATCCAGGAGTACATCTCACAGGCTCAATCCCGTGGCGTAGAGAAACACATTATCGATTTACGTGCCAACAATGGTGGTAAAGTACTTTCAGGATATGACATGTACCTGCAATTCTTCCCGTCCCAGGAACCGCAAACTCAAAATCGGTACCGCGGACACCGAGCCAGCGAAGTCTACGGCGAGAGTCTTTCCAGCTTCGAAGAGATCAACCTACTCAATGCTGAACTCTTCACGAGCCCCTTCAGCAACGACGCCTACCTCTCTTCTACTGGCGAAGATTTCTCGGACTGGAAAGCCATGTACCCACCCGAGCGGTTCAACGACGACAAGTTCACCGCTCTACTCAAATACAATCTGAGCGACCCACTGACAACGAGCAACGAGCGCACCGCCGTCGGTATAACCATGACAGGCTACAACGAGCGAAGCAATTTCACCACGGACCCATTCCGTGCCGAAGACATCATCCTACTAACCGACGGCGTCTGCGCCTCAACATGCTCCATCTTTACCGAACTTATGGTCCAACAGTCTGGCGTACGCAGCCTAGCCATCGGCGGCCGCCCAAGCCTTGGTCCAATGGTAGCCGTCGGTGGCACAAAGGGCACCCTAGTGCTCCCCAGCCTTTACATGGAAGTCCTCTCCGAATACGTAACCGCGCAATTCGCCTCTTCCCGCTCAGAAGCTAATGACTGGGCCGAGTTTCTTCCAACAACCGCACCCATCGCCGTGATTGATGCTAGCGTCAACTTCCAGGATAACATCCGTGCGGGCTTTGAGTCAGCAGGCGTGCCAACACAGTTCCTCAACGACACGGCGAGTTGCCGGATTTGGTATGAGCCCGAGGATTTCTTCAATGTAACGAGGTTGTGGGACAGGGTGGCGGGTGTGGCGTTTGGAAACAACGGAGGCCTGGATGAGGGCGCTTGTGTGGCGGGGAGTGTAACGAATTCAGAGCAGCAGCAGGGCAAAGGAGATTCGAATCCGGAGAGTACGGGGGATGGAAGTGCACAAGGGGGTGACGACGACGAGGATGCGGCGAGTGGACTCAGAGTAGGCTGGATGCATCTGCTTGTCTCAGTGGGCGCTGTTGCGCTGACTATCTGTCTGATGTAGATGTGGATATAATGGTGTATAGTGATATGCCCTTATTGTTAAAGATTTTCGAACCTCTTGCTCATGTTTACACAAATTCACACTTTTTTTCAGAGATACTTATCTGATGGTTCAACAAAAAAGCCTTGGTCTCGTTTTCTTTGTAAAGCAACCCAATCTGCTTGGCTTCGTTTGCTAGACGTTACAAACATCAGATTGATTACTACATGTATTAAGCGTCCTTTACTTCTACCGCTCTCCGCATTCTCACGTCTATTCTCCAAAACCAACCCGTCCTGCACGCCAGTCTAACACAACATCACGACCCCTGACCGCCGCCCAACCAAGCTTGATGAGTCTTTTGTCATCATGACAAGAGTCCGCATTCCTAGCTAGAAGCATGCATTTTCCTTCTGTAGTCTGCAAGATATACTGTTCGGGTCTGATGATCAACTCGTCATCGTCTTCTTCCTCTTGCTCCGCAGCATGCTCTTCCGTTCCCTCCGCATAGCCCCTTCGCTCAATCCCGAACACCAAGTCAGGAAAAACATTCAACGCTCCACAATCTACATATAGCACCTCCTCTCCCTCTCTAGCTTGCTGCTCGGTACTGGTAGCTAGTAGCAAGACGTCCCAAATGCCCTTCGGAACATGTATGTATGGTGTGCTTAGATCGAGCGTGGCGGATTCAGCAGGCATAGAGATCATACCGCTTTTCCGAATGCCAATGCCCAGTAACGGGAGGTGAGCGCCTAGGGTTGGTTGGAGATGTAGTCGCTGCTGCTGCATCCAGGTGAACTGATTGGCAGCTTGTGACCATGGTTTTGATTTGGAGATTGTGAAGAAGGTGGCGGTGCCGGGGAGTGAGGTGTTGAGGGGGATGCTGATGGTTATAGTTTCCTGAGTGGGTCCTCCAGTGCTGTAGGTGGCCATTGTGTTTTGGAGATGCTCGAGAGGCATGGAGTTGAAGTCATCAGAGGAGATAGGGTAGGTGTAACGAAGACTTTGGTCCAGCTGTTGGGTCGTTAGATCGAGCTGGGCAATGTGAAGTGAGGTTGAGCCCTACTGTAAGGGGGATTACATGTCCAGATGCTGGCTTGGAGTCCAGCAAGGGCTTCTGCTGCAGCAGTGATGAGTCGAGGTGCGCAGCCTCCGCCAGAAGCGGCAAAGATGTGAAGAGTATCTTCCAAAGCATTTCGACTGTAGAGTAGTGAATATATTTCGTGTAGTCAGGCGTGAGCGGCCAAGAAGGACTCTTATTATCTCACACCCGGGCAAGGGGTCCCTTTGGCCACGCCGCATTACATTGCACCTCATCCGCACTATCCCATCATCTAGACCGATTGCGTGTCGGATCACTATATTATTGGGGTCGTGAACCTCGCGGTTGGGTGATTTGCCCTTGTGGCGCCTGCAGTTCCCTTGTGGTTCGTCGGCTGCGATAATACGACCGGGGTTGACTTGCGGCGCGGCTGTTTTTTCTGGGGCGCTCTGCACATGAAACTATAGTTGGGCGCGACGAGAACGAACGCATAGTTGTCTCTTCTCATGTCATTCTAATGGCATGAACTTGTGGGGTCCGAAATGGATTTGGGGAATAGATGCGTCTGTTGCGCTGACCAAAATAGTGACGAATCATGAGACAACAAGTGATATGTTCATCGGGGAACTGGCCTTTGTATGTTCGCACGACCCAGGCTTCTCTCATGTCCAGATCGTAGTCGTGATATATGGCTTTCTTTTAAAAAAAGAAAAAAAGACGTGTCTCTCTCTTTGCAACAATGAATTCTTCTCTGAGCAGACGTAGATTTGAACGCGAGAAGGACGTCATCGTTACATGGACGTATTGGAAACATATGTTGTATCAAGAATCTTGAAAAAAAAAGTAGCAAAGCTTGAGAGGTTGGTTGCTCACGGCATTAACGGCTAACAGTGAAAGCTTTACCTCTCGTCGCAGAAGTCTCGACGTCGTTGCTTGTTGCCGCAAATGACCGTCTACCACCAGTATTGGATGGGTACCCTACAAAGTACGATTATTCAGGGCACTGAAGACGCAGCATCCTTCAATTCGAGAACCTTCTTGTTCGTAAAGCGTCGGTATATCCACGGTAATGTGTCGTATTGAGAGACGCTGGTGGACTAGAACGACACGCATCGGAAACAACCAACCGGTCGGATCATCTCCGGCGCCGTGGGTGCCAATGTTGGGGCCCCAGCTGCGACAGCTGTCACTCTGCAACCTCGGAACCCACAGACCTGGCAAACATCACAATTCACCTATCGATGTCATCAATCTGTATGCCTAGGTAGATGGATAAGCTGCTTTTTTGCCCGAGACTACGCTTCGGATCTCCACGGGCCGCAACAGGTGCTGTCAGCGACCCGGCAAACATGCCGACCAAGACGATGGGAACTAACCATAGCATCACGATTACAGGTGGAGCCTGTGCATGGCTGCAACTATGTCGTCAGCAAAGGCCTTTCCACGGTACTGATCCCTCTGCAGGGCTCCTCCGGGAAGCGATTCTGGCCGTCATTTCCCTTTCGAGGGCCAAGCGCTCTGCCGTTTCATGAGCTCGCGATCGCCTCCAGCGACCGCGAGTTGTCCTGCAACGAACGAACAAGTCTTGATTCTCTCAACGAGGCTGTGTAAAGCGGCGGGAAATCAACGGACGCGCAATTCACTCGCTATCAAGCATGCTCATGCCAGTCATTGGCTTTGTTGCCCCTGACCAAGGCTCGGCGGGCTTCTGCTAATTCACCACTATGGACTTGGCTGCTTGGTCTCCGCGACTCCTGCGCGCACGCCAACACTCATCGACTTGGCGCGCAGCGGCGCCAGACAAACCATGAGGGTTGGCAAGTTCCACATGTAGCACTCGGGGGTACCCAAGAAATTGCTCTGTTGCCGCTTCAAATACTTTGATCATCCCGGCTTCTACCTCAACAATCGCATGTTCTCTGTGTGAGATTTACCTTTCCTACTTTACCAGTCACTCGTTAGACTTCCAATCGCTCTTCTATTTGCCTTTTAATTCTACTTCTTCTCCTACTCCAGCCATGAAGGCCTGTGTCGTCTTCTCCGTCCTGGGGGCCGCCGTTGCCCCAGCATTCGCCAGCGTCGTTGCGCGTCAATCCAAGGGAAACCTACCACCAGTCACCGTTCGAGGCAATGCCTTCTTCGCCGGCGATGAGCGATTCTACGTTCGCGGTGTCGCCTACCAGCCAGGTTCGTCATTGCGGGACAGTAACAATAATAAGCTACAATACTAATGCATCACAGGTGGTGCGGCCGACGCAGCCGACCCGCTGCTCGACCTGGAGGGTCTTGCACGCGATGTTGAGAACTTCAAGTCGCTCGGAATCAACACCATTCGTATTTACACCATCGACAACTCTCAGAACCACGACGAGGGCATGAAGATGCTCGACGACGCTGGTATCTATCTGGCGCTCGATGCCAACACCCCCGACTACTCTCTCAACCGTGAGAATGAGGACACCCTCCACCGCTCGTACAACGATGTTTACCTGCAATCCGTCTTTGCCACCATCGACGCCTTTGCCGGCTACAACAACTTGCTCCTCTTCTTTTCCGGAAACGAGGTCATTAACGCGAGGAACAACACCAACGCCGCTCCTTACATCAAGGCCGTTACTCGTGATATGAAGCAGTACATCTCTAACAGGCACGACCGTGTCATCCCCGTCGGATACTCTGCTGCTGATGTTGCTGAGAACATCGAGGCCCAGGCTCTCTACTTCAACTGCGGTACCGACGACGAGCGCTCCGACTTCTTTGCCTTCAACGACTACTCCTGGTGCGACCCTTCGTCTTTCACCCAGTCCGGATGGGATGCCAAGGTCAGGACCTACAGTGACTACAGCAAGCCGATCTTCCTGTCCGAATTTGGCTGCATCACCAACCAGCGCAACTGGGGTGAGATTGAGGCTTTGTACTCGACAAACATGACCGGTGTCTACTCTGGTGGTCTCGTCTACGAGTACACTGTTGAGCCCAACGGTTACGGTCTTGTTGAGGTCAACGACAACGGCGACATTGAGCCCAACGAGGACTTTGAGCGTCTCGCAGAAGCTTACAAGGCGACTGCTAACCCCAGTGGCGCCGGCGGCTTTAAGGAGAACGGCGAGGCTTCCGAGTGCCCTGCTGAGTCCGATGAATGGCACGTTCAGGGCACCAATCTCCCTGCAATCCCTGCCAATGCTGTGAAGTTCATGGACGAAGGTGCTGGCGAGGGTCCCGGTCTCGAGGGTGATGGCTCGCACTTCGCTGGCGAACCCAGCGAGTCTACTGCTACCCCCGGATCCGGTAACCCCACCCGCTCGCCTGCTCCCGGCTCCACTGGCGGCGCAGGCAACAACGAGGGTGCTGCTGCTGGTCTCGATGTGCCCCTCCATTTCGTCGGCATGATTGCTGCTAGCGCTCTCTTCGGTGCTGTCCTCATGTTCTAAGTGAACCATTGTTAAGAGATGCATATGGAATAGGTGTAGAGCAACTGCTTTCCTTGTTTCTGGAGTTTTTTTTTGACTGCCGTCGTTGGCATTACATATACCTTGTCCGTCATTGCAGGCGTGGGGCTTTTTGTGTAGTAATACATATATGACAATACCTTTTTTCCCCAGTATCCATTCGTGTGAAGGTGAAAGTGATTTGCTGAGAGCAGTGAGTGTTGATGTGACTTTCCTCGACCCCGCTGGCGTGAATGTGGTGAAGCTCCATGCTAGCGGCGTTTGGACCCTGGTTGTCGAAGGCAGCAATGGAAGCTTCCACGGTCGTGACTGCACGATCAACTAGGTTCTTTCACCAACAACTATGAGCAAGTCTCTATAAAACTCCCTAGACCCCCCACGCACCTCGCATCGCCTCTACATCCATTCTTCCGCTCAACAACATATTACCCCGCCATGGACGACGCTCGCAAAGGCGATGCCGCTCTCAGCGCAAGCAAGCCCGACGAAGCGATTGAGCACTACACCAAGGCTCTTTCCGTCAACTCCACCGCCGTAAAATACTACATCGGTCGCGCTACAGCTTACCAGCGTACTTCCAAATATGCCGAATCCCTCAGCGATGCTGAACTCGCCGTCGTCCTTGCGAAGAAACGCGGCTCGCGCGAACTCATCAAGGATGCCCAATTTCGACGCGCCGTCGCTTTGTTCCACCTTGGAAAATACGCAGATGCCGAATTTCTGCTGAAGATTGTGAAGGGACTTGACGAAAAAGACAAGATGCTGCCCATCTGGGAGTCCAAGGTTGCAACAAAATTGAAGGATGTTCCAGAAGACGATGAGAAAAGGAGGGTCAACATCAAGGAGACTCCGGATGTTGAGATGCCCAGCGCACCAGTGTCTACTGCCCCTCCCAAGGCTGAGGCGCCCGCTCCAGCTCCAGCCCAGGCCCCGAAGCCTGTTGCGCCGACCCCTAAAGACAAGATCAAGACCGATTGGTATCAGTCACCCGACACCGTTACGCTTACCATCATGGCTAAAGGCGCACCAAAAGATAAGGTGAGCGTCGAATTCGAGGAAAGAGCTGTGTCGGTCTCGTTCCCTGTCGTCGACTCGTCAGAATACAGCTATAATGCGGACCCTCTCTACGAAAAGATCGACCCCTCACAATCCAAGTACCGAATCACACCCACCAAGATAGAGATAACAATGCGGAAGGCGACCACAGGTATGAAGTGGCATGACCTTGAGCATCCCGATGGCAACATTACCATTACTCAAGCGCCCGATGCTTCCCTTCCTGTTCGTATGAGCAAAGACACAGCCCCCGCGTACCCAACGTCCTCCAAGTCCGGTGCGAAGAACTGGGATAAGGTCGTAGTGAATGATCTGGACGACAAGGACGAAATCGAAGGCGACGAGACGTCACACTTCTTCAAGCAGCTATACAGCGGCGCTACACCTGAGCAGCAGCGCGCCATGATGAAGAGCTACCAGGAGAGCGGCGGCACAGTATTGAGCACCGACTGGAGCAACGTTGGCAACAAGACTGTGGTACCCGAACCACCTGAGGGCATGGAGGCGAAGAAATATTCAGGATAATATACGCCTGGCAGCCAACTTTTATTTGTTCGTCCTCATGACATGACGCATAGCAAGGTGTTTGGGTAGGCAATGGGGTTCATGACCACGTAGACTTAGCGCACGTAGGGTACGACATGGAATCATGTACTTGAATGAAACAAGTACAAATGGGAGTGCCGAGCTTCCTCGTGACTTCGCGTTGTGCATAGGCCGAAGATCCGCGCTGACATTTAGATGGTCCGTAATGGAGGGGCGGCTGCGAGCTGCAGGGTCCCCCCAAACGTCATAGTGGATTGCATTGCAACTTGCCTTCGAACTCCTCACATCATATAAACGTACGACGATGCGACATCCTGCATTACTAGTCCGCTACCCTCTATACCTGAACCTTGAGGCAGGCTGAAGATCTCCCTCGTAAATGTACGCCAGAGCTGTGCGTACGTTGTTGACTTTCCCTAAACCAAACTTTTGTTCATCGGCGACACCCATTCAAATTGCGCGCCCAAGGCAGTCTGACCTTACACGGTTGAGCTCATTGAGAACCATGGCTACCGGGTCGAAAGTCCATCTGGAAGCTTCGCAGAAGCCTCAGTACTATGTCAGCGGATTGAGACCTGAGAGTGCAGAGAAGACAAACCAGTTGCTGCAAACCAACCATGAGGAGCATCACATCTTCTTCAACAAAAGCGGATTTCATGTGAGATAATGACCTTCATGGAAATGTGTCAAGGACTTACAACTCTACCCAGAACCATATCGCCCACCATCTCCTTACCCTATTTGCTCTGAACGCCTCGCCAGAAGAACTCCAAAAAGCCTACGACGCAAATGCAACGTACCAACGTCCGCCTGAGCCTCTCAAAGAGTCTATCGTTGATGACATGCACAAGCCTGAGCGCTTCAAGTCGTATCTTGGAAAGGAGGAATACTACCATGATTTCCTAGTCTACTTTCAGCAAGAGATTGATAAAAACGGCTGGCAAGGCGCACTACAAGAACATTTGTTTGCCGAGACCGAACACGCAGACGACATGCTAGTGCGCATGTATGCCGGGTTCTTGCATCCCATAATACATCTCGGTTTTGGCATCGAGTTCCAGCAACCCGCAATCATCGCTGAAGCGCTCGCGCAGGCCGCTGTACACGATAACTGGATGGCACCGCTGTTCTTTGGGTGCGAGAAAGCTGCTAAGGAGAGTAGCGGTAAAGATGGGTCTAAGAAGACTATCGTGCAGATACTAGAGGAATGCAAGAAAGATGAGAAGTTGAGCAAAGCGGCGCAGTTTAAAGATGGGAATAAAATTCGAGAAGGCATCTTGAAGAGAGCGCCAGAGGAGATGATCAAGTACGCGACGCAGTATACTGTCAAAGAGGGCGAACTAGAGGAGAAGACTGCGGAGATGATCAACGCAGCTGGTATGTCGCCAACCCATCTCCATACTAACCTTATCCCATGTTTTTGAGTTACCAGCATACTAATACAGAAGCAACAACAGTATACTACACAGCCGCTGCCCAACGTCCACCCCACCAAATCAAATTCGACTTCTTCTACATCCACTGCGTGAACTCCAGCATCTTCTTCTCCGCCTTCCTCTCCCCGGCCTCCTCGCTCTCACCATCCATCCAGCGCCGCCTGCTAGAATGGAAAATCTGGAACGATATCACCATGTACGTGTCGCGCGGTTGTCCACCCTTCCTTATCAATGAGATCACCAGCTACGCGCCCACGAAAGATGGCAGCATGGATGAAATTATCAAGAGAGTCAACAACGTAGAGGATGATGGGCATGCCTGTAAGCTTGTGAGAGCCATTGCTCATGCAGAGACGGTTTGTAAGAACTGGGAGAAAGAGGGGATGTTAATCAAGGGGGATATGTGGAGGAAGATCGGGCATATGGCGTTGGACAGCGTCGAGGCAGGTGAGCCGCACTGGGTAAGAAGTTGTGGGTTTGAGGAGGCGTGGGAGAAGATTCCGCTGAGGGATGGGGTAAAGTTGTGAAGATGACGGAAAGTGCATGGTATCTGTTTGGTATGGTACGAAATATTGAATTGGCAGTAGAGAAACTCATTTCCTCCGCGGAGCACAAAGAATTCCATAGCAACATCAGACAATAGGGGAGAGTGAGATGTATGCTTGCCCCCCAACCGTGCGCGCGCAGTGTTCCGATTCAGAGCTCATGACGTCTTAGACGACTGAGATAGACGGACCGGATTGTAGACGGACAGCTACAAGCAATATGTTTGCGAGAATACAGTTGACACTTCGAAACGTCGGGACCGAACATTAGTAGCAGTGGAAGTAATCGCTGATTCATGTTTAGTCTATCATTCTTTTTGTTTACCAAGTCTTCCTTACAAGAAGTACAAATCAGGGCATTATGAGAAAGGAGGTCGATAAGAGAACAAGACCAGAGAAGTATGTCTCTGGATGCTACGAATGCTAGCTTTTCCCATACTGATCACATTGCTTCCGATCGATTTCGGCAGGCGATACTAAAACTACTTTCTTCTTAGGGATCCATGTTCAGTGTGTACAAGCGTAGACGTTGTAGATGGGAGATGGGAAGCCTACGACACATGCATGACCAGGAACACACTGTTCATATCTCGCCCTCACATCCGCTAGTGGGCATAAAGTACACCATCGTGTTTGTTGCGTTATGTGGGTCTAAACACTCATGCTTCCGCTCCCCTCGTGTGCCAGTGTTATCGATACCCAACAGCCTTCCCCAGGTGTCGCAAATGCACGGCTCGAACAAATGAGGTGGCGGCAGCGCAAAAGCAAAACAGGGACCAACGTAGTCAGCCATACTATCTGTGGAACAGTTGGGCGCAAGCTCGTGGCGAGGATCTGGGTGCGCTATCGATACACAGCTTTTCCTTGCTTTGATCTGCGTGATTTACCACACGAAAAAGGTACACATGATGATCCTTGTCTCACATGCCCGCAACACAAGTCGAGGGTAGCATGAGTTTGACGTTGTTCCAGAAATTCATGCCTTGAAACATTTCAGGCGGGCTCCGAGGGTTGGGCCAATGGCAGCTGCGGGGTACCTGAGCAAAGGCGTGTTTTATAAATCAGCCTGAGAATGTCGTCTGGGATCTGCTATGTATGTCAGAATAGGAGAGAGGGGTGTGAGACGAGTGACAGGTTTTTCTTAGAGAGAGCTCATTTATCCAGCCGCGATGTATCGTCACGATCAAGGGGACGCTACACTCAGCTCCTGCTGCCTTGGTACTCAACTATAGGAGGCACAGATATCGTTCCTGCACTATTCCTGTGTCACGGAGCACCTGCATGTTTTCGTGAGGAGGCTGAGAAGAGGATCAGCTTCGCATGAGCGCAAGAATAGCGCTGGCGAATCATATAGCGGGAGAAAGTCTAACCAGCCGCAGCACATGACGCCTTGGTGAGCGCTACTGCAGGAACGAAAAACCGCTATCGATAGGTTGTATAGAGCCGGGGCGGGAATTGCAGCACGAGGCAAAGGGCCGTGGCGTTTATGCCTTACGCCCAACCACAAGTTGCGCTCCTGAGAGAAGAGGGGTCTTGGAGAAGGTCGTGCGACTGCCGTGCCGCACAAGAAGGGAATGAAGATTCTTTTGGACTACGCGCAGAACGCCTTGTCGTGACAAGTCACCACCAAGCGACCAAGCAGAGTAGCGAAATGGCGAGCAGACGTTACGCTTCGCCGCGTTATTGCCGCGCCGGCTTGGAGGCCTTTGGCGCAATCTCTCCTGCTCCGGGTTTCCGCGCGAATTGAGGTAGAAAGCCGCTCACCGACTAGACGGAGAAAGGGAAGCAGTGGAAGCGTTGTTTTGGTGTCGTGCACTCAGCCGTCAAACAGCCCGGTGGCCAAAGATCAACGACCCCTTCGCGGAAAAGAAAAGGAGTCGGAGGCGTTGAATCATCGCGATGACATGGACACCTTTGCCGACATCCGCATTGCAATTGCGATGTGCCATTTAGTGGGTCGCCATGATGTCGCCGCCGTCAGTGCGGTATTTTGGGACCGTCTGCGAGTGGCAGCTTTCTCTTAGCTTGGAGATTGCGATGCTGCAACGGCGCACGGTTTGCCGCCAATTCAGGTACCCAGACTGCCTATACCAAACAAAGACGACAGGAAGCGATGATTCGGTCTGGTTGTGTCCCGCCGGCCGGTGTTACGTGCAACGACCTACCGAATACGCAGATGAGCAAGGTACGCAGGAGTAGAGTGGATCAACTAAGACATGAGATGGTGAAGCAAAGGCGTGGAAGACGGGAGCGGCGCGGATGCTTCACGATCACCAGCATCATGAGTGCCGCCTCCACAGAATGCGGCTCCAAAGTGCTCGATTCATTTGGCTCAAGCAAGGCTGCCCGCCCTGCGCTGGTACTCTCCAAATCCATGTGATGGATCCCCTTACTGCTATGTTTCAGCTTACTATTCTTGGACTAGCGGCCGGTGCGCAGCGCCTCACGGTCCAACGAGAGCATCGCAGCAGCATCCCAGGGCGTCCCATGCTCCATGGACTAATCTAGGGTTTCACCTCGCTAAACCAAAGCATTCCTTCATCTCCCCTAAAAAGAGCCTCTAGCACTGATCAAGCGTGATAACCGCTCGTTTCCCCATCTCTTCCCGTATCTGCTCTCCTTCTTTTCCCTTCCTTTACCGCGTTCATTCTTTCGCTCTGTCACTCCTTTGGCACAACCAGCAACATTCGCTATCCACCAATCTAGTTGTCTTCGCGACAACGCTACACTCTTTTCTGTGTCTATACAATTTGAAGCTCGGGAGAGTCCAGGAGGCCAAGTGATTCACTTCGTCAACGCACACGGAAACGCCATCGATACTATCCGGACGACATAGTGGAAAAAAGCATTCACCTTTTGTCTCAACAGTTACCCTTATCGCAAGAGTACTCCACCTCCACTTCCACAACCAACCCCAAGCCGACTATACTCTCCACCATGAAGTCTGTCGCATCCATCGCCGCGGCAGCTATGCTGTCCGGCTCTGCCAACGCTTTCTGGCGCATGCCCTGCCACGACCGCACTGCGCTCGCACGTCTCGACCCCATTGTCGACGAAGGAACTGCTTCCTCTCACGCCCACACCATCCACGGTGGAAGCAGTAAGTAAAGACCGACCACTTCTGTCTCGACCCACTCTGCTAAGCGCATGATGAACGAACATCTATTCTGGACATGCTAGGGGATACCTAAACAAGGAGTCCCTGAGCTGTCTAGTTGTGTGCGAGTTGTTCATGCGATAACCTGCATGTGGTTGTCTGAGTCAGGGGCAGGTTCACGGATAACACAGCTTACTAACAGTCGACAGACTTCGCTGAGACGACCACCTATGATATGCTCCGTGAGTCGGAGTGCACTTCGTGCCAGTTCGATGAAGACAAATCTGCCTACTGGACCCCCTCTCTGCACTTCGTCCACGAGGGTGGCAAGACTGAGATCGTCCCCCAGGTTGGCGGTATGCTCGCATACTACCTTCTCCTCGGTGACGACCTGAAGGCTTTCCCCGAAGGCTTCCAGATGCTCGCCGGTGACTCCCGTCTCCGCAACTTCACTGGCCCGGTCCCCGACCCGCCAACCTCTGCCTGGACTGCGGACGACATGACTCAGCTGTCTCTCGGCCAGAAGTCCATTGGCTTCAACTGCCTGAACTACAACAAGGCACCCGAGGGCTCGCGCTACCGCCACTTCATGCCCACCAAGGACTACATGGACGAGAACTGCGCCAACGGTATCCGTGCCGAGATCATGTTCCCTTCGTGCTGGAACGGCAAGGACAAGACCGCCGACGACCACAAGAGCCACATGGCCTACCCCAACATGATTGACGGTGGCAAGTGCCCCGACGGCTACGACACCCGTGTTCCCTCGCTCTTCTACGAGACCATCTGGAACACCTACAAGTTCAAGGACGCGGCTGGACAGTTCGTCTGGTCCAACGGTGACCCCACTGGTATGTTAGCCCCTGTTCTCTGTTCCAAGCCAATCACTAACACGAACTAGGCTACGGATACCACGCTGATTTCATCAACGGCTGGAACATCGACACTCTCCAGTCCGCCGTCACTACCTGCACCAACCCCTCTGGTCGTGTTGAGGACTGCCCTGTCTTCTCTGCCGGTCTCCAAACCGAGTCCGAGCAAGCCACTTGCAAGATCCAGTCCATGCCCAAGATCCTCTCCGTTGACGACTGTGCTGGTCCCTCCAAGGGTCTCTGCGGTAACGTTCCTGTCCAATACGGACCTGAGTACGCCGCGCCCCTTGAGGGAGGAGACAAGGATGACGAGGAGCCCATTACCCCCACCCTTTCTTCTGTCGCCCCTGTGCCCACTCAGTCTTACGCCCCTGCTCGCTCCATGGGTGCTGGCGGTATCTCTGTCTACAACGTTGAGAGCCCTTCCACCATGGTCAAGTCCAGCTCCAGCGCCGCTGGTTACCCCGCTGCGCCTGCCGTCACCCCTCTTGCTGACATCGCTGATGCTCTTGAGGGTGATGACGTTGTCTCTACCTCCACCTACACCAAGGATGGTGTCGTGTACGAGGTTGCCATCGTCGAGGTTGTCGTCACAACTACTGTGGGTGCCGACTACCGCCGACACGCACACAAGCACCGTCGTGGTCATTTCGGCCGCAACTAAGTCTTCTATTTTTTTTCCCAATGAAATAAAAAAGAGACTTTGATGATAGCACCCAAAGCATTCTTCAGCAAACGGTTCTTGCATGCATATCGGCGTTCTCCTACGACTACAAACGACGACAATTGAGGAGACAATTCATCCTTGCTGCCTAGCTTCCAGGTATCCCTTCGCGTCCTCGGACTCCCACAGCGGGGGCCGTGGTGCGCGGGTTGACCTCACTTTTCAAGACATGTAGCTATGGCCAAGGTAGAAACAATTTCTTTTTTGTCTGATTCATACCTTTCTGTACTATCCTGTTTTTTTTTTTGAAGTGTTGGTTTGTGTTTGTTGGGGAAAGGCTGTAGGAAGGCTGCGCCAGATCACAGTTTTGTGTATCCCCTAGGGACAAGAAAGAAAGTGGACCTTAGAAACAAAGGAGTGATGTAGATTTGCGCACGATACCATTGAAACTGTTTTTGCTTTGTTGTAGACGTTATGTTATGCCTTTCTACCTTACGACCCATGGATGACTTCGTAGCTTGTTGGTTCTTGATGGATAAGACCTAGGCGATGTGTTGACAAGTAGTCAGCTATGTGCCTGCGGTCTTGCTCCAGTACACTCCTTTTGACTGATTGACCACTTGTTCAAATGTTTCTTCGCTCGTTACTTATAGGTGACTATTCACCGCCGGCTTTGATGTCGCATACTCACATACCTGTTTGCTGACTACAAAGTGTACTACTTTATGCGGAGACTATTCTCTTAACCTGGTCAGTCAGGATTTATATTCGAGTTCGTTGTTGAAGGGATTATAACCGGACCACGGTTTGGCTATATAGCTTATGGAATTAGCTGATAGCTCGCTGAAATGCTCAACTGTTGGCCAGTGTCTAAGTCGGAACGATCATTTCCTCGCGAGTAGTGCTTCTTATAGGTGATTTCTGGATGCATAGAGTTATCTACACAAAACATTCAAACCAAGTACAACGCGCCATTCATCATAAAGACCGCGGAGGGTTCGTTAAGAGCTTACTGCTGTACGTACATTTGCAGGAGCATCACTATCAACTGCGTCAAGTAGGCTGTATATAAGGGCTATTCGTTCTATTTCCACAGACACCTGAATTCTTTGCTTGACTGGCATCTGCTAGCACTATTAGAACTTATTCGTCTCTTGTCTACTTCACTACCTGCGACACGCAAAACGCGCAGACTATCTGGTGTCACTGTTTTCTAGGCTCCACTTCGGTGACCAAATCTTCCCTACTATAAAACCAAGAACGATCTCCAGAATTCTTCTTCTCTCCACAAGGTCCAGCACCCTACGACACCCCATATTCGAACTATACAATAGACTTCCCCCGCCTCAAGGCCATCGCATCCGACTTCAACTCCACAAGGAACAATGTAAACACCTCGAGCATTCCCTCAAAAATTCCTGGAGATGTTCGTACCAGGCTACAGCATAATAGTCTAGTTGACATCCCGCTATCTGGATTTCGACATCGGCGTCTTCGTCACGGGCTGGCTCGTCCTCCTCGGCATGTACCATGGAGCCGGCTTCATTTACGGCCGAGTATACCACTACTGCATCGTCTACTACACGTCTTCCGTCACTATTGACGAATCTGACATGCTGTAAGTCCACGTCATGAGCTGGATAGCGGTGCAGCGCATGACGACATTCAGTAGGCATCTGACTGCAGCTACACGCTACGTCCACGATGTTGAAGACGTTGACGGTATGGACGATGCGTTGGATGAGCATGGAATTTTCAACTACAAGAAATGGTCGGTTAACATACGGCCAGTACATCAACCGAGTTTCGGTGAGTACGATATTTACCACGGGAGTCGGCGGTTTATTGTTGCGCGTATCAAGAAGGAGCGGACTGGAGGACGAGTGAACGATTACGATTACGATGAGAAAATTGTGCTTTGTTGCATGGGGAGGGGAAACGAACCGATTAAGGAACTGCTTATCCACATTATGAGGTGGAGTCTTAATAAGGCGAGCACGACAACCACAATTTACCAGGCTCTGGATCAGAACGGTCTCGGGAAGCGGTGTTAGAAGCGCTAGTCTAGGCCTTCATCCCGACCGCTCAGTACCGTGTCAATAGACCAGAAGCAGAAAGAGGAGATCGTTGCAGGCATCAACAAGTATGTCAACCCTGCTACAGCGCGTTGGTACGCGACACGTGGCATACCACATTGCCGTAACTATCTCTTTCATGGGCCACCAGGAACAGGAAAGACATTGTTGTCATTTTCATTGGCTGGTATCTTCGGGTTGGACGTGTATTGCCTTTTGCTCAATGACGGCATCTCTGAGTCTGAACTAAGTTCTTTGTTCAACAACCTTCCCCGCTGATGCTTTCTTCTCCTTAAAGATATCGACGCTGTGGGTATTCGGCGTGCGGGTCTTGCGTCTCCTATTGTAATTACGGAAGATACTACAACTGTTCCCGAGGCACCCAAGATCAAGACACAAGACAAGCCAGACAGTATCTTGTCCAAGGCTCTCGGTATTCTCGCATGGCTTCTCACGCTAGTCGGGTTGCCCTTTGGCTTTTCCCACAAATCTACGAAGCAGAAGGAACCAACGAAGACATCCCCCTTTCCAGAGCCTTTGAAGAAATCTACGCATGAGGCAGTTCCGACGGAACTTGGTAAGTCAACATCACCATCAACACCTAAGCTGGCAAAAAACGAGTTTGGCAAGTCACTATCGAAAAGAATAGGTAAGTCAGCCTCAACAAAAGTCTCCGAAGGAAGCCCGGGCTCCATAAGTCTAAGCGGACTGCGCAATGTCACCGACAGTGTCGCTTTCCATGAGGGACACGTGCTCATCATGACCACCAACGCACGAGAAATGCTGGATGATGCCTTGACCCGACCAGGTCGTGTCGATCCCCGGATCGGCTTCACGCTCGCCACACGCGATCAGATCCGCGACATCTACATGCACATGTTCAGCGCCACTACCGCCATAGCCGATAACACTTCTGCGCCCCCGGTCATTATGAATGGTCAAGTACCTCCACAGGCCTTAAAGAAACATGAGTTTCTCGGTATACGTCTTCCCGAGAAGTCGATCGCCGCCACAGTCGAACCGGGCAAGCTGACAGAGATGGCACAGCGATTCGCTGATGCGCTACCCAAGAAGATTTTCTCGCCTGCGGAGTTTTAGGGATATTTGGTGATGCACAAGATGGAGCCAGAGAAAGCGATCGAGGTAGTACGCAAGTGGAACGAAGAGATGCTTGAGGCGAAGAAGAAAGGAAAGAAGGTCGTTGGTCAGTAGGGAGGGGGCAGAAGGGTGTATCGCTCCCAAGTAGCAGCTACCAATAGCCAAAAACATTTTCAGTCGCAATGCTGATGGATGGTACTTGTAGACGAAAGACACGTGTCTTGAGCAGACCTGATAATAGCCTATGTGGTGTAGAGTAAAGGTAGCCAATAAGAACTTTCGATCACCGTGACCAAGCTTGTGTAGTTCGAGGAGTTCATGCGTGTTCATGGAAAGCATCGAACGCATCTCTCACACTAAAGAGATCACGCACTGGTGCATTCGCAACGGATATCGTATGTGCTCTATGTTGTAGCTTGTGCATTGTAATATCAGCAATGTGCTGACTTCTTACCCCTCATATACCAGTCAGTCGTGTGCAAGCAGCACAAGAGACCATCTGTTATGTAGTATGTTTCGGCGAGGCAAGCGGCGGTACTACGATCGTTGGGCTTTGTCGACGAGTTGCTGAAGCAACATGATGATGTATCAAGAGGAATAACCGCTAGGACTGAGGCTGTCGTGGGCCAAAGGCGCATTCGCTGGTATGGGTCCAAGTGTCCAAGCCCTTCGAGATATGTTGGCGTGTAATTTGAGCGAGTTAACAGACTTTCGAGGCACGAGGTTGTTTTGGGAGTATGTTTGTACGATAACGTCTATGTGCGGACTTTCGCCGTGGCACATAATCGGTACTGGTGTTTGGCGCTCAAGGAAGCAACGGGACAAGTACAACCGTCGTGAACAAAATCTGGGAGGTCGCTCATCATCGAACAGAACTGTAGGACCAGCGACTGTGAGGCCCCAACCCTTCCTGGCGCATAGTGCTCTTCGGACTTCCTCGCTGCGCGTCATTAGCACTCCTGTACACTTACGCAAACCCACATTTGCGGTGCGCAAAAGAAATTGGTGGCTTGCATTCTCCCCTGCGGAAGGATCCCAGGCGCAGCAGCGTAATGCACCTTGCTCACTTTCCTAATCTCAGCAAATGTGCAATTATGTCATGTCTGAGCGGCTTTTCTGTCCTCAAGACCGAGCGGCTATGTCATCCTGGGTCCGGAGAGCGTTAAGGATGCACTGGCGAAGCGGGTAGCTCGCCTGATGACGAACGTCTGCTAGGCGAGTTGAATGTGGTGGTGTGTTTGTCGATCGTTTTCGATGCCGATCTATTTCGAGAACAATTTTCCTGTCTCCGTTCTCATAGAAACAAGCGACATGACATCATATGTGAACAGAAGAAGGTGGTCAGCGCTGTATCGACCGGTAAGTGTCTCAAACAGTCGTAGGCAATATTGGATGAGTCTGGAGCATTTTCGAGAAGTGGTAATCGCACTCGGAGCGAAGTAGAGAGGCTTCTTGCGTCAGTCGCATGCCTCCGACTCAGACAACGTCAAACTCCACGCGAAACGTCAGTCAGTGCCGATGCCGATGAACTCGGCACACGCTCCGGATTGAAATCGCTTCCCGGGATAGTTCCACTGGAGGTTTAGCATCCACAGCTGATGCAGACGTGGACCCAACGAGCAACATCATAACCCACAAAAGCGCAAACAGCCGTAGCCCCCTGCATCATCACGAAAATGTAGCGAGCATCATAACGGGGCTCTGTAGATGGGAAGCTGCCTTAGTAGGAAGGACGTGGTGTGGGGTGACCAAATCCGTCAATGAGGATGTAGATCTGCGAGCTGGCATGACGTCCTGCAAGCACGGTTGTAAAGGTACTAGAGCGGTCAAATAGGTCGTGTTTCGATCTTGACACGAACTTGCGATGTACGGCGATGTTGAGTAGAATTCCCAGTGATGAGATTGAGAATTTTGAGATGTGCATTTGGTAGGAGTGTTCTAGACGTAAGGTAGCGGCATCGAGATTTTGGGGAAGGGATCGAAAGGATGTTTCGAAATGGATTTCGGATGTTCGATTCGAAGCTGTCAAAGAGGCAGTAGCTTTTGATTTGACAGGCAGATAATGCAGCATGAAGATCTTCTGTCGTGGGTCACGAATTCTGTCAAATTCTTTAGATTAATTGCACGACTTCAATTGGAGGACAGGGTGATGATCACAGGCCTTGGCATCTAGCCTTTGTGATTTACGGGGTATGCGTGGATCTCCCTTCGAGTGCGTTCCAGCCTTGCGCATGCGAAGTCAGAATACAAGAGATTTACAGTCTCGTGACCCTTGTCGTCGTTGTGCGCTTGAAGGCTCTCTAGGCCACAGCGCGGAGAGGGTGGTTAGATGGCGTCATGATTACACCGGTACCTGCGTCTTCGGTGGCCAGGGCGGTGAATGGGAACCCTGCATGACGATATCTGAGGCTGGAGAGAAGCCAACACGGACAAACGTCAGAAGTGACGATATTCAGCCAGAACATGTTGCCGAGGAGCGGTTACAGTGGAGAGCTATGAACGCAACGGGTGTGCGGTAGCTCGAGACCCTGCTTTTGCAAAAGAGGCGCTAGGTCCGCTTATACATAGCCATGCAGGAGTCCCGGGCTGATCTTTGCTGTATAAGGAAAAGATGACGTTCTCTGGCGCACGGAAACTTTGGGGCGCTGGAACTTGGAGGGATCTTCCACTTTGCTGGGCCGCATATTCCTTGTGGTATGCGAGTTTCGAAGTTGAGCGATGGAGGGCGTCTGACGTCGCTGGGGGGCCGCCGAGATCCAGGAAGCGCGCAAGCAGCCATGCCGCTAAATTTTTGGCATAGGCTTTGCGTCATGGTGGTTGGGCGAGGCATTACAGCTTCATACGGTGACCCCGAAAGTGATGACTCTACTATGGGGAGAAATAGCAAGTAAAACATGCGAAGTGCAGAATTGCCGCTCGGCGGCTCTCAAGAGAGACATTGCGCAGGTGCAGCCATGTACCGCCTGACCCTTAACTCGTAACACCACTCAACAGACGCGGTACGCTCGTCCTCCGCTGTCACTGGCTAGATAGCCTTGCTGCTAGAGAAGACCCCTAAACAGTCTTCCAGGGCCCCCGTCATTACCGACATCATGAGCAACGTCGTGATCTCTAAGCACTTGGCCCACTCCAAACGGGGATGTCTGTATCGGGCTTTTGTGATTGGTATAGAGACGAACTAGGGCTGAATAAAGAAGGACCCTGTAGATCTGTAATTGCAAGCCTCGAAGATGGCGGCCCACTAGCGCACAGGTAAGGGTGGATCACTTCTTTGAGCCGACAGTCATGGGCCGATCTCTTGCCATGCCCGGTCATGATGGGACATATCGTTCCGCCCGCCTCTGTTGTGCGTGCGTTGTGAGACACAGGAAGGTATATAGTTCGCACCCCGCTTGCTGATTCTCTAGATCCCATCACCATCAACCAATTCACCGATTCACAAACAAATCCTCGATCTTCAGTGCACCCTCCGTACACATCTTATCTTACTTAAGCTTTCAACTATCTCTACTTCACTACATCCTCATATCAACTATCAACAACAATGTCTGCCATGACCGAGTCCCGTCAGCAAGTCTACGTCTCCGGAGACGGCTTCTCAGAGCCCATGAGCGCTCAGCACAACTTTGCCAACAACTTTGACCTCAACGACCCTGACCGGGCCATGTCTGACTACCAGAGGTATGTTGCTCTACTCGACCATGACTCGCATCATTCGCTAACATCTACCAGGATCATGCATGAGCATACCAAGCGTCAGCTCAGTACCGCTACCGACTCTGCACGCCGACGAAGCGGCGCTTCATCGTCCAACGACTCTGTTAGCTCCAGCAGCTCATAACAATCACATTAATTGTCATACGCAATTATCTTCTATACGAGCGTCTGAGACGATTTTTGCATTAGCGACGCATGGTTAAAGATCATGTCATGGTCTAACTTTATTTTATGCGAACGGCGGGCGTTTGGGAACTCACATATGGCTTTCGCCTATGGCATGCACGGCACGGTGTTGGATCTATCTAGCGATATCCTGTTTATCTGAATCAATTCAGCGTCTCTATCAGGAGACCTTACTATCATCACCATAATCCTTCTACATGTGCATTAAAACTCCCCTGGTCACTGGTTTATCTCCGTGAAATCGTTGCCAACCCTAAAATCCTTTGGTTGTTGTCCACTGCGGTTGAAACTTGTTCTCCTTTCGTCGTTGCAGCAACGACGACGCGTGTACTTTGTTGCACGGCACAACGTACCGATCTTAGCTCCCTTAATCACGGATCTGAACCAGCCACAAGCTTTCCTATGCCAGCCTGTCACCCACGACACTCCCTACGCTTGCAGCGTACCTTGTAGTTGCAGACGCCTGGTTACAGTTTACCGTGGTTGCAGCGGCTAATGCATGTTGAAAGGGCTGTCGTCCGCCAATCATAAGCACGAGCCTCACCTAGCCCCTCGTTTTACAAAAGGCACTAAGATCTTGCAGGATCTCTTCCAAGGACCCGTGATGCGGAAAGAAAAGCCGCTGTAACTCCGGTGAGGACCAGGGAAATGGGTGGTGTAAAGCTTGGATCTTGGAAGGAACATGCAAGTGGGGTTGAAGGACCGAACAGCCTCCAAGATTGCGGTAATGGAAGGTGGGTTCAAGGGAATGCGAATAAGATGCACATCATGATCATCTATTTGTCAACAGCAGTTTACTAGTCTTGTTTACGAGAGAAAAGTGTGTGCGAAGCAATTCATGAGAAAGCCTGCCACTCTGCTGCCTGTCGTGCAGCCAGATATCGCGTCTTCCTTACACCGCACGATCAAATACCCCTGAAGACGCTATTACAGCTCCATATCGTATTCGATTTTTCGACCGGGATTGCAAGAGAATATATCTACGCTCGTCATCTTCACGATTGTTCCCTGCATCCACGAGTGCGTTTCTTCTTCCAGCACGAACCTTGGACTCACCCATGGATGACTACGCAACGTTCTTGCTAACGTGTCCCTGACTAATATCTTGGGCATTTAACGAGCTACAGCATACACAGAATCAAGTCAAGCAACTACAGTACTAACTGCGAAACAGTAGACGATATCCCGGGGATGTTGCAGGCAGCGACTACTGGGAAACAGGCCAATGCGCGTCGCCCAACAGGAGCTTCAGCCTTAGGGCAACCAAGCCGATATCGCAAACCGTTCAAGCTTCTGCTTCCTATAAAGCGTCGTGAGAAGAGAAAAAGATAGATACCATTCTTCTCTCCGCACGTGTCGCCATAAGAAGGAACACCCAGAAGCAAGTCATACAGCCACGGGCCGAGCGACTTGCCCGGATTGGCCGGATGCTCACGGCCTTCTCCACTTGTGACATCGTTCACAAGCTTCAACCCAAACATTCATCAACCACCAACTCGTCCCCATCAATCGCTTTCGTGAATTCGCACTTCGGTTTATAAAGTTTTCGCATTGTTAGTTCGCATTGTTTGTGCACCCCGCCTCATTTGCGTTGCATCGCTGTCGTCATGCGCTCCTTCGCTCTTACCGCTAGTCTCGCCGCGCTCTGCAGCGCAGCACCATACGGACAGCAGACGCCGCTGAAGAACATCCTCGAAAACACAGACAAGAGTGAAAAGTATACATACCCAACCGATTTCACTAGGGAGATCATCCCGAAGCCGTTCCATAGCCACAATGACTACTGGCGTGATGTTCCCTTCTATTCGGGTTTGAGCCAAGGCGCCATATCAACAGAAGCTGATGTGTGGCTTCTGAATGGCACACTATATGTAGGCAATGCCCGATCCTCTCATCTGTTGTGATGACATCCAACCGCGATCTCGGCTCATACATTATAGGTTGGTCATGAGCCTGCTGCTTTGACCGACAAGCGCACTCTTCAGTCTCTGTATCTTGAGCCTATCCTTGATACTTTGCATCGCCTGAACCCAAGCACTCGATTTGTGCAGCCAGGCGAACAGAATGGAGTTTTTGACACCTCCAGTGGGCAGACTCTTTACTTCTTCATCGATTTGAAGACTGCTGCCGACGAGACCTGGCCTGCTGTTCTCGAAGCTTTGGAGCCTCTGCGAAGCGGCGACTGGTTGACTACCTACGACGGAACGACTCTGCGTAAGAATCCCGTCACCGTTATTGGAACTGGGAATACCCAGCTTTCAGATGTACTCGCATCGTCTCCGCGTGACGTGTTCTTCGATGCGCCACTTAGAGAGCTCAACGACTCCAAATACAAAGATCTCACAGCGAATGAGTCACCTATCGCGTCCACCAACTTCGCATCATCTTTTGGTGAAGTGCGTAAGCGCGAATTCAACGATACGCAGCTGGAGACTTTGAGGAACCAGCTCGACATGGCTCATAAGAAGGGAATCATGGCTAGGTACTGGAACCAGCCAGCATATCCTATTGGCACAAGAAATGCAGTATGGCGGATTCTTTGGGACGAAGGCGTTGATCTGCTCAATGTGGATGATCTTGTGGGCGCGGCAGAGTTCTGGGAGGGAACTGGTTAAATAGATGAGATGCATCCGAGCCATACAAAACTACCTGGATGTTTGGGTACATGGACAGAGACCGTATGAATATAGATAGAACAAAGGAAAACACGAAGACATAGACATTGCTTAGATCATCGCGTGCGGCGCACGTTCGCAGCTCGCTTAGACCGTGCGGCTCTATCTCATGTTCTGGTTCCTGCAGAAGCTCATCCCTGTAACCCCAGATTACGTACTCGCCCGAGATTTTCCACATGTCAGTCATCCAAGCAATTGTGTTCTAGATTTCATCTCATATTCGTTGCTTTCATCTGAGATCACTCAGCAAACATCATCTCCAACCTCCTTCGACATATATTCTCTATACACGTACGCGACCGAGCCTGGAGCCGCTTGCATACATAGGTAGCTATAGTCGGCCTTTCTTTGTTAAGCTTCCGCAACATTCCCATCGCAACCTATCACCAGAAAAGGGAACTGCGAGCTTGTAGCTACCTCTCATCAATACTGCTGTCGCAAGTATCTTGAAGTAGCTTCTTCGGCTTCTGAAAGGTGCTTAGAAAGCTGTGCGATTGTGAAAGAGCTAGGGAATAGGTGGGTTACGTCATAGCGAAGATGTTTCCTCCAACGCAAGGCTTGCGATTGGACATTGATGCCATCAGCCAGATCTTTGGTTCCATAAGCATCGCATGCTGGATAGGTATGTAACTGTCGTCTCCTTGTACTACTATATGTTGTGCGATGCGCGTGTGTCGCATTGTTCTTGCATGACTGTTACCTCGGCAAGCCGGAGCTAACCCGCATACAGTGGTTTTCTCGCCTCAGATAATCGAGAACTGGAAGAGAAGCTCAGCAGAAGGCCTTTCAGTAGTCTTCATCGTAATATGGCTTCTCGGCGACTTCTTCAACATCATAGGTGCGGTACTGCAGGGTGTACTGCCAACGATGACCATCTTGGCGGTGTACTATACGCTAGCCGACATCGTGCTGCTGCTTCAGTGCTTCTACTACAAAGGCTTTACATTGCGCGATGAGTTCAAGAAGCCGACGGATGAATCTGATGAGGATAGCGACGCCAGTGAACAGTCACCGCTTCTCCCCCACCGCAGGCCACAGTCAAGTGGCTCTCCCTACACAAACGGTAATGGTAACGGAATTGAGGTACAGCGACCACGCATCTCAGACATCGATCGACGCGGCTCAGGCCACTCGCAAGGCTCGTTCCGCGAACGCTACCTCTCCATCGACGGCACGCATCTCTCGCCTGTCACACCGCTCCACGATGACTCTACTGCTGCATATCAAAATGGCGCAGTCGCAGCCAGACCTCAGCCGGCCCAGTCCAACATGCAAACGATCATCTTCAACCTTGGTACCATCGTTCTTGTATGCGCGGCCGGCGTCTTCGGTTGGTATCTCAGTGCTCGGAACTCCACCGCTCCCAGCCAGCCCGATGATCAGGACTCGTCACCCGAATCAACTTTGCACTTCAACCTCTGGGGCCAGGTCTCCGGCTACGTTTGCGCCGCACTCTACCTCGGCTCCCGCGTTCCGCAGCTGCTGCTCAACTACCGCCGCAAGTCGACCGAGGGCATCAGCATGCTGTTCTTCCTGTTTGCTTGCTTAGGTAACTTGACGTACGTGTTGAGTATCATGGTGTACAAGCCCAAGTGTGGGGGTCATGTATGCCAGGATGGTGAGGGACGGGCCGAGTACGGCAGGTACATCGCAGTCAATATGAGTTGGCTGCTGGGCAGCTTCGGCACGTTGTTGTTAGATGCTGGTGTGTTTGTGCAGTACTTTCTGTATAAAGTGGATGATGATGAGAGTGACGAGGAAGAGTAGGAGGAGGATATAAGAGATGCCAAGATTGTATAACTATAAAAGTTTTGGTTACGGTATGCTAATGGAGTACGCAACCGGAAGTGTACAGCATTGAATATGTATATCATACAGAGCGGTCTCGTCTGAGCCCGAGCTGTTTCGTTACGAGTAGTCTAATCGGTGCCTGAAGTTGAGGTATGCCAAGTGGCTCTCGACCTCTGATATTAAGAGACGGGATTCGTTTGTATCGGAAGCTTTCGCTCTTTGGGGCGAATGGCTGCGTACCATATCCGCCTTGGCGCTTTGGGCTGAACTATGTGCGTTTGCTCGAACACCGGAATCATTTCAATCAAAATGTATCAAAATGTCGAAAATGTTGCCATTCTTCCTCTCTCAATCTTCCCTCATAAGCGTATTGAAGTACCATTCATACCCTTACTCTACCATTCGCCAAACAAAACTAATTCAGCCCGTCCAATACCATCATTATGCCAATAAAAGAGCACTTGAAAGGTTACACGAGCTCTTCTGCTCTCACATACTAGATCTCCCACTAACGAACTCAGCCGTTGTCTTCACTGCCGCGGCTAAGGCAGAGGCTATCATTGACACCTATCCCACGCACTTCTACGACATCGAGGAGGCTAAGGGGTATATCAGAACTACCTGCAAGCAAGCCGGCTTCCAGTACGTCAGCAAACGTATCAAGCATGAAGAATTGGCATATGTCAAAGACATGGTCTGCTTCATCGTAGCTGCGAAGGCTTTTGAGCAGGGAGAGTTTTATCTGGAGATTGAGTTGGAGAATCGAAGGGCCCTGAGAAGTACGTTTGTCTGGAATCCTCGTTGCTTTCCACTCATTGCCTCAAAGAAAATACGGTGGTGCTTATAGAACTAACAAACATGTATCTCAGCGGCTGTTGAAGCAGATATCCGACGCCTTCTTGTCCTGGTGCCTTATTGACCATCCCGCTTCTCCGGTTCAGACGATGCTCGCGATCACGTCAACGGAGTTGCACGTTGGAAGCAATTCACGTACACGAAGTTCGAAGGGGTTGAGCAGACGAAGTCTCGTAACTACGTTAACTTTAATGCTGTTAGGCATGCTTTTGAGGCAGGCAGGTTTGCCATGGATGTACCAGTTGAAGGCTGACGATGGCGACAACAAGCCAAAGTATCAAAACAGGTGAAGAAGGTTGCTACTGAGCCAAAGACGCCAAAGGGAAGGTTTGCTACAATGAAAGGTATGTCATTCTACTATCCAATTCTTTATACTATCCAATTCTTTATACTATCCAATTCTTTATACTATCCAATTCTTTATACTATCCAATTCTTTATACTATACTGACTCTGCCAACACAGAAGCGATCGAATTTGACATGCAACGCCTCCTTTGCCATATCTCCTGGCCGACAATCTTCCCTTCTCTCAACGCGGCTCGGGACTACGTCTTCCATTTCACACAGTCTACTCGTTTCACTTTTACATACTGGCCTGAGCTCGAGCCTGGTCGCTACCGCCTAGTCGTCAACTACAACACAGCGAAGCGAGCCTTGATTCGGGAAAGTCCAAGGTCAATGGCGAAGAGGACGTAGATGTGAAGTCGCATGGTATGGATGAGACTGCTGTTGAAAGTACTGAGATCAAGGAGAGAAACGAGGTTTCCATGTTGGCGTATGATATGCCCTCTACCGGATCTGCCATGACACCCACCGGGATACCCGTCTTCTCTGCTGCCACCGACTTTAGCAACGCGATCGATTCAATCAACATTGCAATTACGACCACCAACGCTCTCGAAACCACAACTACTGGGGGTACTATGTCGGCCTCGATGTCTGACGAGCCCTCACAGTGCGAACGCAGTGTAAAAGAGATAGCGCAGGGGATTACAATGCCGCCTATGGTCGAGATAGATGACGACCCCTTCAAAGTGAGTTTCTCTTCCAGCCAAAAATAAGACCAGAGTGATTTCTCCCTGAGCGTGAACATACGCTAATCATCTTCACTATAGCATCTTATTGCCACCCTGAAGCGCAAAAGCATTCTCAAAATGGCTTTTGAGTGATGCGAACTGGGCGAGCAGGCGGATGGAAGGCTGGGTATCTGAAACTGTTGCAGATTATGGGAGTTCGGATCAAAAAGCCATATGTTCCCTTTATTTGTGCAGTACTTCCTCCCTAACTGAATGAGGCTGGGAGCGAGGGGAAAAAGTGGCATGTCATGTGGTAGTTCAGGACCATCACACTACTCTCGGGGTATCTAGGAGTTGGGTACTTCCACCACGTCCTCACACTTCATCACTACCCTCCTTCTCTTCATCCAGAACAGCATCCACCACATCATCCATAGCATCCACAGCGTCCACAGCATCATCCTCCACAACCTCCTTTCCCTTGCTTACGTTCTTCGCCTTGAGCTTCGCAATCTCTGCCTCAACACCTGCCTCGACCTCTCTCTTCAACCCCTTGTAAAATCCCATCTTGAACAAGACCTCGTACCACACAAACAAGGGCGCTAAAAACAGGGCCTGTACAAGATTATCCAGCAGCGCAGGTTTCCGCCCTTCAAACTTTCCGTGTCCCACGAATTGCAGTATCCAGCTTACAACATGGACGGCGACGGCGATGCTGTTGACCTTGGTTTTGTTGTAGCGCTGCGTAAGGCGGTTGGAGAGCGATGCGAAGGCGAGGATTATGGGTGTGACAGTCACGCCAGCGAGATTGGGGGAGAGGAGGAGGTAGAGTGTTGAGTAGGTGGCCGCGGCGATGGTACCCAGGTTTAAGGGGAGGTTGAGGCGTGTAAGGAGAGGGTGTTGACGGATGGGGAGGGTGGGTGTGTTTGTGCCCTGAAATGTGAGTTGTGGTCAGCGATGGCACAGTATGGTGGTTGATGTGTACGAGATACGAAGACAGGAGAGGCAAGCAACGTACGAATAGAATTCCTGTCGCAAGTAAGACGGGCACGCAGGCTATGTGGATGGCGACATTTGTTGGTTCGCGGTGGTATGCGCCATACTGCTCTTTTACATTAGCCGGCGAGCGTCTCTTGAGGGCTATACGGGTGTCGTTACAAAGACAAGGTTTTTCTTCAGATCAAAGACGGGCATCTTGAATACTCCTCGAGTAACCTGGTGCTATGCGACGGCGATGGTGACCTGTTCGCGAGGCGACGGCGCAGACGCTGTATAAGGGCGTTCCTGAGATGCGGGGAAGATGGCGGAGAGGAGCGGATCCGGCGTCGAAGCCAAGGGGTAAGATATGATCAACCTCAATCAAAAGGCGGAAAATCAAGACGATATATCCCTGGGTCCGAGTAATCCTGGAGCTACACGATTGCTGGTGATCAGCCCACCTTCATGGCGCCCGCTGTCATGGCTGCCCATGGGGTGCAGGTTAGCTCCATGCGGAGGCTAGCTGCCGAGGCAATTGCTGTTAGGGCACCCTTGACGCTTGGTGTCGCATCCGAATAGCCGTTTCCATGCTTCTCAAGTGCATGTGAAAAGTAACAACAAATGGCACTAGTATCCAGACGCGCGTGAGAAGCGCGTTTTTGTGGGGCTGAATGACGATAGGCGTGGTTTTGAGTAGTGGGGATTCCGACGACAAAGTACTCGACGCTACGCACTACCTGTCTCTATGCACCATCTGGGACAAAAGCTTCAAGTCATTTGTGCGTCCGATTTCTTTCTCTGACGACGAATATGATATAGCGCTCAAGGTAAATGTGGGAGGAATGAGGAAGGATTAGTGAATGCGGCTAGACCAGCTACTTCGAGTATTATCGTATTAGGGACAGACTGTAATGCTGACTCCAGCCAGCAAAAGGGTATCAAACGAAGGAACGACAAGACTCCATGCGTCCACAACCGCCTACGCATTCAACCTCCACAATCCCATGAGGCTATCGATCCTTGCTCCCCGTGAGCTCAAAACTACTGCTAGCCATACGTCCCGCACCATCACTGCCTCGAGCCTCATAATATCTTCCAAGTATAAATGAGCTAAACCTGCTTCTCGCCGCGGGGTGTCGCCCTGACATATGCATCCGGCTTAGCCAGTCCCTTCTTGCGAAGAACATACGTGTTCCAAGCATAGCTCATCTGTGCCGTCACGCTCACAGGGGGACGCTGGTCGCCGAACTTGTAAAGCTGAGGCTTAGAGAGACCCTTACGACGAAGTATGTATGTCTTGAACCACCATGGTAGGTTCTGACCGGCCTGGTATCTCATGTGCGTGCGTGTAGGAACACCGAAGATGTAGTCGAGCTCTTCGAGTGTTCGCTGCTTGGTCTCGGGTAGCCAGAGGAAGCTGGTAGTTGATTAGTTATCTGTTGTTGTTTTGCAATGTGAATTGGGTATTTACTTACATCATGATTAGAGCGACGATATTGAGACCAGCGTAGAAGCCGAATACCCCCTGGGGTTTCATGACTTTGAGCATACGAGGGAGCGTAAGCGATAGGACCGCTGCCTAAAGATACGTGTACGAAGTCAGTGTATGTCTCACACATGGTTCATGCATGGGAGTTTTTACCCAGAAATTGTTTGTGGCCACGGCCCACGACATACCCACTTCACGATGTGAGAGCGGAAATACCTCAGCCGAGTATGTGAACGGCACTGGTCCCATTCCAGGAGAGTAAAAGGCGCCGAAGAGATACACGAAGAAGGCGATCAAGCCTAGATGTGCAGAGCTATCCTTGGGGATGTAGTAGCACATGCCAGCCACAAGTAGTGTCCAGAACATATTCGGAAACGTAAACAAGAGCAGTCCGCGGCGACCAAAGGTATCAATCGTCCAGACAGCGGGCCACGCAAAAGTGAAGTTGACAAGACCGAAGCCAAAAGACGCGATGAGAGCTTCCTTGTTCGTGGCTCCTCCCTCTGCGAAGATTGTTGAGCTATAAAATGCAATGATGTTGATACCGCACATCTGTCTTGGTCAGCTATCATCTCTAGTACAAGCTGTCCTTCCTTGTTTACCTGTTGCCCTATCATAACGATACCAGAAGCTTGCGTCGCGCGACGAACGCGCGGAATGGTGAACAGCTCAATGAAGCGCGTAAAGAAGTTTGACTTGGGATTGATTCCAGCTTCACGAACCAAAACTTCTTCCTGCTCCAACAAGCAATGGGTGTAGTAGAGATCGCGCGCAGCCTGGAGAGGGGTGTTCCGTAGGCGGAGGAAGGAGCGATAGGCCTTAGCATACTTGCGTTTCTTCATAAGCCATCGAGGACTTTCTGGTACAAACCAGATTCCAATGCAGAGAGGGACGGCAGGGATGAAAGCCGATCCGAACTGCAAGCGCCAGGAAATCGCTCCGGTATTCTACACATTGTTAGTATTCGTGAAGTTATCAGGCCGTTCATGAGTACTTACCATAACAGCCAGATTAGCGACCGTACCCAGGAAGATACCGAAAGCTGTCCATATTTGCCAGGACATGACAAGTCCGCCACGCACATTAGCTGGAACATTCTCCGCTGAGAAGACAGGTACAGTGACTTCCTTGAGTCCCATACCAACACCGAGGAGTACACGGCAAACGGCAAGCTCACCCCACTTCTGGCTCAGTCCCATACCAAAGGGCGCCAAAAGCGAGAAGATGGCAGCGATGAAGATGGTACCACGACGACCACAAAGTTCATTTACGGGATCTAAGTTCGTCAGCAAGAGAAGGACTTGAAATGGGAGAGATGCGATGACAACTTACCAGAAATCCAAGCACAGAATACTGCAGAGGTGAAGAAGACAAGTCAGCGTAAGGTCGCATGTACACGTCAGAAATCGTAAACGTACCCGCGATAGCGATATAGGGACACGCGTTGATAAACCCAATAATCCACCCATTCTTCTCACACGTCCCTGCCGCCTCACACACAGGCCCAGAATCCGGGATACCCAACGCTTGACCAAATGTCAAATTAGCGCCGTTAGACCCCGTTTGGTCCCAGCCCTGGATAGCAGCTGCAACGGAGTTGAGGATGATGGTAAAATAGAGTGTTCGGGGTAGCTTGAACCGATGGGTGATTTCTTCGCGGACAGCTGTACGGTCCGCTTCGTCTAGTTCCTCGAGTTCTTCGAAGAGTGCGGGGGACTGGGCGAGGAGGGCACCTTTGACGAGGAGGGGTTCGACGTCGGTTAGTTGGTGTTCTGTGGCGAAGTCGTGGACGTTGGCTAGGAGTTGCTCGCGCGAGATGTCAACGAGTGGGTTGCGGATTCTAGATTTATTGGTGTAAGCAAGTTGGTACAAAAAGCGTCTGTTGGGCGATTTTCGAATCGCGCACGTTTGTGCTTGGGTGATTTGGTGTGGTATTACTTACTCCCCCTCAAGATTGGCAGTCAGACGCGCGACGCTCTCTTTGCGCTTTTGCTCATCGTCAAAGATGGAAGCTTTGCGCTCGTGGTGCTCATCCACCACTACTGGACTGGAAGAACTACTGTTAGTACAATCCAAGTTTTACATTATATGGTGTCTCATTTCACGACAAGACACAATAGCTTACTCGATTTTAATCTCCTTGTCAGGTTCCGACATGGCCAGGATAAGAAATCAGACGTGCACACCAGAGCTTAGGTATGTATGATGCCCAAATCCAAGCTCCCTAAGGCTAGGCGAAGATCACTTCATACAGGCCTCTAGCAAGAGACAAGAAGACGAGGAAAGAAGAGGTAGAAAAGAGCTCTAGCGAATATTCAAGCGAAATCGCATGCTTATATCTCCATGTCACCAGGGCTTACCTCTACCGTTTGCCAAAAGCTGGAGTTCCCCCGTCTTGGGTCAATGCCAATACCATTGCTCATCCATGCATCCCATACGACCTATTCGCAAAAACGCTCAACACGATCACGCGGTACAAGGCAGACAGCCAATAACATAATACAGCGATAGACCAGGGTAAGTAATCACCGCATAGAACTTCGGTCTTGAGCAACGTCGGTGGCTGCAGCATGGTAAGGCGGAGTGGTACGCCGAGTGCGTACCAACACTTGCCTCTTTCTTAGGTGGTGGCTTGGCCTAGCTTGGATTCGACGACTTTGGTGAGGTTTTGAAGCGAGGGATTAAAGGCAGATGCCGATGTTACGATCCGCGAGGAGCCCGGATAATATAATAAGGCGCATCCTCGGCGCTTGTTCGAGTCAAGGGCTATCACTCACCATCGCGCCTTCACAACTAACCAGTGCAGTAGTGACGAGAACGACAGGAGAATCTTCAGCTCTCCAGACCATTCGAATTTGAACAGAAAACACAACACCACAAGCCAAAAATATGCCTTGTGCATAACAGCACACCACCTTTTTTCCACAAGACAGCCATATATTACGTGTGCCTTGGCTTTTCTCAGCAATCCGATCTTGGTATACCGACCAAGCTACGTATCACACAGCTCAACCCGGGCAAAGAAACGAAGGATCTGACGGGATGGTGCAATGTAACACAGCACTCTTTGCATATGCATGCATGCAAGTTGAGCAATTCCCAAGGCTTGGGAAAAACTGATCAGCCCACCCAGCAAATGTTCTTGACCGGTACTGCGGCCGCCTTGTATCGCAAGTATCACACATCAGGAACATGAATGCAATACTCGTTGTGCAGAAATAGTAAAACATGCGGTCTCTCTTCTGCCGCCGAGTCCCTCAAAGTCTAATCAAGAAAGCGAAGGCGCCTTGCCATCTCCACTTGACCGGAGGCTTTGCGTGATCAAGACGAGACGAAGAGGAGGTTGTTTCCCCGCATTCTCGCTTGGCTCGACCCAACCCTTGCACGTGCGCCAACTGTTCTGCCTTAGAGCGCGTTCTTGTGAATTTCTTGGATCTGCGGCATGGGTTATCAGGCAGCAAGACAGCAGAGATCGAGACTCGCACATGATCGCTCTGGTGAGCTGGTGTAGATCAAGCTGTCTACTCGCTTGGGCGCCTGCGCAAGCGCTTACGCTATACTCATACATCTCGGTGAAAGTGACGGGAACAAGTCGAGCTCAGACCAATACGAATGTAGAAAGCTCTTAGGAATTTGTATTTCCAGCGCATCTTCTCGGTCAGTCGCGACGCGGGCTACATTTGCTACCTCATTATCCCCAGCAGGTTCAGCTTTAGTCTGGGCGCCCATTACAGCACCAGACTTCAAGGCTTCGTAGAAGTCATATATAAATCTCCATTATGCACTTGTTAAAAAGCGGCATTGGAAGACGAACTTGCAGGCTGCACTTCCAAAGATAAGTCGCTAGGTCCAACTCCTGCTTGCTCAGGCTGCTCTTCCACCAGCGTAGCCCCTGGGCCCTTTACTACCCCTCCCGGTACCGGCGATGTTTCTGGATTTTGCAGCGACTCGAGATTGTGATATGTTTGTAAGAATGTCTTCGCTTTGGCGATTTGATCCAGCGTTTCCTCATCGTGTCTCTCTACTGCATCTTCCAAGTTCGGCGTAAAGCTATCTTTCAATTTTTCAATCTTGTTACCATCCTTCTTGTGCCCGGGTGTCGTCTAAACTCCAGAGTTATAGCCCACCTCTTTTTGCTTCCCCTTGTCTGTGCTATCGCTTGTATCAGCACTCCCAGCAAACGCCTGTTGTATCGGAGGTCTGGGCTTCGCTGCGATATCGAGTTCAGCAAACTTGGGGCGCACTTGGAAGATGTTTACGCGGGCCGCGTTGAATACTTGTTCGGAAGGTGGAATGGCGACTGCGAGGTTTGTGTTCTCGGTGAGGCGTGTTATGAAGAACATGAAGCGACCGGTTTTAATCTGCATCTCTGCAAAGTTTGCGCTACCGGCGGGGATGTTTGTGTGTCTTCTATGGAGGGAAAGAGCGTTAGCCATGTCTGAGAACATAAGTAGAGTGAGGAACGGATACGTACGCCATGCTCTGTTTGTGTGTCTTAAGGATGCTCGAAATGCGCTCGAAACGATCCGTGAAGGGATTCGATTCTTCGGTCTGTCTTGTGACATGCGCGACAGTAAGACATGTCGTCCGCTCATACAGGATGAGTTCTCTCGCATCTATGACCTCTGCCAGCTGTTCCAGCAGCGCCTCGATCGTGCCCGCGTTCGGAATCAGATAGTAGATGATCTTTGTCCAAGCCTTGTACAAGCTCTGGTCCCAGATACTTGTCGCGAAGAACTCAACTGTATCCTTGAAGCCCTCGCTAGCCTCCCGGATATACTCGGCGCGCTCGTCGAACATGGCCTGGCGGAGGCGGGCTTGCACAAGGTCCATCTTGTGTATGAGACAGAAGACTTTGGCACTGGGACTGCATTCATGGAGGGCACGAATGATGTTGGAATAGGAGACGACGTCGGCTGCGAATTCGCGCGATTCGATATCGAAGACGAAGATGAGGACGGCAACGGAGCCGAAGACGTGGTTTCTAGATTGGTTGAGATAGTTCTCGACGAAGCCATCTTGACTGCGAAAGTTAGTTTGAGTTGTCTTGTCGTCTGTTGGCCGGTGGCCTCACCCCCCGCAGTCCCAGAGATTGAGCATGAGGTTTCCCATAAACTTGATGTTGCTGTGCTCGACGTCGATTGTCGCGCCCAACCTACGGACATCTTTCGCGACATAGTTGCTAAACACGATGCTTCTCATCGACGACTTGCCAGCTCCACTCTTGCCCATCAGCAGCACCTTGCGCTGCTTCTGCCGTTTGATCGAGTTCATTGTGATGGCCTTGACCGATGGTAGAGGGTTGCTACGTGAGGGTGCGATGAGGTGGGTTGCGCGAAAATAGCTTCGTGGTAAACCTCTAGTCGGTAGCGAAGGCAGAATGGTAAGCTGATAGTAATACAGCGCCGTCGAGCGGAATTTGGCGATGGGATGACGTACCGTAAACAGCTGCTGGCGCGCGCGCGACCTTTGGGGGCCCTGCAACAATCTTTCCTTGGCAGTGGGGCTCTTCCGCTCTCCGCATTTCCTACACGTGCGAGTATGAAGATCATCCTTGCTTTTAACAGTCTCTTTGCGGGTACGAGCATTTTAGTTTCTTCACATGTTATTATCATCTACTCGAGAATTGAAGTGTTTGGAAGCCACCGACTCTCATCCAAAAGGCTCTGGTACATAGCTACATATTCGAAGATTCCAAAAGTCATGGTAAGTGAGGAATTATTACAACATATGAAATGGATAGCTTGGACCGCCAGCGTTTTCGGGATAGAATAAGACATAAACGTGGCTGATGTGACGAAGCAGAAGGTATAAACAAGAAGCTGTGCCACCAAATGCGACCGTCAAGATCGTGTATCATAAATCCCACCCACTTGGCCATAATTAGAAGATACTGGTGCGGCGTGGGCAAGGGCACCCTCGTGGGTATCGGATACGTGCTTCCGCTGCACAATGTGTGTATGTGAATGAAGCGAAGGAAGCGCGGAATAACGAAGAAAGGGGTATCTTAGAAAACAGTGCCGTCCGAGAGGATCATGATTGGCGGTTCTTTAGTGTTGGGCCGCGACACTTCAGCAATTTCTCGACCTCCCTAGTGTTGCGAGTCAGTTTCATCCAGAAGAACACTTGGGTGGCGTCAAGCTTACCTTCCAACTACCAGCTTCAAGCATCTGCGCCAGGTTCAGCTTATCCGAGCCGCTCAGGCCTAGGAGGTTGTTTACGTCGACTAGCAGGTCATCAAGAAGTCCCACTGTGACTGCGCGCCATTCGACAATGACATCATCGTCGGCGGTAAACATTGGTACAACCTCCATGCTTGGTTGCCCGGTTGCCTGTGCGTTGCGCTGGTATTGTGCGAGACCGCGTTTTTGATCCTCAGGCTTCAGTGTCAAGAGGCCGACGTCGATGAAAAGTCCGCCGTTTCGGTATTCTGGCAGTCCGGTCAAAAGTTCAGCGCCAGGGAAGTGAACGTGGAGTAGCTTGGTCATTGGAACCATTAGTGAGTACGTCATCCATTGGGTCAATTTGTGGAAAGGCACAATGTTTTCCCAAGGATGGGTTGGATGCGATGGCATAACCGAGCATGGCCATGCGTCGCCCATGGGTACACCGTCTATTTGAGTCCTCGACGCTGGCCAGATGGGGGTCAAGCTGTCCATGAGCGTATTCCAGAGTGTGGGGAGGGGTATAATGGGGACTGATGACGCTTGTGTGGTTGGGTGGGAGAGGAGGTAGTCTGAGGGTGTTAGCCAAAATCACAAACTCTAGCAGATGTGCATACCGAGCATGTTTCCGGGTCGTGCTTCTAGGCCAAAAACTTCTTGGTTTTGTAGCGCTTCTGCGAGACGGAGCAGCAGGCTAGTGCGACCTTCAAGGCCATCGATTGGATTTGTGGCGTTGACCTGCAGGCCACGCGCCACTGTTGCGACGTCGAGCTTCTTCAGGCCTGCGCTGTCGACCTGGTAGGGCTCTTTGGGGTCGCTGCTGAATGCGCCGGCCTTGAACATCTCCAGACTGGCTACAGCGAGACCCTCGCTACGGCGGTAGATCTTGCCCGACTCCTTGCTCTTGTACTGCCATTTGGTGCCTGCACCTGCATCGAGGAGGACGGAGACGAGGAAGAGATCAAGTAGACGGCGAGTGCGCTCCTGGTTGTCTACGGTAGACGGCCATGATGCCATGAGCTGATCGATTCGCGGGCGGCCACCGACATCAAAGTGCTGCCAGCGACCGTGGGGTGGAATTGCGGCGTAGTCGGGCGCATAGTCGCGCTGCAGGCAATGTTAGAGCGCAATGTCCTTCAACATGGTATCCTTGCGCCCGCAAAATGAGGCTTACCTTAATTATGGATACGACAAAGCTAGCGACATCTCCAAACTTGCTCATGTCAACAGTGAAGTGCTTGAGCTGATTCTTTTTGGCCTTTTCGAGCACCAGCTTGGAGCGCTCGCGGACGGCGTAGATGCTGCGCAGATAGCCGGCCGGGTCGAGAGTTGGATCTGGGGCCTTTGGGAGAGGGATATCTGGGAAGCTGGTAGGCCGAGAGCCGTTTGGAGTGGGTCCAGGGGAGCGCAGGGAGCCATTGGAGCTGTTTGGCTGGCTGCCGTTGGGAGAAACCTGGGGCTTGGAGCCCTTGCGATTGAAGAGACGCATTGCGAGCAACGACGACGGAAGGTGAGAGGTGCTGGCGGAAGGAGCGTTTCTGGTGAGGTTTGCTGGGAGGTAGGAAGGCACGTTCAAGTCGGGCGAGGTTGCTCGAGAGGCGGCGATCGTTCTGTCCAGAGGCCCGCGCTTGCTGGCAGTGCGGAACCGTTACCGGGAGATCCCTGGACAAATAATCTGGAAGCGACTACTTAGTAGGCAAGGGGGTCGACACGTGCGCTGTGGGAAACCTTGTGTAGAGACTACGTGCTGCTCGAGCAGTCATGAATTCAAATCAGCACAAATCCGGGACGACGTGGTGAAGGACGCAAGACTCGAGTCCAGACGCGTCGCTTCCAAGTTGTATAGTACAGCAGCGTCCACCCTGCCAGGCATAGTCTCGCCGAGTGCCCCTGCCTCTTCCGCGTCAATGGACGGCACGATGTACGGCGCTAGTGGGGCAGCAATAAACCCTCGAGCGTCCTGTTCCTGAGCGACTCGACTGTGCCCCCGACCGATGTATAAACTTCCCACTGCCGCGCACTTCTCGAAGCCCTCCGGAGACCTATCCACCCTGCAGGTCCCGACTGCTCGTCGCGTCTATTGATGCGAGGTCGCTGTTTCTTCCCTTCACGGTATAGTCGCTGCCTCTGTACCTGACCTATGAACCGTTTGCTCCAGCTGCGAGCTCTGCGGCACGCACCACACCCCCTTTGTGGTTAGACGCAAAGTACTTCTACCAGGTATCGGTCTTGACCCTCTTCAGGCTAGCAAGCGGCTTGCACACATCAAATGCAACCTCATTACCAGTTATGCTATATCCCCTCGACGCCCTGCTCCGTCTCTGCAACATCAGCATCGCTATCCACATCCATTCAAACCTGGATTCTTGCACATTCTCCTGACATGGGCCCTTTTACTAATAGTATGCCCAAAGCCCACAGCCTGAGTCATCCACCTTATCGCTTACATCGGGGATAGGCGGGTGGTCAAGTCTGATACCGTGGCCGCGGGTTCGCGGCTCGGCAAATCCGCCATGTTGCCTGAGCGCCGAGTGTCGACTGTCCTCTCCCGCCCAGGCACGAGCTGGCTGTTATGATCAGCCTAATAAGACGCCTTGCACGCACAGTCCGATGAATCCTTCTCGATGATTTGTAACCTTCTGCACAACTGCCGAAACAAGTCTTTACTTCCAAGCCAGCAACACTAAGGGTTCGCGGCTGCGGTTACCGTGCCGCCTACGAGTAATGAATGACTGCATCCCTTCGGCCCGAGTCAGCTCTGACACCACGGAGCCAAATCATCTCGATTCGATGTGGTTGGGAACAAGGCCTTGCAAAGCTTTGCGTTGACCCTCAGGGGGGTCGCGCAGTCGGGACAGTCCGCTCGCGCCAGGACGTGCTACTGCCACCATCTCCGCGGTCGCGGTTCGACAAAGCCCACTGACCGCATCTTAACCTGACAGCTGGTGGATCCGGATACGCTCACTCTATTCGTGCCTGTTGCCCGACTCCGCAATCACAATTCTTTACCGGTTGTTTACCTTTTTTGTTTACCCAGCAATCGACACCGAGCATTGGTCAGGTCGGAGGAACTGCTCGCACCAATGCGTTGTGAGGTACCGACGCAAGCATGTGGTCCAGGAACGCAGATAGCTCCGAATCCGAGTTATAGTCCGTGCTCGCGGGAGCTGCGAAGATGGGGCTCCGTGGCACTTTACTTGCGACATATGTCGGCTCTTCTTGCCTGTGTTACACTGAAAAGCTTGCTCTCCATGTTATGCAGCAGATGTGAGGCTTTCGAGATTTGTACAGTCTTATTATATCGTATTCGCGTATTCCAAGATTTTGGTCGAGTTGACTGCGAATACCATGTAAGTATGCCAAAAACTGATCAAGTCAAAATTTGGACATTTGATAGCTATGCCAGCGACCCTCGCAAAGTAGGCTCGTGGACCCTGCATCTGTCACGTGTTGTGGCTGTGCTTCCAGGACTGTGGCGCGAAGCGAGCATGCGCAAGCGCGACCGGCCATGGTGAAGCGGTCAATACAACCAGTCCTGATGTTTGGCACCCAACTAGCAATAATGATATGATTTCCATTGCACACTCTTTTGAAACGTCCCACACAACAAAACAAATACGATGGATGATCTAGCCGGCCTTGACTGGTCGCAGCCCGCCAAAAAGACAACTAACAACACCCCCGCGGCCTTTCCACCCTTCCGCCAGAGCCCCACGCCTCAACTCTCCGGTCGATCCACGCCCATCTCCACGCTCTCTACGCAGCAATCTGGAGCTGGCTCCGGCGGCGCTCAGCAGTTCAAGCTACCCTCGAAACCAGCAACCCCCGCAAACGATAGCTTCGCTGGTCTCGTGTCCTCCAACAAGTCCAAAGCCCCAACGAGCAATCTCTCGCTACAGGAACGCCAGAAACAGATACAGGAGGAGAAGGCAAGACAAGAAGCGGAGAAGAGGAAACAATGGGATACTACCTTCGGAGGTGCTGAGTCGAGCCATTGGGACACGTTAGGGAGCGGGAAGAGCACGCCAGAGCCTGCGGCATTTGGCGCCCCGCGTCCTTCGAACAATCCGTTTACCAACCATGGCCTGTCCAAGACCATAAATAAGCCCTTCGCAGGCCTGGACACCACTTCGAGACGGCCTGAGGTGTCTTCACCCAGCGAGGCTGACCTCCTCGCAGCATTCAATTCGGCAGCTCCCGTAGATAGCTCAAGTCACTTTCCCAAACCAAACCAAAGCAGCGGCAGAAGCACACCTGCTTATAGCGCAAATGTCTCCCGAGGCAATACACCACTGCCACAACCTTCTTCTGGTAACAATGCGCTTCTGGACGACGATGATGATATGTTTGGTCTCAAGCAAATGGCGCAAAAGTCGACTTCGCCTGCTCCGCCACCCCCAACCAACGAAGCCGACGACGATATACTAGGCTTGCTAGGGAAGCCTGTTTCTGAGTTCCAGCAGAAGGAAGAGCTCCAGCCAGCACCCGTAGAGGAACCTTCACAGGCACGCCAACAAGCTTCTCCAGGTCCTGAAAACGCACATGACAAAGCTGTCGCTGAGCTAGTGGATATGGGATTTCCAGCAGAAAGGTCGGCGATTGCACTGGCTACCACCGAGTCTGGCTTGGACGTGCAGGCTGCTGTAGGATGGCTGTTGAACCAAGCGCATGCCGAGGCGAAACAGAAGACACATACGCAGAGCCAGGATAGGTCGCTCCGAGAGCCCGATGAGCTTGATGAGCGCCCAAGGCGGGGAAATAGTAGACCTAACGGACGAGAATCGTCGAGAGAACCACGGGCGAGCGGCTCTAGACCCGCGTGGATGCAAGACGATGAAGTACGAAGTCGATCCGGTCAGCGTAGACCAGAAGGCCAAGAGAAGGACGTAACGCAAATGGCTTCTGAAATTGGCAACAACCTTTTCAAGTCAGCAAACTCCCTATGGAAGACGGGCCGCAAGCAAGTACAGAAGGCCATGGCCGATTTCCAGCAAGAGGGCGATCCCAATATGCCAAAGTGGATGAGAGATGCCCAGGCTGCGGAAGCTGCTCCTCGCTCAAGTCGACAGCAAAAGAATGAGCAATCGGCGACAGATGAGGCTATGATGCTGGAGGCTGGTGGACGACCCACCAAGCCATCTCGAACGAGCGAGATGCGTCAACAAGCTGAATCGCTACCTGTACGCCAAAGAAGAGAGCAAGAAATGGGAAGAAATGGCTACCCAGATCGTATGTCGTCTCAATCGCCATCACAGCGACAGCAACCATCAAGTCTGGATAAACGACCAGCAACGCGACTGACCCGCCAGGAGGTAGAAGAACAGAGTTCCCAGGCATACGTTAGCCCTGCCCGCCGCAAGAAGACTACACCGCAACCACAACCAGAAGTAGATCTCTTCTCTTCAGACCCCACACCCCCAAAGCAACCTTCACGTCAATCGACGCCAGCGAAATCTAACAACCCATTCCTCCAAGCGACTTCAACACCAAAGGCTCGAAGTCCAGCCCCTACGCCAGCCCCGCCCAGACCAAAAGCACCACCGCGACAGATACCTCCAGTGTCGTCTTCGGCTCTCAGTTCGTCGTCAGCTAATCGGCAAAGAGGATCAGAAGCATTCAAACGTGGAGACTACTCCGCTGCACACACTGCCTATTCTTCAGCACTGAGTCCTCTTCCAAAAACACATCCTGTCACGATAATTGTACTCTGCAATCGTGCAGTCACCAACATCAAAGTTGGTGATCCGAAAGCGGCGATTGCTGATGCCGACGCAGCCTTGGCTATAATTGGCGTGTCAAGAGGAGAGGGCGAGAAGATTGCTACAGGCGGAATAGAAGGCGAAAAGGACATGAAGGAGTTTTACGGTAAAGCTCTCATGCGCAAAGCCGAAGCCCTTGAGAACATGGAGAAGTGGGCAGATGCACATGGCGTATGGAAAGAAGCCGTTCAAAACGGTGTAGGTGGCGCCATTGCCATCTCCGGCCGCAACCGCTGCGAGAAAGCCGCAAACGGCGGCAACAACAATGCTCCAGCAGCCGCGAAACGTCCGCCTCCAGCCCGCAAGCCCGCTGCTCCCAGACCCTCAGCCATGTCAGATCTTGGTGGTGGCGGTCCTGCCAACGACTCCGAAGCCGTCAAGCGCATGAAAGCAGCCAATGCCGCTGCCGAACGCGCAGACGACGAGAAATTCGCCCTTACCGACCAAGTCGACGCAAAGCTCATTGCTTGGAAGGGCACCAAGTCAGATAACCTGCGTGCTTTACTAGGTAGCTTGGATAAAGTGCTTTGGGAGGGTGCAGGCTGGAAGAAGGTCAACATGGGCGATCTGGTCATGCCGAACAAGGTCAAGATTATCTATATGAAGGCTATTGCTAAGGTTCATCCCGATAAAGTATGTTTCCCGCTTACCCCCTTCTCCCTTTTCTGGGAAGACTTTGAAAACCAAGCTTGTGAGAGATTAAATTGCTAACCTGTTCTTGTTACAGATATCCCAAACGGCGACTACGGAGCAGAAGATGATTAGTGCAGCTGTCTTTGCCACATTGAATGAGGCATGGGACAAGTTCAAGACGGACAACAATCTATAGTCTTAACTATTCTTATAGTTGACAATCAGAGCATTTTGACTGACCCCATTTTGGAAAGTCGGAAAATGAAGGCGCTGGGGAACACATTGCTGTTGTGATGACCTGGCCTTTCTCCTACCTCTTCCTCTTTTACGCTCTCAGTTTGGCTTGGTCGATTCGCTTCTGTTTTATCGGCGATTGTGCAATCTATCATCCCGAATGTCTTCTCCAACGATGAAGTATTGGTGTGCAATGTTAGTTCGCCTGTACGTATTGACAGCCTGATACTCCTTCCTTGCAAGTTGTGGTATTTTCGTGTTGTGTCAACCAAATTACATATTGGTAAGGATGTTGGCTATACTTGACCAATCGTACCACTAGTGCTGGAGTAGCTTCGAAATAGCGCTAGGTCACTTCCTATAGATATTTGGTTTGCAAGTCATGGCTACAGATTTCGCTCTTCTTGAGCCTGTTTAGCGACACTCCTTGTAAACATGCTCTGGATATAGCATCAAAAGTTAATTTCAACATCTCACCTAAGCTAGAACCTTCTTCTCTACTTTTTTGGGGGTTTGAAAGTTCTGGACACAGATAAAAGTTTATAAAGGAGTATAACATAGCTTCTTGTATAAGGTATGCTAGAGAAGAGACACCCTGTCCAATTTCTAACAGCTCTTTTACTTTCGGGTAGATGTAGGAAAGCTACAGCAGAGTTTCGGAAGACACTCAGCTGACCTCAAGTTTCCAAGACTCCAAAAAAGTCACCGAGAAGGCCTGCTTACAAGCTTACTATGTTCCGAGTCAAAGGGCCTCTAATCCACTAGCGAAGATGATTGATGTTACTTTGTTGTTGTTGTACGTACAGATACGGATGCTTACATGTCTAAAACTGGTATTCAACTACTGGGCTTTGTAACCAGCGTTTTAGCTTCTGGTCCCTTCGTTTTGCAACGGCTTGGCGTGTATGTTGCTGTCAAATGAAATCTAGCATTGGGGGGGGGAGGGGGGTTGGTATAGGCACTTTACCGTGTATTATAATGCGTTACTCCTCTACTGCGACATGGGATCTGATCAGACATCGACTTCGGTCATTCTATCCCGAACGACCTAGTTCTGCTACCCAATCCCTCCCTACTCCACCAGAAAAACATCATTTCTCGCTACTGCGCTGGAGATTGCGCCGAGTGTTTGATTTTTGGCATTCACAAAGGAGACCATTCCCCTTCTTGCGCATATGGGAGACATGTAGCAACCTCATCCCTGGTCATCGTATGATGCTTGTACCAGCCGCTTACTTAGACTTCTGGTAGCTTACAGCATTCTGGCCGCTGCTTTAGAAAAGGAATCGGGAGTATTGCCCGTGGCATTGTTCATCCAATCGCCCTGTATTCCTTTAACGTTGCTCATCTCCACTTTCCCCACTTGAAGAGACAGTAGTTGCAGTCCTAAGTGAACAGCCTCGGCTTACCTCATCCACTAAATGTGTGCTATGTAATTTCTAATCACTGGGACAGTCTCCACAGTACTGACCTTCAAGTGTGGTGCTCAAGCACGATGTCCAACCGCTGTCGCGCCGTACCGTTGATTACTAGCTCTATAGAGGAAATTACTGTAAGAACTTATTGTTGTCACAACTTTCGGGATGTGGAGTGCAATAGGGAGTTAGGGCGATGCTTTTGACTATTGCCGTTTTTGTGAGATAGTTATTGTCTTTGCTCTAGCTGTGACTCTTGGCCCGGAGCTGAAGGTGCGCACGTGCAAAGCAGTCAGCAAAGCCCAGATGAACCTTGTGCCTGTGTGACATCTCGCATCTAGAAGCTAGACTTGGAGACTCTGGTCCGCTAATGCAATGTCTTTGTTTGCCTGATAGATGGGAAGTATTTCGGGATGGAGATTCACGCTGCTAAGAAGATGATGAGCCGGAAGGGATTAGGAGAGATAAAAGCCGGACCGGACGTTGAAAATTTACCGTGGCGTGAGTTAGGTTAATGAGTTCCGGGAGCTGAGTTTCGGGGTAGGTGGTAGGCAGGTTTGGTTTTGCTCGGTAGTCGTGAAATAAGGGTGTCGAGCTAGAACGAAAGTTTGGGACGTTAAGTTAGGTTACCTGGTCAGCGGTCAAACTAATGGCGGCTGCGAAGGTAGATTATGTCGATTACCTGGGTCGCTCGAAAAATAAACTTTCGCTCCTTTTTTTTCAGCTCCGGCGTTTTGCTTCTCCTTTCGGACAAAGAGGAGACGACGAGCTTAATTGCTTATTCGCGCGAGTGCGCTGGCAGGTGCCGACACTCTAAAGCGGGAGCTGGTACGCCAAATGTTTAGCTGCGAGCTACCAGCCGGAGGATCACGTCTCCGCCTGTGAACAGCGCACCGGTACTTGCCCGTACTATCGGTAGTCGTGGACTTTTGCTAGCTACGCGTCCTTTAGCGGGGGCGCACTGCTGCTTCTTGCTCTTTCACATCCAAATAATCGGTGACTCGCAGTAAGCATCGTATAGACAGTGGTTCGATCACCCGGCATGCACCGCGGCTTCAGTGCCACAAACCTGGGCAGTGCACATCGGTACCAATGATGATCGGTAGCTGAACGCGTGTGATGTCGTCATGATTGCCTCCTTGCTGTCTACCACTTAACCGGTCAAATTTTCCAGCTTCGGTCCACGGAGGTTTTGCACCTGAACTGTTTCGTCTTCTCATGTTGGGATGTTGGTGTGGACCGAAGGCGTCGTCATGGTGGTGTATATCATAGATTAGCCAGAGAGCAGGACAACAAGCATCCAGTTACAGGTCACATACATATGGTTCCTAAGGGTGTTTTCTTAGACAACGTGGCTTGGAAACTCCCGCGTCCCCGCATGACTCAAACCCAATCTTACTGCTTGCTCATTGCGGTCACGGCGTAAATGTAGCACCCGAGGTGCAAGGTACGGGTACTGCTTTCCCGCACAATGGTAGAAGGTGAACGTGCTGTGTGAGGGTGTACTGCAGCAAAGCTCGATCATGTCGTCTCACGACAAGCGGGACATGCTTTCTCAGCCTTGGGAGGCTGGGACGTCTGCGAATCTGTGACATTGCGAGAAATGGGTTTCGAAGAAGTCTATGTGTTTTGGTCATATGTTGACGAAACTCGCCAATCATTATCCGTACATGTTGTAGTATGTGGTAATAGTACAAAGCCGCTCCATGATATAATGCCTGAGAATCAAGTGTGAAAAAGAGAAAACAGATATCGCATAACCCAAATGTGGACGGAAGCCACTGCCAACGCCCAAGCTTCCGGTAGGATTTTTGAAAATAGTACTAGTACAAAGTAATAGTGGGTTTGCAACTTACAGCCATAGCGGAGTCGTGGGATTTCATGCGGCTATCGTTCATGCCTGTACGCGTGCCAGGTGCGTAGTAACCCACTGACTAGCTGTCCTATTCATGCAGATCCATATTTCTGTCAACGCGGACTCGCGCTTGTGCTAGGCACGCCGACCAGATGGAGGCGGTTTTAGAGATCGGGCCGAAGATTATGCAACGTGTAACGCCATGACAGAGGCTCGCATCCAAGATAGACATGAAAAGTGCATGCACACTTGATGTTGTTAAACAAAAGAGGCATAACTCGTGATTCTATTCGTCGCATAGCGAGTTTATGCGGGAACAGGCAGTTACTGACCCGTAAACTGACCAACAACGCCGAAAAGCAATTGATCTTCAGTCTTGTACAGGGCATCATCGTCTCCGAATGCCGTCTCGAGACTGTTGCTGATCCTCCAGAAGTTCCCGTAATTTCCGTTCCTTATGCCTTGGCTTTCCTGTGCGGCGATGTCCATCAACTGCTTGATTCGATTCGAGACCGTCTTCTGTTGCGCCTTTGCAGACGCCCAAAAGCCCGACAATTCGTCGATGCATGTCAGTGTCGTATTAAGGGTCTCGATGAATGTCGGCAATGACGAAACGAGCCCCGCAGAGGTCAACACATCAACCGAGAGCATGAGCGCATATCCGGGGAAAGGTGTCGAGAAAGAGAATTCTAGTGCAGCGGTGGGTGGAGGACGTCGTTGGCGGTTGACAGGAGCCAGTGAGAGCATTATTGATAAGAAGTTTGACGCCATACGTAGTGTTCGCTCCAGATTTCGGCGTATCTTGTCCATTGGCAATACGCTGATTCTCACTTGACGATTCAGTCGGATGATCGTAGCATGATACAAAGCATGTATCGACAAAAATGTGCCCGCATGTCCATCAGCGATGCTATTGTCGAGATTCTGTGGGGTGTAATGAAGGTTCTCTGGCAACAGAGCATGCCATGCGTCGAGCTTTTCGTTCATCTTCGTATAAAAGGTGTCGTAATGTTGTTCATAGGCACTATCGGATCGGCGCGCAGCTCGACTAGAGAAGGTAAGCACCTCGCCCCATAGAGTCGATATTAGGCATAGATACGCCATGTTCCCCAGGACGGGGCGGGCAGTAGCGCTTCCACTCAGGAGCTCCTCGTCGAAAAATGGTGCGTCGCATGGTGTTGATGCTTCGTACATGTTATCCAGGCACGGGAGTTGAACGAAAGCATCTTCCAGGTTGATGACAAAAAGGGTCCCCCCAAAGAAGCCATTGTATCGCTGTTGTTGTGATATGTCAACGGATGTTGGGATGTCTACGACGTCGTGACTTACATCCATCAGGAGTCCAGACCAGAATGTGCGGCGGCAACATTCTGCGTAGGTTCGACGGTCAAGTCCATAGTCCAGTTCGGAATTGCTATCGGCTAGCTCTTTAACACCTTCTTCGGAGTTCAGTTTCAGTGCACTGAGTGCTCGCAAACCAGCACCACAGTAGTCCCACGCTTCCTGTGACTTGCCCCGAGCAAAGTAATAGAGCGCAAGTATCAGCCGGGTCTGGCACAGCTGTAGACTAAATTTGCCGAATCGCTTTTCTGCCGCATATGAAGCGACAGAAGCAAATTTCCTCCCCAAAGCTCGTCTCTCCACATCAACTGAGAATAGAGAGCCTATGGCAAGGACGGAATACAGAAGCATCAAATGGTCGTGGCTCTTGTCGCGGTTGCTCTCTACCCATGCAAGGAAAGGTCGACGAGGAAACATGCCGTAGGTTGCGCGACCAGCGTGAATGAAATAAAGGTCCAATAGGTGCATGGTAAGTCCAGGGTCTGTTTCGAAAGGATCCTGTTCCCATTGGAGAGCGAGTTGGTCAGAATAAGAGCCGCGTCCAGGATCATCCAAGCTCTGATCGTTTGCGGAGCCGCTCCAATCCGAATCATATGGCTGTACCGACATGTCTCTCGGGTCTGTAGTAGTATTGGGGCGGTACTTTCGAGGTCTGAAAGGGGTTCCAGCGTTCCAAGTGTCAACTTTTCTTGATGAGTCCCGCAGCTCTCCAGGAGCTTTGTTTCTGTCTGAGGTTGCCGCAGGACTCAAGACTTCGGACGACTGATTCTTAAATAGCGGAGCGGAATTCGACGGTGAAGTCTCACCGGATGCATTGCTTTGGTTAAGTCCACTGTCATTCGTTAGTATTTGTCATACTATGGTGCAAGCATAGTCTTGTCTAGTCCATAGAGCATAACGGACCAGTTAAGTCAATGCGCTCCATGCTCTCGAATGAGAAAAGAAGGAAAGTGCGAACAGGGATGGCTACTTACCCTCTACACACCCTTTGCGACTTGGAGCATTGGTGGCACTTTGGATATCCAGGCTCGCACTTAATCTTCTTCTCTCGGCAGGTCAGGCAGGCTTGCGCAAGTCGCTTTCGAGGTTTGCCGGCCTTTGTGATGCCCCACGAGGGATTGACTGCTTCACCGTCTATTATAGCCCGGCAAAAGGTGCCATCCTCGTAGACATAGCACGGGCCTTCGCCTGGTATATCGCGCTGTCCCACACAACGCGATGATCGTACTGGAGCCCGCGAAGAACCTTCCAGTCGTCTCATTCTCACAGGCCTACTCGGATCAAACCCTAATTCCTGCTGACCAGAGTGGTTTGTCATCGTACCCGTCGCATCAGACATGAGCGACACTTGCCGGTGCCCATTGCCTGCTAGGTCATGCGGTGGGGGGTGGACGAAACTCTCACGCCGTTGGAGATCTACTCGACCGACACCGAACCCAGAGCCTGGCGTCGACGAAGTAGTAGACGGGGTAGCGATTGTGGTTGACAGAGGTTGACGATGGTGGTAGGGTGTTTGAGAAGCGATAGCATTATGCTCGGGGCGGCCATGGAAGTAACCATCATATTCATGCCGTCTCTTCAATGTCGGACTAGAAGACCCATAACGCCCGCAATTGTTGTAGAGTACCGGAGCGCCACCCGCCCTCAATGATGGATCCGACGACTTCTTGTCCAGTAGTTCTGGTTCCAGAAGCGTGCGAAGACTTGGTAATTGTTGCGCATTGTTATGGCTTCCACTGGAATCTCTGGGACGGATGTGCTGACCGGGAACAATTACTTCTGGTCGAGACGATGAAGCATGATGTGGCGGGTAAGGGCTGTAGGATGGTGGAGGACCTGAATGTGAGGGTAGGCTGGGTGGACGACTCATGTTGAGGAGCATAGCAGGTACGATGCGTTCTGATGTTCGACCTTTGAAGTGGGATGATTTCCACGGTACACCCCGTTGACCGACCACATGAGGGAACGTAAAATAGCAGGAGCTATGAACTGCCTAGGATGCTCAAGGGATCCAGGCACTGCTCAAAACTTGACACTGGTGCAGCCACGACATCAGCTAGTGGTCAATTTAAGTGGTACACAAAGGTACGTGAGAAAGTCAGGGAGGTGGCCGACGAACAGAAGCGTCTGGCCTGGACTGGGAAGTCCGCTGCGAGCTATTACAGTCTAGAAAATAGACCAAAAAATCAACAGTCCGTGCAGGGCTGACGTCTGACGATTGAGCACCACTCTTCCGGCTCCTTATGAACCGCAACCGAAGCACAAAGCAACAGTGCATGTAAGAGCGTATGTAGGGGCGACACGGGAAGAACTTACAGATGCAGGGATTATGATATGCGGCGCGGGCGCACCTTTTGGGCGCAATTGACACTGAGCACGCAGCGAGCACTGCTTCGATTGCTTGAACGTAGGGCAAAGGATAATAGCAATAAGTATAATAATGTCCGGGTAGCAGAAGTGGAGGGTGGGCGGACGACAGCGGGACCCCGTGCTCAGCCAGTCAACAGCTTACCAGGAGGCCCTTGTAAGAACAGGCTTCAAGGAGGAGCGACCGCGGCCTCGAAGTAGGTCAGCGAGTATTCCAGTGGCGTGCAGTGACGGACCGCCAGGGACATGGTCGTGGAGCCTTTGCTGTTTGAGACCCGAAGATGCTGGCACCAGCCAGGGTATGGAGCAAGCCAGCCGGAATATTGGCTGCAGATATCGAGTCAACCGCCTTCTGCGGGCTAGATAGCGTGTTGCGTCAGATGCAGACTGATGCACGTTACTGCAGTCGTGGATGGCGCGTGGGCAATGTGAGCCCCAGATCGTACCAACTGGCAGCTGGCCAACCGCAGCTAATCCGCTAATGACCTGTGCAGATCATGCAGCGTAGGCTCGGAATGCAGCGAACATGTCCTTGCTATTTTGCCGCGAAACTCTGGGACCTGGCGTTAGGTTCTGGAGCGGTTCCGTCCAATAAGCTTCAGTTAGATTGAGGCCAAGGACTGGAAGTAGCTAGAACGTGCAGCCACCATAAACGACGCCTCTCGCTGCAGGAGAAAAGAGGGCAAATACGCCGCCGTCAACAATGCGAACAAGAAGACAGGTGTCCCGGCGGCCGGCCCTACATTGCCAACGAGAAGCCTTTTGTCCCCGCCCAACATTGCATTGGCTGATGCCAAATGCTGACACGGGCGATGCCGTTGTCGTCAGCTAAAAAGACGCCGAAAAAATAGGCCTAAAGCGGCACCAGAATCCGATCGGAACGAGCTCACAGCAGCCGTTGAGCGGGCGATTGAGCCCATCTCGATCCTCTTACGTCCCGGATCCCCTAACGCCACTCTGGCCTTGCTTGCATGAAGCCAACTTGGCCCGCGCCGAACGGCTCCAAGCTTAGCGGTCGGTTTCTTTGATTACACTCCCGAGTCCATGCGCATTTTCGGGCGTCTTGAGACTCCATATAATAAAGGCTTTCTCCGGATGCCATGGTGGCTTGATCTGAGATAGCACCGTCAAGTCTTTTTGTTCAGTAATCGAGCACGTGTACGCAGAGTGCTTGCCGTACAGTCGAGGCTGCTGTAACGATGATCCAGGATCGGCTGTCGTTTCCCGCTGTCGGCGATGACGCCCACAACATTTTTGTACCGTCCGTATTGATAATGAGACAAAGGACCGAGAGATCAGGCGAGCGGCCGGGAACTGACAAGGCGCAGGCACAAGCGGATCGCCGTTGAGCTGGACCGAAGCGAAGCGGCTTGCGAGTCAGGACAAATGATGGGGTATCAGTGAAACCGGGAATGAATGCCAAGGTCACATACACGCTAAGGCCCGCTTACGAAGCTAGCGGCATGCCAAGCTAGGGTTGAACTCGTTTGTGCAGGTGCGACCGAGTCGACTGTCACAACAACAACAACAACAACACCACCGTTGTCAGCCTTGCCGAGACCTCTTTGGCGACCACGTGCATGCAAACCCGGGCGCATTTTTTTCTAACATTCATAAGTGTACAGAGAATCTTGCAACATGGCTACTGAGCTCGGCGACAAAGATGTGGCGCGCAACCCGTCACCCGCTGCCACCACGCATCAAGGCGACCGCCGCCCAAGCACTCCGGAAGTCGCAGACGTCAAGCCCGTCAATCGGGAAGCCAGCTACGGCTCTGGTTCGTCTGCTCCGCTGCCTTACGACGGTGGCGCGCCTCCCCTCCCTGACGAGCCCGTCCCAGACGCAGAGGACGACGGCTGGGAGCCTAGGTGGGCACACGAGGCTGGCGCATGGTATTACTTCAATCACAAGACCGGCATCTCGCAGTGGGAAAATCCACGCGTTCCAACCGCTTCCAACACCAGCCATGGCTACGACAGGTTTGCTAACTATCATCTTCTTTTTATGTCTTTCCCAGCCTAATACGTGCACTCGACAGAAACTTCTACGGTGGCCCCGCTGCTATGGCATCAAGCTCTGGCGCTCCAGGTACCAGCTCTCCGCCGAAGCGCAAGTGGGGCGGATACAACCCCAAGATCCATGGTAGCTTCGATCCTAATGCCGACTACGCCAAGGAGGCAGAAAAGGAGGAAGAGGATGCAGAGCAGGCTACCGCTGCAGCAGCTTTCGCCGCTCGTAACCCTGGCCATGGCTATACCACAACCGCTCAGTTCAACCGTTTCAACGGCAAACAGCAACAAGTTGGTCAAGGTCCGGAGATGCACAACGACGAGAACAAGAGCCGTCGCCAGATGAATGCCTTCTTCGATGTTGATGCCGCCGCCAATAGCCATGACGGACGTAGTCTTAAAGCAGAGCGTCGCGCACAGCCCCTCAGCAAGAAGCAGCTTAAGGAGTTCAACGAGAAGCGCAAGGCCGCGAAGGAAGCGAAGCGCAGAGCCTGGCTTCGTGATTGAGTGTGTGGGCGGTAAGAAGAAGAAAAGACAGTGAAGTTTCAAAACGACCACTAATGCAAGCTAGATACGGGCCATACCCTTGGACTCAGGACTGCACTTCTATTATGTCAAGGTAGGATCTCACGCTTCTTCTGGTGCCTTTGGATGCGACATTATAGCATGAAGGGACTACACACACGCCTTGGCTCTTTGTTCGTTCAGCGCCGTGGTATGAACTACACATGTTTCGCCTGGAAACGATTATTGCTCATCATGTACTCGAGCAAATAATCGATCATGACAGCCGGTCCACTTCTTGAATAGTCGTCTGGATATATGTTATATTACCAACAGGAGCAAGTCTCTTTTGCTCGTAGCTGCCGCTGGAGGATAGTAAACACTTTGTACTCTTCAGTGCATAACCCGTAGATACAATGGCATTTTTGTTGCCTTGTTCACCAACCAGACACTACTCCCCTTGTGCGCCATGTCCATCTTTGACGACTTTGCCTTTGCAATGTGCGCTATCTTGTGCAAACCCCTGCCACGTGGTTTTAGTCTTCGCCGTGAACCCAATGTCATCAGGGGCAGATTCGGTTCCTTGCAGCTGCAGGCCGTCAGCAATATATGTATATTACGGCCAACAGTCCGGATACTTCAGCCACCCTTTGACGCGGTATCCTGGGCACTTAGGTCCCCCATCTGCTTCCGGACGTCTTCTACCGTCGATCCAGTTGCGGTCCCTTGCGCCGATGCATTGTTGCCTTGGGCATGCTCTGCGTCTGCGTCTGCGTCTGCGTATGCATCTGCGTCTGCATCATCCATGTTCTCATCCGCGTTCTCTCCAGCTTCCGCTTCCGCTTCGCCAGTCTGTCCAATACCCTTCTCCAGTTCTTCCACAGCTCCAAGCAACCAATCCACTACTTCGTTCTTATCGTTGATCTCCGCCTCATAGACCGCATCGTGGCCGGCTCGGTTGATAATCGTGACATCAGCACCGGCTTGTATGAGAAGTTTTACGCTTTCGAGATGGCCGTTCAACGCAGCCCAGTGGAGGGGGGTGTTGCCTGCCTCGTTGACCGCGTTCAGGAATGCTGATTCAGGCTTCTCGGCGCCGGTCGAGAAAAGCAGCTTGATGATGTCTATGCCAGATATTAGATATGCTTCTTATCACGAACACCTAGGGATATTACCGTTGTGACCATTAGCAGCAGCATAGTGTAGTGCGCTATTCTTCGAATATGGGTCGATAGCCGCAGTGAATAGTTCGGCCTTTGATCGCTTCGTCTGCGTGGACAGTTCGGAGACATACGAATCGAGCTCGGCTGCTTCGTTCGCTCGCGCCAGGTACAAGACCTCGTCTATAGCATCTTCGTCTAGTCCTGCCATCTTTGCTTGTCGGCTTACGCTTCGGGTGTCTCAGTGATTCTCAGCAAATATTTTCTGAAAAGTTTGCCCAATAAGGAAAGCGGGGGCGGGGTACACGACACTAGCCCGATGAGTGGTAGCTCTCGAGCAAATTTCCCAGGGCTGTAATCCATCGTCCATCACCGGTGCTGCACCTGTCCACTCGTCACTTTACACATGCAAGTGCGCACGCTTCCCGGCTGTGCACTATACTCAATCAAGGGTTTTTAACTCACCATCTTCCTCTCATTAGCATAAAATCAATTCGATACAGCACCCTTACTGCAGATCCTGCACTGTTAATGAGCAAGTATAGCAATCAATCTATGGAAGCGCTAGAAGGCCAACACGCATGCACGAATTATGACGTGCAGCACGATGCTCTAGCTTCTCTAACGACCATCGGCATCTGCCGAATTTCATATTCAAAAATACCCCTTGCTCACTTCTGCGTTTGACAGTTTCTCTCTCACATCGGCTTTGCCTGGCTGACAAAACATCTGAGCACCACAAGAATTTCGTGTTTCCTGAGTTATATTCCTGGAAATCTATTCAACTGCCATCCTTTCGACTCTCACGATGGTATCCGTGAAACGCAGCGCAGTATTTTTGCATGCGTTCAAATGTAGGATATAAATTGGGAAACAAGAGCTTTCTTGCAAAGCACGCTGCATACATGCCAGGAACCCACTGTATACGGTTCACAGATTGTATTCTTCTATGAATACATTCGATGATTCGGACGTGTGGCTGTGTTACATCGGAAGGAAGCCTCTCGCCAACTTGGAATTACCCGGTTGCCGTCCTACGTTGAAGCGGCAAACTGGGTTCATATGAGCCTACTCTGGCTATTCTACTTTGTTGAGAAGCAAGACCAACAGAAATGGACCTAGAACGCGCAATCGATATTTTCCACTGCACTTCCTACCATATGGTGTTGCATTCATTTACGACTTGTAGAGAGAAAGCGTCTACCTACATGCTGAACTACGTCATGCACGCATATCGCTCGCCTGCACCTGCCATTTAGCACTCGGTCCAACGAACTCAGAACGGGTCGACTGCTTGGTGGTGTTCCCACTCACACCTTCATCCTTCCGCTAACCCTTGCCAGAGCATAGATTGCGCAAGGACCTTGATCCATGAACCTGGTCTACCCGCGAAGATCCAAGATCACAACGGGCTTAGGCAAGCAACTACCTCGGAGCCAACACTACACATCTTACCGAGGCCGTTTCAGAGCTCCAGCTTAGATTCCCACCAATAATTTCTCGGCGATATCGGACCGATTCTGAACGTCTAATCAGAAATCATCAGATGTCAGTCCGGCTTGAAAAGATTACACTATTTTGGCGCTTCTATGATCAACGTTCGGACATGTGATAGCGAGCCTTCCCGCTGGGATCGACGCGGACCTTGTCATCTACCTAAATGAAACTGGTATATTGTCCGTTCGGATCACAGCCGAACCCAGTCATGTAAAATTATGACCACTTTGGTCGGGCTGATGTTGATGGAAGTTTAACTTCAGGTACGCTCCACACTCCGCGCCTGTCTCTCAAAACACTCTTGTCCGCTCCGGTCTGTTGGCAATCATCAGGCATATCGCTTGCCGAAAGCAGACAGTGTCCGACAGTTCACCTTAGTGCACGATATAGCCGTGTCCCCCGAATGGCGACTTGTCATCAAGGGAAATCGCTCCGCGGTTAACACGTTCAGCAAGCAGAAAGAGCATAGATCTCCAGACTTGTAGCCCTGTTCGCAGTCGTTGCCTGATGTGGAGTCTCTTGCGCAGCTACGTACAAACCGGAATCGTTCCCGCCATGTCATCTACTTTGCAACCAGATGACAACAATGGAGTACATTCAAGGGCACTGCACGCGCCAGCAACAGAATGAACGATCTCAATAACGGCACAACCGACACTTGCACGCTTCTGTAGTGCAATGTCACTGCCATTGGCATTTCACAGACGTTCTCAAAGTTACTTTACTTTTTAGCCTCCCACGCCGCACACTAAGTTACCCCGCGGACGTGAGAGCCGTAACGACGCCTGCGCTAAGGCTTGTGCAAGGGGGAGAGGCGGCATTTGAAAGCCACCACATCAATAGTGATTACTGCAAATGGTTTGGCGCAGGCGATTTACCGATGCTCGACTGATGGAAGCCGCGTATTACCTTTCGGAGGTGTGGGTACCGCAACATTAGCTCTCGGCCCACATTGCCCTGCTGCTGCGCCGTGTGGCTGCATCAACACCAACACTTGTCGCCAGGCCGTTTGTCCAGAGGATTCGTAAAGCAACAGGATTCCGCCTCAGTTTCGAGCCGCCGAAGCCTATTCCTATGTGGTAATCCTCGAGTCAGCAGCGCATAAAGCCTTATGCAAGACATGGTGTCACACATCGGCAAAGAATGTTATTTCTCCACTGAGGCTCGGTAAGCTCATAACGTCTACACGATTGTCGATCGGTGTGATAGCCTGGCTTTAGGTGCCGTTAGCTGCTTGAAGTGTTGAGAAGGACAACGTATGATTCTTTGAGAAATCCACTCAGGGTAATCAAAGAATGCGCTCACGAGGTCATTGCTTCGATAATCACGTCTAGGCGGGCCTTCGTTCCTCTACACAAATCCTTCAGCATAGGATTCTCGGATCAGGGTCACGCTAACCTTCCTTTTGGCTAGCCAATCAGCTAGTCACGGCAGGCTATCCGAAGGCGAGACCCTTCTTGCATGAGGGCTGTTACTACCGTCACTGCCAGCCAGACGGGAGTAACTCCTACCGTCCAGAATACTGATCAGGCCCCCTCTTATCTCACATGACTCGGGACATCGTGATATCAGGCATTGCAATGTTTGATCAGTTGTCAAGTCGTCATGCATTATGATAACATGTCTCGAAAGGAGTCATGATGGCTCCATAGCATGCGTACTTCCTTTCAAATCTAGACTAACACTCTACGACCGGGCGTTTGGAAAGGCGTTGATCCCGCGGTCCGACATAGAAGCTTTCGAATCGCTTCAATAGCGGCAGAGGTGTGGGTGGTAGGTCGCAAACGTAATCCCCCCCTCTCGGTTGCACGAGAGAGAAAGTCAAAGGATGCCCAACGCTCAATTACGCTATACGGGCATGCAACCCATTTGTTCTTCGCATGTCAGCTCGCAAACGAGGTTGGTGACATGCGTCTATGTGTATTAGCGAGGTAGCTATACATGTCGAAAATGTGATGGCGGTGCTTTAGTGGACGGAGCGAGTGCTGTTTGTCGATGGTTTTTCCGATATGGCTTTCTTTTTCCCATTACAGCGGGTGAGAGATTGGGGGACGAGCTGACGCCCTTCCCTACCTTGCTTATTTCCCTGCGTTCTCTGCCATTGTAGCTCATCACTTGCTCTCTGGAGCGTTGTGTTCGAAGAAAACCTTCTAACTGTCCAGTCGAAGCTGAGAGACAATTGCCCCTCAGACATGTAGTGGATCGATATCAGCTGAAGGGGCGCACCATGATGCTAGATATGACATTGTGATCACTTGAAAGTGGGGTATGCTGATCTACTCTGATTCTCATACCATTTTTACTCGTCTCTCGCAATGATTGATACTTGGATCTCTCTTCAATAGAAACTCCTGCGCAAGCTTTCACGCCTAGGGGCTCATTCAGGGATTCAGGGGTTCACGTATGAAACAGCACTGCATTGCAAAGCATGCCACGTAGAAATAACTTCCATGGCACTCGCAATAGTTTCTTGTATCGATCGAGTCAATCGGACAATCAACGACTGCCGTATAAGCAACCCGGCCCTTTATTAGCGCCTCCAACCCGGCCCTTTGTTGGCGCCTCCAAAGCGGCCCACGACTACATGACTCAACCCAATTTATGCATTATACACACTCCTGCCGTGCCTACTCGTGTATGCCGCCTAGAAGTTAGTCTGACACACTATAGTCGTCAGTGCAACACAGGCAGGCTCACGGAGCATGTATGAATGAATATGCAGGCAGACTATGCCCATAAAGGGCATTTGGACATTTAAGAGATATCATAATACCGAGAGGCCGACAAAAGCGCTCATACTATGCTACGCTAGCTGAGCAATACTTTACGAAGTCTACATAGAAAAGGAAACAGAAGCTTGGCCCTAGGCCACGCTATGTGGTATGAAGAAAAAAGCTGAAGCTGGTGGTGGTACATGAATCCGAAAACGCCTCTTGCACATGACTTCGTGCTACATGCGTATATCATCGACGCCGTACCCATATCCAAGAACAAACAAACTAAGAAAAACCGCTCAGTCTTCAATGAGCGCGCCTAAGATCAAGCTCTGAATGACAAACTCCGCGCATGTAACCTTGACCTTTTTCCCACCGACTTCTCCTTTAGCAAGGAGTTCTTCGTGCACTTCAGCATCGTCCCTCTTCCTCTTCTTGCCTTTCTTGGGTTTGCCACTAGCAGCAGGCTTCTCGGTGCCGAGTAAGGTCGCGGCAGCCTCAGCAACACCGCCTTCACCGTTGTCAACATACACCCAATCCCACTTGCCGTTGGTGAGCATATCAGATGCGGCGACAAGGTCAGCGCACCGACCCACTGTAGCGGAGCCAAGAGCGTGGGAGAGGAAAATAAACGGCTGTCGTTTTTCGATTTCCTTCTTCGATTTGCCGGTGATGAGGAGGACATTCTGGTCTTGAAAAAGAAGGTCACGGCCCTGGATGGTTTGGGCGAAAGTGAGGTCCTCGCCAGCGGGGTCGTAGGGTGTCATTGTGCGCGACCGCACGACACCGTTCGGGTCAAGAAACTTTGAAACACCAGCGGGTAGAAGGTATCGCATAAACGGTGCGGCGCGGGACGTGTTGAGCGAGTCATGGATCCAGCGGAGATGCAGACATGGAACGTTGAGCGCGAGTGCTTGGATGTATTTGGTGCTGCGAGAATGTGAGTCCGAGATGAGGGCAACGAAGCCCAGGTCTTTGTATGCTTGTTTGAGCACTAACCCAACTGATCCTTCGATGGTAGAGGCTGACCTACGGCGACTCTGGGACGAGGTTGGTGCTTCGGCTGGCTCACTCTCAAACAGCTCGTGAAAACCTTGTTCTAGGACCTGTCCGCCATTGCTCTTGATCTGTCTAGCAACAACCTCCTTGTCCACATCTGCTGCTGTAGAAGTCAGGACAAAAGCCATATTCGTGAATACACCGCTGCCGGATCGAACGGTAGATGCTACAGAAGCTGCGCGTGTAGTGACATCTTTCAGTAGCGATGGTACTGCCGTTCCTCGTCGGGTGAAAGAAGGCGTCGTAAACGGATCGGCAACAGGGGTGCCAATGTGAGAAGCCGACTTGGCGGGTGAGATGAGCGGAGAAAAGTTGAAGGATCGATCGCGAAGTCGATTCCAAAGTCCAGCTGTCAAGTATATGCTAGCCATGGGTACCGAAATGTGCTCAGCTGACTGTATTGCTTTGCCTCTCGATAAGCTCTCCCTGGGTCGCTCCTCGAGAATTATAGTCGTGTATCCGCGTTGATCAGTAGTGGGAAACTCCTCGCCACCGAGATCGTCGATCCTATCCTTGAAACCGACAACAACGTAAGTGTTTTTCTTCATGCCAGTCTCATCCACCTTGACATGATCACCCCTGCGGAGATTTAACGCCCGAACATGTATTGCATCCATTGACGTGGTGTTACCGTCGTCGTAACGTATCTGCAGCTGGCGGGCAGTTGCGCGGCCGATGCACGTGGCAGGGTAATAATGGCTCCCCGGCCAGGACGCAAAGACTCGGTTTGGCACAATGACTTCCCCTGGTGGCGTTGTAGCTCGTTGCGATAAGCTTTCTAGCGGTCTTTCAACGTTGCTTGAATGGGGTAAGGAGCTAATGGGCTCGTCCGGCTCCATATCAGCGTCAAGCATCTCGACATCGGCTGGCTTGGGATCGACTATTTCCCGAGGCTTTGTGGGTGTGAGCGGAGTGCTTGTCCGAACACCTAAAGAAGCTTTTGATTTCGCTGGTGAGTTCGCTGGTGACGACAAGCTCTGCAGGAGTTCTCTTGACACAGGTTTGAGAGCACCCTGTCTCTCTTTCTTGGGCCTACTGGGTTTTGGCAAGGCTTTTGACTTCAGCGACGTCGTTCGTTTGTACGGGGCTTGTACCGCTTCTCTTTCGCGCGTGGCGGCAAGAGCGCCTTGGTCTTCTCGTGCGCGGGCTGATGCAGTTGGCGAGGTATTGTCAAGTGCTTGCTGCATCTGTTCGAGACGGGGTGACGAAGGCGGGTCTGAAAGTGATTCCGTACCCGTTGTGGCTTTCGGTGGACTGCAAAAGGCATTGCGCTTTGCGGTATATGTGACCCTGCGCCTTTTCGTTGAGAGTTGGGCTGGTGAAGTTGTAGCCATGAAAGCATCGTCATCGTCTTCGAGACCACTCAATCGCGGCATCTCAACTTCTTCCTCCACTGCTGACTGCTGTGTCTCAGGGAGATTGTAGATATCATCGATAGAGTGGATACGGTTGCCCCCCCGGATCACATCGCTTCCATTATCTCTTGAGCTGACGGGAGCCGGCTTGTTTGACTCAGATCTCAAGTGTTCTTCTTGAGCAGTTTGGAAAGCCTCTGTACTGTTGGTGTCACCAGGTGCAGTAATCTGGTCCTCCGCGGCTTCAGCAGGAGTCTTGTCTGAAAAGAAAGAGGGCTGTGTCTCGTCGAGTGCATCAGTTTCTGGAACAGTATTCTGACGTCGCATACTCGGTGGTTTGGGTGGCTCTTTCATCTCGTTGTGCTGTGCCGGGTTGCGATATTCGACATCATCCATAGGCTGATCTTGTTCGAATGTCTCTGAAATTTCCTGCCCGGTTCCCGGATCCACCTTGCCGGGTTGGACCAGATCCAATTCCTCACCCGGCCTTTCAATTTGGTGCTCTAAGGTAGCCTCGTGTTCCAGATCGTCTTTCGCAAGCGGTAGATCGTCGTCTTCATCCATGACTGTGTCTTCATCAATGGTCGGTGTCGCAGTGTCCCGCTCAGCTGCTACCTCCGCATACTCGTCATAGGTGTGCTCATCGTACTCCAGATCGCCTTCTTCGACGTCCTCATCGTCGGGTCTCAAGAGGGGAGGACTGCTTGGTACGCGCTCTTCGCCGTCGGGGGTCTTGCCTTCATCCGTGCTAGACTTGGGTGGCATTGGAGGCATTGATGAGGATATGACCTGACTTGTATACCCCGTCTTGGTAGCCATGGTAGTTTGGTTGATGCTGTATTGGTTCATCGATGGTGATGACGGGAACCGTAGCGATTTTGGTCGCGGTACACTATCAAAATCGGCAGTCGCATCTGGTTGCGAGTCCATGACAGCGACTGATTCCCTGCTGCTATGTGGTCGGTTCGTTTCTCGTAGATATTGCTGTGCCCCCGAGTTTTGTGGTTGTAATTCGCGTTGCAGCTGCGAGGAGGAAATTCCTTGCTGGGTAGAGTTCCGTGAAGGCTGACCTGAAGGGGTGCGGTAAGGGTGCGAAGAGGTCTTGGGAACCTGGACGCTATTGTCGTTGCTATTACGTCTCGCTGCAGTCCGTGCGGTATGGGTCGCGTTCTGTGACGTCTCGTCGGGGTATTGTTCGGTGTTGTTCTCGTTCACTCCGTTCAGCACAATGGGTTGTGACGCCTCGTCCATTGTCTCGTCGTCGTCGTCGTCATCCTCCTTATGAAATTCGCTGTGCACGCCGCTTCGCGCATTCTTCAACTTGACGGGCGATGGGTGCCAGACGTCTGCCACGCGCTTCCTCCCGGATCGCGGTACCAATGGTGTTGGTACTGAGATATGCGATAAGGAGCTGGCAGCCCGACGGTGAGCATGCTCCTTCGCCTTCTGCGCCTTCACTTTCCTGGTAAGCTCCTGCCAGCTATCCTGCTCTACAACCATGCTATGCTCGTCTCCCACGGAGTTCTTCCGCCTCTCTTGTGACTGCTCCATTGTAACGTAATCGGCTCGTGGCTCGCTGGATGACCGCACGACAGGATCTGATTTCGGAGTTTCGGGTTGCATGGCTTTGATAGGGCTGGAGTAGGCTGGAATCGGACTGGAGTGTCTCAAGTGGCTGAAATTGGGCGAAGGGCGTGTGAATACAACATCTTCAGCAACTCCGCCCACAGCGGGCGAGGTAGGCGCCTGGGTATTATTGAAGGCTTGTGTAAGAGAGATGTGCTGTAGTCCGCCATCACCCCCATTACCAAATGCTGGGAAGAACAATGAGGGTGAAGCAGCGGTGGCGGGTGTGGTATTGATGCGCATGACTGAACTGGAGCTGCCCCTGTTCCTATTTGCCAATGCCGGTGTCTGGAACTTGAGAGGACTTGTAGGCGCCATGCTGTTCTGTGCATCTGCACGTTCGTCGGCATCGATTACGGTAGGGCTCGTAGGCGTCGGCATATGCTGGTCTTGGCTGGATGAGACTGTATCCATCTCGTCTGTAGGCAGGTCGTCGTCATTGTCGTCGTCCGAATGCTCAATGAAGAGTGATTTGGCAGCAGTGAACTCTTTGCCCTCGCTAGTATATATGCCACTCGTCCATGTCTTCAGCATCTGACTATCCGGCTGAGTGTCTCCGGGCGCGTCCATTATATTGAAACTGTGGTACATATTGAATGCCCTCTCCCTTTGATTTATGTTGCCAGTGGTTGTGGGCGCGCTGTGGTGTTTGGGCAGGGCAGGCTTGACATGTTTTGCGGTCGCGGCGCGTCGTGGGGAAAGAGCGCGATTGGACGGGGAAAGCGCAAAAGGCAGGTGCGAGGAGGCTGTCAAGATGGAAGGAGCGTGATTGCCTGAGTAATGACCCTCAGTCGATGTGGTGAAGTGGAATGGCTTGTCGCTGCAGGCCCGCTGCCTGAGGGCCTGGGAGAGTTGAGATGGGTCCTTGGTGTGGCGTCAGTCAACTCCAGCGATCGGCGACCGGGGTGTGACACGCTATCTCAGACGCGACGAGGAAGACAGGTACTTACATCATAGAAGAGGTCCCCAAGCACTGTGGGAGCTTGCGAGTCTTCCATTGCGAAAGCTCGTGTCCGAGTGCACTCCGTAGCAAAGTGCAGCTTCTCACTGTTCACGGGTCTTACCTGCAATCAGCCGAGACGGTTACGCGCCAATTGACGCGTAGTCATGTGCCAGTCAGTGACCAAGCGCAGCGCTTTCTTTCTTCGCCGTCTTCGGTACGGAGTGACGCACTTTACCGCACTTGTGAATCATGGAATGATATATTGGCATTGCTTGCTTGCTGATGCTACATGCTGTGCATACGGTCTGACCAAAGTTAGGCACCAACATACCATGTCCTATCCATCAAGATCTGTCGTATGGCCTACATAAGACTTCTTTTGCATGTGACGGACAGGGTGGTCGCATGTGTTCATGCACCTTCTAATACATCGATCCTGATGCCGTCGCGCATAGCAGTATACGGTATGTTTGCCATTTACTCGGGCGGTATGCATCACAATCATCTAGTTCCATTCCTGGCCGAGAATATGCAAAGAAAGAACTTGTCATTCAATTGACATACACTTTGTACAGATGTTGCCGGCCCATTTGCCATCCTTCCGAGATGTGCTTCACTTCAAACCTCACACATCCCTCCTCTTCCAGCGTATTTATCTCATCTCCCTTCTGCACACCTCCTTTGTCTCTCCTTGACCTTCAGCTCGTCCCCTTTCTTTCCCCTTGTTTCCTCACTCGCTCCACCTCGAATGCTACCCGCTTATCCAAGGAAGGTGTAGTAAAGGCTGAAGGCGACGGTCAAGCCGACAGCAGTCCATCCCGTTCGGATAACCTGCTGGTTCTTGAATCCGATACCGACGTCCCAAGCCAAATGCCTCAAGCCGTTGAAGCTGTGGAAGAAGAAAGGGAAAGCGTAGAAAGCCTTCAGTCCCGCCTTCACAGCCGCAGGCCAAGCAGCGACGGTCGCTACCATCGACTGGGTTTCAAGGTGCCACCCAGTGTAAGGAGCGATAAGGTAGGCGATGCCGAAGAGGTAGAGGGAGCCAGACAGTGTGATGCCGGTGATTCGGTTCAGCGATGAGGCGTACCAGGTGATTTGCGGCTTGTAGATGGCCAGGTGGGGGGAGACGGGGCGGTTGATGCGCTGTTTCGCGAGGATCTCGGCGGCTTCGGACTGTGATGCGTGTTCCGTTGCTGCGAGTCTACATTATACATTGTTAGCATCGCTGTGCGCATGAGTAGTAGTAAGCAATGTGGTGGTGAGGAGAGCTTGATGCTACTATGACATACCTCCGCTGGACCATACGTCCCGCAGGTTGTACCCTCAGACCAGGCGCGGCCGCCCGTCGCAGACCAAGCTGAAATACCCGCTGAGAAGCCATTGTGCAGTTTCTCCGATGCCAATCGACAGAGCTGTCAGGTGTCGTGTGGTGGTTGTCGACCGTCTATGATGCGCAATGCCGCCAGCCCAAATCTTCCCGATTCCCGAGGTCCCCTTACCGCCCAATCAGCAGCTCAGCATTACGCGACTTAGTCATCCACTTTGCGGACACCCGATATTTTCTCGCGTGCGCGCTTCCAACTTCCTTTCCCTCACGAACCTCGATATCGCCGGCAATGAGCGCTTGCGTGCTGAACTGCGGGAGTGACGGCCTACTTTGTCTGCTGGCGTTATGTCAGTGGATGGGGCTCAGGAGGGATCGGAGAGGGACTGCCTGTATTAATCGCTTGTGTTGACCAAGACTATGTCTGCACGAGTTTCATATCAAGGCTACATATTGTGCTTTTCGCGTGATGCCTGTAGCTGTCTCGCTGCACCATGCACGCCTCTAGGCGTTCTTAGATGCGAAATCTGGAGAGTAATGCCCTGCACGATCCTAAGCATTGCTGCGTCGCGCTTTCGTTATCCAACTTCGTCCTTCTGTCGTATGAGGTTGCCGTGTAAAGTTTCTGACTAAGAAGCTCGGCCTTCACATTCACTTTGTGCACATGATATCGTTTGTTGAGCCAGACGTCAAGACCATATGGCATTCGATCATGGTTGGGTCCAAGCAACGTTACCACGCGTGGTGATTGCAAATTTTCTTCCCTTCGACCTCGTCCCTGCGTTTTTCGCAATTACGTGAACTCTGTCTTTCATCCGCCACCTGTGCAGCAACAGCACTAACAAACATTGCCTGAAACTACAAATGGCGCCTCTTAAACAGGTCCTCAGCACCGACGCCGGGCTTCCAGCTGGCTCGTACATCTATAAAATTATTTCAACAGCGCCGCGACAAGACCCTCTCACATACTCTTTGACCGACCAGATAGCCTTTATATCTTCAGACGACTCTTTACGCTTTCATGCCCCAGACTTGAGGCCAGATGGCGTGATTGCGAACGCTAATGAAAATATAACATGTCTGGAAAGAGCGAACGATGCTCCTAGCAATGCTGTCGCGACAGCAGGACGTGATGGATTGATTAGGTTCTGGGACAAGAGAAGCAAGCAAAAAGCTCTGGAAATTGAGAGTCGTGAGTGTTGACGCTGTCGCTAGTTCAGCTAGACATGGATAATGGAAGGCTGATGATCAGCGTAGCACATAAACTCGTTTCAGCGCTGGTATGCGACGCGGAAAGAAACTTTGTCGCCGCTGGTATTGAAAACCCCGAAGACGGTCCCAATAGTTCTCCAGTCTATATATGGTACTTCGCCATATACCTCTTTAATCAGTGCCTCCTTTACTAACTCATTGTTAGGGATCAGCGCAACCAGTCAGCCCCTCTCCGCTCATACGTCGAGTCTCACACCGACACCGTGACAAACCTCTCTCTACATCCTTCTCACCCCACTCTGCTCCTATCAGCTAGCACAGATGGCCTACTTAACATCTTTGACACTGCCCAAGCCGATGAAGACGATGCATTGTATCAAGTTGTTAATCATGGATCGGCTGTTGCACATGCAGGGTTTATGTATCCTGGCACTGACATCTATGCGATTGGCACAGATGAGACAGTGAGTTTCTTCGCACTACAGAGCCAAAAAGAGGACGAAGAGGAGCCAGCCCCGAAGGTTTGGGGCGACGTTAGAGAAGATTTGGGGTGTGAGTATGTGGTCGACCTAGGATGGGTTGGGCAACAAGCCTGTATTGCAGCGGGAAAGCATAGGTATGTTCATTATCCGCGAATCATGCTGAAGTAATCAGGAAGTGCTGACTTGTTACAGCGAGAGCCAGCTCAACCTCATCCCAATAAACAAGGGTAGTAACGGACCTCTGGATTATAGTTTTGATCTTGAGAAAAGCATATCCTTTCCAGGCGCCCACAGCGAGGAGATTGTTCGCGACTCTTTCACTGATGTCCACGTAGGCATATTTCATTCATTACGACTTGATCTCTTATAGCTAACAACCTTCATAGACAGACACAACATACACATGCGGTGAAGACGGTCAAATCCGCGCCTGGAAACCCTCAGAAGAAGGCAGAATGGATGTTGACGAAGGGGCTGGATCGGCGAAAAAGAGGCGCAAAGACAAGAAAGAGAAGGCAAGATTCAAACCGTATTAAAGAGCTACTTTCAAGAAACAAGCCCTTCTCACCCAAACATGCTTAACACAGCATCAAGTCGGAAACTGAGGGTGAGATAGGAGACGTAAAGTTTCACTTGCACTTTCTAACTTCCATTGACCCCAGGAAGTGACAATGCACATGCGATATTACATGTGGATCACAAGCTTGCGCTTTGAATGGGTCTCAACTTAGATTCCCAGCAGAAATCCAAAGATCTCAACCAAAATACACCTCAACCATATGTCTTGTCATGCCATGTCACCAGTCAGCGAACTCCAGTCCTGGCTGCTGTCGGTCAGGGAATGGAACTCATCAATGACCTCCAAATCTCCATCACAAAGATGTCTCATAGAGGTGCTTTCTTGTTCCGAGTTGCCTATACGATACATAGGATTATTGCCTGTCTTGACCTAGGATGCGATACTACTACCACTATCGTTAATGTAGTAGAGAGCTGCAAAGATCGTTTAACGAGCACCTTGACCTAGTAAGTGGCGGGTGCACAAGAGCTTCATCTCACAGACGCTACGCAGTGGAGCGATATTGGGAACATCTTGAGATATGACATCCTAGCCCGATGAGAAGTTGGACCGGTGTCATGTTATCGATACGTTCGAGGTGGAAGAAGGCACAAAGGGAGAAGATCCCCTTCTCTGAAGAGCCACAGGTAGTATGAATGGTCGCGTAAGATATTCGCCAGCGGGACTGGATTTGACATCGTAAAGACTAAAGAAATGAAGGAGCTTGTCACCCTAACTAAGTACTGTCAAAACTCAACACTGGACCCATTGAATGCGTAAAGTGCAGTGTAGTGCAATGCCAAGTATACATCATCGGACTAAGCCCTCGACAGAACCCTCGCTTGTCGCTCGCCCACCTACCGCGGAAGCTAACGTTTCATCCCAGCCACCCAAACAGGCACAGCATAACCGTTTCATCCCTCCACCCCCTCCCGCCATTAACCCAACGTCTCGCAAAGCGCCTAGAAGCATCGTTCCTGTATGATCTGCGTATCGTGATATGCCTCGCCACAAGGACGCCTGAGCGCCAAGGTATCCATTTCCTTCATGTGCCGCCCTCCGCCAGGCTCGATGTGGCCGTGTGGCCGTGTTTTCAAGGCCAATGCAACCGATTGTGTTGTTTTGTGTTTGTCTCGTGTGTTTTCTACCGGTGGGAGTTTTGCGCAGGATGCAAATATGTGAGATGCAGTACGGATGTTGCGGCCAGGAAGGTAATGCGCCTGCATCGTGAGGTTTTTCTTGCCGAGGCAGCAACAACCAGCTTCCTGAGGCTGTGTGTATAAGAGGTGCCTGGTATCGCGTAGAACAATGGACTCATCAGCATCTTCAACTTCAGTCTTCTCTACTACTCTCTACTTCGCTCTCATTCAATTCTATTTCTTCCGCTGGTCGGTTCTTCATATCAATAATCACTTAACATAAACACTATTACCGAAACCTTCAATACCCCAAACAACAAAACAATCCAACCGCCAAAATGAAGTTCACCATCTCCGCCGTTGTTCTTGCTCTCTCTGCCCTGGCGACTGCCATGCCCCAAGGCGCCAACGCCAACCGTCCTGTGCCTGAGGGCGCTTGCTGTGTCGCAAACACCAGCTTGAAGCAGGATGTCTGCACTGTCAACGGAGTTAGCGGTCGATGTGTTCCCGATTCAATCAACAACTGTAAGTCTCCCATATGCCCGGGTATCATAGTGCGCTTAAGCTCATCACTTCTACACAGGCGGTACCCAATTGACCTGCATTGAGGACAACCGATTGAGCTGTGACCCTAACACTCTGGAGAGGGGCCGACCTCTCTGCCGCCGCATCCAAGGCGCGTAGATGATTGATACTGGGCTTGGGAATTGGAGGAAAAGCGAAAACTTTTACGTTATAAAGATCAGTATGGATTGAATTAGACTTAGTGGCGGTAGAAGGAGCTGTGGTACCCGGGTTCGATAGTAGCATCGGCTACGTTGAACGACAACTAAGATGCTGTATCGTCTTATTTACTCTTATCTGATCGCTTTTGTGATGCTTTTGTGTGGTGGTTGCGGGTCTGAACAGTGCGAAGATGCACGACCGTCACATCGCCCGCACTTTAACAACTGTGAACCTTCTATGGCATGTCACAAACAGTCCCGCCACGGTCATCCGTCTTTAACGGCACTTGGGTACCGCATCATCATTTCGACTCAGGAACCGACTATCTCTACAGAACTTATCGCGCTCTGCTCCTTCACCGCCATCTATCGCTAAATCCTACATTGTATGCTGCACTGAAGAAACACATCAGCGCCATGGAAAACGACAAGGCTCTCATGCAGCAGATTGGGGTGTTGGAAACTTAAGCTTAGCATTTGGAAAAGGATAACGCAAGACTGCGAAGGCTTGATCACGGCTGTGCTATTAAGTGAGCATGCTTTACAGGTGTACCGGTTTACATCAAACTTGATTTTCGAGCGTTTTGAATAGACGGGATGATTATGGGGCGGTCCACTAAGAAGGATGAATGGTCAATTTTAGATGGGAATCTCGTTCTTGTTTACTTCCGGCTTTTGACAAACTGCAGTATGCGGGAAAAGGCCTATGGCATGTTCTTGTTCGGCGCTCCTTGACCCAACTTGAAGTAACCTGGGTGAAGCTTCTGGAATACCTGAGCAGGGTCGTACTTCTTGCTCACAGCGATCAGCTTCGCTACGTTCGCCGACCCATAACTTGCAAGAGGGTCCTCGAACTCGCTCGCGTAGTTCATATAGATGTAGTTATTGTCCAAGCCTTTGCTTTTCGCATGAGCCTTGATCTTCTGCATGACAGTCGAGAAGAATCTGAGGACAGCGGTATCATCCGAAGCCTTATTCCACCAGGCGCTCATATTCATGACAAAGTAAGGACTCTTGCCGGCATCAAGGCCTAGCGCGTTGCCACCGTTCTTCTGCATACCCTTGAGTTGGCCTTCGGTAATAGCCTGGATGGAGATAAATGGCGAAAGGCCTTCGACAGCTTGAATCTCGGGTAGAAGCGTGTAAAAAGTATCAACGAGGTAGGCGTAAAGCTCGCGGTCAACTTTGAGAGACACGTCCCACATTGTTTGGCGATTACCGAGGTCTTCCTCCGCCCTACCGCCGTTCATCTTCATGGTCATATTGGCCAGCGTGCCAAATGCTGTGTCGTCCATCACGGGAGAAAGAGCTCGGATCTCGTCGAAGACAGGAGGGTCAGCGACAGGTTGAGCGTAGTGTGTTTGGACTATCGCGATTTTTCCAATACTGGGAATGGAACTAAAGGACTGCGTTTGGTTAGAATATCGCCGACGCCGAAATTAGAAGATACGTACAACAATCTCAGCAGCATCGGTATCCTTGGAAGACCCAGTGACGGCGAAGTTGTAAAGAGCATCGAGCACGCCGGTGAAGTTGTTTTCTGTGAAGATGCGCTGACCACCCCACATTTGACCAAGCGGGAATGCATCAAGTTTGAAGTTGGTAACGATGCCAAAGTTCCCGCCGCCGCCCCGAAGTGCCCAGTATAGATCTGGGAATGTCGTAGGGGTAGCGGTTACCACGAGACCAGAGGCTGTGACGACTTCGTAGGCAGCAACGTTGTCACAGGCCCATCCCGCTTTGTTGGAGAAGAAGGAGATACCACCACCCAATATAAGACCCGGAACGCCAACTGGCGCCATCTAAACCAATATTAGTAAAAAAAAAGTACATAATGCGCTTTCTAGCTGGACTTACTCTACCGCCAACGACTCCGAGGCCGGACTTCTCAAGCTTGTTGTATACATCTACCCACAAGTTTCCGGGGCCGACATTAGCATACCTTTTATCGTTCGAAACCGCAACAGTATCGAACCTTTTCATTGAAACGGTGATACCACCTTCAATGCTCGATGCACCAGCAAAGGCAGCATGACCGCCACCCTTGACAGCAAAAGGGCACTGCGTCAGACGTGATATCAAGACTAAAGATGACACTTCCACTGTGCTGGAAGGCTCAAATATACACCGAGGATTCAATGCGCCCTGTTGGGCAGCCCAATATGCACCAGTGAAGGCGTCATAGGCGGAGGTTTGCTCCGATAAGAGCTTTCCGCTGCCGTATATGAGCTTTAGCGAAGAGCACTATTTCTCTGTCAGCGTTATCGGTACCATGATAGCTTGGTAAAGAGGTGACGTACAGCAATCGAGCAGCCACTGGGTGACGTTCGTTCCACCAAATCTGGGAGCTGAGGGATGGCGGAGACATTGACGCCGTTCGCGATCAAAGCCTCAGTCACATTGAAGTCAACGGGTTCGAAGGTCCCAGCCTGAGCTGAAACAGATGCCAGGAAGGCGCCAAGGGAAAAGAAGGATTTCATCCTGGGTCCGGTGGGTAGGAAGAAGAAACTTGGGCGTGAACCAAGAAACCGGGTGCAATGGAGTGCAGGTTCGATCTAAGTTATTCCACTATTATCGCTGCGGAAACATATGGACCCCTAATTTGGCAATCGATCGTCCAAATTGACAGTTATGCTAAAAGTTCGATATTAGTATAAGAAAACGTCACTTTTTGCATTGCAGGCGATTTGTATTCACTATATTGCAGTTCTATAGGGGTAGAAGCCTGGAGGGATGAAAGCAGAAAAGATGAGATGATAGCTTTAGACTGACCTATCGGATGAGATGGGAGTAAGAAACTTACCGTGTAGGTGGTCAAAGCCGTCACCAAACCTCCGTAGAGAGACCGGATGGAAGCTCTCTTACTCCTTTGTTTCACCTTCACACTCTATACAGGCCCCTATACGTCTTATACACCTATATAATTGCAATAGGAGTGAATAGAAATTATCTGCAACGTAAAAAGAGGCTTTTTCTCATACTAATATCGACGTTTTGACATGACTGTCAATTTGGACGATCTATTAACAAAACAGGGGTGGGGGGTCTATATGTTTTCGCAGGCACTGATACAGTTGGTAGATCTTCGTTAGACGACGATCGGTACAGGTCTGCGACTTTCATCTCGCTTGCGCTCTTGTTGCCGCTTTTGAAGATCCGGCAGTGCAGATGGCTAGAGTACTCATATGTGAGGTTCGAGATGCCAGACGTGGTGGCATGGGACATGCTTTGCGCAACACAAAGATGCGAACTACCTGCAGGAAGGAATCGCTTCGAGCTCACTTACAGTGTTTATATTGCAGCGGCAGTTTCTCTTACATACGCTACTATACAATGGCTTCTGGATTGCTAATCGCGGCCTGAACGGGCTACTGGGGACGGAAGCATGAAGAACCGCACATGAGTTTACCAATAGCAAGCACCTGTGCCTCGATGTAACTGGAATAGAATGGCATACTGGGTACCCACACCCAGATAGCGGAGATGGACCCTGAGTGCCAAGCCGCTAGGGAATGTACATCCCCTCGTGCGTCTCACCCATGTCGGCAATGAGTGCGGACCGTTGTGCTTACATCCGTCAGTACATCCCATGCTTTCTTCGAGCACACGGCATATGCCAACGGTAGTTTTTGCAAAGAAGCCTTCACACTGTCCTTGTATATATGGCTTCTTCGCCACCCACGCTCTTTGCGTCCCGACCAAAGTGAGGATCTTGTCGCCTACAAGGAATGCATTCCTGCCTCGCAATGTGCAGAGGCGCTGGCCCTCTATGCCGCCCCGAACATTGGCGGCTGAGTGGCCATTAGGAAGCATCCCGCGAGCCCCAAATATACGGCTGAGATGTCCCCTCATTGGGCGCATATGCCGTAAGTTCATCAGATTCGTAGTTCGCAATACTATAGCTAGTCCAGTTCTGGCAGCTTATATCAGTCCGTTGCGCTATATAATCACCATGACGGTCGATCGGGAGACGTTTAGTCCGCCACCGACAGTCATTCACTTGCATTGTGTCCCGTTGTTGCACGATCGGTAAAGAATGGCATGTTCCGGTCCGCCATCTGAACGTGGGGTGAAGAATCAAGCCTCAATTGTTTCTTTTATCAGCCAAGCATCCGTTGATACGATTGCCGTTGGGCTTTCGACTTTGCAAGGCGAAAAGGCATGCAATCCTTCTTCTCAGATCACACTCTATTAGGGATGTATATCATGGTTCCTTTTTCTACTCTCACCAATCACTGCTGAAGAGCTTCGCAGGTGCTAGTCACTACGGAGTGTCTCTAAAGAAAGACCGCATTATGACTGATGGACACGGTTTGCGAAGACCGTTGTTACTCATGGGGGCGGCTTACGAGACACAAATCTTCCATGCTCCCAGCTTCATTCATCTTTATACGCCGACACTTTAACATCTCTACTCCCCACTGTGTCTTTCAAATCTTGTCTGATCCACTACATTATTCGTCATGTACGTGGCCTCGAAGGCGCCGGTTTCAAGGGATGTTCTTTTACGTACGAATGTTGTTATGCTGCTCCTGACATCCGGATTTATTGCTACGCGCGCCATACTCCAATGTGTCAAACGCAAACCTTTGGAATTGCCAGATTTTTTTGTCTATTTTGCTTACTGCTTGTTCGTCGCGCTATGGGTTTGTTATTATGTCGTTGCGCCACCGATATACAGAGCGTATACAGTTCTAGAGGGAGAAACTGAACCATACGCCACGATGAAGGAAGATGCTGTAGCGATATTGAAGTTCCTCGTCGCCGGCCAAATGTGCTTCTACACACTTCTTATTTCGGTCAAAATGTCGTTGATGACGTTATACCGGAAGCTGCTCGCCGGACTGCCGAGCATCTACAGAAAGATATGGTGGGGCCTAATCGCGTTTTGCGTGTTGGTAAGTACCAAAATCGAGGCCTTCTCCCATGACTGCAAAGTGGTGCTGACGAACATCCAGGCATGGGTTGGTAGCATCATCAGCACTCTCACCACATGCAACGATCTCAACGCCGAGTTTAGAGAGGGTCAATGCGGAGGAACTCCCAATGACGACCAGAGGGTTATATTCAGCCTCTACTTCGCGTACTCTGTTGATGTGGCAACTGATCTAGCTAGTAAGTTTGGTGACTTGCAGTAATTTGAAGTGGTGTGCTCATCTCTGCAGTCATGATCCTACCGCTACGTCTTACATGGAATTTTCAGATGCCTCGTAAGCAGAAGATAGGTATCTTCGTATTGTTCGGTAGCGGTTTCGTTTGCATCGCTTTTGCAACATTACGTTGCTTACAAGTTGGCGTGGATGGCAGTGGAGAGGCTACCACGCCTGAACCTAAATGGTTGATGCTGTGGACTATACTGGAATGCTCAATAGGTATGCATACGTGTTAGACCCGTTAGATCTAGGATCGGACTGACATACTTTGTAGCCATCATGATCGCATGTTCGCCCGCCTTCGCGTCCTTCATTCGGAGGCGTATGAACTCTACGAAGCCATCGTATAACGTACAAGGCTACTTAAAGCAAGGGGCCGATGAGATGAAAATGAAGAGCATCATCAGTTCCCCAGGCCAATCCAAGCGCAATGCCGCGGATAGATACTGGGACGATACACATAGTAGCCAGGAAGAACTCATGGAGAACGCTGTGGGTATCATCGTCAAGACGACAGTACACCAAAACGACGAGATTTCCAGTCATAGTTCGAAGCATGGGGGAAATCAGCGAACCCTTGACAGCAGAATCGTACAGCGAGGGCAGGAAAGTGGATAGCACTCTTGTGCACCACTAACGGGGCTAATCAGCCAATGTACACACGACTTTTCCGCCCGTATCGTCCACACCGACGAGTAATAATCTGCAAAGTTCATTCAAAATACACGAAGCGAACCAAACTTAGATATTTGCCCCGAAGGAGAGAGCTTCATTGAAGAGATTGAACACATCGTTGATTTGACTTCCCTTAGTTTTCGTCCGCTAGCATAACGAAAGCCAGCTTTCTAAGCCATTACTGAAAACCCTTGGACCGATGAAATAGCTCAGCTGTTAAACCAATCAACGCCTCGTACCATCTTGTCGCATATGTAGCCAGTGACAAGTGCATATGTTCCTTTATGCACAATGTCGATGACCTGTTCGTTGATCGGCCACGTCCAAGGAACCGCTGACACATTTGCAGTGGTCTCCATCAGTTGGTCCAGCATGATGCGGATACCGGTATGCATGAAGACTGCAACCGGCCCGATGACACCATAGTAAGACATGACTGCTCGGAACGGTCCAGCAAGCATGCCCATGCCGAAGTGGTGAGCATGGTTCAACAGAAAGGTGTGGCGCTTGTAAAATTCCGGTGAGACGCCCAGGTGATTGCCTATTGTTCGAGCGGGTACATAGGAATCCGGGCGACCGGTGAACAACTGCTCGATTTTGTTTGACCCAGACATGCTGGTGACAGTCAGTTGTTTGCAGAGTAGAGATCAGACCATCGTTAACCTACACCAAGGCCCCTACAAATCCAGCACCTATACCAATAGCGACCGCACGACCAAATCCAACCTGTGGAAATTTGGGAAAACTCGATTTGGCATCTGGATACGAAACCGTTCCTGTCGCGGTATGGTACTGAGGCATGTTGGCTATGCTTTCGTTGACGATGGGAAGTGAAGAAAGGTAACCTAGTGTGGAAGAGGAATGAGGAAGACTGAGCTTGAGAATTCGTTATTGTTTGTTGTTATCATTTGACGTTCGCGTTGCGACACAGGGTCGTCGTGGGTGACCAATGATTTCGTTCACTTTGACGTCACGCACCGTCAGGGTTTCTGACTGCGCGGACCCACAAAGAATCACAACACCATGATGCTAAGAGTGACATGAAACTGACTTTGGAAGACGATGGTCGAAAGAAAAAGGCTCGTCGCGACTAGTTTGCTAGTATATCGCTGCCTGACGTCAGGGCCACTGTACGCCAAGATCCTGCTGTCGTCGAGGACAAGTCCAAGTCAACGTTGTGAATGTTTATCTACATGGGACAACTCGCATAGTTCCAAAGATCTGAGGACGCTGACACAACCCTGCATTGCCACAGCGTCGAGCGATCAACTGCTCTCAAGGACTCAAGCAAGTACACGGATACATTGCGATACCGGACACTGCACTTCTATTCTCTCACGCCGGGCGCTACTTGTCCTGTTTGAAAGTACACAAGCTTGTGTAACGATATCCATGTGCACTAGTGAATTGGGGGTTTCTTAATCTTGATTCTATACAGATTCTAGTTTCCTTCATGACAGACACCATAACTCTTCTTCCATTCCAGCGCAGTGCTATTCATATATCTTGGCTTCCCAAAGCTCAATGTTCATGACCGTGATGCTCATGGCCCGCACCCTTCTCCGCAAAGTCAATCTTCCACCCCCTAGTAACGAATACACGGGGATCTCTCACTACCGCATAAGCAGCCTTCTTACCCTCAGCAGCATGGAACTCAAGCGGCACAGGCTTCCTCCTCTGTGTCTCCTTCTCACCTTCCTGCATGACAACGACCTCAGCCTTGTTCTTCCAGGCCTTGGGCGCGCCAACAATGATGATTTTCTCTACGCGCACATTCTCCATGGTCTTGAGGTACTTCTCGCACTTGACGGTACGTTTATTGGAGTCGAGGTTGGAGGAAGTGAGAATCTGGCGAGCACCATCGAAAGAGAAGCGTCGGTGGATGAAGGCGCCCATCTCGTAATCGAAGGTCTCGCCGTCGTCTATGTACAAGGTACCCGCGGCATTGCCGTCTTTGTCGAGTGCAACAACGAGTGTGAAGGGGTCGTACTTCATAAGACCGGAGGAACGGCGAGGACGGTCGCGGCGTGGGATGACGTGGCCACCCTGCATGAGAAGGGGAATCTTCTCGAGGGGAGCTGGGACAGTGTGGTGACCTGCACCACTGTAAGTGGTGAAGTCAAAGTAGTCATAGTAGGGCTGATCATCTGCAACATAGATAGAGACACTGTCAGCGCCCTCCTTTGTAACTGGCTTGGCGAGGAGACCAGTGGAACCAATGTAGAGCTGATCGTCGACCTCAAAACCACGCTCATCGTCGGGGTGGACCCAGAAGTTGGGCCGGATGATAGGCGCACCGGTAGTGTGAGCCTCGTGGAAAGCAGTGTACCAGGCAGGGAGGAGCTGGTATCGAAGACGCAGGGCCTGGGTGATGATCTCCGTGTAGGGAGAGCCAGCAATGTATGGCTCACGGCGACGAGTATCGATGTGAGCATGGCCACGGAAGAAGGGGTAGTAGATACCAGCCTGGTACCAGCGAGTCAAGAGTTCTTTGCTCGGGTTACCGAAGAAACCTCCGACATCTGCACCGCCGAAGGGGAAGCCAGAGATACCCTGGTTTAGCACCATAGGGATGGAAGCCTCGAGGTGAGTCCACTCGGCTTGATTGTCGCCGGTCCACATGGCAGCAGTGCGCTGACTGCCCGAGTAGAAAGCTCGGGTAAGGACGAAGGGGCGGCGAATCTCTCCCTTCTTACGCTCAGTGATGGCTTGGTAGGTCGCATTGTGGAAGGTCATGCCGTTGATGTTGTGAACGTCGCGATGCTCCCAGTTACCATGATGCAGATTGTCCTTGGGCATAGTCGTCTCAGGACCGTTGAACACCGACGGCTCGTTCATATCGTTCCAGATGAAGGTGTTGTGGGCAGTACCCTTGAACTTGTCGTAGTTGAACAAACCCTTCCACCAGTCGATGGCAGCCGGGTTGAAGCAGTCGATCCACATGGATGAGCCAGGCCAGCACCAGCCCTCGTACTGATTGCCATCCTTGTTCTTGACAGCCAGGTCCTTCTTCTTCAGCTCGTCGATGATGGGGTAATCGTGAGTGTTCTTGATATGAGGGTCGATAATCGCAACGAGCTTTCTGTCCCGCTTGTCCAGCTGCTGCTGCATCGTGTCGGGGTTGGTGAAGGTCAGAGGATCCCAGGTGAAGTACTTCTTTTCCTGCGTGTACTCGATGTCGAGCCAAATGACATCGTAAGGGATGTTGAACTTGTCGAATCTGCGGTCAACGTCCTTGACATCCTCATCAGTAACGTAGTTCCATCGGCACTGGTGGTAGGCGATAGCGAAAGACTGAGGCATGGCCGTGTAACCGGTCAGCTCACCATATTGACGAGTAAGGTCCTGAGGAGTCGGGCCAAGGAAGACGAAGACATCCAGGAGACCACTCTCAGACATCCAGTGTGTCTCAGTGTCGGTATGGCCCTCAACACCAAGAGCAAGCGGGTTGGCGGTGTTCCTCTTCTTTGTGACGTCGATCCAGGTCTCAGCGCCGTTGAGCCAAAAGACACCGACGGTTGAGCCCTTGCGATGGGCTTGCATAAAGGGAATCGCGCCGTAAAGGGTCATGGGGCTGTCCATCTCATACTCGAAGACATCGGCGTTGTACAGTCGGTAGGGCTCAGTATAAGCGTTGTCACCACCCCTAGAATTTGTTAGTCAAGTTTCGTGATGTGAAGGGGCACTGCGCACCTTGTCGTCTTGAGGGATAGCCTCGTAGCATGCTCTGGGATGCCAAAAACATGGGCGTACCCGGGGAATGTGATGTCTAGCGCAACTGCCTCAGGGCCTCTTGGCTTGCTGTCCGTGTTGCCACCGAAGCTCTCATCCCACCATGTGCTTTCGTCTTCGACAGGCTTCTCAATCTTCTTCTCTTCCTCCTTGGTCTCCTCCTCGCCCTCCTTCTTTTCTTCTTGCGGCTTTTCAACCTTGGGTCGCCAGTGTTCGACATTCATGTAGCCTCGCTCATTGAACTTGACTTGTGTCTCCCCATCGCGCTGGAACTCGATACCGAACGGCGCGTGTCGGATTATGGCTTGGTGCTTACTGCCTTTGCCGTAGACGACCTTGGTGTAGCCGTCTTCCGTCTCTGGGTTGAAAGCAGCGCCCTTGGAGGGGTTCAGACCTCCAACAAGAGTCCATTGTGCCGCCTCGTTGTATCGCTCCTTTCGCGCTTTGCTGTCGTGGCGGAGTGTGATGTCGCCCTTTGCCCTCTTCTCTTCGTCGAGCGTAACACGTGCCACGCCAGATTCGAGGAAAGTGACAGTAAGCGGCAGACGAACTTTCTCTTCGCCTTCCTTCAATGTTTTGAGAACTACAGCATCCAATTGGCCGTCATTGAAGGTGATAGAGGCAGGATCGAGAACGTAGGGTGAGGTCCAGGAGCTCGAGGCGGAGACGTCATCGGCGAACTGGCGGTTGCGCTTGCAGAAGCCCGATTGACTGCATGTTTTGAAGTTCTCGTGCTTGACCGATACTGCTGTCTTTTAGTATCCTCCCTGTAGCTTCGTATATAAAGAAGAAGGAATGTAGTCGTGAGTTGGGGATATCGAGTAGTGAGCTTAGCTACATACCAGCTGGCACGAACAGACAACTCAGCAACGCCAACAAGAAAAAGACAGCCGTCCACCGGGGAGGCCGTTGCCGTAGAGTAATCATGACAGGCAGCTTTCTAATACAAAGAAGCCAGCCCGGAATATCATCAATTCATCAATCGATCAGCCAACCCTCAACGCTCGAGATGCCATGTGGACTTTGAGGCAGCGCCAAGGTCAGGGTCCAGCTCCTTTGCACAAATCAGGCATAACTTTATGCAAGCTACCCCACTAGACAGCAACGAGGGCAGCCCATACCCCACCCCTTCATAAAATTCCAGCTACACGTCCGCCCCTTCTTCTTGATTCCTCTCTTCAAGTCGTAAAGACAAGTTACATTCACCAAAAAACTCAAACGTCAATTCACCGCCAAAATGACTACCGAGCAGACGTACGTCCAATTCTCCAAACGCTCCGATTCCAAGACGAGGGGCAGCTGAAGGGCGGTGAACGGTATACTGATAGATGAATAGCTTCATCGCTGTCAAGCCTGACGGTGTTCAGGTATGTATTAATCCCGCTTCTTGAAACGCGTCCTCTCCATGCTGTCGTCTGAATCAATTGTCGCAATGAATCGCTGCAGTGATTCAGCTGTTGCAATGGAGACGGCGGGGTTCTCAACAAAATATAAAAAGCATACATGCTAACAAATGCTCAACAGCGTGGCCTCATTGGTCCCATCATCACCCGCTTCGAGAACCGCGGCTTCAAGCTCGCTGGTATCAAGATGGTCACTCCCTCCAAGGAGCACCTCGAGAAGCACTACGCCGACTTGAGCGACAAGCCCTTCTTCCCCGGTCTAATTGCCTGTACGTTCAGCCTCCGTATCCGAACTACAACGATGCATAATACTAATACCGTCTAGACATGGGCTCCGGCCCCGTCTGCGCCATGGTCTGGGAGGGCCGTGACGCCGTCAAGACCGGCCGCTCCATCCTCGGTGCCACCAACCCCCTCGCCTCCGCCCCCGGCACCATCCGTGGTGACTACGCCCTCGACGTTGGCCGCAACGTCTGCCACGGCTCCGACTCCGTCGAGAACGGCAAGAAGGAAATTGCCCTCTGGTTCAAGGACGGCGAGGTCCAGAGCTGGAAGTCCGCTCAGCACGACTGGGTTTACGAGAAATAGACGTCTCCTACAATTGGACCATGAGAGTATGGGGTGAGCTTAGTAGCCGAAGACATCCGTGACGGAAAACTGGTTTACGAATCGGTCTAGTAGTCACAGACTATCTCGGCGGAAGGCTGGCTCTATGCTTCATGGTTTAGGTGTGGGCTATGAAGATACGATCGCATGAAAAGAAACATGGTAGAAACCAATGAGACACATGAATGATCTCTCAATGCATTTCGAATCCTCAGAGTGATGCCGTCCAGATGGAATACAGCTATAGTCCTGCCGATACAAATGAATGCGCCGATATCCATGACCATTTCCTGTCCTACCAACAGCCGCTGAACGCCGCGCAGCAGCCCATAAGCCCCTCACGCATCTACATCCGCCGCCTCCTTTCCTTTATCCTTACTCCTCGTCTTGACCCTCCCTTCCTCTTTATCCGCCAACTCCTTTTGCACCTTCGCCGTATACCATTCCCTCAACTTTTCCACCTCGCGCCACTCCCCCTCTCCTCTCTCAACAGCCGGCCCTTTAGTCTCCTCCCTCGCCCTTAGCTCGCCAAATGCACCTTTCTTCGTGCCCCAAATAGGTTTGCCCCAGCGCCACACACACCACGCACTTTCATCCGCGCTGACGAGCGTGGGATGCCTGTTCAACGACTTGACAGCGAATGCGCGAAGTAGAATCACATCGCCAACCTGCGCTTCCGGAAGCGCAGTCTGATGAGCGCGGAAGATCTGTACTGTGCTTGTCTGAGGCCAAGAGCTAGCATCGGTTATCTGCAAGGTGGTGAACCAGTGTTTTGGTCCCTTTTTGGCTTTTTCATTTGGTGTCGTGGGGGAGGTAACAAGAGCAAGGATGTCGGGATTAGCGGCCGAGTGGAACTGAGAGGAGCGGTTGAGGAAGTAGAGGAGATCCTTGAGGGGGGTGTAATAGGCCAATGGCGTAGATAGGCCAACTGAGGGTTCTTGGGGCGTGTTGGAGTCGACGTCGTCTGAGGACGGATCGATCAGTGTTGAAGATACGGCAGTAGTTTGGGGTTTGTGTGACGCGGCAATGGCTTCTGTGTTGGCTTCATTGTCGTCTTGGAATGAGCGCAGACCCGCAGACGTGGTTTGCGTCAGTTGAGGTGTCATCAGCGTATCCTGTCCATGATGGGTACCGGAACTAGGCTGCGACTCCATGGCAGTTTGCTGCGTTGCGTTCGGAGTGATGAGCTTCTTACTCTGCTTAACTATTCGTTGATCGGTCTTAGGATATGCAGGTGGTGAGCTGCGCATAAGCTCGTCCATATCGACCGTGCCCTGACTGCCTTCACCTTCACCGAACGATGTCTGCTCATCCACTTTCTGACTGGCTTCTGGCGTTGCAGATTCATCAATCTCGTATACTTTTCTCCTCGTTCTCCGCACGTTGCGTGGGCTGGGGTTTAAGGCTTCCTTCGATCGTGCTACACGTTGTTGCATACCTGGACTGCTGTGTAACAGCTGTGTGACGTACGAAGAGCCAGGTCGAGCAGGACTACCAGTATCTACCTCTACGATCACTGGCGGGTCCGATTTCTTCCCCCTCGTCTTTCGGCTTGGCCTTCTTAGCTCTGGCGCAGTTGCGGATGGCGGCTTTATGTCCTCATCGTCTTCGTCCTCAATAATAGCACGATCAACAGGGTCGCTGTGGCGCCTGTATTCCGTATCGCTGGGGGGATGCACAGTAGATATGGAGTGCTCAGACCGAACACTTTCTTCTTCAGAGTCTTTCACAAAAGCCACGTCAAAGTATCTGCTCTGTGAGGCACCCAATTCTTGTGACGGCTGGAAGCTGGAAACAATCCGGTCATGGTTCTGAGTTTGAAAGCTACCAAAATCAGATTTCGAGTCGACACTCCTTTGCGAAGCATGTTTGCGCGGGCTTTTCTGAAGAGTCACAGTAGCACCAGTCGAAAAACTTTCCGCTGGGGAAAACTGCCTCGATTGTGAGCGAAGACTATAAGGAGACGTCTGTGTAGATTCCTGTGATGGGGACAAGGCGGAACGGGTGCGTGTCCTAGGTGGTGAAGCGACTGAGCGTGCGATGGAAGTCACAGATCCCTTAGATCGTGTATTGGGCTTGGAGATAGATGCTTCTTTTTTCTTTGGTGACGCTGCAGTCTTTGCTTTCGATCTGGTATTTCTTGCAGGCGGTTCAGGTACAGCATCCATGCTTCCTACTTTCTGGTCATCCTCAGGCGCTGTGGAATTATGTTGGCTTGCAGACTCAGTAGCTGCTTGGGCGCTATGTTCAGATGCTGGTTGAGTATTGAATTCGTTCGACTGTAATATGGAGACCTCTTCTATTGATTCCACTTTGATATTTGACTGACGATCCTGCTCAAGGCCAGCTACCTGCTCATGCTCCTGGTCAAATGACGCATGCTCCATCGGGAAAGCGTCTTGTAGGTAGTCATCAGTAGCCTCGAAGATAGATTCTGGCGGATGGCCAACGGGAGAAAAAGGTTCCTGCATTTGACGTGGTACTGCATCAGGTTCCAGTTCCTGAGATTGAGTGTGAGTGACTGTTTGCTCCACTGTTGTGTCAAGGGTATGTGCGTCTTTGGTCGCAAAATCCAGGTTTACAAACTCACTATGGCTATCAACATCCATGGTAGGGGACTGGTCCTGAGTAGGGGAGCTGCGTCGGCTAGATTGAAGCTGCTGCTGTTCGTGGCTGGAGTCGGCTTCGCTGTTGTCGTGCGAGGGGGAGTCTAAATCAGCAATGGCTGACGTGGCTGTTGAAGGTAGCGCGCCTGTAGGTAGTTCTTGATGATCGGTTTCCTTGAGAGTTTCGCTTACAGATTGCAGGTCGTCTGCTGTACTGGAGTCTCCTTCAGACTGTTCAGCAACGAACGATTGCATCATTTGTTCAGCTGTCATTGAATCCATCTCGGTCTCACTCACACCATCTTCTTCGTCCTCCTCCGAAAGTTCTATCACTTCCGGCTCGCCTGGTTTCTCTACAGCGACTTGGGAATTGGTGGTAGCCAAATTCTCCACATCTTCATCTGATTTCTTGCCCTCCGGTGTGCTCTGGGGCAATTTAGATATGTCTTCCGCTTCTGCAACACCATCGAGGCCTTCCTGCGAGGTGAGCGAGGATGGAGCTTCGATTCTTGAATCTTGTTCTTCGATTGGCTGGGCCTCTGGTGGAGGCGACGATAGCTCCATGGGACGCGAAAAGCCAGCAGCGTCCATGCCGAATGTAAATCGCACAGGTGTGAAGGCTGACTCATGGTTCAAAGCTCTCGATGAGCCTATTGAGCTGAAGAAGGAAGTCTCGCCGATATCGCTTGCTTCGCTTGGTACTTCTTGTTCCCCTTCCGCCACAGCATCGTCTCCCACCAGCCGTTCGCCAGTAGTAGTATGGCCGAAGTAGGAACTAGAGTTTGTATCCTGCTCTCCTGGAAATGGTGACGGGATTGGGAGGTTGGATGCGTCTTGTGGCGCAAGCTTTGGACTTGCAGGCTCTCGGCCGATAGGGGTCAACAAGCCTGCAGTGATAGCTGGAAAGGTAGACAGCGTGGGAGGAGGCATAGCTATCGCAAGCTCATTCTTGACATGCCTGTTTGCGCCAGTAACCAGGCCAGGCTCTGTTTCCGGTGGTACTTCCACGACTTCTAAAGAGCTTTGCTCCTGTGTTGTACTCGATGGTTCCTTTCTTGCGACTGCGTGTACACTTGCGAACGCCTCGAACTCGACCACGTCCTCATCAACGCGCTCCAGTTGTCCACCTTCTTGCTCTTCGGTATCTGCCTCTGTGGTGCTCGTGCTATCTCTGTTGGCCTCATCATGTATAGCGCCTTCTTCCTCGGTGTTAAGTTCGGTATCAATCTCTGTGTCGCCTCCAAACGCGTATTGTGCATCTGACGGTGGATGTTCGTCAGGCCCAGCGTAAAGGTCGTAATTATCGGCGTCCTTTTTGGACATGGCAAACGATTCGTGCACAGTTCTTGCCCCTTCGTCCGTTGGGGTATCAGGCTCGGTTGTCTCGTCCTCCTGGGTGTCCAAGCGCCCAGCTGCAACGGACAGCATTTCTGGTTGTTGAGGAGAGACGGGAGTGCGAGGAAGTTGCTTTGTCCGACTGGGTGACGCTTCAACAGACTCGAGCTCATCTTCTATAGTCACATCTTCCTTCTCTGGCGACGGTGTCCTTGCACTGTATGTCCACGCCTTCCAGTCCCTGTACGACTTCCTACGCCGCTTTTTGTCATGTCCGTCTTCCGTCTCGTCCGCCAAAGGATCATAAGGCGCTCGGAAGGACGGGCCATCGGATAGTCGTGCCCGCTTGAGAAAAGCAGGAGAGGAGAATTCGAGGGCAGACGGCGGACTGGCTGCAGACTGCCGACGAGCAGGCGATCCGGGCGCAGGCGTAGGCGTGGCATCGACGAGTTCGAGGTTTGCGCTTTCGGTTCCATTGCGATAGACCTGGACTACCACGGTCCGCGCATATGATAGCTCCCATTCGATGCTCTTGCCTGGTGTGCTGATGACGCCTTCCTTGACGAACTCAGCGCCGCGTAGGCTTAGTACCACCTCGTCTCCAATTCCCACGCCTGTTGTCGCAAAAGCCTTCGCACTGGCTCCAGAAAAGCGCGCTCTGACTTGTCCGTTCTTGCGCCGTAAGCGAAGATCAGGCTCAGCAAGCAGCAAGGCGAACTGTTGCGCCGATGATGAATACGGCCATATTAACGTGACTGTCGCTCGGAACTGCTTCGATTCGATCGCTGGCAGCTCTGGATTGAGCTCCGAGATACGTGCCTGATCCATGGTGCGCGATGAGAGCGCAAATTCGCGCTATGAGTGCGACATCGTGTTGAGGAGCGATACGTCTATGTTTGAGCGTGGGGAATGCGCTTGCGAATGTTGGCGAAGACGTGTGAGCAACGGCTCGTTCTGTCATGCTTCTTCCAACGCGACATCCCTGCACCGATATGTCCGCTTTCGGCCACCTCGGTTGTTCCTGCACCCCAATCTTCTTTCCCCATACCCAGCCCTCGTCTCACGTCTTGATGCGGCCAACCATTTGTTGTACAAGCTGGAACCGAATACTATCCATGTATTCATTGACATCGACGCCTGTCTACTAACATCCTGCGGACTGTCGCATCTTGCATCTCTACGGATATGTGACAGACATATTTGTTATAGAATTTTGGAAGGTTGAATTACAATGAGCCAGTGTCAACCCTCATTCAGACCTTCGCACTCTACAACATGGCGGTTCTTCACAGCATCAACACCATAATTGAGTATGAAGCGGGTATATATATATATATATGTTATACAGAAATGCGAAGTGGGTAGGGCGCAGAGTTACGCTCCACACACTAAGGCAGATCCAAAATATCCTTCAAAACCGCCAATGCCCCAAACAAGTCGTTATCGTGGTATCTTCTCGCACTAACCTGGAGGTTAATCGGCGCCCCCTCGAAATTCGAACCCTCCCATAACTCTTTGGTATGCTTACACTCATCACTCAATGGCTTGTGGTCCGCGGCATACTCCTCTTTAGCCTTGGCTTTGATCGGCGTAGGCACAACTACTCCCGGGTAGTCGACGAAGTTATATAAGCTTGTGTATGTCCAATAAAACGCTGTATCATGCGCAGAGGCCGGTCCAACGAATGCAGGACCGATGATAACGTCGACTTCTTGCTCATTCCAGCTGTCAGCGAATTCGTAGCGGAACTTGTCGCGAGCGGCACGTAGCTCATTGACATCTTCGGCATGCAGCATACCGTGAGGCTCTGCGTCTTTCCAGATCCAATCACTGAGGGGTAGTACTGGCTCGCCTGTAGACATGATGTCTTCTTTCGCTAGTTTGCCGCCACCTGGCCAGTACATACGTCGGATTTGTTTCCATGCTTCTTGCGCCTTATAGGGCATGAACGGCTTCACTTGAACAACGTCGGAATACTGACGGTTCGAGAGACGCTCACGAGCCCATGCTATAGCGCGCTTTACTGGTGGCTGAGGATCGACAAAGCCATCGTTCTCGACGATACCAATCCTCAATGGCTTCCTCATCTCGGTCGCCAAGCCCGTCCAAGGAAGTGGCACTACTTTCGGATCCAGCAAGTAGGGCTTCTGACCCAAAACAGTCGTCATGAAAAGATCCATATCTCGCAAGCTCCGGCAAAACGGACCAGTACTACACAAAATATTGAGTTCTGCTGAGAATGCATGTGCGATGAAGTCCTTCATCGGTAACATGTAAGAAGTCGACTTGTATCCATAGATGCCGCAAAACGCGGCTGGGCCCCTTATACTACCCCCAATATCTGTCCCTACACCGAGTACAGATCCTTTCATTGCCACAAGTGCAGCTTCGCCACCGGATGAGCCACCTGCGCTGAGATCGATGTTGAAAGGACACAACGTCCGGCCGTAGTGAGATGTCGTTTCCAGATGCATAATCGTTTGGGGCTGGTTTGTCTTGCAGTAGAACACCGCCCCCATATTCCTTAGCATCGACACTAGTAGGCAATCTTTATCATTGAATACAGTACTCGCAAACGAGCCTTGAGACGAATAAGTCCGGGCGATGGGCATGTGCTCTTTGATACTAATAGGAACTCCATGAAGTGGGCCAATCGTCTTTCCGTTCTTTTCCAGGTAGTCGTCCAGCTCTTGCGCCCTCTTGAGAGCGTCATCCATGAACCATTGCGTTAAGCAGCACGTCAACTGGTGTGCAATGATAGCGCGTTTTGAAAATGCAGTGGCCACTTCGACCGCTGACAGCTTGCGTGCGGCAATGGCTTCGGCAAGGCCTACTGCGTCATACTGCTCGGTGATGTCGATCTCGGTGGGTGTGAGTATACCACAGGTAATTGGTACTTCAGATACATCTTTTGGTGGATTGGTGAAAATCTTTGAAGACAGGCGTAGTTCGCGAGGCACTTTTTCCGCAAAGGCTTCAAGAATTGATGCTCTCTTCTTCTCGTAATCCGGTGTACCTTGGGGAACAGCCTTGGGCTGAACTATAGCGAGCTCGGAAGGATGAATGGCCATGTTGATGTGGAGAGAATGATAGCGAGATGGGAAATGCAGATGTGCTCAAACATCATCAATCGTGTGAACCATCATGCTGGTCTTATCTGCACCAGAGTCGTCACTGTCGAGGCTAGGCCTAAGATGGGAACATTGTCTCTTGTGGCGCCGCAAGACATCCCGTGAACTTGGTTTTCGGAAAGATTCCGTGTTCGCGTACGAGGGCAGTGGTGATAACACGATAAAGCCGATAAGGAGGTAGTTGGTGTTGAGAGTGCGGAATAGATGCCGACGAGCGGCCCTTAGCGCGTCATCACACATGGTCTCGCACCAGCTAGCGAACGACTCCTTACTGCATCCAGCTCCGACGACTCCAATTATCCGGTTATCTCCCAATGAGCGCGGTGTCTCCACTTCCTATCAGGCGAACGTTTCCCCGCGTTGAGCTTGGTATTTCGACTGCTGGTCCCTTTCGCATGGACTTGCTAAGTTGCGGAAGCCGGTGTAAACCTAGGAAGGCACGGAGATAGGCGGCCTCTACGCAAGACACTTGAGTGGTCATCTCCATAGCTTGCTATCAGAAACCTTGGAAGAAACGAGCTGGAGACGAGGAATTGTGATAAGAAACACGCGGGCTCTATAATGAACTCCAAGTTGGAGTGAACCAGGGTAGGTAAGCCTGCCGCTCCTGGGGTTCTGTCTGCATGCACCCCACTCTTGTACACTGCTTTTGAGGCAACCGTTTCCAGGAGTTCACCATTCATAACAGATTCATATCGTTCGCTGAATTCTAGCATGTAACCACCATGATGACAGCTAGGGTAGATTCGACCGAAATGGCTTCGGTGCCAGGAACCGTGCATCTGGTCGACTTGGACCACAGTATGCAAGCTCGTCATGCCGGCAACGGAGACATCATTCTTGATCCAGCGCCCTCGAATGATCCCGATGATCCACTCAACTGGACTCCACGCCGCAAGCTCACATCATCAATATGTACCAATCTGTATGTGCACCCTATAACTTAACGGAGACGAGTCTGATTGAATATGAAGGTATACATGGATGGTGGGCATCGCTGTGTCAACAGTATACTCGGTTCTTGTTCCATTATCTGAAGCATCCGGTGTATCTGTGTCGACGCTGAATGAGGGAACTGGGTACATGTTCCTCTTTCTTGGGTGGGGACTGCTCTTCTGGCAACCTTTCGCTCTTCGGTACGGGAAGCGTCTTACGTTTCTGATATCAGTCATTGGTGCAATAGGATGCAGTATTTGGAGGTATGTTTGATACATGTGCAACAATGTGTCCATAAACTGACCTCCATAGCGCGTACGTCAAAAGCAATGGCGAATGGATAGCCAGATGTATCGTCATGGGCTTCTTTGTCGCTCCGGTCGAAGCTCTGCCCGAGATCTCAGTAACCGACGTATACTTTACTCACCAGCGCGGTAAATACATGGGCTTCTACGCTTTCTCGCTAGCCGGAAGTAACTACTTCGCTCCCATCATCTCAGGATTTATTGCGGAAGGCCAAGGCTGGCAATGGGTCTTCTGTAAGTATCCCTGTACGAACTGCATATGATGCATATACTGACTTCGTACACCTATATTTAGATTGGCCAGCAATCTTCCTTGCCGTGACGTTGATCTTCTTGTTTTTCTTCATGGAAGAGACTAACTACACACGCAAGATCGAGGGGATAGCTATCACTAGCTACTCTTCACAGACAGACCCATCCAAGGTAGTGGACCAAGAGAAAACTGACGCAACGACTTCGCCGTCCAACGTGAGCGATGATATGCGAGTGTCAACCAAGACTTTTGTCCAAAAGCTATCTCTATGGCAGACATCTCCAGGAGCGAACGTCTTCGAGCGCGCAAAGCGTAGTCTAATGTACCTTAGCTGGCCCGTTATCTTCTACGCAGGGTTCAGCTATGGTTCCTACCTCATTTGGTTCAACGTCTTAAACGCCACTGCTTCCATCATTCTTGGCGGACCAGGATACAACTTCAAGCCCTCTATGGTCGGTCTTAGTTACGTATCTTGTTGCATTGGAGTCATCGTTGGGGCGCTCTTTTCAGGACGCTTCAGCGACTGGCTGACGATCAAACTTGCGCGTCGAAATAATGGTGTCATGGAAGCTGAGCATCGTTTATGGCCTTTCGCAGTGTGCCTGGTAATGGTTCCGGCATTCTTGATACTCTGGGGTGTTGGTGCTGCGCATGGCGTACACTGGTTCGGGCTCGTCTTTGCTATGGGATGTGTAGCGTTCACATCGTCTGTTGGTGTCACACTTAGTGTGAACTACATGATCGATAGCTACCACGACATCAGTGGCGATGCAATCGTGACGGTTATCTTGATTCGCAACACTATGTCATTCGCCATAAGTTACGGGTAAGTTATATAACGCTTCTGCAGACTTCAGCGCTAATGAAAGATAGTATCACTCCGTGGTTAACGGACTTGGGTTATCAAAACTGCTTCATCTCTGCAGCCTTTGTTGGTATGGCTGCGTCGGCAGTCTTCCTTATCATGATCAAGTACGGCAAGCGTTTGCGTGTTAGAAGCAGTAGTAAGTACTACAGTATCGTGGCCGCAGATAAGGCGATGAGTTAGCCTTATCCTTTCCGCCAACGGGCCATATGCTTTCACTTACAATTCTTGGTCTCGCTCATCATGCCGAAAACCAAGGGGCTAAAACGTAGCATGAATTTAAGCTATGGCATCACATTCACGAAAACATTTGATCTCGTCATTGAGTCTCAGTTCATCTAAATCGTGACTTTCGTTAAATCTACATAATGGTCAACTATAGTACCAGCACCGCGAAAAGAGCTATGCCACTAAGCAAACCAGCCGTTCCGTACGGTACATTGACCTCGCCAGCTGCACCAGTGAAAGGCTGTGGTGTGCCCGTTGGCATAGCACCAGTACCCGACGCACCTGCCGCTGCAGCGGTTCCGCTAGCCGTTGCAGCTATTCTTCCATCTACGCGGAAGAAGTTTGCCGCAAGCGGCGCGCTCACGCCGTTCTGCGACATGAACGATTCGATGTTGAAACCTATACGATCTTGTACTCCAGCGAATGCCGATGCCTGAATATTGAGACTTGAGGGCTGCTGGAAGAGCAGTTGTACGTATCGATGTGCGACTGTGTCGGTCGAAGGAGGGCCTGGAGGGATATACGCTGCCGGGCCCTTCTCAGATGATGCGAGCAGAGTGGCAGCGCCCATGAGTTGTTGCCTCGTTGCTTTGAATCCGGTGTTCATGCAGTGTAATAATACGCGGCGTTCTGTGCTGCCGTTCGCGGGCGGTACATCGAGATCGAGCATTACAAACATGTATGTTTGGCTTGCATCGATCATAGCGCTGGACAATGCAAGTTGTGGTTGTGTCGCGACAGCTAAATGGATTAGAAATGCTTTCTCAGTTGAGGTTAGTTAAGAGACTTACAAGCTTTCGCTAATTGCTGTCCTGCGGTGTTGACCATGGTTGAGTTGAAGATGACTTCGAGTTTAGTGGTAGCCTGAGGTGTGAAGCCTGATGGTACTTGCGCCTGCGCAAGACCGATCAATCCGGCTACAAATACTGATGTGGAGAAATACATGACGATGACTTTCGTTTATAAACAAGTGCTTGAAGATGTTTAAATGCAAGATAGGACAACAGTGGATTTAGAGGCGGCCCGAAGTGAGGCTATCAGCCTACATATATCACCTTTATCGAAGTACGCGGCCCCAAGGCATAGTTCCTAAGCCGTGGCATAGTCTGTCGCAGTGCGCTTAGCGCTGATGGTAGATATCGTGCTTACGTAGGGTATTCCGCATGCGCATGAAACGGGTACTGCGTGAGAGCCCAGCTGTCACGGCTTGGCAACAACCATGTCCACAATGCCTAAAGCAGAACCAGGATCGCACGTTTTGGTTAATCACTGGAGAGCCCGTGTTGAAGATTGTGGTAGGTGAAGACGACGAGAGTACATGCGAGAATGCCTACAATCTAGTCAGTATATGCCAATCTTGTGCCATGCCCCTTTCCTTCCGATTATTGTCGGGTCTTCAAAGCACATCCGAATGGCGTCTTGTGTGAGTATCGTCTAAGAACATATTGACTCAGAATCAAGACTGCAGGTCATGAGAACAATCAGTAGTATCAGATCTCACGTCGAATCACAGACAGCATTCCGGTGGTGGTGGTGACGCAGTGAGGTTCTCTGCAGAGCTGTCAACGTTTCGCCAAGGTGTCAACCTCCGAGAATGGAGCAAAAAGACGGCTGTAGACGTGTGTGAGAAGCTTCTCAGATTCAGTGGGTCACAACGGCGATCCCAGACAGAATGTGACATAACATTGACGGGTGAAGAAGGAGCAGCCTCATGTCGCGAAGCGACAAGGGGCTTGCTAAACACGCTAGAAACGCTACACGTGAATACGCGTAGGAGGCAGTCTGTGCTTCTTAGCGCCGATCGCCACGTTGCATGGATGCTACGCGATCAAACATCCAATATGCCTTCAACCATTACTCGCCGGCGACTCGGGTCTGGACGATATCTCTATTAAGACTGTATATCTTCAATGGCGAGCTCTACCCACACTGTTGCGGCCGCGAGTGACTCTGTCAAAACACCGAAGGCGCATTGGCCACTCGCGTACTGCATACAACCACAGAAATCCAAGGCCTCGTCACTCCAATCTTACGGCTTCTCATCTACGCAAGCTGCACCAAAACGATGGTGGAGCCACCGTCTCTATCGAGGCCCTGGAGATAAGGAGGTTGATATCCTCTACAGCAAGACCAAAGCGCAATCTGAGATCTATGCAAAGCAATTCCTTGATGAGCCCGTCATTGGATTCGACATGGAGTGGCCATGGAATGATTGGAAAAAGAACGATTTGCAGAACAAGATTGGACTCATTCAAATTGCTACCGAGGACAAGATCGCGTTATTTCACATTGGACTGCATCCGGGCAAGACGAGCGAAGACATCATCGCGCCGACATTAAAACGCATCCTCGAGGATCCTAAGATTGGCAAGGTGGGTGTAAATGTCTTGAAAGCGGACTTCGCCAGGTTGAGTCGCTTCTTCAGACTCGAACCCAAAGGCGCTGTCGAATCGAGCCATTTATACCGCTTGGTGAAGTTTGGCCCTGGGAAACCGGAATTGGTATCTGTCAAGCTGGTGAGCTTGGCGCATCAAGTTGAAGAGCAGCTCGGTCTGCCTCTGTTCAAGGGCGATGTAAGAACGAGCAATTGGAGCAAGCCATTGTCAAAGGACCAGATCAATTACGCAGCTGGCGATGCATACGCGGGCTTCATGCTTTACAGATGTATGAATGCGAAGAGACTTGCCATGAAGCCTACACCGCCAATGCCGATTCACGCAGAGAAGTACCCGAGTGGGAAAGCGTCGAGAGACGATCCGATATTGTTGGACGTCGGAGACGGTACCACCATCACGACAGAAGCCTTCTTCGGTGTCAAACCCGCGAAGAGTGGTACGATAGGAACCAACTCCAAAGTACCGAAGAAGGTACAAACTAAGAAAACCGGTGCACAGTCTCTCGATCACCTCTCACAGGCACTATACGAAGAGCTAGCTACTCGTCGAGCGTCTCTAGCTGAAACTAGAAAGATACCGCCATACCGCGTCATCTCCGATATCTTGCTAGAGTCAGTTGCTCGTGCGCAGCCTTGCGATACCGAAGCTTTACTTGCAGTAAAGGGTATCGGAAAGGTCCAACAGGCCAAGTACGGTGACGACTGGCTTGAGGTCATTTCGCTTTTCCTCACCACGAACGGTATCGAGCAGCCAATGAAAACAGCAAAGTCCGTACCATCCAAGCCTGATACCCAGCTGCCACATACACCTCATCGCTCAAAGACACGAAGAGAAGCTGAAATTGATACCTCTTCAGACTCCTCTCCAGCTTTCGACACTGCACCTCCCAGAACACCTCAACTATGCACCGGCCTATCTTTCGGAATGGCAGGAACAAAACTCGACGTGGACGAAAACAGCAACAAATCCGATGACAGCACCTCCTCCTATGATTCGGAAGATTCACTCCCATCCCTAGACTTTGGCAGCCCAAGCCGACGGCGTGTAAGCTCTGGCACAAAACGCAAACGCGCCGAGAGTCCAGTAAAAAGCGAGATGGAACAGACACCTCAGCCGTTGCCAACACCTTTGAAGCAGAAAGCAGGTTCGACGCAACAACCATCGTTGAATCACGCCCTTGCCATCACGAGTACAGCTCCCGCTTCAGCCTCGACCTCTGCGCCATTTGCAACACAAAGCGCATCACTATCTCCTGGCTCACGTATCGCTCGTTCAAAGCTTTTAGCCTTCAGCAGACTCGTAACGCGGAAACTTAATCCTGCACGGCCCGCTGCTGCCCCGCCCATCGTTACAGAGCACACGCTAGACTTAATCATAAGAGCAAGACCGCAAATTCAAGATGACTTGGAGCGTATACCAGGAATAGATACATTACTTTTGGCTTGTGAGAAGTCAGGTACGGACCTGTTGAAGAACGTAGTCAAGTTTGTGCCACCGCGGCCATGATAAGGGGTTATTGGTTACCACGATGACATGAAATGAAATGAAATGAAATGAAATAATGAGATAAAGCCTCATAACGATTTTACAGAATGATATTCTGGTGGACTTTTTATTGTGGTAGGAACCCTAATGTTTACGGTATGGACAGAATAAGACAGGCCCAACAATCTGCCAGACTTAAGCCCACATAGCCTTGAACTTCGTGTCAAAGTCTTCTTTCAGAGCTTTGAACGCTTTCAGTACGTTCAACAAGCCCTCACCTTCCTCCCAAGCGGGCGGCTCCTTCTTCTCGTCATCGTCTTCAGCATCCCAACTCTCCTCTACTTCAGATTCACTGGAAGAGCTGCCCATCTCATCCTCCCACGACTCTTCGACCTTCTTCTTGAGCTTCTTCTTGGGTTGAATTGTCAACTCTTGCTTGACAGGACCCTTGTTTGACGAAGCGGTCGTGGCTGCGCTGGCCTCTGTCGTTGTGTCACTCGGCAGCATCTTGTCTTCTCGGTCCTCTTCCACATCGTCACCACCACCTCGGACGTCGATGAAGTCGAGATCGGATTCCGTTGCGAGACCCAAGAAGCTCGACAAGCTCGTAGTAATAGTAGCAAGCGTCATACTGAGATCGTTCAGGACGAACCATACATCTCCACGACGGATCTTGTTAGCTGTAATAAGAGCATTGACGTCCCCGTGCATGAAGAAATCATACAGATAAGCGTTCAGCGGGAGGTCGGAGTCTTCGGGATAAAGACCGACGTGAGGCACAACAGCTTCTTCAAGGAATACACCAGAACGGCTAGTGCTGCACAAGTCGTGGATGGACTCGAACTTGTCGTCGTACCCTGAAAGAGCAACGAATGCAGAACGGGCCTTCACGTTCTGGTTCTGAGCCTTCTCTGATTTCGAGGAGGCATCACCACCGACCGTAACATCTGTCAATGGTAGAGTGTTGTCCGGCTCCTGGACGTGTTGATCAACGAAGGTGCGCACGTAAGCTGTGAAGATATCGAGTGTAGTCTTATTGTGACGGCGCAACACGTTCGCAGCGTGTTCTGGCATCGAAGGTAGGAACACAAGCGACGGGCTCTTCTTGACTATCTCGCGTACGTATTCTTCATCGGCCTGTCGACAATGACGTCGACCAAATAGATGCGACATCGTGAGCATGAGTTCGCGCAAAACTGTCTCCTTGTTCGTGTCGATCTTAGCGCAGAGCTCGTGGAAGTATCCGTCCTTTAGTAGCGCGTGGAAGGCAAACGACGAATTCTCTGTAAAGTAGAGATGTGATACGGCACCCGCAAAGTTCAGGGGTACACCTTGGGCGTCCAGAAGATGTTGTCTCCGGAGATATTCAATCGAGAAGCGCAGATGGTGTAGGACTGTCATCTTCGCGTCCTCGCCGCCAAGATAGAGTCGTGGCTGTGAGAGTAGGGAGTTGACGCATCGGACGGCGAATGGCGCGTTCTCGGACGAGTTCAACAGTGTGAACAAACGCAGAACGAGAGTTGTCGTTATGGGGAAGTGTCCATTGAGATCGGGTAGTCGGGAGCTGATGAGCTTGTGTATCTTGCTTAGAGACACTCCATGGAAGACGACATTTCCAAGCATGTCGAAACCTCGACGGCCGGCACGACCAGCGGCCTGACGGAAGTTGAGTGCCGTTAAGAAGACCGAGTCTCCTGAAAAGACCACAGTCTTACATGGCATATTGATACCGAGAGCAAGTGTACCAGTCGCAATCACCACGCGCAAGTAACCCTTTCGGAAGAGCATCTCGACGCAATACCTGTACTTTCGGTTCATACCAGCGTGATGGACACCTATACCGCGCATGAGACCATCGATGAGCCATTCGTCGACCCCGCGATAACGTAACTCTTTCGCGTGTACAGCGAACTCTTCTTGCGACAACTTCTTGTGGTCTGCAAAGTGGAATCCATCGAGGGGCTTGTTTGGATCGAACGAGGCAAAGGCGCTGACTTCGACGTTGGCAGCCTCTTTCATCTGATCCTGCTTGGTCATGCCCTTGGAAGCATCTCCACGAAGACCTTGCTTCTCTCGTCTCGCGACCTAATTGACCGTTAGTATTGCTGAGAAATATGTTGGCAATGAAACTAAACATACCTCCTTCTTCCAGTCCTCCCACTGTTGCAGCTTGATCTTCCACTTTGGACTTGTCTCCTTCCAGGCGACCTCGGCATCTACAAGTTGCTTCATGAGCGTTTGGCACATCTTCTCGCAGATCGCACGATCGTAGTTGAAGATGATACCCGGAAGTGCATCTTGCTGTTGTAAATCAGCGAGCAAAGGAAGTATGCTGGAGATATCGTGACTGATCTCCATGCCCAGCTCATCCAATTGCCCCTCGTTGCCTACGCCGTCGTCGGTGGCATCCTCGCTCATTTGGTGCTCTTGTAAGCCAGATAATGAGCTGCTAAGATCCTTGCGGACTTCAGCAAAAGGCGACTTATCGTCAGCCATCCAAGCAGTCAGAAGCTTCTTGAGACCAGACTGCCAGTTGATTATATCAGCCTTCTTGATGACTGTTGGCAGTATTGAGGAGGGATCCAGAGACTTGTCTACCGGGTATTCAGCTGTCTGGTATTTGGTCATGCTCTGCCATAGAGTGAGGCAGTCTCGTGCCTCGAGAGACAGATCGCTGGGCAATCCGCGAGTGCGGTTGATCAAGCTAGCTACAGGATGGAGGAAGGCGAAGTCCGTGTGCTCGTCCAACCCAAGCTGTGCAAACGAACGGCTGCTCGGAAGTGGCAGATAGCTGGCTGCATTACGTTTGGCGGGCGGTGAGTACACAAACTTCCGAAGGTCAGAATACCTGTGCGGATGTTGTACCATGACCAATTCGTTACCAGCAGCTTTTTGGGTGGCTGAAAGCCAGTCGTTAAAAGATTCTGCGTTGCCGATAGTAGCAGAGAGGGCGATGATGGGGCAAGGAGCCATGAGGAGCAGTTGCTCCCAGACCAGGCCATCCTCGGCTTGACCAATACAATGAACTTCATCGAAGATGATCCACTTGACCTTCTCGGACCAACTCCTCGCGTTGCTAGGAGCCAGCAACATGATCTGTAGGATGTGGGGAACTGTCACGAGTATTTGACATCCGGTAGGGTTATTAATCCGGTAGTCTCGTGTGTGAATGCCCCATACGGACTGACTGTACTTGTAGTTCTTCGAGAAGCGAGCCTGAATCTCAGCGGCGATCTGGTTGACTAAAGCTTTGGTGGGAGCGACATAGACAAGAACATCGTCATTGTTCGCCTCCAAGACCTGTTTCATGGCGTAGAACGAAATGAACGTCTTACCCGCTGAGGTCGGCGCAATAACGAGCAAGCTGCGGCGTGCATCGATCTCATCTAGCACACGTCGTTGCCACGCATCTGGCTCAAAGGGAACGCGGGAGTCTGGTGCCGAATCGATCGTACGGTCAAAGTATGGTCCACAATGGAGAAGCTGGAACTCCTCTGGAGAAAGAGTCAAGGCTAAGTCCGATACGACAGTCTCGTCTAGAACCTTTGTGGCTGTTAGTTGCAGTAGCGATGTGAAGCTATGGTTCAACTTACAAACTTGAAGGGCAGCTTCCGATCACCTTGTTCTGCTGGAACTTGCAGCGTTGGTAGCTTCAGGCGCTCCACTGTTATAGTAAGACATTTCGCGATGGTCTTGCTTACAGTTACGTAATTGCAAAGAGTTCGCGCAGTGTCGAACAGGAGTGCGGCGACATACAGGCCCTTCTCTTTGGCACCGTCGCGGCAGAAACGTACCCACATCTCCAGAAGAACGTTCAGCATGTACATCTGAACATCAGGACCAATGACTTGACGCTGGGCCGCATTGCGGTCGGCAAGATATTGCCTGGCTTTGTTGTATCTTGAAGCTAAGTCGACCTGCTTCTCGAGGCCTGCGCATGAGACTGTCCAGGCTTGGTACCATTGCTTCGCGTTCTCCTCGTCTTTGCGCTTGGAGCTTGCGGCAATGTTGGCAAGCATAGCCTCCTTTGATGCGTTGATGTTCTTGGTGCTCTGCCTTGACGTTTGCTTTGGTCGTTTGTTCTCGATTGTCTGGGTGGGTGTCATGGATTTCGCTTGGCCAGCTTTCGACTTGTCGCCGAGAGTGATAGTCTCTGGGTCTAGCACTTTACCAACAGCGTTCGTCAGACTGGCGGCGTATGTAGTCATCTCAGCCATGAAGAACTGGTTTCGACGGAGAGCCTTCTTCGCTATTTTGGGGTCTTTTTCCACAACAACCTTTGTCTTTTGGTTTAGCGATCTTTGGTTGTGCCAATGCGTGACTTCGCGGAAGATGTTGGCAGTAGTCGTATCTGCCTTGCCTCCTGACTTTGATACGTCTAGTTTAATAGGGGACAGATGTGGGTCGAAAATGCTATTCGAGAAGGGTAGAACCTTGTACGTAGATGTCGCTTCATCGTTACCGTTGGTTGCAGTAGAGTCTTCACTTGCTGTGGAAGAAGCTTTTGGTTGAGACGGAAGATTGTGCGCATCCAAAGCCGCTGTGGCTTTGAGTAGGGTCTGAAGGTGTTCGCTGGGCTCCGTTGTGGGGTTGCGGGCACACGATGCGAGAAGGCGACCATCGATCAAATCCGCGAGATCGCAATCTGGATGACCCTTGAAGGCCTCTGCCCATGCTGGGCTACCAATGAACTTGCGTGCCTCGTGGCAGAAATCCAAGATGAAGGACTTGACTTCGTCCGGGATGTCGCGATGTTTGATAATACGATCAGACAGAGGAAGTTCTGAAAGTAGTGCTGCATGTTGCAGCAGCACAGACGACAGGTCGGCGTGCGAAGCTGCCAGCTTCGAGGCTACCAGTACCGTCAGGTATTCACGCTCAGTTAGAAGCTGATCGCACGACGTTCTGATAGTCTGCAAAAAGCCGCGCATATGCGATAGATCGACGACGTCAGTCAATCTCTTGTTTGTATGAGGCTCCTAAACCAGATAATTAGCAGAGAATCGAAGCAAAGGTAGCACTACTCAGATGATCCTGATAGTGCTGCAGTGTACTTACAGCTGATGAGACATCAAGTGTCATCGAACGGGCATGCTCTAGAACAGTTGTAACGACCTTGGTGTCGGCCCATTCCAGTCCGTTTACAAGCGCAGCACTGTATCCCCGCTGCATCATACTGTATATGAAACTGCGGAAAGAAGTCTTGTACTCTTGCTGGCGCTCCTGCACATCGCGGTCTTCGCTCTGAAGCGAGTCGAGATCCTTCTGTAGGATCAATCTCTTACGGATATCAGTGAACGAGGCTCCATCATGACACAAGACGAAGTAAATGTCTGTAGCCTGTAGGTACTCGGCAAACGCATCTGAAGATACTGATGGAAAGGTATTGATCTCAATTTCTGGAACAACATCTGGTAGGTTGACCTTGAGATGGCGAATAATAGCTGCTCGTGCAAGTAGGTACTTTTCGCTGATTGCTGGTGGTGCATCCTGGGGTACGCAAAGATCTTGATGTTCGTCGAAGAAAGCAATATGGAAGTTGCAGGCTCGAGAGACGAGACCCTGTAGGAATTTCTCAACAGCGTACGACGCGTGTAGTAATTGGTATCCAGGATCGAAATCGATATGTGGGTCGCTAAAGCACTGAAGCAAAAGTGATTCGCCGTGTACGAGGAACCGCTCACTACCCGCGAAGTCGCCAACCAGGTCGACCCGGCGGCTGTAGAGATTTGAGTACCATTGGAGGATTTGCTCCTCGGTACCCTGGTTGTCGGCAGCCATGATGGGTGGTCTGCACGATGATGAAGGGTGGGCGGCGGTCAGAAGCTGTGGTCAGCAGCAGGGTGATGAAAGAATGTTTGTCCCCTCAATCGTCTAGATAGTGGCAGGTGCTGGTGAGTGGGTAGCCGCTGGTGGCGGATAGTGGGACTGTCGATCCCGCGCCAAGTCCCAAAAGAGCTTTGCGGTTTAACTCGAACGACTAATGCTTCTTCTGCCTCGGTTGAAGTTCCACGCAACCAGTGAAGGAACTGTAAAACTGGTAAATTGTTGAATGTACACGTACGTCGGATGTGATGTACGTGCTGTCAATTGGAATGGAGTGGAGCCCAAGGTCTGGGTTCTGCGAATCTGGAAAAGCCGAAAAGCCTGACGCGACTAGTGTGCGCTAGTGGGGTAAGCGAGCTAGGAGGTAGCACCAGCGTCAATAATGGGGCATCGCTATCGGGATCTGGATTTATACTTATACCCATCTAGATCGGGTGGAGCCTGAACCTGTTACTCGTCTTCGTGGTAGATGACCGCAGTACTCTTGGACGTCAAAGTAGTTGCAGGTTTCTGTTCATATCAAGGCAGTTAGTACATCACAGCTGTATGCAGAAAAACAAAGACACTATCGAAGATGGCCTGACTTTTGCACCGAAGAAAACATATTCGTGAGAGGGACGCCCGCGATAGTGATACTACTCAAGAGGTTTGCCCCTAAGATTGCACACTGTATCAAGATGTACAGCGGCCCGCAAGGAACATCCAAACGCCTCCAAGACCCTGCGTAGACCAACTAACATACATTCGAAAGAACCACGGCACTTTGTTTGCTTCGGAGCTCATCGCGTAGGAAGAACAATGCTCGACAGAACACATGGTCATGCCAGGCCAGATCACTAAGAGAAGACAAGCCAACATCGTGCCGATCCTATGTAACATGGTGGGTGCTTTAGAGAAAAAGCAAGTCTTGCCTCTGTTCAAGTAAGGTCAGACATTGCTGAAGTCGGCGGAACGTTTGTACTCATCAGAAATACCCCACTACCCCAAAGTTCAGATCTCTAGTGGAGCAAGGAAGTCGAGCTTGGCGTGGGATTAGCTATATCTGGTGTATCCTACAACCCGACTTACCGAGACGAGACGATTCCAGTGTGCTGGACTGGGTGGGGGCTGAGGTGGAGGAGAAGGCGGGTCGTCTCTTGAGCGGTCTTGCGGCGGTATGGACATTGATGAGCTTGATAAGACGTGAATAGAGCGTGAATAGACAAGCTCGAAGGTGTTGCCCACGGAGGATCCCGTAGTGATACCCATGATGGCCTTGTAAAGATTTGTAAGGCGGTTGAAAAGTAGTAGTATTGATGAGTTTGGAGTAAGAATTGGAATACGGTAATCAAGAAACTATCGTACTGAGAGAGTGGAAGGTTGCTCTGGAGGACAAAACACTAAAGTAGTTTCGACATTAAATAGTCTAGGGCAAGGTTTTCCTACACTCCCAATCGAACACCGCAAGGGCTCGTCTAGTGGCTTGCAGGGGCGAATGTCTAGTTGGCAGGCCCAAAGAGCCAGGCAAAAGGCAATCAGAATCGCAGCGGCCCGTCCGCGCGGATAGACGGGTGGCGTCAGGAAGGACTCAGTCTAAACTGTCATGCTGGAATGAGATGCTGGTTTGGTAGCCAGGGAGCACAAACGGCGAATGAGTGTCTTCCGCGAGCGGGAGAAGCTTGAAACTGAGTGTGGAAGATGACATCTTCAACGGCGGTAAACAACGTGTCGATGTGTGAGAGCACGGCGAGCGACAGTCGACTGGATGTATGACAAGGGAGGACAGGGTTGAGTACTGCTTGCGATTAACCAGACGTCGGGGAAGACGATCTGCAGCCGCACAAGTCGTTGTGCAAGGTGCCCGGGGGGAGATTGCTTTCCCTCAAGAAATAAGATTTTGAAATGGCGGTCTACGAAGCCATGATGTCAACATCGATACGCGAGTACTTCTATTCGATCAAAGGTCTGGCTAGGCGCCTCGCAGTTCAGCTGCCACTGTCTCCTGTTGGCTCATAGAATTGCGTGCTGTCCCGTGCTGGTACTTGGAAACGATCAGCAGGTGATGAGAAGGCGATGTTTGTCTATTCTTGAATGAAGCAAACGGCTGACCAGTCAACATGGCCTCACTCTTCAGCATTGATAAATACTTGTCAACGTGGATGGATGCAGCTTCGGAGGGGTCGTCTATCGGTGTGGGAGACGGCGAGGTTCGGACGCGTGCGAAGTGGTGAAGGTGAGGGTGACGACCGGGCAGGCGCGCTCGGACACGATGGCGTGCCAAGCCTAACGCGAGCCCTGGAGCATCGCGACTTCCCTTGTAGTAGACTCACACTGACGCCAATCCCGCCTCGGCCTTGTACTTCACCAGTTGCCTGCATCAGCCCATTCGACGCATATACTAAATCTGAAAGCAACAACCCCCGAAACACCGCGGCACTGCCCACCACTTTCGCATGCGCGCGTCCGGAATGTGCTTCACTGGGTCGTAGGGCTAGCAATCACATCGTCCGTCTCTGTGTCACCCGCCTGGTGATACCCTCTCCGCCCTCCCATCGGCTCCTTTCGCCCATTCCGCTTCATTAGACTCAGCACGCCCGCATTCCGACAGCCCCACCGGTTCCAACTCACACCTTAGACATCGCACTGCGCCCCGCCAACATGTCTTCGGTCTGGAACCCCGACAATGTACGAGACGTGGCCGAATCTGTGGGCATCGCCTCACTCGCCGACAATGTGGTAGAAGAGCTGGCACGCGACGTCGACTTCCGGTTGGCGCAGGTGCTAGAGGAGGCCCTCAAGTTTATGCGACACGGGAAGCGGACAACACTGAGCACACAGGACATATCCAATGCCTTGAAGGTATTGAATGTGGAGCCTCTCTATGGCTACGAATCTACCCGACCGCTGCGCTTCGGCGAGGCTTCGCTGGGACCTGGCCAACCTTTGTACTATGTCGAAGACGAAGAAGTCGATTTCGAGAAGCTCATCAACGCCCCACTGCCTAAGGTGCCACGGGAGATCACCTTCACTGCACACTGGCTCGCTGTTGAAGGTGTCCAGCCTTCGATACCTCAGAACCCGAACACGAATACAGGCGATCTCTTGCCCAAGGGTCCAAACGCGAATCCACACTTGGCCGCCGCCAATGGCCTGGACAACGTCAATGTCAAACCGCTGGTCAAGCACGTCTTGTCTAAAGAATCGCAAGAGCTATTCAACAAGCTGTCGGGCGCCCTGATCGACGAAACGAACATCGAGTGGCAGAATGCAGCACTCGCAGCCATCTCGACAGAGCCCGGCATCCACCAGTTGACGACGTACCTGCTAAGCTTCATAGCCGAAAAGGTCACACACAATATGAAGAACCTGTTCATATTGACTCAGATGATGCGCGCTGCGGAGGCGTTACTGAAGAACCAGGCCATCTACCTCGATCCGTACGTGGCATACATGGTACCGCCGATCCTAACATGCTGCACTGGCGGCAAAGTAGGGCCGGCAAACCCAGCGCCATCCAACGCTTCCTCAGAAACACTAAATGGGGCCATGCCCGATCACAACCGCGCTACTCAAGATGCTTTCTACCTGCGAACGCTTGCAGCGCATCTACTCAAAGATATCTGTAGGAAGCACGCGTCGTCGAATCAGGGACTCAAGTCACGGATTGCACGTACCTGTCTGAAGCAATTCATGGACCCGGACAAGTCGGTTGGAACGCATTTTGGTGCACTACAAGCGCTGCTCTTAGTCTTAGGTGCCGGGGACGCATTGAGGGGACTCATCTTACCGAACATTAAGATGTACAACGATGACTTCCTCTCCAAAAAGCTCGCGGACCAAAGCACAAGGCACGACGCTGAAATCCTCCTCGCAGTGCTTGTAGGCTCCTTCCCAGCCCTGGTACCCAAAAGCATGAGAGAAAAGAAACAAAGAGAGCAACAGCAGGGAACATACAACGCACCAGACCTCGATGACCTCCGAGAACAGCTGGTCAACAAGGTTGGCAATCTCGTAGCTGCGCATATGATTCAGAAGGGGATGGACCTGGAAGTGCAAGAGATTCTCAGGAAGGACTTTGATATTTGAGCTATTTAGGACAGATCAATACGGGGCATTGCTACTGGCGTTTAGGATAGGGTGCTCGCTTGGATGATACCATTTGCTCCGAGACAAAGCGTTCACGAGGGCTTGAATTCAACCCGCTATCTTCATCATCACACTGTTCCTCTGCTCAAACATATGCAATGTGAGGTCACCGCATACACCTTTGGGGTACATTTTTGTCGATGGGGTTGACTAGCCAACACGAACACCCTCCCCCCTCCCCTGTCTCGCAACCGGCAATAACAACGCCTCATTCCCGCCATCATCATCTGTCCATCTCCCCAACTTCGCAGCAAAAGCATCAACGGCGCCGTCTACAAACCCGACACCCTGATCGACCCAGCTCCTACTCTTTCTAATCAGACCAAAACCGTCGCTGGCCCCACCACTCCCACTTCCAGGTGACGACGAACTCGAACAAGAACTAATGTGTTTGCGACCGGTAAGAGGTACAGTGCCAGCCTCCAAAGCCTCCATATCGGAGACATTGAGCTCAAACGGCTCGTTGCTCTTGTTGTTGACATGGCTCGGTACCGGAGATACCGGTCTCGATACCGGGGTTGAAGTCCTATTCTGGGAAGAGAAGAAGGCTGCTCGTCCGGTCTGCCATTCCAAGGAAGTTCGCTTTACTAGTGCGGCGCCTGTATCGGGTTGGAGGAGGCGGTTGGGAGGCGGGTCGAGGAAAGGGTTCACTGGTGATGGAGCCGTGGATGTGCGACTTTGAGCATTGGTGTGGAGTGGTCGGCTTCGCGGACGGTTGGGCTGATGCGTCTTGCATCGTGGCCTGTACTTGATCTCGATGTCCTCGCCAACGTGCGCGTTGTTTCCCAGATACGAAAACGGAATCTGGGCCGCTGATGTAACAGCGTCATCACTGTCCATATCCATGTTCGTCGCTTTGTCGACCCATACCTCGCTTTCGTTGCCATGTCGATGCGCGTACTTGCTCACTTTGTCAATCGGTCTCCTCTCTTCACCCATACGCTTTGCTCTCATGTTCCTCACTCGTTTTCCCTCTTTCATTTCACTCCTCATGCCCATTCTCATGTTAACCGCCCAAACCATGAGCGTCCATACCACTCCTAATATCACAATTGCCAGTGTACCGACAAAAAGTAGCTTATAGCCCGTAGGCAGGTACACCAATTCGTAGTCCACACGACCCATAATACTCGAATGATATGGACTCTCGTTCGGTAGAACAGAGTCTGGATGTTGTAGTGGATTCGAACTTTGCTCTGGCATCGCAGTGAACGGCACAATGATTTTTGGATACAAAAAACCGGGAGGCGAGACGCGAGGGTATGTTGAGTGGCGGGGTGACGGAGTTGAGAATGTTATTAGCGTCGTTGGTATTATTGTCGCACTTTTCGACGATTTCACTTGTAAGGCTACGTCATACGAAGATCTAAGTGACTGTGGAAGTGACGGTGAAGCGGCATTGAGATGTAGCGCGCGGCGCATACCAGGGATGATACCCTGAATTTGAGGGATTGGAAAATGGCGCGTGGCGTATGTATAAGGTGTTGCAGAGGGCCAGTTGAACGTTGAGCTAGTGCGGTAGGAGTCTGTTGCTTTGGACGTCGACAGCTCCTCTCCTGCGTTGTTGGCAATATCCATGTGTCTCGGGGCTGCGGGCTCGTTCTGACCTGGCGTATGTATAGCAGTAGTGATAGTGAGTAGTGTTTCATAGTGTTGCGCCATCGGTGCCATGACAAAATAGTGAAAAGAATGCCGATTCGGTGGTACGAAAAGTCGCAACGATGTAAAAGAGAAGGCAGCGAAAAGTACGAAAGACCTTAGAAGACAGGCAGTAACCATGGAACAATGCAGAATAATGTCTCAAAGGGAGTTTCTGGAAGGAGCTGCCGTGAAGTAGGAACGTCAGACATCAACAATTGAACAAAGAGGAGTAATACATGAAGTGGCACAGTAACAACATCAGCTCAAAAGTCATGGAAGTTTTTGGACGATGTGTGTGCAATGACGATTTATAGAAGACTAGGATTACGTATATTTTATGTGAAGATGCCGTGCAGATGTAATGCTGGCAGGGGAACGAACGCCGCCTAATGGGATATCCAAACTGCAAATCTATAATGCATGATAATGGAAAATACTTTTGAACAAGACGATGCAGTATCGCAAGAAAGACACAGTGCCGTGAGAAGCAAAAACGATGCCGATGCAGCCATAGCTGCGGCGGGATTGTGTATTGCATCTCTCAAGTGCGGGTCGTAAAGTACCCACAGGCACATGGATCGTCATAAGCCCGCAACATAATGATTGTTGGGCGTTCGTACATGTCGTGCTCCAAGCTGGTTGCTTATCTGCGGTTGAAGTTGAGGTACTTCGCAGCAACGAAAAGAATAACCAAATTACTAGCAATAAACGCAGCAAAAATACCCAGATCTCTCCACCTGTTGCTGAACTCGTATCCAAGCGGTTGGTAGAACTCATCACCAACCTTATAGGCGCAGTAGTTACAGGCGGAGGTTGCGTTGTCGAGGAGGTAGCCAGGTGCGCCGTTGGAGAAGAAGTCGCCCATGTATGATCCACAATCCTGACCCTGTGGGGCGTTGAACTGGTTGTACTCGCCGGATGTACATTCGACGGAGAGGTCGTGAAGCTCAGTGACGATCATGCCACCAATAAGGCGTGTGAAGGGGTTGAGCTCGTAGAGCCACACGCGCCAGAACTTGGGAATCTGGGGCTTGGGGATTGTGACACCACAGAAGAGGGCGAAAATGATGATGATAAAGGGGTTCACGTAGGAAGCGATGAATGGGGACGGTGTCAGCGCAGCAATCGCCTGAGCCAAGGTGACGGAGAAGACCTCTGTGATGAGCACGATGAGGAACTGGTATCCGGCGCGCGAGCTGTCGGGGTTCAGTCCGGGGATGTAATAAAGAGGGATGAAGAAGAAGACAGCACAGAGGACGCTATACGGCATCTCAGCAAGCACCATAGACAAGGCGAAGGGGAACGTCTTGTATGCCTTGGACATCTGCTCGCGGAAAGAGATCATACGCTGAACGGCGTACTTGGGTTCGACCTGAGCGAGAATCAGAGCAGGCAGAACGGTAACCTGGAAGATGATGAAGACACGGTATTGCAGGGATGATCGGGAATCGTCGAGCTGGAGGTACATGAGACCTGTGAGTAGAGCGATGATGACGTGGTTGAAGAGACGGGTGAAGCCGTAGTTGGGAGTGCGCCAGAAAGACAGGTTTTGGCGTTTGACAACCTGCTTGATCTGGTAAGAGAGTGGTGTAGCGTACTCCTGTTGTTCAACTGGCTCGGCGGAGCCAACGGCAGCCATGCGTTCTTCCTTGACCTCGACGATGTGGCGCTTGACCTCCGCGAACTCCTCAGAGTCCCGCCAAACATCAGCCCAATCCTTGTCTCCGATACGAGGAGCAGAACCAGCACCGACAGCGTCTAGCATCCACTCAGCGGGGTTGGCATCAGGAGGGCAGTCGGCACCGTGGCGATGGAAGTAGTTGAGGAGAACATGGGCGTCCTTGCCAATGTCACCAAAGTAGACACACTGACCACCCCTCTGGAGGAGCAACAGACGATCGAAATTCTCGAAGAGAGCAGAGTTGGGCTGATGGATCGTGCACAAGATGGCTTGACCGGCGGCAGCAAGCTTGCGAAGGAAACGAACGATGTTGAAAGCACTCTGCGAGTCGAGACCAGAGGTAGGTTCGTCCAAGAAGAGCAGGAGCTCAGGCTTGGCAGCGAGCTCAACACCAATAGTTACACGTTTGCGCTGTTCGACAGCTAGACCACTCTCAGGGTCACCAATGATAGCATCTGCGATGTCTTCCATTTCCAACAAGGCGATGACCTCCTCAACGTAGGCGTACTTCTCAGCCTGAGGAGTCTCGTAGGGTTGTCGCAGGTCGGCAGAGAAGCGAAGCGCCTCGCGGACGGTAGTAGCAGGCTCATGGACATCAAGTTGTTCGGCGTAGGCAGTTCCACGCTGGAAAGCAATACCAGGAACCTTTCCGTCGACAAGCTTGTCTCCACTGATGACACCAATGTTCTTGCGGTTGGCTAGCACATCGAGAAGCGTAGTCTTTCCAGCACCAGAGGCACCCATGAGCGCTGTCAGTTGTCCGGGCTTGACGTATCCGTAGATGTTGTTGAGCAGGCGGAGCTCTCCGCTAGGAACAGGAACGTCGTAGCAAAGGTCCTCCCATGTGAGAACAGCCTTGGAAGCAATGTTCAGATCCGAGTCCTTGTCACTGCTGTCTTCCTTACGGTTACGCTTGTCGCGCTTCTCTTGCAACTTGGCGTTCAGTTCCTTGAGTTCTTTGTTCTCTTTGACGAAGAATGTGACTGTACGGCCACCAGCACCCCACTTGACGAACTCTCCGAGGAAGGCGTTGGCGAGAAGGAATCCGACGATGAGGGCGACCATGATACCGTAGTGCATCCAGAGATCTGAAGGGTCCCAAGAGAACGATGTCTTGATGTAGTTGGTACCAGACACGATGGGGTTACCAGCTTCACTACCAGGTAGCGTACAAACCTGGGCGCTGAGGTCGTCGTAACCAGGTCCAGAAGGAACCAGGGAGCTACCGGCACAGGTCAAGTCCAGGCGGCTGAACTCATTCATCATGAGAGCAGAGAAACCCAATCCTAAAGCGTTGATGTAGAAGATCCATCGAAGCCAGACTTGCTCGGATTGCCACTGGATAAGGTAACCGGAAGTGAGTACGAACAATGTGATGATTGTAGCAGCTAGACGAATCGCGACATCGAAATCTGGACAGAGACATCCAACCGTTCGGAAGAACAGTGTCATAGCCAGATAACCAGTGATGATGACCAACGCGAATGTGAAGAAAGCTCCGGCATCTCGCACCAGGTTCGTCATGAAGTACACGATGATGGAAAAGACCAGAATCTGCACGGATGCAAACAGGAGATCGACACCAATCTGGGCTATCCAAAGGGCTGACGGTCGATGGAATGTAAAAGCACGATGTTTGTTGATGATTGGCCTGCCTAACATGGTGGATGCCAATTCGGAGAAAGCCTGGAAAGCGTTGAAGAGCAGAGCAATGAAGAGAACACCACCACGAGTGAAGGCGCCTGCAGAGGTATCAGGGAGATCGAGCCAGACGGTACCGGTAATGATGGCAATAGAGATGGAGGTGATCCAAGAGACAACGAGGGCGAACTTGTCCTGCCATTTGAGCAAGAATTGACGCTTCGCCAAGGCCCAGACTTGCAGGTAGAAAGGAATCGAGTAGACAGACTTCTGGGGTGCATGGCGCTTGGACTCCTTGACGGCTAGCTGGAAGTCATCGTAGACGTGCTTCTCCTGGTCCATCTGTGCCTTGTACGCTACCATCTCAGCATCGAGCCTGGCAGCGGCCTCGGACTGTTTGAAGGCTTCAGCGAGCGCTTCAGGGGTGGAAGGAACATCCTTCTCGCTCATACCGGGCTTGAACTCGCGCTCAAAGGGATCAGTGCAACCAGTAAGGTAGTCAGGAGTGGTTTGACGGGGCTTCTCCAAGAATCCGAGACTCTCAAAGTAAGCGCGGGCTTCCTGTGCAGGTCCAAAGTAAACTTGTCGGCCGCTGTCGATGACCATGACTTTGTCGAAGCACTTGTAGATGTTCTCGGAAGCCTGGTAGAGAGACACGAAGGTTGTCGTCTTGTAGATGTTTGTTAGCACCCTAAGCGAACGCGCATAGTCGACAGCAGTTGAAGCATCTAATCCTCTTGTGGAGTTGTCCCAGCTCATCAGGGAAGCACCCGTGATCATGGTTTCGGCGATGGAAACTCGCTTCCTCTCTCCTCCGCTGACACCACGGACAAAGGGATTGCCCACAATGGTGTTGCGCGTGTGCTCGATGTTGAACATCTTGAGCATGAGGTCGATGACCTTCTCCTTGAAGTCTTGTCTTGAGAGTCCGGCTGGGCGCTTTCCAGGTACCTTGGTCTCGAGCGCGAAGTCGAGTGTCTGTCCGACGGTGAGTGTAGGGTGGTGGTTCTCATCCTCCTCGCAGTATACCGCCTCACCCCTGTACCTCTTCTCGAAGAAGTCGGCATCGAATGGACCGTATAGGACGTTTCCATCAACCTTGGTGTATCCGTATCGCTGGTTGCTGATGACCTTGAGGAATGTGGTACAACCGCTGCCTGGCTTTCCTAGGACCAGCACCATCTCGCCAGGCTTGACGACACCCTTGAAGTCCTTCAGGATGTCGAACTCCTTTCCCTTCTTGCCAAGGCCGAGAATGTTGGCGGCGGTTTCGAAGACATTGAAAAACGATACAAAGGCGTCAGGGAAGGTTTTGACGTAGTTCTTGACACCACCTATGCGACAGTTAGCGTGTGTCTTGGATACAGATGATGTAAGGTAGCCATACCGATACCGCTAACGGTGAGACCGTCCCACACAACACCAATGCGCTTCGACTTGATACCCGCTGCCTCTTCCTCGTCTTTGCCACCGCGCAAAGTGGCTTCGAGGTCGAAGGCCTCATCGGAGGAGTCGGAACCTGCAACAGTGGCCTTCTCTACGTCTGTGACAACTTTGTCTTTGCGACTCTGCTTGCTCTGTACGCGACTTAATCGGCGCGAGATGTTGCTAGCACGGGAGAGCTCTTTTGATAGTTCCGCAAAATCGGCCTCGGCACGTTGGATGTCAACCCCACCCGTGACATTGCTGAAGCCCTTTTCGTTGTTGGCCGAGTTGCGCGCAGTGCTTTCGGTGATAGATGCAGTCCTGACGCTGGCGTCGTCGCGGTGGGCGTGGTTGCGGTTGGGATGGATTGCCTCAAAAGTTGTTGCCTCGGTGTGCTCTTGGATCTGCGTATGCTGAGGAACACTGGCGTTGTCCATGGCTGTGGCGGCGGTACAGGGCGCACCCTGCGTTTCAATTGAACGGTTCGGATCCGGTACGGGCAGAGGCAATGTCTCACACTTGTGCAGGCCCGGAAAAGAAGCGGATTATAAAGAACGTATGGATATCTTGCAAAAACAAAAGCAAACGAGCAGCCTAAGAGCAGCAAAGGAGATGTCGCAACGGCTAAATAAAATAAGAAAACAGTACACGACTCGGAGATAAGAGCGAGTTGTGGGCCTTTAGTTCCGAAAGAGGTTAAACCCACAATCCTGAGGAGATGGCGCCGCGTGCGGCTAGGCAGATCTCTTATGTTGCAGCTATCAACCCGCAACACTGCAACGGGTAAGTTTGATGCTCCATCATTCTTCAGCGGACTGCTTCGCACGGAGTTGGTCGTGTATCAAACCGCGCAATCGAGTCACTCCGTTACACCGTGATCGACCCCACAGTCACATTCGCTGCAATTCGGTTAGATTCCGCCTTACATGACGCTGAGATCTCTGGGCAGACGCAAGAATGCACCCGTCTACCAACGACATGCGGCTCAGTGCATCTTGATTGCTAGTGGGACAATTTACACTCAAGCTCACTAATCTCATGCTGAAAACTCCGTGAGTGGAGCATTCAACGCAGAGACCATAATTCACTTCACAGTCGTCTCTCGCGCACGCGGTTGTTGAGGAGGATCAAATGAGCACAATCTCGCGGAGTAGCTTGACTCCGCTAGGCTGGATTGCTTACATGCTTTTTGACCCCACTTGTCTCCACGGCGAGTTTGTCAGCCTTCTACTTTCAGCACCTTGGCCTCGAGTCATATCACTCCGCCGTTGGACCTTCCACGCCAACGGGCCGACAGCACCTCCCTTTCCACGTTCCACTCCATTCTGGTAGCGGACTTTCCACGTTTTGGAGACTCGAGCATTGCTCAGCCCTAGAGAGTACGTCTGAGATGCACGTTGCCTTCTCTTAGCGTCGGTGTTCCGTGGCGGCTTTCCCGCATGTGCTTCGGCAACCCGACGGCGCCCTTTTTTCGACTCATTCTCGCTCATTCTAGACTAATACATGAGTCTTCCGTGCATCTCAACCTTCTGATCTGCAGCAAGGGGCGTTATGATGGTTGCACCACATATAACGACTCACACCGACTCACTTTGACGGTTGCTGCCTACACCAATTCTTATCTAGGTCGAGAATCCAGTTGTCTTCACCACACTTTTTCCGACATGAAGCATGGGGATTCAGCCGCACAGACTAATTTTAGACCGCTGGTTGCTTTCCAGATCGACTCTGGTAGGCAATGTGCGCCAATAAACTTTCGAGCATCAACACGCGATCGTAGCGTGTTATCGCAGTCCTTACGCATCTTGTGCATATGCATTTACACTTCGCGGAGCGTGTCAGCACTATCATGTAAATGGGAATCTTCCCGTTAGTGCAAAAGAGCTAATCAAGCATAAAACAGACATACTAATCAACTGTTTCTTATCGCAATAGTTGCCGTTATTACCTCAGTACGCGGGGGAACGTTTTTTCCGCCATCACCATCATGCTGTTAGGTCAATCATACCGGGCCCACTTGGAACTTGAGAACTACGCTTCTACAGCCAATCGTAGCTTAGACTACTAAAAGCGCACAAACGCAGGCACATTGGGGGCGACGAAAGTCTAAGATTATTACAACGCTAATATTAGCATCACAAAATCGCGGCTTGTAGCAAACTGAAACCGCGACCGCACAGCTTCATATGTCTCGAGACAACACGAGCGGACACCACCAATTTATCTCTCTAGACCTCAGCTCAGGGCCCACCTGTATGACTGCAGCCAGTCAACACTCAGCGCCTGAGTAATCAACACGAGGAGCCAAGATGTGCTACGTCACACCGGATACGATCGCGAGCAACACGACGCGAAGTCATGTGAGAGCGCCTCAAGTATTCAGACTATTAAGCTGTCATTGGCTCTATTGTAGAAGAGGTTCAGTTACGGACAAGGCAGACTTATCATGAATACACTCCAAAAGCTCACCGAGGAAGCATCGGCGCAGTCATTGCGGATGGATATCACATGATCGCATATGCGTCTCGCGTTTTTCGTTTTTCGTTTTCGTCGTGACGATGAGCTATTCTGAGGTACAGTAAGTACGGACAGTCCTGTGTATAAGCCAGTACATATAGTGGCTACACCAAAACTGAGAAACTATATCAAACTTGTAACCTACTGTTGACCCCTCCCTTTCCAAAGCATCGAGTAAATCGCCAACAACTCCTTACTCAAAATGTCTTTCCCGCCCATCCGATTCGCTCCCTTCCAAGTCTCCAGCGCACCATCATCAGGTGAAAAAGACACACGACAACCCTCCCAACAGTCAGAGACTTCGGCAACGTCCAGCACGTCTGGAACCTCCACAGCGTCAGGAAACTCAACATCAAATACAACCAGCTCAAACCAGACGGACCCGCAGAAGGGGAAGTGACCTACTAGATACATCGCGAAGGCACTAGGGATCGGCCGACCAGCTTGTATATCATACCGGCTAAATAATCTGGCTTAACAATTCCATTCACTCGCTTCGGGGGGGAATCATAGCAGTACGATGATTGTATACCGCAGCCACGTTCTCTCGGGAGCATAAGCATCGCAATCAATAATTGAGGCTAGCTTAGGTTGGTACAGGGTCGCTTCCGTCAGCACTCAAGACTATGGCATCGAAAGAATAGTAAAGTTATCACGTATCACCCAGTGTATTGCCTATTTGTCTACCATATCCATCACTCAGTCATTCCAGTCATGACAACAAGTCTAACGTCTCAACAACGACCCATTTGCAAACTTACCATGCCCTTAACCAGCCGGCCATTCGTTCTGCACTAAGACTCCTATCCGTATATCGAAGTCCAGTCCTCCAACTCCACATAACTTCATTGTCACCCATGGATATGTGTTCGTTAAGTTTCTCGGTACCCTGTTTCCTTCATTCTAGTGCACGAACATTCGTGCCCCGTTATACGTTGTCCGCTCGGTGCTACTTCGCGATTACAGATACGAGGTGCGATGCTAGCACACCCCACGCAGCCAGTAACATATTGACCGGTCGCGTACTATTACGTTTACACAAACAACGTTCCGAAATGCAACATGTATCCGAGTCAAAATTCCCTGTATCAGAAAACACTGCAGCGTCCATTTTTACGTGGCTGAATGAAAGGGAAAGACTACGTTTACTCTGTACTTTTGAGCTACATGATACGTTCATAGCAACGAAAAGCTTCGAGATCAACCCTCATTAGTAGTTGTGTTGTAGTCCAACGCGATGTGTGGAAACATAGTATAAATATGCAATACAACAATGCCAGCTGCCTAGGTATTGTAACCACTCTATTTTACATCATGCACAACAAGGAACACGTTCGCTATCAGGATCTCCACTAACAACTCACAACGTAAAGTGAGAGTCGCATTCCAATATTCATTGCGCTCATCACCTATCTACATCTCGCAAAAAAGACTAAAGATACTCATATCATACATCTCACTTTTGACAGACGAAGCTTCCAGATGTTACTCTTCTTCCTGGCCTCGTTAGAGATGACGAGCTGAAAGGACAAGAAGCGTCTACATTCTAGATTTTCACAGCCAAACAGATGGCAACAACATACAGGTGAACTATAGAAAACGATGATATTCTGTTATTTCTGCCACACGCACCAAAGACGGCTTGACAAAAAAGCTCGAGGTAACTATTCGAAAACAAAGCAAACTTAGAAAACCAATGATTTGAAATGTGACATTGAAATGATACAAAGTGAAGTAGTATCACAGTTTTTCGCTAAACATCATATCCATCGCAAAAAACGAACGATTGGAAAACCTCTTCCGCCCGAAATAAGACACATTCCGTCATGGTGACGCCTTGCTAAACATACCAATGTTGAAAGTGACATAGGGAAATTGTGTTTGGGTATGTTGTAGTCGTAGTTCCAAAGTGTACCCTTGCCAACTCAACCATCTTCGCCATTTCATACATCTTGGTCTTTTTCATTCCCACGCGCCACTTCTTCCAACTCTCAACACCAACCATAGTCTTCAAGAGCGCAAAAAAAAATAAAAAATATCACACCTCACCATTCCTACCTCTTCTCACCCATCTGCACCCCCGCCTCAAGCGCCATTGGCGTCTTCTCTCTCCGCTCCGGTGCCTGACCACCAGCACTACTAGACTCACCCTGCGGCCTTCGTCCAATACGCGCAAGCCAGCTCTCAGCACTCTGAACTGTACCATCAACAACAGTAGTAATCTGACCCATCATATCCAGTCCCTCCTTGGCAAACGCCAACATGCGGTTCGCGCCTCTGACCTCATCGCCACCCGCATATTCGTTGTTCGCGTTGCGTCCCGCGAGCTGCCATCGCTGAGGTACAGACAGCAATTGTGTACGAACGACCGTTTGGGCGTTTTGCGGGAGAGCACCGCCTGTGTAGCGGGATACGGATTGCACGACTGATTGGAGGGTCTGCCAGATATCCGACGAGAGGGCCTTGATACGGTCGGCGATTTTGCGGACTTGGTCATCCTTGTCTGTGGTGTCGGCGAGGCCCATTTGGGCCATGTTGCCGTTGAGTTGCGTCTTCTCGTCTTGGCTGCTGGACTGCCTTTGGTTGTTGAGGGCGGCTTCGTATTCTTCGAGGACAAGCGTGAGCGCGCGCATGACGGAGTCAATGTGAGTTGTTGCGCCGCGGAGGAGACCGAGGCAGAGCTTCAAGGATCGTAGTGATGTCTCTGACAGCGCGACACCAAGACCGGAGGTTGTCATGATAAGCTGTGTAGACCAGTTGACACGACGGTCCTGCGGAGTGTTTGAGCGTTGCTCTGGCGATTTTTGCGACGTGACTTCTCTAGAGATGACTGCTTCCTCATAGTTTGGAGAGCGCTGATCATCGTAGGCAGGAAGCGACTCGGTGTACGAGGATTGCGAGCCGCCTCTTGTTCGTGATGCCGCTGCAAGCGCATCGTCGACATCCATGGCATCGTCGGCCGGACTGGCGATCCTTTGTCTTTTGCTTCTTGAACTCTCGCCATCTCCCTGTTCGAGGTCGCTGGGTCGTCTGTCTCCTAGATAGCGTCGCAGACTTTTCTCCATACCGGTTCTTCTACCAACAGATGACACAGTGTTGACCATTGGCGATCCAATGTTGCGCTCAATGAGCTCAGCACCGTATTGGACCAGTCGTGGAGTATAGCCTTTGGTCGTATTGTAGGCTGAGATGGAGCCGTTGATACCGCTCCCAAGCCATGGGTGATTCGACGTAATCAAGGAGAGGAGCGGTTCTGGGGGTTCGGTTGTAGATTCTCGAGCGGAAAGCGTGAGGGATCGTGCTGTTGGCGAGCGAACAAAGTCTGCAGTAGTCAGTTAGTATGTATCCTATCCAGTATTATAGACAGTAATCGCAACGGCAAGGCCACATACCTGGATTTCCCAGTCCACTCAATGCTTCCGCTGCCAGCCTTACATCCGGATCGTCCATACTAACACTCGTCTCTCGTCTACCTGTGTTCTCACTGCGCACACTTGCCGTATCCATGGGACTTCCTATGTCTTCGCGCGACAGGCTATCAGGCGCTCGTGGGATGGTCGCATTGTTTGGCATTGGCAACCTGCCCCATTGCGATGCATCGTATTGCGACCGTGGGCTGAATTCTATCGAGTTGTGCGGAGTATGACGCGTTTTGGTGTCGGGCAGGTCCAGCGACTTGATGCCCGGCAGCCTTGCATGATCTGGGACATGGCTCGGGATATGCGTCGGTACCGAAGGGAGATGCAGCGACTCGGGCTCGTGTTGTGTGTATGCAGGCGGCGGGGCACGTTGGAGTGGTCGTTCCTGCTCCATTATAGGATTCTCGCAGGACCGTGACGTTTTATAATCGAACCAACCCTACCCCACGTTCGTCTATGCGCAAATCACACCCAACTATATCTTTGCGACTCCTCGCAGTAACTATCTCGAGTTGCGCTATGTCCGTGAAAGCCGTCGCAGTGCCCACTGACGGTGCGGAAGGAGTGTCTCGAAAGGGTATTGTACTCCGCGGAAGCGTAATCGGAGGCCCAAGTGCGAATTGGAGACCGCGATGATGTCGTTTAAGGGGATGGATGCGAGTCTCGAAGAACGCACAACACGGAAGGGGAGCTCTGGATATCAGTCGCAACGGGTGGAATCGTCGCTTATCGCATGGTTGATCGGAGGGCAAGGTTCGAGGGGATGACAGCGAGACGCCCGGCAGCAAATTGGGGATCACCACAAAGCCGTGATTCTCACATGTCAATCCTATCACATGTCACCACTGATCCACCCAGTCCACGCCACACATGCTTCTTGGCAGCCAATTCTGCGCGAGGTGCAACCGACGTAAACAGCTCAAGTTTCGCCTACAGCCAATGTGAAATAAATTTAGAAACATTAAACTCTTTTCACGAAACAATCAAACGCATTGCGATGAGTTGGGGCTATCACGATGATATCAAGTCAGGGCTGACGACAACTGAACCCGGTACACGGGGCTGCAGCCGATCGCTCAGCTTCCGGCATAACGTCTCCCCTCGCTATTGCACGTGTAAACTGGCTAAGCTTCCCCACACATCAGCCCTGTCCTCTTCCGATAACCGCAGACAACACGAAACAAACACAACAAACAAGACCATGTCTTTGACGATTATGCATTATCTATCGTTCCAGTATTTGCTACAACGTGCTATACCGCCCATACCAAAGCCCAAGACCAACACCGGAGTTGTCGTAACGCGAACCGACCAACCATGCTCTTACATGCTTTTATCGTAACACGGGGCTACACCAAAGTGTCTGTCCCCAAACATAGCAATTACAAGAAGATAGAAAATTGTAGCCCTCCAGGGTGATATCGTGCCAAGAACGAATTGAGAAGGAGCCTGGCCAAAAGGTGGCTCCTGTTGACGAGATGTTTTCGGACCTGATAGTTGATCCGTTATATCTTGCGAAAGCTGAAGAGCATAACGCGCTGCATCAAGTGTGATCGCAGAGTAGTTCGATTGCTTCGACGGCCAGGGGCCGTTGGGCATTGTCCAATGCTTCAAAAAGCTCCATCTGCCGCACGGCGCTTCGCATGTCCTCCGAACGGTCGAGTCTACGCCTTGCGGCTGCGGGTCGCACGTCCGTTGGGTGTGCCGTTGGGTGAAGCACCTGTAGCAACACCGTTAGCAACACCGGCACGCGAGGTCGAAAGACGCCTGCGAGCTTCACCAACAGTCGGCAACTTCTCGTCCTTCATCTCAATCAACGCGCTTGTAGCCCTGCGGCGGCCCTTGGGCACCGGCTTCTTGTACGTGGCGAAGTAGAAGGCGAGGAAGAGGAAGAGGTACGACGTGATGATGCAAATGCCCGAGATGGCAGCGAACTCCTCACCAGCACACTTGCCCATGTTGGGCAGGTGCGGCCAGTAGGTGCTTGTGAAGTAGGTCCACGAGGCGAAGTAGATGAAACCTAGACTTTGTTAGTCGCTATATTGTGACCGGTGTGTGAATGAAGAGGAAACCTACCAATGTCGAGGACGAACTGAGTGATCTGGCCAATGGTGATGTACTTCTTCCACCAGATGCGGATGCCTCGTGCGCTCTGGAAGTAGTACCAGTACATGACAACGTGGACAGCCAGGTTGAGAGTGATGACGGGCCATGAGACAGGGGTGTGACCGATGAGCTGGGTGTAGCAGAGGAGAGCGGTCGCGCCATGGTGGTAGGTGTGGAGGAAAGCTGACCTCGTTAGCAATGCAACGTTGACGCCGAATTGGTGCACATACTCAATGGCTTCTTCTTCAAGAACAGGAAGCAGGTGTCGATCAGCTCCAAAAACTTGGTGAGGTAGTTGAGCTGCGCATATTAGTAAAGTCCCAACAGCATGCAACGTAAGCACTTACGTAGTAGAGGATAACCAGCTTGTCAGTCCATCCACCCTCGTGGTCACAGATAGCGAAGAAAAGACCCTTCCTGGCAACCGTGGGGATCAATTGCTCCGCGAAAAGAAGTAGTAAAGTACCGCTGATCGCCGTGAGGTAGAAGTTGTGCACCTTGAAGAGGAAGTTGAGCTTAAAGGGCTCACGGTTGCGCATAAGCTCCCGTCCACCGAAGATCGTGATGTAGTATACTACCAGCGTAATGACGCAGACCTTGAATGTCGAAAGCGGTGTCTCTCCTTGTACGAATCGGAAATCCTGGGGCTTGTAGCCCGCGATAGGCTCAAAGCATTTCTCGAAAATGGGCCATAATGCCAGTCCAAAGGGACGGTCGAGCGTCGGCGCGCCGAATTCAAGCCAGTCTGGGCCACCCATTGTGTGCGTGTATAGTTGTGGGGTTCGTCGAGGTTGGTGTTGTGCTGTTCGGAAGCCCTGATCGTAGGATTTAAAGGGTTGAGCCTAGTAAAGGAACTAGGTAAACAAGGGCAACGTGGAGAAGAAGTGCTGGCAACCGCAACTAAGCAGGGGCGAAGCGTAAAGGAGTGACGAGAAAATGTGAAGAAGTAAATCTCACACTGGGCTGGGTGAAGGTGATGCGCAAAGGTTATGAAGGGCCAGCAATGATTTTCTGGCTGCGCCGGAAAGGAGGTCGGAAATGACTGCTGGGGTCTTCCGCCTCTCCCGCTGATGGCCCCAACCCGCCGTTGCACGTCCAGATTGCGACACATTGCAGACCGAGGCGATTGACTTGTTTGCTATTGGCTACGCTACTGTATTGCTCTCCTTTTACCTTGGTATCGCAGCTGGCAGACGATGGACTACCTTGGCCCGATTTTGCATCACCGCGCTGAAACCCAGATAGCGTGCACTGCCGTGTAGCTAACGTACGAACCTGTAATTCAAATTGCATTGGAGACCTCCAGCATGCACGCATTGAGCGAATTTGACCTTACTAGCTGTCGCTGCGATACGATGTATAGGGCTTCACCAAAAGCCCGTAAACATTCGGGAGGCTTGGCGTTCCGAAGGCCGAGCACCCTGCTTAAAGCTAGTCTGATCGTCGAAAGCAAGTCGGATGGAAACATATGCGGCTCCCCGTATCTAGGTAGCACGGCTTGAAAGTATGGGGGCCCCTTGCGACCCTTTTAGCACCGCATGGAACGAGGCAAGCAAAAAGAACGCTGATATCCTCTGTGGAAATAAGCATGTAGCAGCGGCTCAAGACTAGTCACCAGCTTTGAATTCCCATATCCTTTTTGTCTTTGTACCAACAACTCTCCCTGACTTCTTCCTCGACTTCTTTCAGTACTACAACAACATACATGTGCAGCTTCAAAAATTCTTTATATTCCGCGTCTATCAGTATGAGAAATTCCCTATTCAGTCATCTTCCACAAGAAACGTCATCCGGAACACCCAAGTGAAACGTCCATGTTGTTTTGGGAAGAACCAAAGAAACCGCGACGCTTGATGCCAGATAAAACCACATGATATCGCAACTACAATCTAGCCCACGACAGGCTAGCAATGAACCAAGACGACAAAAGGAGAAGAGAAGATATGCATCCCCAGAATCAGGAGCTAATGACCCGAGTGATGGTGCCCCCAGAATTCGACCTTGCACGTCCAGTAGGTGCGCGTGACGAGACAGCATGGCCAGAAGAAGAGTTGGGGCGACTGTTGCTACGCGGTCGACCAGCCGAGCGGCGAGCACTTGACGAAACGTGGTGCTCCCCTTGCGAAGTATGATGCCGTCGCTACAAAGGCGCAAAGCATAAACATGTCAGATCCACCTGAACCGAAATGCAAGTCTTGAACAACAAGGAAGAAAACCTAGGAGTCTAGGAATAGAATTAAGAGTACATCGATTCGGTCACAGAGAATGCTCATCCAGAGTTCTAGGGACTTAAGAATCAACGTACCGAGGTTTGGCTGCCTTGACGCTCATATTCCTTTGGCCGCCTCTCTCTCGATGCTGTTCCGTCGTCCTGCAGGCGGAGGTTCTCCAATCGTGACTCCGAGTCGTCCATGCGCATTGGGTCGACTGCTGATTTCTCTGCCGTACCGTTTGAACGTGATTCGGCAAGCTTGGCAAGCTTGTCCCAACGATCTTGTCGACTTTGCTGTCTTTGGGTCGCGTTGTTTTGTGACTCAGCGTAATCATGCGAACAGTCATCAAAGAGTTGCGGGTTAACTTCCATGAAAAGCTTCATGGCATTGTACACCATACCATGGATTGTTCTGGCAACGTAGTCAGCAAGTAAACGGTCTCACCAGAGTGCATATACGTACCGGTTCCAGTGACCCTTTGAGTTTTCGTATAGCGGCGCGAACATGATGGGCAAGATAACTTCGACGTTGTCGCTAACAAGGTTGCAGAAGTACTCGTTGTTCCAAAAGTACAGTGCTCTCTCTGCGACCTGGAAGTGGGGACTAGCGACTGACTTGGCTAGTTGGTTGAACAGCGGCTCTTGCACCTTTGCGAACTCGGCAGGGTCCATAACCTCGAAGATGTCTTCGACTTCGTTCAGGAACATGACCTCTTTGGTACTGTTCACCTTTGGCCAATATCGGAGAAGACCCAAAACAACCTGAACGTGTAAGCCTAGCCTATTGGATCTGGCGTATGTCCCTACCTCTTCTGTTAATGCCGCGTCCTTTTCCAAGAACTGGACAATGCAATACGCCAATTGTGGATGGTACATGCTCAAACTCTTGACTTTGTGCAGTGGAATGAGCACCCTGGTGAGGAACAGCTTGTGCTCTTCCTTTAGTGGCAGGGCAAACCCGTTGATTATAGAACCGAGAATCTCGAGAAGCTCGGCGATACCGTTGAAGCGCTCCGTCTCGTAGATGAATTGGAAGAAGACGTTGTTGATGGAACGGCGGATGTAGGAGCGGAGGTTGAGGAATTTGCCGTATATGCGATGGAGCGTAGTCTTCAAGAAGTCGCGTTCTCTAGGGTCTTCAGAGTCGAAAAGCTCAAGCAGCTGCTCACGTTAGCCAGGTGGTTTGAAGGGAATTGATGAAAACGTACGTTGAGCACGAAGCTGTGGTCTATGTATGCTTTGGCGATGTTTGTGTTAAAGTCCTGACTTTCGATAAAGCGGAGGAAGAATTCGTAGACGACCTGTATGTGCGGCCACGCTACTTCCAGCACCGGCTCGTCTTCTTCTGGGTCGAAGGCCTCGCCTTGGGGGTTCATAGGGGGTGGGATGGGTCGGAACAGGTTCTTCGCAAACATCTCGACGACGCGAGGGTACATCTTTTCGGTGATGACCTGGCGATTGTTGGCGACATAGTCGAGCAGCTCGTGCAGGGCCAGACGTTTGATCTCCTTAGACTTCATATCGCCACTAGCATCGTTGAAGTCGAAGATAATGTTGCATTGGTCAATCTTCTGCATGAAGAGTTCCTCCCTCTTGTTCGGGGGCACCTCATGGAATCCGGGGAGCTTCTCCAGTTCACGCTGACGCTGATCCGAGATGTCGAAGCGTGATGAGTGTTGCCTCTTCGGGGTTCTCATGCCCTCGATGTTGTCCTTGGGCGTCGCTTGAAGACGGTCAAATATTCCCGACTTCGCGCCCGCCTTGGGAGGCGCAAGATCGCCAGGCATCGTCTCGGCTGCACCAGGAGGAGGTGGGTGCTACAGTACTTGTTAGCCTACCAAACTTGTGTCTATTGATGCGCAAGTACTCACAGGCGCGCTTGGGCTGATCACGACGCTGGGTGCCAGGGGCTGCCCCAGCCTAGAGGGCGTGCCTGGACCAGCAGCGCCGGCATTACCAGCAGCACCGGGACTCATCATGCCCTGTCCACCAAAAGATTGAGGCCCACCCGCGAGCGAACCTGACGAAGGCTGGGGGTTCTGTTGTAGCGACCCAATGTTGGCCGAAGCGCCATCGGCGGCGGGCTGGCTCTTGCTGCGCGCATCGGTGAGCTGCGTCTGCGACGAGGAAGGCGTGGCCTGGGCAGAGCCCGAGGGCGAGTTGGAGGCACCCAGCGACGGCGATGCAGTTCCAGAGGTGGAGTCTTTCTTCTTAGATGACTTGCTATCCTTGCTTCGAGAGAGCTGTTCGGACTAGATATGTTAGCCTCCGCGCATAGAGAGGGGTAGGGCGTGCGTGGTGCTGCCGGGGGTCCATGGGGAGGACGGGCAACTTACGACCCTTTGCCTGAAGCCCTTCATGGCTGGTGAAATGCGCCAAGGGCCAAGTTAAGCGTCGCGGAGGTCTGGCAGAGACGGACGTCCGAGTTGGAGGCTGGCCTCGAGGCGTCTGGGGACAGGTCGCAAGCCAATAGCGCCAATGGGGACTAGATTGCAGGCGCACACACTGAGAATTGTACACAGGAGAGCGTAGGGCTCAGGCCGACATGGAGGAGAGACGCGTGAGGTAATAGATGGTGGCTAGTGTAGCCGTCTAGGGTGGTGCACGGGGAGTCGGTGGAGGGAGGAGCTTCGCGAGGGGGAGGTCAAACGGCAGCTGGGGCCCTAACAACTTGCTGGTGACGTATGGGCGCTCTGTCTGAGGGAAAGGCGTTTATTCTAGAGCTGGAGGGACAAGTTGGAGCAGGTCGTCAACTGACAACTCAGGGCTGCTGCCAGACAGACAGCGTCGAGTGATTCGCGCTAGCCGTCCGGTAGCGAGGCCGTGCGTTTGGGCCAAAAGCCCCGCCGCAGCCGTCACGACATGATACCTGCGATTGTGAAGTAGCAGGTTGTGAGTGTGACGGATTGAGTGCGCAAGCAAGAGACAAGAGACTATGCAGCTGCTTGGTTAGACGCAGCCTCGTATCATCTGATCTAGTACCTCAGCAGAGGCATCACCAGATCAATCCCCCTGCCTCGATTGAGAAGCTGCGACGGCCATCTCACTGGGGTCAGGGTCTGCAACAATCGTATTTTATATACCACAGACATACTGCAGTCTACGGCTACAATCAAACACTCGTTCCTGAACGAGCATCAGACTGCAAGTCCTCGTGAATATAACAACAGGAGAATCTCGAGCTCCAGATTCTTCACTGTGTAATACAACATGGACAACGCTGCATCGACGACCGAAAATCAGCATGCGCCATGGCTACCGATCCCATCACGTGCCGTCTCAGTCGTCGAACATCCGGCTATCGTCAAGAACGTTGACAAGGGCATTACCTCATTAGGTGGGCCTGTCAAACTGAGCAAGGTCAGCCGGAGATAGCAGTGCCTACCACTTTGGGAGAAACTAACAATCGCTTTAGGGCTTGCGATCACGATTGGAAACCACGACCAACGCCGAAGGTGACGATGAGCTCAAGAAACTCATATCCGTCTCGCTGCGCCCCGATGACCCCTTCGCCAAGCGTTTGCTGTCTACGCCGGTGAGGACAAACAACCTGCTACTCAAAGTCACAGTGCCAAAACGAACAGGACGCAAACGAAAGCGTGGTTCTTCAGGTCCTTTTCTTACCGAAGATGAGATAGGAAGTCACGATAATGGCGCCTCAAAAAGTAGCACGTCGACCAACAAGATATATGTGGATGCCCCGACCATCTACAAGAGCCTGCAAGACAATGCCTCGACATACAAGGTTGCTCTGGCCGGAGTCGTGGATGAGACGCATCGATTTCGAAGTGAGCGAACACCTTTTACCTCCATTCGAACAACGACTGACTAATCTTGAGACATGCCCGACTTGCAATATGCTGCTTCTCACAACAACATCATGGTTGGCCTGCGAGATCATGTCTTGCTGAAACGATGTAAGAGCAGCCCAGCTATACTCAGAAGATCACTAACTCTACTCTAGACGAACAGTTGAAGAAGTATAATGTCAATACCGCGGCTGGTGCGGACCTTACCCAAAGTGTTGGACCGTCTCCAGAGTTCATACAGATGCCAATCGCCTTCAACTATCGGTTCCAGCAAAACTCCAACGTCAAGTACACTGATCAAGGTGTGGTCAATATACAGAGGAGCCTGGCCTACAATGCATACACGATCGTCAATCCCACCGATGAACATGTGCCAACGGAACCACGACCAGGTCTCCCAGCGGAGAGAGATCTTACGCCATATATGCAGTCACTGATTACTAATATTCGAGCCCTGCTTTTACAAAGGCCTATCGTTACCCGCCAGTTACTATACAATAGGCTTGGCTGGGACAAGCGAACAAAGCTCCGGCAAGCAGCTATATATTGTGGATACTTTTTCGAAAGCGGGCCATGGCGAGAGGCCCTTATACGCTGGGGAGTTGACCCACGCAAAGATCCTGAATATCGCAAGTACCAGACTGTATCGTTCTTGTCTTACATCAAGTCAGGCACGTCCAAGCACCGCGCTGTCTTCGACCAGCATGTCATGAAGCTAGCAAAGATGGCTCCGGAGGAGCTAGAGTCTGAGCATACGTTTGACGGCTTCAATGTCTCACAAACAGGCAACCTCTTCCAATTCTGTGACATCACCGATCCTCTTATTGCGAAGATATTAGCCACAAAGGATATCCGAACAACCTGCGCACCGACATTTCAAGGATGGTATCATGTTGGGACATGGGCCAAAGCCACTGTGATTCTGAAGGATAAGATGAACACGATTATCGGCGGGGACAAGCCGGATGATAGCATATACCAGCGCATCATCACCTGGCCTGAGTTATGGGACGACAAAGAAATGGCAGCTCAGTACAAGAGCGAAATCGACGACCGTCAAATCCATCACGAGAAGAGGAGAGAGCACCAAGTAATGCACAATGTGCGGTGGGCTGCAAGAAATCCCCGATATGCTTTTGAGAAGATGGAAGCGCTCGATGAGCAGGAAAGGCAGGCCGACGAAGAACAGGAGCCGGAAGATGTTCATGTTCCCGAAGACATGACAGAAGATCCTGTCCAGCCCGATGCTATTCTGAACGCAGATATTGGAGAGGCTGAGGACGATCAGGATGATCAGGATGGTGAAGCAGATGAAGATGATGAGATGCAGGTTGACGACGGGGATGAGGGCTTGTATGGTAGCTCCGAGGTTGACGATGATGATGACAGCGATAGCCCAGTGATGTCTGTACGAGCGGCATCAGAAGGACCGGTACCATTTGGTGGCTACTACAAGGTATGAAGCCGCTAGGGATCTTCTGACCCCTGGGAGGCTGGTATTTCGGAGCCACGATGTCTTCGCTAATAGCTGTGCTTTTATCTGGCTATATTTGTTCCGTTAACAAGTAGCCCGAGGTAGAGAATTGTTGCAAAAATGTCTAGAAAGATATTGGGCATCACTATGAAACCAACACAGCCTATCTGTGAGTATATACAAAATCGTAAATAAAGTTTCCACATGAACAGAATCCAACATTGATCGTACAGATGGTGAGGTGAAGCGCAACTATGCCGTCAGTCTTAGGAACGGGTGCGACCCACTAATATGCTTGGCTTTGGCGCAACTCGGATCGCCTGAGCTTTCGTTTTCCATAACCTCACGCGAAATCGCACCACCGACACCACCACCCATCGACACACTACCGGCTACGCACGCCCAGTAGCCCCGAAATCACCTCCTGTAGCTTGCCATCAGCTCCTGAAATCACAACATGTCCTTCGCCCGCGCCGCGTCGAAGGTCAGCCGAGTGGGCGTGCGAGTCCCGGCCTACCGAGCAACCCCCGTTGCGTTGAACACCCAGCGTGCTTTCTCGCAGTCGGCTATCCGCAAAAGCGATGCGCATGCCGAGGAAACCTTCGAGGAGTTCACCGCTAGGTACGACAAATCCAAGGAGGGGCTATAGAATCAGACGGGCAAGGAGTCATGCAGAGACGATGGAGAGCCATTGAGTGCCATTGGTGTTTTTAGGAGCTGCAGCGCTGACTTGTGTTTCCTCAATATAGGTACGAGAAGGAATTCGAGAAGGTGAACGACGTTTTCGAGCTTCAGGTACGTTTGTTGTGTCTATCATGTGTCCCGCACCGGTATCACCCGATGTGCCTTGGGCAGTTGTAGACTGGCACGAGGAGGACCAACGAGCTGACAACCGCTAGCGAAACTTGAACAACTGCTTCGCTTACGATCTCGTCCCCTCAACTACCGTCATCACCGCCGCTCTCCGCGCTGCCAGGCGTGTCAACGACTTCCCCTCCGCTGTCCGTGTTTTCGAGGGTACGTCTCCTACCATGTCCCATATATCATCTCGGAATATTTTTTGCGCATAAGCGTGCGGCGTGATTTCCGAGATATGACGCTTTTTCGGCGTTCGACCAACCCCAGGACATTGATTACTAACTTACGTCACAGGTATCAAGTTCAAGGTCGAGAACAAGGGTCAATACGCAGAGTACCTTCAGGAGCTCGAGCCCATACGTGAGGAGCTCGGCATTCCCCTCAAGGAGGCCTTGTACCCCGATGAGAAGTAGATGAAGAGGTGCAGGCTGTGCATATCCGCTATCCCCATGTTTCCGCCCCACATTTTGACATCGAATACCATGGTGCGGCTCTCCAACAATGTAAACGTCAATGCCTCAATTTTCTTATCTTAGACGGAAAGACCGGACGCGGATGTGCGGTCTTGTACAAATATGTGATGTTTCTGTTTTGCACACAGGATTACGGCAAACCGCGTATGACTGGGAGGTTTTGGTGGTAAGCAAGGCAATGGCAAGTAGATGAAAAGATGTACAGTGTTTTAAAGTTCAACCCGAGTGCAATATGGTGCGATGAGGTCCTAGATACAGTGAAGTGAAAAGCCCCCCTTTAACGTGGCGTCCTTGTGTCGTTGGTCCCGCTTGAGCATGTACTAGAGGACATGTATATCATGGCTATGTATTGTCAGGCGTTTGTAGAAGATATGTAAGAATTGACCATGTGGTAGATCTCAATCTAACGACAGTCCTTACTTGTGAAACAAGCTGAGAGAAATGTACAGCAACAGGCTGTCGAAATGACCTGAAGTCTGCTGGCGACAGTTCACTGCTCGACATATACCGGACATGGTTCCATGAGCGCTGATGTCGCTAACCTGGATGGGGGATAGCCAGCCGCGCAGGGGTCGCGTCAACCAATTAGAACGCGCGCTAAGTTTTGGGGGTCAGCGTGCCTTCCTCGCTCGTCAGCTAAGTGCTTGCAGAAGCTCATCCATCCTCTAAGTCGCGAACTCCATACCCGTACAAGGGACGCGCCCTTGCCCCACCACCAGGCCTCATTTCCACAATAACGATTGTAATGACCATATAGGCCATCCTGCCTACACCTTCCTTTTCCAAATTTAATATTCGACACTGCAGCGACCTGCAAGCAACCGAACATACCACCGCGCCATCGCCGAAACCAATGCGCCTGCCTTCCGCAACATTGATCGCGCGACACACTGGATAGCCACAACGCTATTCGGCGCACCCTACGAGGGAATTGACAAGCTGGAGGAGCGGCCATAGGCTGCACATACCATCGCCATGGCGACTCACAACTTCGAGGCTATGGCCTCCAAGTTGGATGACCCAAACTCAGGTACGGAACGAGCTATGCCTGCGCTGGATATTTTCACCCAGGCGCGCATATTATCGAATGAGAACGGAGGCTGACTGGCGCAGATCTGAGAGCGAAGGGCACCCAGGCGATTGAAATACGGGACAACATCGAGAGCTACTGCCAAGGGCAGCAGTACAGCACATTCTTGAACCATCTGGTCCCTGTATTCCTGAAGATATTAGATGGCAACCCCGTCTTCATCTCCACGTCGCCCGAACAGGTGAGCGCATACTTCGCGACAATTCTACAGCCTTCTGACTCAGAAACAGCGCATACGGAACTGCGTCCTCGAGATTCTGCACCGACTGCCGATGAACCCGACGGAAGCGATAGAACCGCATGCGGCTAAGATTGTGGACAAGCTTATGAGTCTTGTGAAACTGGAGAATGAGGACAATGCGGTCCTATGTATGAAGACCATCATGGACTTCCAGCGCCACCAAACCAAGGCGCTCGCGGACCGAGTTCAGCCTTTCTTGGATCTCATCCAGGAAATGTTCGAGACAATGGAACAAGCGGTACACGATACTTTCGACAGTAACACAACGGCCTCAGCCTCGCAGGGCGTCCCTTCCACACCCAACAACCACCAGTTCTCGCAGTCCCCGCGCCCGAGTTCACCAGCAACCGCTCTTACATCCTCCGCAGGCGACATTGGGTCGGAACACCAACAGACGCGCATGCTGCTCAAGGGCATGCAGTCGTTCAAAGTCCTTGCCGAATGCCCCATAATAGTGGTATCTTTGTTTCAGGCATACAGGAATTGTGTGAACAAGAACGTGAAACTTTTTGTTCCACTGATCAAGAACGTACTTTTGCTTCAGGCAAAGCCGCAAGAGAAAGCGCACGAGGAGGCCAAGGCTCAGGGCAAGATTTTCACCGGTGTCAGCAAAGAAATTCGCAATCGCGCGGCATTTGGCGACTTCATCACAGCTCAAGTCAAGACCATGAGCTTTCTGGCCTATTTGCTTAGGGTGTATGCGAACCAGCTAAACGACTTCCTTCCTACCCTCCCGGATATTGTGGTTCGATTGCTCAAGGACTGTCCACGTGAAAAGTCTGGTGCACGGAAAGAGCTCCTAGTTGCTATCAGGCATATCATCAACTTCAATTTCCGCAAGATCTTCCTTAAGAAAATCGACGAGCTCCTGGACGAGAGGACACTGATCGGCGATGGTCTTACAGTGTACGAGACCATGCGACCACTCGCGTACAGCATGCTGGCCGATCTGATCCACCATCTGCGGGAGTCGCTGTCGAAAGAGCAGATTCGACGCACAGTAGAGGTGTACACAAAGAACCTACACGACACATTCCCTGGAACTAGCTTCCAGACTATGAGCGCAAAGCTTCTTCTCAACATGGCGGAGTGTATCGCAAAGCTGGAACCCAAGGAGGACGCTCGGTACTTCTTGATCATGATCCTGAACGCCATCGGCGACAAGTTTGCAGCAATGAACCGTCAATACCACAACGCTGTTAAGCTCTCAGCTCAGTACAGCCAACCATCCATTGATGCGGTGGACGAGAACCACATGGCCGCTCAGGAAAACCCTCCGGATTGGGATGAGATTGACATCTCCAACGCGACACCCATCAAGACGTCAAACCCCCGAGACAGGAGCTCCGATCCAATCGCTGATAATAAGTTCTTATTCAAGAACCTGCTACATGGGCTTAAGAACCTCTTCTACCAATTGCGGGCATGCAATCCGGCCAAAATTAAGGACGAGATTGATCCGACGAACGCATCCGCGAACTGGCACGAAGTGTCGTTTGGATACAACGCAGAAGAGGTGGAAGTCCTCATCAAGCTTTTCCGTGAAGGTGCTAAGGTATTCCGTTACTATGGCACTGACAAAGCCCCTGAAACACAAGGCTTGTCGCCAGGAGATTTCATGGGCAATCAGCACATGATGTCGAGTGGTAAAGAAGAGAAGGACCTTTTGGAGACGTTCGCGACTGTTTTCCACCATATTGATCCGGCTACTTTCCACGAAGTGTTTTCATCTGAGATACCCCATTTGTACGATATGATGTTCGATCACCCGGCGTTACTCCACGTTCCACAGTTCCTTCTCGCCTCCGAGGCTACGTCACCCAGCTTTTCGGGCATGCTGTTACAGTTTCTCATGGACCGAATCGAAGAGGTTGGCACTGCCGATGTGAAGAAGTCCTCCATCCTGCTCCGCCTCTTCAAGCTTTCCTTCATGGCCGTCACGCTCTTCTCTGCCCAGAATGAGCAAGTGCTGTTACCGCATGTCAGCAAGATCATAACAAAATCGATCCAGTTGTCAACGACTGCTGAAGAGCCTATGAACTACTTCCTGTTGCTTAGGTCGCTCTTCAGGAGTATTGGGGGTGGCAGGTTCGAGCACTTATACAAGGAGATCCTTCCTCTGTTGGAAATGCTACTCGACGTGCTCAACAACCTCCTCTTAACAGCGCGCAAGCCTGCTGAAAGAGACCTTTTTGTGGAGCTATCTCTTACAGTGCCCGCACGGCTCAGTAATCTTTTGCCGCACCTCAGCTATTTGATGAGACCGCTAGTCGTAGCCCTGCGAGCTGGGTCAGATCTTGTTGGTCAAGGACTTCGTACTCTGGAGCTCTGTGTGGACAATCTCACCGCAGACTATCTAGACCCGATCATGGCGCCAGTCATTGACGAGCTCATGGCTGCATTGTGGGAGCATCTGAAGCCAAATCCATACAGCCACTTCCATGCACATACCACGATGCGCATTCTTGGAAAACTAGGAGGACGCAACCGCAAATTTATCACTGGCCCGCCGGAGCTGGACTTCAAGCCGTACTCTGACGATCAGTCGTCTATTGACATCCGACTCATCGGCTCTACCAAAGACCGCGCCTTCCCTGCCGCCATAGGTATCGATACCGCCATCGCAAAGCTTTATGAGATTCCGAAGACGCCAGCAGCGAAGAAGTCAGACACGTTCCACAAGCAACAGGCTCTTCGTCTCATCACCGCGCACACAAAGCTGCTGGTCGGTTTTGACAACTTGCCAGAAGACTTCGCCCAGCTAGTACGCCTGCAAGCGAATGACTTATGTGCCAAGAAGTTTGATGTTGGTTACGACATTCTTACCGCGTCCGAGCGTGAAAAGTCCATCACCAAGAAAAGTGTAGAGCAAGAGACACTCAAGAAGCTGCTGAAAGCGAGCATCTTTGCTGTTTCTATACCGGAGCTAAAGTTGGAAGCTGAGGCTCTGGTAAGTAACTTAGCAAAGCATTTCACGCTTCTCGAGCTTGGGACACAGTTCGCTACACTCAAGCACAAGAACAAGCCGTTCGACGTGCATTCAGGGGAAGGACCTGTCGTCATCGAGAGCGATGTTGTGTCTGAAGCTATCGGTGAATCTCTGGCTTCGGAACATGGCGCTGTGCGGGACGCTGCAGAGCAGGCTATTTTAACCATGCGCGACGCTACGAAGGCCATCTTCGGAAATGATAGTTCGCTCGACAAGTTCATCTTCTTCAACGAGCTTTCTAGTACTTTTTGTCATAACTGTCACGCCGACGATTGGTTCATGAAGTCTGGAGGAACTCGAGGTATCGAAATCATGATTAAACAACTGGGCCTTCCTCAATCATGGCTTGTACCCCGCCACTTCGAGCTCGTCCGGGCGCTTAACTTTGTTATGAAAGATATGCCGATTGACCTCGACTCGAAGACGCGCATACAGGCTGAAGGACTCATCCAAGACCTCATTAGGCGCTGTCACAAGAAGACGACCAAAGAAGAATTCGACAAAGGTAACAACATTACGCTGAAGCTATGCCAACAGCTTGTGGGCGATCTATCGCATATGAACAAGAGTGTCCGAGATGCAACACAGAAGGCTTTCCAGGTGCTGGCAGACGTGACAGAGCTGACTGTTAGCGACCTTATCACACCGGTGAAGGATAGACTCATTCTACCGATCTGGACGAAACCGCTGCGCGCACTACCCTTCAGCATTCAGATTGCCTACATCGACGCGATCACCTTTTGCTTGAAGCTCAAGAACAACATCCTTGAGTTCAACGAACAGCTAACCAGGTTATTGATGGAATCGCTGGCGTTAGCCGACGCAGAAGACGAGCATTTGGCGAGCAAACCTTTCGAGCAGCGGAACGCAGACCACATTGTCAGCCTGCGAGTTGCATGTATCCGTCTGCTCTCCACAGCTCAAACCTTCCCCGAGTTCAGCACCACTCCGCCGAACCAGACTTTCCTCCGCATCATCGCCGTCTTTTTCAAGTGCCTCTACTCAAAGTCTCCAGAAGTCATCGAGGCGGCCAACATCGGTCTTTCGGGAGTGATCTCGGCGACGAACAAACTGCCAAAAGATGTCCTCCAGAGTGGTCTCCGCCCCATCCTGGTCAACTTGCAAGATCCAAGGAAGCTCTCTGTCGAGAACTTGGACGGTCTGGCACGGTTGCTGAAGCTTCTCACAAACTACTTCAAAGTAGAGATTGGAACTCGTTTGCTTGACCACCTCAAGAGCATTGCGGACCAGAACAGTTTGCAGAAGATCTCTTTCACCATGATCGAGCAGAATCCTAAGATGAAGATTGTAACGGGTATCTTCAACATTTTTCACCTGCTTCCAGCAGCGGCTGCCACATTCCTCAAGCAGATCATTGAGAAGGTCATCGAGTTGGAGACTGCACTTCGGAGGACGCACTACAGCCCCTTCAGAGAGCCATTGATCAAATATCTCTGCATGTACCCTAAAGAAGCTTGGGAGTACTTCGCACCGAACTTGAAGGACCAGACGCAGGGACGCTTTTTTGCCCAGCTACTCGAAAACCCAGCAAGCGAAGTACTTCGGAAGCAGGTTGCGGAAGATGTCTCTGGCTTCTTAAGCGCCATGAACCCTGAAGGTACCGACAAGGAGAAGTGCCAAGCTCAACTGAATGGTATCCACATTGCGTACGCGCTCAGCCAGTCACAAGATACCAGCAAGTGGCTTGTCTCGAACGAAGAGTTACGGAAAGGTCTTTTCGAGGCAGCCCGGGGATTGGAGAAAAAGCTTAGGGTGAACAGCCTTGACTCGGAGCTACGTCTGGCAACCGAACAAGCTGGCGATCAAATCATGATCATCTTTACGACATATCTCAAGCAAGAGCCGAATAGCCTGGACTTCTTTTTCGAGCTTGTTGATGCCATCACATCTGAGGAGTTGAAGGCTTCACCGCGGTTGTTCGACTTCATCTATGAGCAGATCATCTCGAGTGAGTCTGTGGATTACTGGAAGACTATTGTGAACAAGTGTATCGACCTGTACACCTCTCGCAACTCCTCCCAGAAGACGAAGACCTTCATTTTCCGCTACATTGTCAACCCTATCTTTGCCATGGATGTCAAACGCAACTGGGACAGCTTGTTCGGTCCGAAGGCCAAGGGTACGAAGTTCATGGACAAGGCCATGACAGAAGCCATTCACAGCCGGCTCTGGAAACCACAGTCAACGCTGGAGCTTTCTGAAGATACGGCGCAGCTAGGTGTCGACCACTCACGGATGGAGCTCCTCCAGCTCACCACGCTTCTTCTCAAGCACTACCCTGGCATGATTCAGGATGCTCGTAAAGACGTCATCAAGTTTGCCTGGAACTACATCAAGCTCGAAGACATCATCAACAAGTACGCGGCTTATGTACTCATCGCCTTCTTCATTGCCGCATTCGACACACCCGTCAAAATTGCTGTGCAAGTCTACCAAGCCCTTCTCAAGGCACACCAGAACGAAGGTCGGTCATTGGTGATGCAAGCGCTTGAACTCATGGCTCCTGTCCTGAAGAAGCGGATGCCTTCAGTACCTGGCGGTGACTCAAAGATGCCTCGCTGGATTCAATACCCACGCAAGATCTTATCCGAGGAGAGCTCCAACTTGCAGCAGCTGATGAGCATCTTCAACTTCGTGGTCCGTCACCCCGATCTATTCTACGAAGGCCGTGAGCATCTATCTCCTATTATCATCACAGCATTGTCGAAGATTGCGCAACCTCCTAACCCCTCAACTGATGCGAAGAAGCTTGCATTGAACTTGATCAGCTTGATTAGGACGTGGGAGGAACGTACAGCAAGTGAGAGCGCAGGCGCAGTGGATCGGCTATCCCAGTCACCACAAGCATTGAAGAGGCGAGCGGATGGATCTGCTGCAGTTACCAACTCCTCGCCGAGGGGTTTTGTTGCTGGATCTGGCATCCGGATGATGCTTGTGAAATACTTGATCCAATTCATCGCCTACTTGCCAGAACGATTCCCCGTCGCTTCACCAAAACCCAAGGATCCCACTGCGGTAGTTACTACAACACCTCAGTCGGCGGAGATCTGCAAGAAAGCCGTACAGTTGTTGCATGACTTGCTTTCGCCACGATTATGGAACGATCTGGACCTGGACTTCATGCTTAGCAAGAAGATTGAGGAGATTCTTCTTACTGAGATGAAGCAGGAGGACAAGCCTGAGGTCTTCAGCACCCGCATGATCAACACTCTGCAAATAGTAAAGGTCATCGTCAATGTCAAGTCGGATGATTGGGTACTCCAACGTATGCCACAGTTCCAAAAGATCTTGGAGAAGCCAATTCGTTCTGAGAACCCCGACGTGCAGGCCAGTCTGCACGCGACCGATGAATCAGATGACGGCACAATGAAGCTAAAGCCAATCCTCAAGCGTCTCCTAGAAGTTATGCCTGAACCTGTTACGGACGATGAAGGCAACACCGAAGAATCGCCATCTACCGAATTCGTCAGCTTCCTTGGTACGATCGCAACGGAGGCTCTTTCCAACAGCTCCTACGTCAGCGCCATCAACATCTTGTGGACTCTATGTCAAAAGCGGCCCGAGGAGATCGACCAACACATTCCATCGGTCATGAAGGCCTTCCAGGGCAAAATGGCCAAGGATCACCTTGCTGGTAGCAGTGGTATTCCAGGACAACCAGTACCACCTGCTATGCGCCCCGAAGGAGCCAACCCACCTACCGACCCACGCGAGGTCGAGATTCAGACTGATCTGGTACTCAAAACGGTCGACATTCTTGCTGCGCGCATGAACGAGCTCGGCGAAAACCGAAGACCGTATCTCAGTGTGCTTGCTTCACTTGTCGAGCGATCTCAGACCAACTCTGTCTGTATGAAGGTATTGGATCTTGTCGAAGAATGGATCTTCCACTCTACCGAGCCAGTGCCGACACTCAAGGAGAAGACAGCAGTTTTAAGCAAGATGTTGCTCTTTGAACATCGCGCTGACACCTCACTGCTGACTCGCTTCTTGGACCTTGTAATCCGCATCTACGAGGACCCCAAGATCACTAGGAGTGAGCTTACAGTACGCATGGAGCATGCATTCTTGATCGGTACCCGAGCGCAGGACGTTGAGATGCGCAACCGATATATGACCATCTTCGACAAGAGCTTGAGTCGCACAGCAGCTAGTCGCCTAAGCTATGTGCTCGCATCTCAAAACTGGGATACACTCTCCGACAGTTACTGGCTCAGTCAAGTCATCCACTTGATGTTCGGCTCAGTCGAGATGAACACACCGGCACAGCTTCATTCCGAGGATTTCCGTCTTATGCAGCCTACGGCCTTGTTTGGGTCATACAGTAGGGATCCTCGAATCGCGGACGTCATCGTTGACGACGAACTGGAGAATCTTGTTAATGGTCATCGCCGCTTCTGCAACCAATTGGCTGATGTCAAGATCAAAGATATCTTTGAACCGCTTGGACATCTACAGCACACCGATAGCAACCTCGCTCATGACATCTGGATTGCATTCTTCCCACTTGCCTGGACGGCGCTCACGAAAGACGACCAGAGCGATCTTGAGAAGGGCATGGCAGCACTACTCACGAAGGACTACCATTCTCGTCAACTTGATAAGCGACCCAACTGTGTTGCGACCATGCTTGATGGCATTGTCCATGCTCGACCACGGGTCAAGTTCCCGCCTCACATCATGAAGTACCTTGCCCAAACTTACAATGCGTGGTACACTGCTGCTGTGTATATGGAGGACTCCGCTATCTCGCCTGTCGTCGATGTCGAGAAGCTACGCGAGAGCAACCTGGATGCTCTTTTGGAAATCTACAGTGGTCTACAAGAAGATGACTTATTCTATGGAACATGGCGGAGACGCTGTCAGTTTATAGAGTCCAACGCTGCTCTATCCTACGAGCAATGTGGCATATGGGACAAGGCACAGCAAATGTACGAGGCTGCGCAAATCAAGGCTCGCACCTCCGTCCTGCCCTTTAGTACTGGGGAGTACATGCTTTGGGAGGATCACTGGGTGATTTGCGCGCAGAAGCTGCAACAATGGGAGATCTTGAGTGACTTCGCAAAGCATGAGAACTTCAACGACCTCTACCTGGAGTCAACCTGGCGGGTATTCGATGCTTGGCAGAATGCTGAGACACGCGAGCAGCTCGATGCAACTATCAAGGCTGTCAGCGACGCGCCAACACCACGACGAGTCTTCTTCCAGACCTTCATGTCTCTGCTCAAGCTCCACAACAAGCAAGAGTCTCAACCGGAGTTCCACCGATTGTGCGATGAATCCATTCAGCTTTCGATCAGAAAATGGCACCAGTTGCCTAGGCGCATCACCCAGGCCCATATCCCGCTACTGCAACACTTCCAGCAGCTAGTCGAGCTCCACGATGCAAGTGTCATCTGCCAGAGTCTCGCGCAGACTACCCAAGTCAACCTCGATGTCAAGTCTCAAGAGCTTAAGTTGCTCCTTAGCACATGGCGCGACCGCTTACCGAACTTCTGGGACGATATCAACGCCTGGCAAGACCTGGTGACCTGGCGACAACACATCTTCCAGCTGATTAACGGTGTCTACCTCAATCTCCTTCCGCCAAACCAGAATAACGCCAGCGGCAACTCCTTTGCCTACCGAGGTTACCACGAGACGGCCTGGATCATTAACCGCTTCGCACACGTGGCGCGCAAGCACAACTTACCGGAAGTTTGCATCAACCAGCTTGGACGCATCTACACCCTGCCGAACATCGAAATTCAGGAAGCCTTCCTGAAGTTGCGCGAACAGGCCAAGTGTCACTATCAGATCAAAGCCGATCTCAACAGCGGGCTGGATGTGATCAACAATACCAATCTGAACTACTTTGGACCCAACCAAAAGGCCGAGTTCTATACGCTCAAGGGTATGTTCTTGGCCAAATTGGGTCAGAAAAATGAAGCTGGTGAGGCATTCGGCACCGCGTTGTACTTTGACATCAAGCTGCCAAAGGCATGGGCGGAGTGGGGCCGATACAACGATATGCTGTTCAAGGAGGAGCCGCAGAATCTGGAGAGGGCTGAGGCGGCACTCAGTTGCTACCTCGAAGCAGCGAGCCAGTTCAAGAACGCAAAGTCAAGGAAATTATTGGGACGTGTGTTGTGGTTGCTCAGCTTGGATAACCCGGAGAGGAAATTGGCAGAGAAGTTTGAGGAATTCAAGGGTGATACACCGGCGTGGTATTGGATCACCTACATTCCGCAGTTGTTGAACAGTCTCTCGAGACAAGAAGCGCCCATCGCTAGATCCATCCTTGGGAAACTGGCAAAGACATACCCACAGGCGCTGTACTGCCATCTCCGGACAACGCGGGAGGATATGGCGGTTCTCAAGAAGACGCACGAGCAGAAGGAGGCAAAAGAGAAGGCTGCGAAGGCCAAACAACAACAAGGCCAAGCATCACCAGCACCGAAGCAGGCCTCACCAGAGACTAGGCCCGGTTCCAGCACCGGTAGCCGGCCAACAACCGCAGGTGCCGACATCAAGGCTGCTGCGAACGGCACACCGAACGGCACAGTCAAGACAGAAACCGGCACGCAAGATGGCGCACCGGCCCCTAACGATGCTGCGCCAGCGCCGAAGAAGCCATGGGATCATGTCGAGGAGATCAGTGCGATCCTCAAGACAGCGTTCCCTCTCCTCGCCCTCAGTATGGAGACGATGCTCGACCAGATCCAGAAGAACTTCAAGTGCCCTCCAGATGAGGATGCTTATCGACTCATCGTTGCTCTGCTCAATGACGGTTTGTCCTATGTTGGTCGTCAACCCAACCTCTACGCACGTGAGATAAAGTTGCCGGCGTCCACTGAGGCTAATATCACACGTTTCGCCGAGTCAGTTCTCCCGCCCCACATCCGCAAGGCTTTCGAGAAAGACTTTGTCACCAACAAGCCAACGATGTACGAGTATATCCAGAAGCTGCGCACTTGGCGAAATCGCTTCGAGGAGAGGCTCGATCGCAGGAAGCTCACAGTTCCACTCGAACAGTACACGCATCAACTCAGCGAGTTCCGATTCCTCAAGTTTGACGATGTGGAAGTGCCTGGACAGTACCTGCAACATCGCGACAAGAACTCCGACTTTGTGCGCATCGAGCGCTTCCTTCCCGATGTCGAGCTGGTGCGCGGTGTCGGCATTTGCCATCGCCGTCTCAAGATTCGTGGTCACGACGGAAGCGTTCATCCGTTCGCTATTCAGTTCCCTGCGGCTAGAAGTTCAAGGCGTGAGGAGCGTATCTTGCAGCTCTTCCGTATCCTCAACGGCATCTTGGCTAAGCGCAAGGAAAGCCGAAGGAGGAACTTGCAGTTCCATCTTCCGCTCATGGTGCCGATTACGCCTAGTGTGCGCATGGTACAAGATGATGCGTCGTACATCAACATGCAAGGTATCTATGAGGATTACTGCCGCAAGAACGGTATCAACAAGGACGAACCAGTTCTCTTTAGCATTGAGAAGCTGAGAGCACTCCAGCCAGTAAGTTGTTCTCCATATGCTTCTGCAAATTGTCAGTCTCTAACCCAACCTCAACAGAAGAACCTCGATCACGCTAATAGCATCCGCCTCGAAACCTTCGCTGCCGTACAAGAGAAGTACGTGCCACCAACAGTCATCCAAGACTACTTCCGCGCCACCTTCCCTACCTTTGCCGACTTCTGGCTCTTCCGACGTACCTTCAGCTACCAGCTTGCCGCGCTCACATTCATGACCTATGTCATGCATATGAACACGCGTTTCCCGCAGAAGATCAGCGTTTCCCGATCCAGCGGTCGCATCTGGGGTTCGGAACTCATCCCCAGCATGGCTGTTGGCAAGCCCATTCTTCACAACTCTGAACCTGTTCCTTTCCGTCTGACACCCAACTTACAAACCCTCATGGGCCCGCTGAACCTCGAAGGCATCTTTGCGCCCAGTGTCATGACGGTTGCGCGTTGTTTGATAGAACCCGAAGGTGAGCTGGAGATGCAACTCAGCATCTTTATGCGTGATGAAATGAACCACTGGTTCACGTCGCAGCACAAGGCTAGCCAGCTTACGCCCGAAGTACTCAGGGAAAGCGTGCAGAGCAATAGCGATCTTGTGGTTAAGAGGGCCAGTGCGATTGGTAGTCTGCCTACGGGTGCTAATCTACCGGCGAACCAGACGGTCGTGGATCTAGTCGCTGTTGCGGTGCATCCGGCTAAGTTGAGTCAGTGTGATCCACTTTGGATGGGGTACTTGTAAAGGATTTGAAGTGATTGGGTTCACATAGGTGTATGGTGTTTAGGAAAAAAAAGTATGTATTTTACTACTTAGTGGAGGTCATGGCGGCCAAAAAGAGTATTGACGCAATGAGGAGTTTGGGAATCCATCATTTTTTGTATGTTTTGCAAGGCGTTAGTGTGGAGGAGGGATAGATGTTGGGTTCAGTAGGACAACCTTGTGTTCTTGCGCTCTTTCATGCATGTTTTTGTGGTTCTGGCACAGCGGTCGAGGTGTATCGCTGTTGGACGTCGTGTTGCTCAGATAGATAGTTTATGTCGAATGCGATTGAAATCATATTAGTATTTTCTCAATCGTAACCTGTGTCGTTTAGCCGCATTCATATTGGGTGACGTATAGTTACACGTTGCTTTAACGGAGCATTTGACTTGTGCTCGCAATACCTACACCAATAACGTGGTTCACAAGCGGGTCGCCACCCCAACACCAGCGCGACGCCTGCACAGCAACTTCACGTAATGTCACAACTACGCAATACCTAAAGAACCTACAATGAAGGCAATATACAGCTTGCTATCTTAGATATTAATTCTTATTAGTTTCAAAGCAACGCACGCGCTGCAGCAATCTATAACGTCCTACGAAGAACGCTTGTTGACTGACGCGCTGGACGACGCTCTTGACGCGATTGTGAGCTAAACTTAAAACGCCTTACAAAGCTAGAAGAGGAGGCGATTGTACAGCGTATACTTAAAGAGAGTTTACGTAGTATACCGCCCTTAAAGGCAAACGTACGAGATATAGCTAATAGACTGCTGAGAGAGCGTGGTAGGAAGCCTACAGGCAAGAACTAGGTTAATAACTTTATTAAGCGTACACCTAAGCTGCGAACGCGATAGAGCCGTCCGTACGATCACCAGCGAGCTGTCTGCAAGGACCTAGCGATTATTAGGCCCTAGTTTACGCTTGTTTAATCGATGAAGGCGAAGCATAGTATCGCAGATAAGAATACCTAGAACTTTAACGAGTCTAGCTTTATAATAGGCAAGATATCCTCTTAGCTTGTTGTTACAGGCTTAGAGAAACCTAAGAAACAGAAGAAACTACAGCCTGGCGATCGTAAGTGGGTAACTCTAGTCTAAGGCGCCTCTGCGACAGGGCGCGTTATCCCGCCCTTCCTTATCTTTGCGGGGAAGGTCCTTATTACCTCCTAGTTCGCAGATCTACCTCGCGACTAGATTATTACTGTCTCTCCTACTAGCTGGATTAACAACGACCTCGCGCTCGCGTAGCTTAAGCACTTTAATGCTTATACGAAGGCGTCCTCTGTTAGGGCATATAGGCTGCTTATTATTGACGGCCATGACAGCTACTGCTTAGTAGATTTCCAGGACTACTGCAAGGAGAACAAGATTATCGCTCTCTGTATACCACCTCACTTATCGCACCTCCTGCAGCCTCTTAACGTTGTCCCCTACTCGCTGTTGAAGCGCTACTACGGCGATGGGATCTCGCTCTTGGCACGCAGCCGCATCCACCATGTTAACAAGGAAACCTTCCTACCAGCCTTTAAAGCAGCTTATAAGAAGACGTTTACACTAGAGAATGTTCGCGCAGGCTTTCGAGGTGCTGGGCTAGTCCCATACGACCCAGAGGTTGTGTTATCAAAGCTAGATGTGCAGCTGCGTACGCCGACGCCACCTGCACTAGGCACAGTCGCCTAGGAGGCGCAAACACCGCGCAACGCCCGCGAGATAGAGGCGCAATCTACGCTGATTCGAAATCGCATGCGAAACTACTAAGGGTCACCAGCAAGCTTATTGGACGAGCAGGTTAAGCAGCTAGGTAAAGGCGCTCAGCAGATAGCTTATAATATGGTGTTAATGCGAGAGGAAGTGAGAAGCCTTCGAGAAGCTGTTGACACGCTTACAAAGCGCAAGACTCGCAAAAGGCGGTACGTACGCGCAGAGGAGACTCTAACAGTTGGTGAGGTATCTGACTTAATTGCTAAAATAGACGGTGGTAGGCGTAAGGACAGCGAGACGCCTGCGAAGAGGGTGCGCGCAGAGAGGCGCTGCGGCCGTTGCAGCGAGGTTGGGCATAACTCTCGCACCTGCAAGGTAGAAATAGAGGATGTAGATGATAGTGACGCTTCTGAGTAATAGTAATCTGTTACCTATAGTACAATATTGTGTTCTGGTGCTACACTACGTTGTTGCGCAGGCGTCGCGCTGGTGTTGGGGTGGCGACCCGCTTGTGTTGGCGACTCGCTTGTGAACCACGTTATACGAAATTTAAGGCACATCCGCTATCACTCTTACTATCGAGGTTTATGCCAAAGCCTTACATCAAGCCGAACGGGATACCGATGTCCTTATGCAGTCTCTCAGTCAGAGCATGATAGGACTAGAAGAGATACACAAGGTTCTAGAGAGATTCGCAAAGATTAGTTCGCAAAATATGGGAGACGGACGTTCTCCAAACGACTAAGCGTTGCAAATATTAACGGAGAAGCTCGAAAAGACAGGCAAGATAGGGCGAAAGTGCGTGGAGGACTGGCAGGCGTTCGAGCGCCAGAAACCAATTCGCAGGAAGCTCAACTACGTCCTCGTCGTGAGTATCCACAGAGCGTCCTATATCGAAAATTGGGGTCAGAGTCGTAGGGATGCTGTGACGTTAGGACGCAAGTTAATTTTTTGGTTCGGTACCTTCTTCTTCTTCGGGATTGTCTTACCAATCTATCTTCCTATTGCCCTGCTATACAACATAGGTGTGGTAGTGCATAGCGTCTTGTTCTACAATGTATTTGTTTTCCGGTTACGGAAGATGAGAACACAGACGAGTATCGCAAATAGGATGCAAAAGGTCGGGTCAAGTCTCACTGAGTTGCGCTCTCGGGTTTTACTGAGGTAAATCCAATACTTCGACGACAAGCAACTGCTGGATACACTAACATCATGGCGTAGATTACTTGTACAGACGCAGGAGTCAACGCAAGAGTCAAAGGAGAGCATGACCATGCTGATCGCGCGATCTCAAGAACATCTGGAGGCAATGTTCCTTGATATAAAGCGAGGTCAAGATGACCGTCGCAGAACGGGTGTGATGTCGCCGAGCTTCGGTCCTCAGGAAAGAACTAGTGAACGACGGGGCAGCATTTGAGACATGACGAGAACACTACGAGGAGACCAGATGAACCGCCGAATTGTAAGCAATAATATTTTTGGACAGTTTGTAACGTATACAAAGAAAAGAGACGAAATGTGGTATTTGTGAGCCTAATATTCTGCCAGCATCAGTTATGAAATGGACTGACTGTCGACATCAGGCTACTTTAACGTTCGCAAGAGTCGATTGAAGCTACATCTCGAGAGTTCAAGCAGTCTCACAACAACCTGAAGAGACTGATTTTTTGTCAAAAGAAAGGAAACGACGAGAGCAGCAAGGCAAAGGCGGTTATGCGACAGCACGTGGATCTAAAGGCGAGGAAGACGGAGCGGCGAAAGAGTATGTAGGAAGAAAGAACGAGATGATCAATTCCAAGAGAACGAGGCGCCCAATGCGATGTGAGTTCTGGAGGACTGGTGTTGAGAATATGTTAAATGGATACGTAGTCAACTGGTTGAGCAACGAGGTGCGATTTTTTGTTTCCGATCCGCTCCGCAAATTCCGAGATCAACCCGCGTCACTCTTTTCGCCGTAGCTTCATCCCCTGCCAGTCATCCATACCTATTTCTCGCGAAACACATCGTGTCAGCGCACTTAACTCCGCTGTTTGCGACGTGACTTCGGAGTAATATGCCACGATGGGGTCCCATCGGAGGGTCCTAGCGCACATCGCTCCTTCATAATCTTCTGAAACACGTTTCCACGAATCCTTTCGTAGCTCACGGTATCGGCATCGTCCCGCACCTGTTCATCTCCACGAACACTCAACTGACAGCAGTCTATTGATTGATTGAGGAAAGCGGCCTCGATTTCTGCGCCACAGATATTCGAGCGCATACGTTGAAACTTGACGCAGTCAAGCATTATGACAAGCATTACCGACTTCACGGTTATCGGCTCACTGCTTCAAGCTTGTTCGCGATAAATGAAGTGACGCGCGCCTTAGCAAGCTTTTGTGAACATCGGAGAATTTGCCGGCGCTCTGCATAGGAGAAAACAAATTCTTATGGGACCACCTGCAGGGCCTTGTAGATCAAAGAAAAGAATCGCGAAGCAATGATCCACGTCGCAATTGTTGGATTTCCCGGGGATGCAATATAGGGGCGCCATCATGCCTGCGGACCCACCAAGAACTCGAGATTAGTTTGGATCTCCACCTAGGATTCGCAGTTGGCCTTTGTGTCTAGGCTTGCCGTACGCGTATATCTCAAGCTCTGCTCTCAGACTTCGGGTTTCTTCTGTCTTCTCATCTCTCGAAAGTCATTCTTTCGCTGTCGCTCTTTACCATTCCAGTCATTCATTCCTGCTGAGCAGGTTTTTCTCTTCAAAATGCATTTTTCGCAACTTCTGCTCGCTGCTGCTGCTATCGCACCGGTATTCGGTCAGCTATCGGGCAAGGTCGGACCTCTAACTACGCACGCTGCCAAAACCGCTAAAAAGACTTGTAATGTGATGAGCTATGGTGCGAAGGCGGACAAGTCAACCGATCTTGGTCCTGCTCTTCTGAAGGCTTTCACGGCTTGCAAGACAGGCGGTACTGTTGTTGTTCCTTCCGGAGACTATGCCTTGAAAACATGGGTTACCTTTGAAGGTGGCAAGGCATGGGCGCTGCAGCTTGACGGCATCATCTATCGCACGGGTACCGAAGCTGGTAACATGCTGTTTGTGAGAAATGCGAACGATTTCGAGATGTTCAGCAGCACCGGCAAGGGCGCCATTCAAGGTATGCTACTTTATGAGTAAATATATTGAACTATCGAATTAAAAACGAGTGTAGGCAACGGTTACGAGGACCACAAGAATGGCAAGCGAAATGGCGCTCGTCTTCTCCGTATCGAGAAATCAAACAACTTCTCTGTTCACGACATCATTCTAGTTGATGCGCCTATGTTCCACTTTGTCATCAACACTTGCACAAATGGTGAAGCATACAACATGGCTATCCGTGGAGGCGACTGGGGCGGTCTCGATGGCGTGGATGTCACTGGCACTAACCTATGGGTCCATGATGTGAGCACTACTACAACTTTTCGCCATAATGCTGCATTGCTAACGCGAGGCATAGATCATGGTGACTAACAAGGATGAGTGCGTGACAGTAAAGTCACCCTCCAAAAACGTCCTGATCGAGAATATCTACTGCAACTGGAGTGGAGGCTGCGCTATGGGCTCTCTCGGTGCCGATACTGCCATCTCGTCCATCGTCTACAAGAACATTTACACATGGAAGTCCAACCAGATGATGATGGTAAAGTCCAACGGTGGCAGCGGCTACGTTGAGGACGTCGTTTTCGAGAACTTCATTGGTCACGGTAACGCATGGTCTCTCGATATCGACCAAAAGTGGGCTTCGATGAGTGCTATCGCTGGCAATGGTGTGCAACTCAGCAACATGACCTTCAAGAACTGGAAAGGCACGGTCGAATACGGTTTGAACCGTGGGCCTGTCAAGGTTGTCTGCGCAGACAAGGCGCCTTGCACGGATATCAACATCACCGATCTTGCCATGTGGACCGAGAAGGGCAACCACAACATCTACCAATGCCAGAACGGCTACGGTAGTGGTTTCTGCTTGAAGAAGGGGAGTGGAGGCTCGTATGCGGCAACTACCAGCACTCAGACTGTTGCGCCTACTGGCTATTCTGCACCCACTATGAAGGAGAATCTCAAGACTGCCTTCGGTACGGCCAGTCCTATCCCCATTCCCACGATGCCGCCGAGCTTTTACCCGAACACGCCGCCGATCACAAAACTTGCTGGTCAGTAAGTGCGCATCGATGAGCGCCTGATGTTCGTTATTTCCGACTTTACGTCCCTGTATATATTCGCTTCTTGCCCATAACATATTTTTCAACCCAAATACTCTTATCTTGAGACTAGGATCTAGCGCAATCCCCGAGAGCTTCTGAGATGGACTGACACTTTTATAAGTTTATCTCAATGCCCAGTCTGACAATCATGAAATGTTTTTGGATGGTCTGGATTTGCTGTGAGTTATTACGGCCCAACGCGTTTGTTGAAGAATCGCTCCAGCGCCCATATTACATGACCAACTCCCTCCCTCTGCCCAGTAACCATGTCTCCATAACAACAAGCCCGCTGCAACATCTCGGCTGCGCTGTTTTACAGCACTTCCCTACCCATGGTCCATAAGAGCCTGCTCCTAGAAGCTTTTCTAAATCTCTCTGCTCTCTACACGAAAAAGATTGATCGACGATATTACTACCACACCTATAATAACATCAACAGCAATGTCGAAATCGGACGCAAATCTAAAGGCTCTACCCACCAAGATCATGGATTTGGTGGTGGATGGCACATATGCTAAGGGAATGACTGTCTTTTCCGCTGAAGACGTGTGCAACCTCCGCTCTACGAACTGGCGAGTGCAGAAGACGATGTTCAAGAGCTGGGCGAAACATTGCTTTACAACCAGGGAATAAATCTCGTCACGTGATGGTATACAGTGCCTCTTGAGCATTCTCAATGGTATAGTTTTGAGGGGCTATGTGCGCGAAGTCGTTGTTGGCCCGGAAAAAGTCAATGACTACCTTAGTATCTTCTTGAACGCATAGGGCATGAGTACAAGGCGCTCGTAAGAAAAGGCAAATTGATAATGGAAAATGATTCGGGGGCCTACGCACAAGAAGCTTGTTGAAGAGCAGAAGGAGTTCAACGGAAGTGACGAGTCGGTGCGAATGTTGGAGGCGGCGCTACAAGGCTTTCCAAAATTACAACACCTACGCATGGACACGTTTTTATGAACCCAGTGTGGTGCCCTCAATGAGAAGGAGAAAACACTGATGGAAGAGAGACGGAAGGAAGCCTGGGGTGTAAAAAGAATCCTTCGGGCTATGGGCTGGGGAGACCATGAAACTGACCGCGTTCTTAATACGCACCGGCCCATGAAAGCAACGATTGCAATTATAAATTACGCAACCGTTGTGGGAAGATGGTCTCCGCGCTGAACAGAGTCAAAGATCGTATAAAGACTGGACCATGGAAGTCGCGCTCCATACGTTGGGGCTGTATTACGAGACAAAGCCGTCCGATCCCTCAAGCCGCAAATCTCAACGTGTGCGGCATCGTATCACGTCTTTGGAACTGAACGACAGGTTCAGACATACGAAGATCCTTCAGTGCCTGAACTCTGTCATGCAAGTTTGTTCGCACTGCTCTTGGATGAAGAAGCGTATCGTTCCTCCAACCTTGACGAAATGGGAGATCCGGATTCCAATGATGATAATGAAGAGCAATCAAACACTAAGACATCAGAGCGGAAACCAAAGCTCATTGTGCCAAAGGACGACACCTGGTTTTCGGTCTTCGAGCAGTTGACAAAGTTTCCTTCCTTGACAAGCGTTTAGGTCGCCTGTCTTCGACAACACCCGGAATAGCAATGCCCTTGGTACGATTCCGGTAACGTGGCCGAACGTTTGGCTGGTGGCTGTTCAATTGCTGCTGAAGGACAATATATTGCGGTGAAGCTGGGACGAGTGGTCAAAGAGCGGATAGTCGTTAAATCGTCGAGCCTTGACGTTGTTAAGACCTACAGTGTTTGATTCTCCGATGGTTTCTCCGAGGACTGGGATGTTTATACTAATAGTGCCAGGGTGCTGGGGCATGCCAAGGCGTGGGATAATGGGCCCATCTCTTGCGTGCTCGTCTGAATCGTGGTACAAGTGGGGTTGGTCCACCGGTTATCCACGTCTAGCCGATGGGAGGATATTTTTGCTGCGAGCTCAATGTAAGGACTCTGTGACCTAGTACTGTTTTCATGTCTTTAACAGACTTATTGTGCTCATAGTGTACCACATTTCTTAGTAACGATATAATGGTGAAGTGATGAGCAAGATACGAGCGCAACCATGGGCTCGATCTAGTGCGCGACTAGAATCTTCCGTAGTAAGAATGGAAGGTGTGGAGTAAAGCGAACATTGGTGCAGGGCCGGAAGTGATTGTTGAGTCTCGTGACCCGCATCTGAGGCTCGGCGCTGCAGTCAAGCCACCGGTGGCAGATAAGAGCGAGAAGAGGCTGACACTCGACCCATCTCCGGTGGGGATAGCCAGGGAAATACGCCTTGACATGTTGGTGACAAGCTTCAGCCGTTAGCATGCGGCGTGACACGAAATCAGCAAGCTGCACGAATAGGCGTTGGGGGCCTCAAGCGGTACGAAGGAATCAAGGCTTGGCGGAAGGGTGCCCGTGAAGGTCACTGGCAGGCTTTTCCATCGTAGTCACTGGCAGGGTGCTTGAAACTGGTGCAAAATGACGTTGGTGTTGAGGCTTCGGTACGGAACTCGGCACTATCACGCCTGCGCCGAGACTATTAGCACGGCTAGGCGGAACGTAGGCGAGCGGGATGCTTGGCTGGGACCGAACAGCTCGCCACTTCTCTTCTTTCACCCCGCTTGCGAACGGGTGTCACCCAACCCCGCTGTCGTCATCTCCGGCACCAGAAGATCAAGCCTGCTGTTTCATCGCCTGTGTTCTATACGATGATGCTGTGGTGCAGGGTAAGAGACGGCAGGTAGGGTCAGATATGCCATCCGATATATCCATCGGCCTTGCAAACATCCCTTTAAGGCATGCATGCATCTCTTTGTTGACGAGTGCCGACCGTGACCGATGATGACGTTCCCTGTGCCGGACCCAAGATGGCTACCGCCACGCCAAGCTCTCGATATCGCACGGTTCTTGGCTATCGCCATGGTGTGTGCGCATGCGTTCCAACTTGCTTGTTTAAAGGCACTCATGTCCCCGGATCTAGATCTCTCGTCTGCACCCATCTTCTTCTTAGTACCACAGTTCATTCACTATGGGCAAGAAGGAACCATCTCTCGAGGGCCACAGGTCCGGCCAGGCTAACGAGCCTCTCTCCAAGCCCGCGCATGCCCTACCATGGAAGGAAGTCGTCCAAGAGATCCAGTGTAATGCCGAAGACGGTCTGACTACTGCGGAAGCAAAGTCAAGGCATGAGAAGTATGGCAACAACGATCTGGGTGACGATGGAGGAGTATCACCGGGCAAGATTCTGCTAAGACAGGTTGCCAACGCAATGACATTGGTATTTGACCTCAAACTAACACTCAATCGCAACAACTCTAACAGCCCCTAGATCTTGATTGCTGCAATGGCTGTGTCTTTCGCTATCCAGTCGTGGATTGAGGGTGGTGTAGTAACTGCCATCATTCTGCTCAACGTCGTTATCGGTTTCGTGCAAGAGTTCAATGCTGAAAAGACAATGGACTCTCTTCGATCTCTTTCCTCGCCAACAGCCACCGCTGCGCGAGACGGAAAGACTGTTACTATCCCAACCATTGAGGTTGTTCCAGGTGACCTGATTGAGCTGAAGACAGGTGACACTGTCCCGGCTGACATCCGGTACGTTGAGTCGCGCTAAACTAGCTAGTACGTCACTAACTTGCATACAGTATTATCGAAGCACTGAACTTTGAAACTGATGAGGCTCTTCTTACCGGTGAATCTCTTCCAGTCAACAAAGATGGCGATGCTGTTTTCGACGAGGACACCGGCCCCGGTGACCGCCTCAACGTCGCCTACAGCTCCTCGACTGTCACTAAGGGACGTGCTCGTGGCGTCGTTTTTGCTACAGGAATGTACACTGAAATTGGCTCCATTGCTATGTCTCTTCGACAGAAGGGCTCGCGCGTCCGCGAAGTCAAGCGCAAGCCTGACGGCAAGGCTAAGCCGCATCGTTACGCTCAAGCATGGTCTTTGACCGTCGCTGATGCCGTTGGCCACTTTCTTGGTGTCAACGTTGGTACTCCACTTCAGAAGAAGCTCGCTCGTCTCGCTATCCTCCTATTCGGTGTCGCTGTCATCTGTGCAATCATCGTTCTGGCTGCCAACAACTTCTCCAACAACAGCGAGGTTATCATTTACGCTGTTGCCACTGGTCTCAGTATGATTCCCGCATCGCTCACTGTCGTCTTGACCATCACAATGGCCGCCGGTACAAAGCGCATGGTTCAGCGTCACGTCATTGTTCGCAACCTAAAGTCGCTTGAGGCCCTCGGTGGTGTTACTGATATCTGTTCTGACAAGACTGGTACTCTCACACAAGGAAAGATGGTTGCCAAGAAGGCTTGGATTCCCGCAAAGGGCACATACTCGGTTGGACAGTCCGACGAGCCACACAACCCCACCGTTGGCGCCCTGACCTTCAACCCCAAACAGCCCCGACACATTGACCCCGACGTCGACGAGAAGACAGAGACCTTTGAGGAGCTTCTTCAGGACAACGAACATCTAGTCGACTACCTCAAGGTTGCTTCGCTCGCTAACTTGGCCCATGTTCATCAGACTGACGAAGGCCAATGGAACGCACGTGGCGACCCAACTGAAATTGCCATCCAAGTCTTTGCCTCTCGCTTCAAGTGGAACCGTCTCGAACACACTGGTGGTGATTCACCTGCCTGGAAGCAACTCGCCGAGTTCCCCTTCGACTCCGATGTCAAGAAGATGTCCGTCATTTTCGAGGAGACCGCCAGCTCTAAGAAGTACGTTTTCACCAAGGGCGCTGTTGAACGTGTCATCTACTCCTGCACCCGCGTATACAACGATGAGAGCGAAGCTGGTGTTGACCTCGATGACGACTACCGCGAGGAAATTCTGGCCAACATGGAATCTCTGGCTGCTATGGGTCTTCGTGTTTTGGCACTTGCAAGTAAAGAGTACGACGGCCCATCGCCAAGCAAGGGCGATGATCTTGACCGTGAGAGCATCGAAAATGGATTGGTCTTCCGTGGTCTTGTTGGACTGTATGACCCGCCCCGACCTGAGACTGCTGGCTCCGTTCGTCAGTGCCAGAAGGCCGGTATCGAAGTACACATGCTTACTGGTGACCATCCGGGGACCGCGCGCGCAATCGCTATTGAAGTCGGTATTGTGCCTTCAAACATGAACACTCTTCCCAAGGAAACCGCTGATGCCATGGTCATGACCGCGAGTCAATTCGACAAACTCACCGACGATGAAATCGACGCTTTGCCACTACTTCCCCTTGTTATTGCTCGATGCGCCCCGAACACCAAGGTCCGTATGATTGACGCCCTACACCGACGCAAGGCTTTCACTGGTATGACTGGTGACGGTGTAAACGACTCTCCATCCCTTAAGCGCTCGGACGTCGGAATTGGTATGGGTACTGGATCCGATGTAGCCAAGGATGCCTCCGACATTGTTTTGACTGATGACAACTTCGCCTCGATCCTTAACGCTATCGAGGAGGGCCGCCGCATGTTCGACAACATCCAGAAGTTCATCCTCCATTTGCTCGCCCAAAACATTGCGCAAGCCTGTGTTCTGCTCATTGGTCTTGCTTTCAAGGATGAGAGTGGGCTTTCGGTCTTCCCAGTATCTCCTGTTGAAGTCATGTGGATTATCATGATTACCTCATCGCTTCCCGACATGGGTCTCGGTTTCGAGATCGCAGCTCCCGACATTCTTACTCGTCCCCCTCAAAATGTAAGCTTTCTTCCCCCGAGATTTAACGGTGGAGTGTAGACTAACAACAAACGCAGCTCAAGCGTGGTGTCTTCACCCTGGAGGTCGTCCTGGATATGTTCGTATACGGTCTCTGGATTGCCGCTCTCTGTCTTGGTGCCTTCTCCCTAGTCATGTTTGGCTGGGGCGATGGTAACCTTGGAAACGGCTGTAACGAAGGCTACAACAACACTTGCGACACTGTCTTCCGCGCTCGTGCGACGACTTTCGCCTGCCTTACTTGGTTCTCTGTCTTCCTTGCATGGCAAATGTTGGACATGCGCCGATCGTTCTTCGCGATGCAGCCAGGTTCGAAGAAGTACTTTACGCAATGGGCTATCGACGTCTGGCGCAACAAGTTCCTCTTCTTCTCCATCATCTTTGCCTTTGTCACTATCTTCCCTGTCCTGTATATCCCTGTCATCAACGACACGGTTTTCAGGCACAAGGGCATTAGCTGGGAATGGGGAATTGTCTTCGTCGCCACCTTCCTCTTCTTCCTCGGTATCGAGTCCTGGAAGTGGGGCAAGCGCGTCTACTTCAGGAGACGCGATGTTAAGCACGGCGTCGCCAGGCGAGGCTCGGTGGACCTTGAGTCGCGCGTCTTTGAACGGTACCTCAGTACCGCTATCAGCACTGATGGCGAGGAGGGTGAGAAGAAGTCATCTGCATAATGGAAGAAACTACGCAATGAGGTACGATATCTTTCAGATAAGCCTCGATTTGAGAGCTTTTAATGTTTCGGGTCAGGCTTTGTCCTGCAAAAGGCGTTCTGATTTTTCTGCATAGCCTGCAATTGCGATACCTCATGCCATTATGGCTGCGATTAAGGCTTTTCATAGTCATAGTATGTGTACATAGTAATTGAGATACCACTGTGAACAAATTGAACTCTTACCATTTACCTTGGCGATGACCAACATTTTCACCTAGATTTTGCTGAAACGTCTTCAGTGCCTTTAGCCAATATCATATATGGCAGTAACAAAATTAGTCAGTTTCGGTCGGACGCGCAGTCTTCAGGCGTCCCATCCTCGGAGGCTTGCGCATGCAGCCCCGCCATGCCATGCCAAACCTTTCCGCTCCACCACACCAAGACCGAAAACGTGCATTCTGTCTCGGCGCCGAGCATGCGCTAAGAATCTAGTCTGCAGTACGTCAGCCGAGGCATGCTGTTGGCTTGGAAATGGCCTGAGCAGACCCCAAAAGTGAGTTGATGGCGGCTGGGGATCGTGAAGCGTTCTGTACATGGTATTGGAGGGAATTACAGAATCGTGCAGATTAGTGATCGGAGGCTGGGTGGTCAGAAACTTTTGGTTTCGCTGATGGGACAATTGGGTTTATTGCTTATGTTTGCTTTTTACCGTTACCCGTTGCCCACGTCGTGCGCTGACTTGCCGTGCTGCGAACTGACCTTCCACAACTGTATCACCGGTTACCTACGGAGTACCGACTTGTAATGGTTTCGGTCCGCGACAACGGTGATAAACCTAGCTCGGCGTTTTTCAGCCGTCTACATTACGCGTTCGCAGTAAGATCTAGGCCAATACCAAGCTCTTTCAAGCGCTATCAAGAAGTGGCGAACAGACGTGGCTGTGGAGGCTGAGCTTGCAGATGTCGGTGTCATGGAACGCCCGGATAAGTGGGATCCGGGGTAAGAACCGGCTATTGGTAATGTGTGTTAAGAGTGAGCACTCCGCACCTTGGAACAACACCTCTTCGGCTGCGGAAGAATACTTTGTTTCGACACATACTGAACACGTTTCACGAGTATACGACGGAAGGGTTGCAATCGCAGAGTGAAGGATCCTTGGGACGCGCAATCGTTTGGTGCCGGTATACCCGCTGCTTCCGCCGTCATCACACGTTGTTTCCCCGCAGCAAGTCCAGGCCGAGCCACATCGCATCCCCAATCCCCCACACATCAACCGAACCACGCTCGGATCTTCACGTTTGGAAAAAAGGAAAACGCGATGCCTGCGATATCAAGTCACGGATTCGTTCGCACGCTTGAAGCGCGAGAATGGCAGAATACTGTCGGTCAGTCTGGGATGACGCCGACGGCTTTTAGTTTTCTGATTCCTGTCTTCGTTGTTGCTATCGTGGCGCCGTTGTAAGTTGTGTTCCGTCTACTCCGAAACATCTTGAACCGGAAGGAAAGGGTTATGTAAGGGGTATTTCCTACGGGGATAGTTGAAGATGGATCTAAGCTAATGATATTCGATCATGTAGTTTGTGTATATTTTGTATACGGAAAAGACGGCAAGCCGTCCCTGTTCCAACGCGTCTGCCACCCAAGACAAAAAAGCCGGCGCTTAGGCGTGCGGAAGCGAGGGAGAAGTTGATTGAAGTCACCGAAGTGGTGAGCCTCACTGGAAGCACATCTTCACAAAGTCGTGATGGCACAGAGAACGACGAGGGCAAACTCGGGGCAGTAGAGACGCGCTCAGTGCTCGAGCGGGAATGGTAAGTGTCGAAGCACAGCAGCAGTTCAATACTAATCTTCGCCACAGTGCGATATGTCTCTCAACCCTTCACGCTCCCGCTCCACCCGAACCAGCCAAACTCTCCCCAGAAGCACCGATAACCGATGCTGCCGCCCTGCCCGCCTCTCTCCCGCAATCCGATGCCGCGGATTCAACAGCAACTACCACTCCTACTGCACCCGAATCCGAGACCATACTCAAACTTCAAGTCTGTGGCCACGAATTCCACGCCGACTGCCTGGTATCTTGGTTCGTCCTGCGCAAGACAAGCTGCCCGATATGCCGATCCATGTACATGAGCAAGGAAGCCTTGGAGCAGCACGATGAGGAAGAGAGGATTGCTCTGGGTGGAGATCCGACGCCCGCCGTGTTGGAAGCGGGAGCTGCGAATCAGCCGCAAGCACAGCCTGTCAGCAATTGGCGCTACTTTCTGCATGGAAGTGGTATCCGGAGACTACCGGGGGCACAGGCACAGGCGCAAAGTCAACCTGCAGTGGAATTGCAGAATCGCACTCCGGGAACTGGAGAGCAGGCTGGGGCTGGGGCTGCAGTCGCAGGAGAGACGGCAGTGCCGCAGCCAGAGCAGCCGTCTAGGCCGAGGTGGCAGAGACTTTTGAGGATGTGAGTGCTATATTTTAAGAAATGATCATGATATTCGGAGAATGATGGAATGATTTTACTGTTCGGGGAATGGTAGCAGAGACAGTTTTCCTTTTCGAGATACCCCTGGGCGCGTTATAGCGTTTGGTTTACGATGAAATGAATCTATTTCGACTGGAACTTTTAAATCGTACACCTAAACACCAAAACCTACCCCGAAGGTGCTCACTAGGTTCGTTGCTGATAAAGCTTCAAGTCTAACTATAATGTATTCTTCGGGCCAGGTGCTAGTTTTGCATACAACGTTTAAAGAACCAATGTCTCTGCCCTACTTGTATGCAGTCTCAACTCAGGACCCAAACCAAAAGTCATTCTCGTTCTGTGATACACCTGCAGGATCGAACGAACCATTGCCGGCCGTTACGAGACCTTCAAATTGTCCCCAACTAGCAAAATCGGTCCAATCAAGTAGGTCAAATGTGAAGGTTGGGTTGGTGGTGTTGAATGCTTCCGCGCTGTTTGGCGTAGGCTGAATGTTGCTAGTGGCGTTGTTATTGTAAAGTAAGTTTGAAAGATTTGACGATGGCAGTACGGTATCAGGATTTGGTGCCGACAAGGGTGGTGGGAGAATGGGGTTATCATGGAAACTAGGAGTGTCGCGTGTAGGTGTCTATGATAGGAGGTCAGTATGTGGATGCAGATAATTTGTATCCGCCAACATGAATTCTGAACTTACGTCAACCGATGCTGCGGGCGTCGATAGTCTTCCCGACTGCCGCACCGCTTCAGTCCTAAGTTCTTCAAGTACAACACAATATCGGTGCGCAAGGCAGTCAGTGTCGCTAACCGTCTCCAATTGTTTTTGACACTTCACACCCGCCTCGAAAAAACCCTCGCACTCCACTTTCGTCTTTACACCCAAGCCTTGTTGAATGCGATGAATATACAACACTACGACCGCACAGAATGCATAGTATTGGGTAAACCAGAAAGAGCGAAAGAGATTAGACGAAACGAAAACGTCGTCTACGAAGCGTACAAGGGACATGGCAGCTTCGAGACATGCGGTGATATTGGCCGATGCGTCGTAGCTGGTGGCACTCCAGTTGGGATGGGTTGGCATGTGTGTCAAACTCGCAAAATCTCGCAGTAAGAAAGGTCGGTGTATAAGTAACAATGCATGATGGTAAGCCAAGTTGAGAACGGAACGCTGACGCTGGTAGACTGGTATGAGCAGCTGGTTGTCGATGCGTGCTTCCGAGGCGGTACCAGAAAGGAAACCAACCAGCGAGTTGTGCCATGCGTGCAGCTCCGCTGTGTACTTTGAAGATAGTTCGATGCGCTTCGTCAGGCTGGGTGGACGGATCGAGTATAGGTCTCGCAGCACGAGAGAGACAATGCGTGTCAACTTGATGTGCTCGACTGGGGCTGTCATCAAGGAGTAAGTAAATCCCGTTGGGAGATTCATGTAGTTTGGATGAAGGTCGTTGTCGTTGACAACGGTTGGAAGTTCCTAGAGTCTCTGCATCAGCTGACGGTTACCAGCTTTATTGTATCAATCTAAGCATACCTGATCGATATCTTCGTCCTTGAAGGTTCGTGGCCGGCCAAGGGCAGCAGCGAGGTACTTGTCGAGAGAGTACGCAACCCAAAACAGGCGCCTTCGACTCTCAGTCTCCAGATAGTCTACCTTTGTCGAGGGATCGCATTTCCTACCGCGATTCAAACCTATGGCAAGAGCAAGGTGTGACAGCGTGCCAAAGAGACTCCAACAATGGTTGATTCGGGACTGTGTTAGAAGGTAGAAGCACTGCAACAGTCGCGCCTGAACACTCGCTAACCGTACGGCGCCACGCTCTCCTGACAGTAGGTTCTCAGCTGCACGGAAATATCGGGCGCTGGCGGATGTTAGTCGGTATAATGATGGCGGAAGGGTCAGCAAACCTGCTAGTTTGCACTGTACTGCCAGGCGGCATATATGCTTGCGCTTGCGCAAAGACCGTCATCAATAACGCAGCTTTCGCTTTGCCGTCTTCCTTACTCCTCATCTCACCTTGCGTCTCATAGAATTCATCTACAAGCTGTTCGATAGTCGGTCGATGTAGGAAGCGATGAGTTGGTGCCGCGTATTCGAAATACCGTTCTACAAGCCTCTGCGCATCAGGCTTTGGTGGTGGGACAAAGATGGAAAGATCGAACTCAGGAAGCGGAGCGTCTCCGAAGGTGAATATGGTAGAGTCATGTGAGAGGGAAGAATTCTGATGCAGTCGCTTCTGAATACGAATGAGGAAGGATGCTGCGCTTGAAGACCCAACATAGTGGCCTTCTTGGTCTCTTTGAGCCCCTTGTGGCACAGGGGAGTCTCGAGAGGAAGGGCGACTGCCGGGGTCGGTAGCCATGTCGAGAGTATCTGGATTGGAGTTGTCGGGATGTGAGTAAGTTGGTCCATCGATGGGGGTTGATGGACTTGGATATATACGTGGGTATTGTATTGTCGATGCTGCGTGTGTACCTTTGGCAGATAGGTCTGATCTAAAGCTTTCTTTTCGTCTTTGGAGCAAGGGGTCCGTAGCTGCTGCGGAATCGTCGACAATGACGGAAGGAAGTCGTCCTCGCGTATACGATGCAGTGAATTCACATGGTAATCCTGATCTCAGACAGAGCGCACAAGGACATCTTCCAGTACATCGTACTTTTTTTCTGATTTTGGTGTTAGCGGATTCTTGCATCCGTGCAGTATAGCACATGCACGCCGAATTTCAACAAGCTCACTTCTTACATCGGTCGCAAGCCCTACTGACTCTGCTTCTTTCCCGCTCTTCTCTCCTTCTCTTGGCAGGTGGTGATTTCGGCTCGTCCGGGCTTGCGCTTGCCGGTGTGACAGTCGTGGCAGCTTCAATACCGTTGGCGGGCGTCCATCGAGCAGTCGACGCATGCTTCGGCTCGACAACGGCGGAGGCTACCTGAGAGGGGTTCTTTTCACTCATAGTCGGAACTGTGGCGGTCTTCCGTCACCTAACATTGCTCATGTTCACAAAGTGGAGTCAGAAGTCCAGAGTTCGGATAAGAACATATTAACAGCCGGAAAAGCCGTGCGCTAAGCCGAAAACGATACATCGCGCACGAGACCTTTGTAAGTAGAGATATGATGTGATAAGAAGAGTTTGTTTGGCTCGCAATACTCTATAGTAAGCGGGAGATTTACTCCTCATCAAAGCCCATGTCTACTTCAAAACAAATCAAGAGTGCAGCCATTTCCCCTCCACCCAAGCCAACCCCTCTTTGAGCCACGGTTCCTCGTCTTCCTTAACTGGGGTGATAAACCCGTGCTCCTGCCCTGCCCTAATCTCCAACTTCACCTCCACATCCTTATTCAAGGCTTTGCATCTCTCTACAAACTTCTTACTATCCTCTACACTAACCGCCGAATCCGCATCTCCATGGAAAATCCAAGTCGGGGGCAACCATTTCTTTTCCTCAATGAGCCCAATCGGCCACATCTTCTCGTCTGCCCCGAAATAGGTGAGGTAGTGTCCATATGCTGCTAAAAGATAGTTCAAGGACAACCTCGCTGGTGGCCACGCCGAAGAGACAATAGTACCCGGTTTGATGGTCGAAAGATGCTCAGCCAGCTCGGATTCTGGTGGAGAGGGAGTGTCGAAATACGTGTCGTTCTGTTCGATACGCAAATAGTTTGTCATCGGATATTCCCCCAGGATAGCCTTGATGCTGCCTCGAGGTTGAGTGAGACCTGACATCAAGGCCATGTAACCGCCCGCCGAATCGCCTGAGACCAAGATCTTCTCGTGGTCCAGCTCGATACCGCTTCCTTTCTTGTGAGAGGCGAGAAAGTCGCTGACTGAACCTTTGTTGAACCAGGTCCAGAAGTCACGCAGGTCTTCGAGGATATCTGCGCCGCTATGTTCGGGAACAAAGCGGTAGTTGGGGGCTACAACGATTGCGTTGTTGCGGTGAATGAAGGGGACGAAGAAGGCGCTGAACCATCCGGGGAAGAGGCAATCTCCTGTAATCTGCAGTACGTCGTCAAAGCCTATCTCTTGAGCTTTTGCACCGAAAATGACTACAAAATACGGTACAATGAAGATTTGGGAATTGACATACCAGTCCTCCGCCATGAAACTTGACCATTACAGGAGTTTTGCCGGGCTTGATATCCTTCGGAACCAGGATACCAACCTCAATCTCATGGTCGCCGATCTTCTTGTATGATGTTCTGAATGCATCAAAGCTGTCGAATCGATTCACATCCGTTGTATCGTCAAGGGGTGCCATGTTGTTCTTCCTCTTCTTTCTTCTTTCTTCTTTCTTCTTTCGAGATGATGTTGTAGGAGTTGTTGAGCTATGCGATTTGGAACTGAGCACAGGATGGGTACCTATATAAGCTTTTTAGATTACGGGCGTATTATTACTGTTAGCCAAACGACTTTACTGGTTGTGATTAGTAGTGTTGCATTCGGCTTAGGTACACTCGGTGTAGCGGGGTAAGTAAGACGCGAGACGCGAGACGCGATCTCGCCCTTCGGTTGAAGAGGTACTGCCGGAGGGGCGTGTGTCATCAGTCCATGATAATGTTGAACGAATTTGAGAGTAATGAATTATCTCTTGTCATGTTTATCTTGAGAGCAAACAATTGTAAATGCATTGCTTGTGGGTAGTTGTTCGCAAGGTCATCCAAGTTTGAATAAGCTTAGGCTAGTGGAGTACTAGAAACTTCCTGGAAAAGGACGACCTTGCGAATAATTACTGAATTACTCATTCGTTACTCTATGTAAACTGTGAAATGAGGATATGTGATTACTTACTCCTGAGCAAGAACTGCCAGCAGTTCTGAACATCGTAGCAACCATTCTACAAGTTCGTAATAAGAGAACCAAGCGAGATCCACGTGTTCATCAACTATCTGGACATGTTTGTGTGATTAGTTGTAGACATCATATTCGTCGAATTCAGTCTTGACATGTACGCGTATTCGTCGAGTTCGGCTCCGAGATATACACGTTACTCGCCGTAAACCTCTTTGCGGATTGCATCACAGAAGCTTTGCGGTACACTAATCTCCTGCTCGCTACAAATCAGTAACCAGAATCTTCACAGATGTCGTCTCGCGGAATATGGCTCTGCTAGGGAAAAAAAAAGTCCGCATTGCTACCACGTTCAAATCTTCAATTATCCTAGTTCATCTCGTATGGCCACTTCCTGCGTTCATTGTCCGATAACTCTACAGACTACGGCATCTATACAGCACGTCCATCCATCCCACTCATCTCTCTGATTTGTGTAAACCCTCCTGGCGATTCACTGAGCCGATCATCGAAGACGTGCGATAGGAGGGTTAGCCCACGCCTATATCAAAATTTGTAGTAGGGTATGGATCGGTAGGTGCGAGCAGGAGTAGGGTAGATTCGAAGAGGAAGGAAGCTAGTTTCCACCACGAAGAGCAAGTACCAAATGCAGTGTGGCACCGCCCTCGAGTTGGTAGTCTGCTGCGGTCTTCTCGTCGTTCCTAAAAACGAATGCGTTAGCCTTGTCTCAACTGTGTCGCATACGCAAGCAAGAATCTGGAAGTGGTTGAAGGCCGAGCCGGGGTTAGGGAGAGCTAGACATACATCTGCTTTCCTCCGTAGATGAGACGTTGTTGCGCTGGCGGGATTCCCTCCTTCTCTTCGACACGCTCCTTTATCCTCGAGACCTGTGCACTGTCAACGTTGCGCTCTTAGTGTTTCCATTTTGTTGACTACCAATATCATATGCGTATGCGGCGACAGAAGTTGGGTGAGCGTACCTTGTAGTCCGCCTCAATGTCAAGCTCGATCTCCTTGCCGGTGAGAGTCCGTACTCTGTCGCATGTCAGCCACCGCCCTTCTATTCATGCTCCCAACTAAATCATATGGTGACTCCAACGTACTTGATCTGCATCTTGTCTGCTTTTCTCTTATTTGCGCGCCGGCGGCTGTCTCAAAAGTGTCGCGGATATAGCTGTGGCAAGCTTCGTGAAGGGATGTTGGGAGTATCGAGAGCGTGAGAGAGAAAGCTCGCGAGCTTAGCAAATAGATGCGAATATTTGTAGGCGGAGGTGAGGGCGCAAACGTTTATAGGCAGCAAAGTGGTTATGAGATAACTTGGGCGAAACCGTCAGGCTGCAGTGACGGCGAACCACGGACCATTATGGTGGGGTCTGGGTGAGCGCCACGAGGCGGGGCAGCTAACTGTGGCTGGTGCATGCTAACCCATTACAGACGCACCTTGAACTCAGGCGAGATATGTGTACACTGACAAGATTTGAGCTCTATGGGAGAAAGATGTTGCGACTTTCTTCGTTGCACTTCCTGAGTAAGTCCTAAACCTATGCATCTTGCCACAGGCACTGTTTCTGCATTCGATGCAGTCTGGCAGCGTGCATACCTACGTACCACTGGACGATGAGCGCGTGCTACGAAAGATGCGATGGCATTGCATCATGTTAGAGGGTCTCAAGGTTGGTGCTGAGCTACTGGCTGAACATAAACGAGTGCTTTACATTCAGCTCTTTTCCTCAACTTCTTTCAGCCTCAAATCGCACACCTACCTAGGTAGATTATCCGATTGGCAGTTGTAGTCGACTGTTCACACCGCTACGATCCCTATTCTCATTCGCTAATACAGTCCGCATGAAGCCCCCTTTCTCAATCCAAGCATCCTCGCTCAGCCCCAAAGTCAGAAGAAGAAAGCAGTACATAGTCCTTTACTATACCCTGTGCATAAACCTGACTGGCTAAGTGCCTCCACATCCCGAGCAGATCATCCGAAGGACCAAGATGTTCCAACTTCCCAATCAGTGTAATCACACTACTACTGCAAGTCGAAAGTGAAACACGCACCGCCGCAAGGCCTCGTCTCACCGCCCTTGCTGCCCTGCACAGCTAAACTGGAGATGCAAGGTTCGAGAAAAAACAATACTGGGAGATGTAAGATGTCATTCGAACGGATAATATTTGCTCGGGTAGACGTTGCTACTGGATAGGGAAAGACGTAAGTGATCAACCGCCAAGTGCACTAAATACGGGGCAGTTACTATCCGGCAAGAATATCTGATGCTGATCTTTGGTATACACAACGCTGATGCAACGGCATTGCCGCGAACGCTATCTGCTTGCTTGCATCTAATCCATGCCGTCTAGCCTCCTACATCCTTCTCCGAACCAAAGATTCTCCATAATGCAAAGTCGCCACTCCAAAAATATGTACACATCTAAGAAGAGAAAACTAAACTGGCTACCGTCAGGCGAGCCAGGAGGATACCGAATGTAAAGCCGAGTGAGATGCCGAAAGAATGCCCATCTAAAAATGGGGAACAGGGGTATATGTGAACAATCTGATAGCCAACAGAGAAACCCAGGGCAAACGTTTCGTGATGATTGATAGTACTGAACAAAGGAAAATGAATACTGTCTGCGAACAGAGATGCTGCCGTCGAGGGTGTGCTTGGGATGTACCGTTGTCCTGCGATCCGGTCTTGATGTGGCAGCGGAAGGTGCCTGATATGCCAGATACCATAAACGGTAACCAAGTCGATAGTGTACCTGACAAGAGAGAACCGGCCAAAATGCCGGATGTAATACGAGCCCCCAGTGCCCGACTAGGAAGCGAACAAGTCTAAAGTGGGTTGCAACAGGAAGCTTGCCCCGAAGTCCATATCGAAGAGAACACCGGATATAGTACAAGAAAGGATGTTCGGACCCAGCCGTTCAAATAAAGTTATGCAAGTCGAGTCGGCGCTTAATGAGCAGCGTTAAGGGCCGTAGCCAAGAAAAGAACTTGGCGCAACTCCCCGAGTATAGCAACAACAACCGAGTCCGCAAGGTAAGCGGCGCAGTGAGGCGACCGACCAGCGAGAATAGGAATAATGCCGGTACTGCAGCCGGTGCGAGATACACCCAATGTATACAAACGTCGCATGTTTCGCAACGTGCGGGGTTCGTAAGCGCAAGATAACAACTAAGGCTCGGTAATGCTGCTGTTGCTGACAAAGGCACCAAGCTTCATGGAGGATAATGCAGCCGGGAGGCGGGGAGGCGGAGTATGCAGAACAGCCGCCGTTTGATAGCACAACCTAGCTGCAGTATGCCAACAAGAAAAATGTTGAAGTCATACTAAGACTCGACTGGGTGTCGATGCGCCGCGATAAAACGCCAGATATGACCAGCATGTTCGATTGGGAAAAAGGAAAAGCCCAGATATGCAGCCCACAAAGTAGATCGAAGCCTTTCTCAAAGGGGGAGACGGCAGGATTTGGAAATAGCCTCCGTTATTCTTGATGCAAACAACAAGTTTGTCGTCGTCTTGGAAGTAATCTAGATCCTGCTACCAGCAAATAAAGACCGGGTCGAAATGCGTATGTGTGTATGTGCAGCCATGGAAACGCGACATTGCGATGCAATTTCATGAGATGAGGGAAGACGTTCCTTGGGTGGGGTTGCGGGGCCGTGCACTAAGATTTTGAGATGAAGTGGAAAGGCCGGAATTTGGAGGTCTGGAAGTCTCGATATTCTTTGTCTCATTTCGCTTGCGGGACTGTTGTAAATAATCGCACCTTTTTTTTGGGTCCTTAGGTCAGCAAGCAGGTTCTTGATACCCGATTGCCATGCCAACTTCATTGGTCGCTTTCGCGTTCGCTCGGGTGAATTGGTATTGGAAGTGAGCTTATCGAAGGACCGATAGCGATCGCAATAGCGACCAATCCGGATTCATACGGTTGGGGTGCTGAAACCACGTCCCAATCTAATGGTCACCAGATTCTCTTTTAGGAGATGACGTATATCCTCGATCCCATTGCTGATGTGTTGCGTACTTTGGTGTTTCAGGTTGAGCAGGTGTCGATGTCGGCACGTAATTCTGCTGACTTTGGCCTCGAGCACCATCCCGCTGAGGCGGTGTTCCATATGCCTGATCAGATTTAGATTTCGCCTTGTCATCTGCGTCTCTTGCTTCTTCTGCGATATCGCCTTGCCGCAGAATTGTCTCATGCGCCAGGCCAGAAACGGTGCCTCGCCGGCTTAGTGAACCGGTGGAGCCCTCCGCCGCTCGTGTAGATACATCTGATCGATTTCGTGCGTGTCCTCTTCGTGCAGGTGTCGAT